TTTAAAAACTAACAAAAAAAATGTCAAAAGTCAAAAATCGAAAGCTAACAAGACTTTTCAAAAAAACATAGGACGCCGCCCTCCTCGCCGAGGCGGCGTTGGTGTACCAGCGGCTCTCGTCGCTGATGGACCGGCCCCGTCACGGCGGTCTGGCCCCCCTCGCGGCTAGCGGAGCCGTGTGGGTGTACGGCGGCGATGTTCGCCGCTGGAAGGACTCGCGCGCGTGGTCGGATGCGCGAAATCTCGGACACGGCTTTAACGTGTACCGGGAGACCACCAAGGACCCGGGCGAGATGATGACCCAGGCGGAGATTGTATGTTTCCCCCTATTCCTAACTTAAATTTTCGTCCTTACTTTTCGGTCTCCCTCTGCTTTCTTTCCCCCTTTCCCCGAAAGAGGGAAAATTTCGAAGACAAATACTAAAACATCAACTTTAGGATCATGAGACCACCAACCGGGCCGATTTTGAGCCCTACCTGGGCCCCTTGGTAGGGCTCAAAAACGCCAAGAGGGGCGGCCTTGTTAAAAAGGCCATCATGTTTACCCTGGGCGGTAAGGACTTCGGCGTGGTGGCCTATTACACCATGGCCGATGCCCTCCGCGAGGGTTACTTCGCCCGCCCGCGCGACAATCTGGACGTCTTCCCCCCCCGGGTCCCCGTCGCCCCCGCTGCCGCCGATGGCAGCGACCAACCGTTCTTCGTCGGCCTCCGCCAGGACTACTGGCGGCAACCGGCCAAGGCTGCCCGCCGGGTAGTAATGGCCGACGACAACAACCAGACGCGCCCGAACGCAGGGGCCGTCTGGCGAACCGACGTGGCCGAGGTCCCGTGGGAGATGTACAAGGGCTCCGGCCCGAACGGGATCTCCCCGTTCAACCCGGTAACGGAGGATGGGGGGTTGTCGCCTGAGGGTGATGTGGTGGCTCCTGGTGCTGCGGCTCCTGGAGGTGCTGCTTCGCCCTTGGGCGTCGGCGCCCCTGCTGCTGCCCCCGCCTCCGGGGGCAATAACCTCGGCCTCGTCGGCCAAAATGCCGACGACGACAACAACATCTGGGGCTTGGGCAACCCCGGATTTGTCCCCGTCCCTGACCAGCAGCACCAGCAAGGGCAGCTGGCGCAGCAGCAGCAGCAGCAACAACAACAGCAGCAGCAACAACCTGACCAAGAACAGGTTGCACAACAGCTGCAAGAGATGCACGCCCGGCAGCTGCGGGGAAATCAGCAGGTCCTAGACGAACTTGACCTTGCAAAAGAGGAGGTCCAGGGCTTCGACTTCATGAAGTGGTTGAGGGAGCAGCCGGAGCAGCCACAGCAACAAGAAGAAGAGGAGCAGCAGCAGCAACAAGAGCAACAGCAGCAACAACAGCAACAACAAGAGCAGCCTCAAGAGCCACGGCAACAAGAGCTGCAACAACAAGAACAGCAGCAAGAGCTGCAACAGCAGCCGGCCACCCCCGTCTGGGACCATGAGAACCAGAACGGCAACCCTCTGGCCCTGCTACACAACCAGGCCCAAGCAGCAGAAGTCCCGGGACTGAACCTTACCGGCCTCGACTTCTCCATCAACGAAGGCATGAACGACTTCGACATGAACGAGGTCAATATCGGCCCCCAGGACGACCTCCATGTTCACATAGACTACGAAATGCCTGACGCCAACGCCGCCAATCCTGCTGTTGCTCCTGTTCCTGATCCGCTTGCTCCTGCCGCTCCCCCGCTGTTCCCCCCCGCTGCTGCCGACGCTGCTGCTGCGCCTGCTGAAGCCCCCGACGCCGACTTCGATGCCGACTTCGACGACAATTTCGACGCCGATGCTGCTGGTCTGGGAGCCAACTTCCCCCCAATCCCTGGTCTCGCCCCCCCCTTCGACCAGCCAGTCTTCATCCCCGGAACTGGCTGGGCGTATATCATCCCCAGTGTCGACGGTTTGGACAACCACATCATACCGCTCGGCTGGGGATACCCGGGGTTGTTATCTGACGCCAATCCCCTGTTAGGGGGACAACAACAACAACAACAACAACAGCAAAAAGACTTGGGACAGGGGGTAGTTGGGGATTAAGTGGGGTGTGGTTCCGTAAGGAGTTGTTGGCGTCTTGGAGTTCCGGAGTTTGGTTCTTCTTTTTGGGTTTTTTTGTACATTACATACATACCATACCATACCATACCGGCTACGGCCTACCTAGCGATGGAACTTTTAGACGGGTCATCACTCAACCAAATTGAAACCTCATACCCCCCACCAAATGAATCGTTTTACCCCGAGATTTTCGTGAATAGAGTTGCAAACTGTACAGTAAGAAATGAACACATCTGAATCAACCACTCTCTACTCTAACAGTCCCTTCCCAAGTTCACCGTTCCTGGAACCCGTTTATTTAAAAGAGATAGGTAGATTTTGTTTGCAATGATCATGATCTTTAGAGTGGACGGGTTTCTTTTCTTTGACCCGGAAGCCTGTACTATGTTGCCGGGGAAGGGGGGCAAAGGGAGGAACAGCGAAAAGAAAAAGGAAAACAAAGACCGAAACCGCTGAAGTCACCAACACCCCCCTAGTTAGGGAGAAGAAATTAACCCTCTAGGCAGTATACAAGGCAATTTCGTAGGAGACAAGAGCGGTTGCAAATTCCAAAGCTGATGTTTTTGAAGACTTCTTAATTCAACTGCTAGGTTGTTGCAACTAATACAAAAGACCAGAACTCCAAAATTTAAACTCCCCACGACCATGTCCGCCACCGACTGGTCTCACATCACCGTCTGTCGTCTTGGGTATCCTGGCGAAGGCCCGGAACGGTCCCCAGCGACAATTCTAATCGGCGTTCACCACAATACGGTGGACTTGGCCCAGGCCTCTGAGTTACTTCGTTCGGCAGCCGATGTCGTTTACCAGTTTGCCGAGCTTCGTGATGTGGCAATTGAGATCATCGAAAGCGTTGTTTGCATCAGTGCATCCGACTCTTCTACTGCTCCCCCTCGAGACCGAATCTGGGACGGGCCCTTTGGGTACAAATTCAACGAAGCTTTCTGCTCCCAGCCCGTCATCGGCGCCAGTATCGGTGTCTCAGGGTCGACCAAATCAGGCACATTGGGTGGCTACCTCAAAATTGGCACGGCCACCAAGTCACGATATGTAGCACTGACTTGCCATCATGTTTTGCGTGGTAAGTCTTTTTTTCATTTTTCATATTTCTAATCTTTGTACAATGGTTTCTAATATCGGCTGCTCAAGATGGCGGGGCCGCACATTCCCCTCTTGACGGACGTCACCCAGCGGTCGTATGACCTCCCAACGACGAGATAGACATGTGGAAGACGGCTATCACTGAACAGATTGAAGGCACGCTGAATCATCCGCCCCTTCCTGAACTCCGAATCAAGCGCACGGTCGATAAGGAGATTGAGGAGAACGAAAACCTCGAGCTCAGCCCGGCGCTCAAAGCCGAGCGGGCGCTCAGCAAGGCTACTCTTGAGCTGCTTAACCGCCTAGAGAAAGAACTAGAGGGCATGGAGTACCAAAAGACAGAGGTCATGAGTTTCCTCAACGACTTCGCGGAACTCTACTGTATGTCTGGATTGCGTGTGTCGAGAGATGACTGGATTCTAGACTGGGGCTTGGCCGAGCTGCTCCAAAGTCGGGTTGGATCGTTTGACAATCTTTCAAGTGTACGTTTGGTTCTTTGCACTCCTTGTACGACTCTAGTCAATTCTAATGGTTTCCTATAGGCTCTTAGCTACGACGCTATCTTGGAGATCCGGTCTCGTGAGCGCAATGCATGGTCACTGAGGGACAAAGGTGGCATCATTTCGGTTGATGAGCTTGCCACAAAAACCTCGCCTGGGAACGAGACGACGAGACGCCGCAACAAGAATGTTGTGTTTAAATGTGGCCAGTGGACAGGCAAAACCTGTGGCGAACTCAATGGTGTCCATTCGAGTATCCGGATATGTCACAAGGTAGCGGGCACCTCTGATGTTACTATAATGGGCAAGACCATGGTTGTTGTATCGCTTTCTAAGCTTCCTCAGCAATGGCCCGTCCCATGGCCCGGCGACAGGTTTCCCTTTGGTGGAGATGGAGATTCTGGGAGTCTTGTCTTTGATTACCAGGGCAAGGCTCTAGGTCTGTATTTTGGAGGACAGCGTTGGACAGAGGATCCAAAGGTGGCTCCACCTGTTGGGATCGCCCGGGCCTCAGTCGGCGGCATCCACTTTGTTATGCCCATTGTCCCGATTATAGACTCCGTCCAGGCTACAGTACAGGACGATCCTTTCTTTGAGGGTCTTCCTGTCGGTGTCAAGTTCCTTTGGGGTAAACCCTTGCTGGGTTAAACCTACCGTTTAGGAAGTGTCAGAGAGCAGGGGAGTGGCAAGGGGAATAAGAATAGGAAAATAGAGAAATGGGCCAATGTACTACCTTAGCGTTAAGACAGAGACTTAAGTGATGCGGAGTGTTGGAGTGGGGTCAGGTATAAACGGATAGGTGCATCAGGGGCACGATCGGTGAAAAACGCAACAAACAAAAACTAGATATGAAGACCACGATGATATCATTGTACAAAACTGAGTGATAACTGCCAGAAGTATCCCAAACTCCAAAAGGACTTTGACGCATGGGGTCCAGCCCACAACATCATCGCAATCAAATCCACCGAAGTACCTTCCCACAGAGATCATCCTGGTCCCTTCCCGCTCAACGTGAAGCCTGAGCCGAACCTGCGGCTTGACCAGTACGACCGACCAGCACTAGCTAGGAGCGCCACGTCGTCCTGCCATTGGCCTCTCGGTGAAAGTATCGTCTTCTTTCCGAGTCCCATTCCCAGTACGAATCTCTTTGAGCCGAAGAGTTACGGGACCTGCCCCCAGTGACCGTCGCCCCGCTATTACCTGTGGCCGTGCTGAATCTTGGCTGCCTGGTTGATGAGGACGAGCGGACACTGAGCGACGACATGCGCTCTGTCAGGTCGGACACCGCCGCCGAGCGTGCCTGGCTATGCATTGCTGCTCGCGGGGCTGCGCTGTATGATTGTCCCTGACTTGAAGAGGGGCCGGCGCGGTATGATGAAGAGTTGTAGGAGTAGTTTGAGCTGTTGCCACCGCCGGTCGTGGAATGGCCCGTCGAGTGATACGTCGTGTAGCCCGTCGTGTAAAGCATGGGGGGGCCGGTGAAGCCCTCCTCCCGCTCTGCTTCTATTGTCGCGAATTCCGCGTCTAGCTTATCTCGAGTACAAAACTCAATCTTTAGCCTTCGCGCAACCTCTTGGCAGTTTGGCTGTTTGTCACCGCTGGTGCAGAGCTCGACAAAATGGCCCAGCTGGGAAAGATTCGGATCGCGTTCGCGCTTATAGCAGCCCCACACTGCCAACTTGAGCGGGGAGAGCTCGTTGTCCCGGTCCCGGACGCGGAAATATTCGAAGCCGTTCTTGGGGTCGGTCGCCAACGAGATGTGTGGGAGGGAGCTCCGGTTCAACCGAAACCACTCTTCGAAATCGTGTTCGGCGCCATCTTCAGCATGACAGTATGTTTTGGACTTTCTCTCAATAGCCGCCCACCAAGTTGGAGCCTTTTGGTAGCCCTTGCTGAGCATGCCTTGCCTTCTGGGGCCTTTTGGGACCGTTGATAGGAAGATGTAGGCGCCGGCAGTGGACGGGACGAATAAGGCGGCGACCATGCATACCCCCATCTGGTCCAGGTTGCCGGCTTGTCCTATTCTTTCTGCTGCCGACATCGTTCGAGAGTCAGGGTCGGCAATCACATCTTCCCAATGTGATCTGGCGATAGCAAGAAGGTCTCTCCACCGAATGTCTCTGAAATGTCTTGTGCTTTGCATGGTTTTGTACCAGCTGGCCTCGCTCCCCTCTCCTCTCTTGGTCATGCCGGATAGAGACATTGCGGCAGCCACTCAAACAGATTAGTAGACGGTCAAGGATGGTCGAGGAGGGTGAAGGTCCAAGGAAGGGAAGGAACTGGTGCCGTAGGGGGACGTCTCAGTCGTAGAAGGAGAACGTAGTGCTGGGAGAACCTGAGTCTTCGGACCAGCCGTGGACACAAAGGTTTGAATAAGATGAAGATAGGACGGGGAGAAGGAGAGACCACCGGATATCTCGTCCAGCGAGAAATTTAGAAATGAACGTGGACGAAGAGAGCAACTCGAGTTAGATGAGGTCTGATCTATTGAATACAAACCTCCAGACGAAGGTAAAACACAAGCAACTTTTATATACCCGCGAACCTCCGGAGTCCCATTGGCTTCAGCTCGTAACTAGTGCTCACAAGAGGTCAGGTATAACGGTGGCCTCCTCACAGAACCCAAATCTTGTCACAACAACCTGTATCATCGTTGACCCCCTTCGACCGGGCCAAGAGACTTGAAGGCCTTACGGCGATCTGTGGCAGGTTGGGGTCCGCGGTTGGGGGACACCTCCGCCACCCAGGTACAGTCGCTGAAACCAAGAGCACATTGAGGCTTTGAGCCCTGCTGGGTATAACCATTGCTAATTAATTGGTTAATATTTTTTGGACACTTCCAACAAGCAGTGATCAAACCGACCCACTATTCAGGACGTGGATGGACACTGTGAGCAACGTGGATAATGCAGAGAGGGGTGTTACTAAGGGGTATCAGGTGTGTGTGGGGGCCAGGGTAATAGGTAGGTAGGTATGTATCACTACGGCCCAACAGTGAACTTGCCCACCGCTGAGGGCCAACGTCGTCACCATGAAACCTATACGGTCTAACACACAGATATGATTTCTTTAATTGTTTCATGACCGGGCCGTCCTTGCGTTGAGCATGGGCTTCATGGACGGCCGGTGGTATTTCCATGGGTTTCAGGGCTCCGGTGGCAAGGCTGGGTCTATTTGGGGGCGGCAACACGGTATATCAGGTACTGTACGCACTTGACGTGGAATGAGCAGTGGCTTGAGACGTGGGTTTGAATTTGATCGATCGACGGGCCGCCCGCCACGGCTTGACGCCTAGTCTTTGCTGTGAATGTCGAATCCAGGCTACTTTGCGCTATCTTAGGGTCCTCTAGCAGATGCCGTCACTACCGTGTGTGGTGTCGTTAATTATCGTAGGCTTGGGGCGAGAATGTGAAATTGTGTTTGCTACAATTGCTACCTGTAATGAGGGGAGATCTCATTGATACGAAGGATGATGGTCTGTTGGTTGTTGAAGATGTAACCTGAATCACTTGGACGGTCGGTTGTATGGTTGTACCGCAGACCAATCAAAGCAAGTGTGTTGGATAAATGCCACAGCAAAGTTTGATTGACACGGTATGTTGGACGAATTACCCGTTGATTCACGTTTGAGCGCCAGGTGGCGACAGCTGCATGATCTCCTCGCGTGCCACGAACGCATATCGTGCCTGCCCCCAATCGAATATGGGCAGTCAAATTCATTCATTGAGCCCGATTTTTCCGCAATAAATCATGCTTCATCCCAAGCTAGGTACGGCAAAGGTGTAATATTTGATCTTTGCCGGTCCTATTTCTCACCGCAGGCACAGTTTTTTTCTTCTCGAAATCCGGACCCTAATAATACCACAATTGAAACTTGAAAGCCAAGACCAAGCTGGCGGCTGGCCTCGAACATGTGCCGCAGCCTCGCACCGACAATGGAAATTGAAACGGCACATCCAAATGGCGCCCCGCGGCCCCTGCCTGGCATTCTGCAACTCACGTCCGAAACTAGGCACCGCATATATCTGTACCTCGGCGTAGCCCAGAGGCGCATATATGGCAAGGCAGCGCCCATCATCTACGACCTTGGAGACCCTTCCCGCTTCAAGATCGTCAACTCAGAGTCCCAGTTCGATGATGGCCCTGCTTCGTTCCACAGCTTGCTGCTCTCTTGCCGAACCATCTCCTCGGAGGTATCGGCATTTCTCTACTCCGCCAACTGGTTCGTCATCCACTACCAAGCCCGGAAGTCCCTCGTCGCTCTCCGAGCCCTTACGCCGAACGCGCTAGCATCCCTGGCCAACCTTAAGATTGTCCTGAACCAAGGGTCCTGCCATAGACGAGAGCCCGGGACAATGGGCTTCGAGGAGTGCTGTGGTAGGATCTGGGCGTATAAGCAACCGCTGAACGGAAGCCCGAGATTGCTTTATGGTTGTGGTGCAGATCATGGAGACGCCCACGACTATCCGTTGACGGCAGCAAGTCCACCCACAGAAGACGTCATCGAAGACTGGCTGAAGACGGCGGCCTATTTGGCATCATATATTACCCCCGGACAGCTCGAGCTATCACTGGTTTGCGATGTCGGACGTGGGGACGTCGAGATAGCCAGGCGCATACTCGACGGTTTCCGATTACTCCCAAGGCTTAAAGACTGCCACATCCGACTATGCGAGACACGTCACCCCCAGCTTCAGCAGCTCGCCCAAGAGGCTGCTCGCCACGCCCGTGGCATCGACTCATCAAAACTAGTAGGGCGGTCACCATCATCGTCATCATCATCATCTCTCGGTCCGAGTCTCCTAAGCCTCCCGCCCGAAATCCGGCTTCGCATTCTCCAATACACCGACCTCATCACCCCCAGCAAGGAAGTCATGTGGAAGAAGTCGTCGTCAGTCGTCAGTTACTATATCCAGCGACCACCATGCTACGAAGAATGGGGCCCTAGCTACTGCCCACCACACTGTAACCAAGGATGCCGGTTCAGCCACTGCTGGCGCACCATTTTCCCACAACCTTCCATCGGCTGTTTTTGCAGCGCTCGCCATACAGCGGCTTCGTCGCGATGCAAATGCTGGGCCCCGCCCACACCTTTGTTCCTCGTTTGTCGAACACTCTACGCGGAGGCGAACATGGTCTTTTACCGCGGGAACCGCTTCATTGTCATCGACGCCCCAGGAACCGGCTCGTTTCAGGGCCGACCCCCAGGTGATTACCCGCACAAATCGTTCGCAGCCAGCCATTTCTTGAAAAAGGTCATTCCACCGCATTGCTTGACGCATCTCCGCTTTCTAGAAGTCGTCTTCTCCGTTCTCACCCACGAGAACCGGCCGCGCGACGACCACCCCGCATTTCAAGACTGGGATGATACATGGGACTGGGTCAAGGGCAAGCTCAATCTTCCGACCCTAACGCTCCGTCTTGCTGTAGCGGCTCACCCTGATCGCGGACGGGGGCCTCCGGAGAGCTGGGAAATGACACGGGAGCAAGGGAAAATGGTCTTGGCAACATACAACCGGATTATTCTTCCACTGCAACGGTTGGGTGGTACAAGTGATGGCGGCGGTGGCCTGGCGCGTTTTTATGCGAGCCTACCGTGGCCTTTGAAGTGGTCGAGGGAGGCTACGAGGAGGTTGGCAGCTATGGATCGTGATGCTAGATCGGAGTGGCTGGACTCTAAGGATCGGGAAATCAAGATTAGAGCTGAGAGGTATGTAATGGGGGACCGGTATAACCATGTCTCTACTACTGGTGCTGAACCGCAAAGGAGTGTTTGGGCATGGGGAACTTTGGATCTATACTTCTAATATTTTTTTTCTATTGCTATTATCCTGCTATAACCTGCCGCGTATAAACGTTGAACCGCTTGATGCTGTGGGTAATGTATATAAGGAAATTATCCTGTGAAGTACCAGTAGGGCAGAAGCAAACTGACTTATTTCGACCACACTACCACCGCAACAACGCCTCGCGCGCCGTGGTTTACATTAGGGTCTCATGGCGTCCGAGAGTGCTGTCGTTCCCCCCCTCCCCCCCCCCCAAAGTTCACCGTCCTCATCCTATGTGTTTGCGCTGCTTTATTTTCCTTCGGTTTGGTCATTGGTGTGCCGTCGCCCATGTTTCATTCAGCCTTACCAAGAACTCGATCGACTCAACTGCCTCGGCACTCCACCGCGTGGGGGCCGATCAGGGTCTAGACCCCGCCAAAAGTGTTCCTCAGCACGGACCACCCCCACTTCCTCCCATCCCTGCAACTTTTTTCTCTCAACGTCAGGCCCTTCCTTCATACGCTCACGTGCTCCCATTCTTTTCGGCAACTTCCAAACGAACACCCTTCTCCCGGGCCGATCCGTCGTCTGGAGTTTTTTACTCCAATTCCTTTCCTTTCGGCTCTGGCAAACGACAACACCATGATATAACACGGCACCGGGATACCCGTCATTCCAAAACCCTCCCTTCCGTTTTCCCCTTTTCTCCCGCTCGCCTTTTGGGCGCCCTGGTCACTTTCCTTTCCGTTCTTGCCGAGCTAGGTGCGGGACGGACCGGCACAACCACTCAGCACCGTTACACGAAAATTGAGCGGGGGGGTTCTTGTGTGGTGAGGCGTTGTTGGTGTTTGTGTCACAAGCACTAACGCGAGTAGTCGTTTTGGTGGTGGGGGGGAAGTGAAATCTTGGCTTGGTGTTTCATCGTGGCGTGTTGCAATCTAGGAGGAAGGTACCTTTATTTAGCGACGCGTCACGTGCCCGGCCATCTCAACGTCCGGTCTCACCTACGGACGGGAACAAGGCCAGCGTTCCCGGCATCACCACGATAGCTTGGGAGCTTGCTGGATTGAGTCGGAAAAAGGGAAACCGGCCGTTGCAGACTCAATTGGAGGGGCTCGCGGGAGAGATCGCTACCGGAGAAAAAGAGGTCACGGACGTGGCCTGGGGGAAGCGGCCACTCAGGCCATACAATGCCGGTGCCGTGCTTCGCGATGCCGGCGTCGGTTGCGAAGCATGGCGTCTCAGCGGGGATAGGGAGGGCAAGTCTCCGGGGCATAGCAGGAAGCAGGGGCGGGTTACTGGATGCTGGGGGTGTGAGGTGCCTTAGCAGTGGGAGATTGCGACAGCAAAAGGCAATCCTTATTCCAGGATCGAGTTGTTTGGGAGGGACGTTTGGTGCTAGCTGTGCGGTAGCGAGCCCGGTCTACGCGCAGTCGAGGTGGTTTATGGTTTCAAGTAGGTGGAGGGAAAGCCGGAAACCGACAGAGGAGGAATCGGGCTCGCAGCCGAAGCAGGTGCAAAACAGGTATGCATCTTGTTTTGTCTCTTCCCTCGCGGCGTTGGCGGGTATCAGCGGGAGTACCCGAGCCGGGAGTCCCTGCCTTTTGTTCAAACCCATCTGTGTACTCCCGCGGCCCGGCCTACCCCTTCCCGATTCATGACCGGTCCAATATCATCACCCTCAACACCACAGAATCAGACCCCCTAACTAACATCAACACCCTTAGCACACCCTCCTCCCCACCACCACCCGCACCCAAACAAGGCCCAACCGCCGCCCTCCGCAAAATCCTACCCAGCATGTCCAAAACCACGCGGCACGAGAACATCTACACGCTCCCCAACATCCTCACCGCCTCGCGACTCCTCGCAGCGCCTTTTATCGGCTACTGCATCCTGCACGACTACCACGCGGCGGCGCTCGGGCTGTTCGCCTACGCGGGCGTGACTGACGCCCTGGACGGCTGGATCGCGCGGCGCTGGAACCTTGGGACTGTTGTCGGGACTGTGATTGATCCTATGGCTGACAAGACGTTGATGACGGTGCTGACTGTGGCGTTGGCTGTTAAGGGGGCGTTGCCTGGTTCGTTTCTCTCTCTCTCTATTCCATTTTCCCATTGACCCATAGCTTACACCCACCCAGTCTGGCTCGCCTTCATAATCCTCGGCCGGGACGTCGGTCTCGCCATCTCCGCCATCTACTACCGCTGGATCTCGCTCCCTCCACCCAAGACACTAGCACGATACTGGGACTTCTCGCTTCCCTCGGCCGAGGTGCACCCGACACAGATCAGCAAGGCCAACACGGCGCTGCAGCTGGGCCTGATGGGGCTGACGACGCTGGCGCCGGTGATTCCGGGGGTGGATATGACGGGGGCGTTGGGGGTTATGCAGTGAGTTTCATCTTTCTCAGGTTTAATAGTTGAAGGAGTTGGAGTTTCCGGGGTTAACGGACGGGAACAGATACATCGTGGCAACGACTACCGTGTGGAGTGGTGCTAGTTACATTTACAGTAAGGATGCCGTCAAGATTTTGACGCCGCAGGAGGCGGAGGAGAAGAAGGCGGAGAAGGAACGGGCGGAGAAGGAGAAGGGGAGACAAAACCTCAAATAACGGACTCATCCTACAACCAAGCAAATCATCACGTCCTCGGTCAACTGCTCTATACGAGAGTCTATATTATGACAATCAGTCAACCTCGGGGCGTGCCTAAACATCATAGCTGGGCAGGATAGTCATGTGGTGATAAAGGAGTTGCAATTGGGTTCCTAATACCTACTACTACCTATGTGTGTACCTTTACTGTACGTATCTTATGTACTTTGTATGTAACAAGACGACACAACGCGACTGTATAACAATCATTTGATTCCCATCACGCTACCCAACATGTCCTTTTCCTGTCCTGTCTGTCCCATGTCTTGTCCTTTTGCTTACGCTTTGCGTCTTGGATGTTATTCATACATGTCATTGTACATCGTACATCACCCCGTCTTCCATCCCTTGATCCTGAACTTCCGGTCAGCTACACCCTAACCCTGATATAAGCACAGTCCCATCCTTACTTATCAAAGAGACAACAATCACTTCAAATCCGCCACCCGACTCCTCGCATCAAGCCCCTCCAAATCCTCCACCCCCCTCCCATCCAACCCTTCCACCACCGCCTCCTCATTCTCCCCCCCATCCCCCCTCGACTTCCGCCCCGGCACCCTCTTAGTCAACCTCTTAACAGCCACCAAAAGCGTCAACAACCCCGCAGCCGTAACCCCCTCCACCCTCCGCGCCTGCGCAATCGTCTCCGGGCGCGCCTCGCTCAACGCCATGCGCTCGGCAATGGACAGACCGTTAATAGAGTGGTAGTCGAGGGATGTGGGCAAGGTTAAGGTCTCGTCGCGACGCAGGCGGGCGGCTTGGACTTGTTGGATGCGCAGGTAGGGGGCGTAGGCTAGTTCTATGGCTACGCGTTGGCGGAGGAGGAGGGGGAAGTCTGTATTGTTGTTTTCGGTGGTGTTGGAGAAGCCCGGGAGGGAGGGGATGAGAGCGGCGAGGTGTTCGTGGGTGACACCCGGTAAGTGGACGACTTCGTGGCCGTCGCGTTTGAAAGTGGGTTCGGTCGGGGTGGAGCAGGACGCGGCGTCGATGGGCAGGCCGAGGTCGCGCCAGGCGGTGGTGGTGAGGACGGTGTCGCGGAGCAGGCGGCGGAGGTCGGCGGCGCGCTGGAAGTCGTCGTTGAAGCGCGCCCAGCGGGTGTCGGAGACGACGCCCCAGTCGCGGGCGGACGGGGTCAGGCGGGTGTCGGCGTTGTCGGCGCGGGCGGAGAGGCGGAATTCGGAGCGGGAGGTGAACATGCGGTAGGGCTCGGATACGCCGCGGGTGATGAGGTCGTCGATCATGATGCCGATGTAGGCGTCGGAGCGGGAGAGGGATACCGGGGGTAGACCCCGGGCTGCGCGGCCCGCGTTGATGCCCGCGATGATGCCTTGGCCGGCGGCTTCTTCGTAGCCTGTTGTGCCGTTGATTTGGCCGGCGAGGAAGAGGCCGCGGATGGCTTTGGTTTCGAGGGTACGCTTGAGACTGCGCGGGTCGACGTAGTCGTACTCGACGCCGTAGCCTGGTTGGAGCATGTTGCAGGCTTCTAGGCCGGGGATCGTGCGCAGTAGCTGGGCCTGGGCGTCGGCGGGGACTGTCATGCTCAGGCCGTTGGGGTAGACCACGTCGTTGTCGAAGCCTTCGGGCTCCAGCCACACGATGTGCCGGTCACGGTCGCCGAAGCGGATGATCTTGGACTCCAGCGACGGGCAGTAGCGCGGGCCCTTGACCGTCTCGCGGATGTGTATCGTCTTGTCGAGATTGGCCCGCACGATGTCGTGCGTCGCCTCGTTGGTGTATGTCGCGTGGCAGCTGAGCTGTTGCTCTGCCGCAACGCGGTCGTTGAGGTAGCTGAACGGCGTGGGCGGGTCGTCGCCGAACTGCTCCTCCAGCACGCTCCAGTTGATGCTGTCCCTGGCGATACGTGGGGGTGTGCCTGTCTTGAGCCGTCCTAGCGCGAACCCGGCGTCACGCAGCGACTTGCTCAGCCCAAACGTTGCCTCCTCGCCCATCCGGCCTGATGGGAACACATCCAACCCAATATGAATCTCCCCGCCCAAGAATGTGCCCGTCGTGATCACCACCTGCCCCGTCGGCAGCACTTCCCCCGACTCCAACCTAACACCCGTAATCTTTTTCTTCGCCCCATCCTCCCCAGCAGCGGCAGACACAACCGAATCCCCTTGGCCCCCCTCCACCGGCAAATTATCCCCCACCACAATATCCTCCACCTTCCCCAAAACAACCGACAAATTCGGATACCCCTCCAGCTCCTCGCGCATGTACCTCTTATACAACTTCCGATCAATCTGCGCCCGCGGCCCCCACACAGCCGGGCCCTTCCTGCGGTTCAACACACGGAACTGCGCGCCCGCCTTATCAATGACACGCCCCGCCAACCCATCCATGGCATCAATCTCGCGGAGGATGGTGCCCTTGCCGATCCCGCCGAAGCTCGGGTTGCACGAGCACACGCCGAGGTTGTCGATGGAAGGGGTGATGAGGGCGGTGCGGGCGCCGGCGCGGGCGGCTGCGGCGCTGGCTTCGGCGCCGGCGTGCCCGCCGCCTATGACGATTACGTCGAAGGGTCTGCAGTGGGACAAAGGGGTTAGTTTTGGTTAGTCTCAATTATTAGATCACACGAACCTCGAGGCAGACTCCACTGTCGCAAAGGTCCGACGACGGACAATTGGCGTCCCATTCCAGCAGGGTTTTGGCCGTCGTAATGGCCTACCGAGGCCTCTCGGCAGCCACAACCTCGTCATCATCTCGGGCGGTTGATGCAGCGACGCTGTCGGGGCAGCCGGCTCAGATTCGGCCTCAGTGGTCGTCGTAGTGGGTTTTGGGAGATGTGCTGGGGGGGTGGGCCAGAAAATAAGTTGCCGATAAGGATCCGATAAGCAAGGGGGCCACGCGTGATAACAGGGGTTGTTGGTGAGCTGCAACCCCGCTGCAAGCCCTGCACTCTGCCGTGCTTGGCACCGAGATGAGGGAGATTGGACGATTGAGGCGTCCGATTGAGAGCGACTCGAAAAAGTTCTTGATACGAAGTATTCGCAGAGGAAACGCACGTCGCGATTGAAGCGCACACCTCCCAAATCCGTAGCGTAGCAGTATACGCCACAAATAAACAAAAACGTACATTGATATCGTAGCCTGGTGGTATATAAATACATCGTGCCTCACACCAAAGAAGCAAGCCGGTCCGTTTGATACACTACACTACACCTTCCACTTCACCAAGGAGCCAGCCATCCAATTGTAGCCGGCTCCCTCGAGACAACCCCAATCAGATCAATTGACTTTGACCCGCACACTAGAAGGAGAGCCACGGAACAGGGGACGTGAGGAGAGGAGAGGAAAGGAGGGGAAAAGAGGGAGGGAAAAGTCAAGCCGCGATCCTTTACCGGGCCTCTCCCTCATGCTCCTCACCCTCAATGGGGCCCTCACCCTCGGCGTACCCATAGCCACGGGGGCGGCGAATGACCTGCACAGTGCCTGTAACCCCAGAGAAGTAAGCGTCAGCTAGGTGAGATCTATCATACAAAGATAACCGAGGGGGATAGGATGGGATAGCGTGAAGTTAGCACGTACGGTGGTTGATATGGGTCCCAGTGCGGTTCTTGCCCTCGCCGTCCTGGTACTGGGTGGTGATGATATCGCCCTCGACCAAAACAGTGGTTCTGTTTGGGGTACTCCTGTTAGCCAAACCGTTGATGACACTATAACTAGAACAAGAAGCGAAAAGGGGTCAACGCACCCCTTGGTCAAAGACAACAAGTGATTCCGGCGCGGGCCCTCTTCCAAGTACCCGTTAATATGGAACCAGCTGGTCCGCTCAGACGAGCCCTGGTTGCTGGCGACGACGTAGTGGACAAAGTCGCGGCCGTTGCTGGTCTTGCGCAGTTCGGGCTGGGTGCCAACGTTGCCGAGGATGGTGACGCGCGCGAACGGGCGCGCGGCTGTCGAGCTGAAGGTGCGCGCCGCAGGGGCGGAGGTCGAAACCGCGCGGGAGACGGTGCGGAGGAAGGTCGACATGGTTTCTTCTGTTTCTCCTCTTTTTTTGCGCTCGAGTCGTCGTGGGGGGTTTGTTCTAGTCGCGAATGTTAGAACTTGGTGTTTGTTTTGGGAGGATTTTCATGTCTTAGAATGCGGGGTAGGTGGATGTACCGTGTCTTAGTTTAGAACCAGGGGGCTCAATTGAATGTGGCGGTGGTTATCGTTGTCTGGAGGAGGGGGTGACGTCCGTCGCAATCAAACGCGATGAAATGGGGAAGGACGCGAACCGGAATTTCATCAAGCACAAGCACCCCTGTCGGTCGTCTGTGGCTGGTGCGAGGTGTGTTTGTGGTCATACTAGCCACAGTCAGTGAGCTCAATTGTGGCTGGTTGATTGACATGTGCTTGGTGAGCTTACGTGTAGACAGTCGGACAGTAAGCCCCACATTTAAATGGTGTAAGTCCGGGATGGAAGTCTAGAAGACCTTCCACAACTCCAGTCCGCAAGTTGAGGTTCCTTTGTATTTTAAGTCTTGAGAATTTTCCGTCTATCAATGGTTCAGATAAAACACACATCAAAGCATAAGGTCACGGAGAAGAGCGCATCCTTTGAACAACGACGTAGATCAGAGACACCTCTCAGAGTCGTGGTCCGGCCGGATTGTGCTCGCCATCATTCCAGCCTCTCAGCTGGCCGAGCAAAAATGCAAACAGCATCTCTATTATCAGGGGAGTAGTCGCATGACGAGGTCCCTACAGACCAGGATCCCCGTTATTCTCCAGAACCTCCAGGAGTCCAGTAGATGCACCAAAACCACCAAGAGATGCACCAGAACCACCAGCAGATGCAGCAGAACCACCAACAGATACAGCAAATACAGCAACAGATTACAGGGCTCCACAATCGCCTCGAGAGCCTAACCGTGGAAATGCAAGCGATGTGACTACTCCTGCTGCTCGCTATTTTCAGGCATAATATGCCCTTTCACATTGACTCAACTACTCATGGCTGTCACACGAGGACCTCGCTGGATTCCGACACGCCGTTGCGGCCGATGGGGGAGGGCCTCCGCGATGGGATTTCACGTATCACTATCACCAATAACGGGGTGCGGACACCACCCTTCAATTTATGACCCAGTCCGTCGCCAACCACATCCCGCTCCCCCCCAGTTCCGTTTCCGTTTCCGTATCAGCAAGGACAAACTGTCAGTCAAGTCCTTGTACAACACCCCGACCTCGATCATCACTCCGGTTCCGTCTCCCTCTCACGCCACTTCGTACCGGACACCATATCACCTTTTGTGAAGGGCTTCCCCTAGAGTTGACCGGCATGTGAACCGACCTGCGATGTGGGCTTCCGGTTCGGCACGCTGGCTAGTAGTGTGTCGATCTAGACCAGTCGAAAGTGTGTCGCTCACAAAATGGGTTGCGAGGAACTTGTCGAGGTGTAATGGGATATGTATCGGATAGCTACCGTCTAAGAGTGGCCAGCAGGGTTGATGAGTTTTGTTCTGATATAGTACCACAAACTTTGATCACTCTTCCACATCCCAGCCGACACCCCCGGCCAAGCCCGCCTACCCTATCTCGCCCAAAACGCCAACCACTTCCACACCCCATCCCAATCAACCTCTCACTTTCCACTGAAACTTTCCGCTGAAACTTTTCACTGGAACCCGGTTCCAACGCCGCCACCCCATTTAGCGCCGGGAATGCATGCCGAAGGTGCGCGAACCGGCAGCTGGCCCAATACCTGTAAAGCGTCAAGCGTCAACCAACCGTCAACCCCCCATGCAGTCCATGCAACCCAACCCAACCACGGCATCTTCAGCATCTTGCCGCGGTGTGTGCCAGGGGGCAAGGGCTGATCAGCATCAGCCTCAGAAAGAAAGGAAAGCCGGGATTGGAAGGCGGACTACGGATCCAAGGTAAGATAAGGTCACAGGGCGAGTAGGTTCTAACGTAGTAACTTGGTAAGGCTACGGCTACAGACCAGGGAGAACGGCCCCCTCGCGGGGGGCGGCACAGCTCACAGGGGCACAGGAACCTCCAGTCTCCTGTAAACAACAACAAGAACAACAAGCGCGCAAACGCAAACGCGCGGCGGGAGCGGGGGAGTCAGAAGCAGCAGCGGAGGTGAGTGGAGGTCTCAAGTGCTGGGATGGTTTCAGAAGGCTGGGAAACGAAACGGGTGATGGGGGTTCGGATGTTGGCTCCGGAACCAACATACATACATACTACCTCTATGCACATACACATTCAGTGCCGAGCACGGTGCGAAATCCGGGTTTGGGGATACGGAATACCGAGGCAAGGGGGGTCGGTACTTGGAGTTGGAAACAGAATTGAGATTCTACGATGCTAAGATATGTGACGTTTTGGTCTATTCAACACTGGAAGGGGCAAGTTCGAGGCCGGTGTCCGAGACGAAACCCTTTAGCCCCTTTTTTTCGCCATCTACCGGGTCGAACAGGTCAAAAAATCGAAGAAAAAAAAACAGATTTCCCTCTCGAGTGAGGCTGGCTGTTCTCGGTCGGTTTTTTCTTTGTCACTTGGGAGGGGCGAAGAGGTAGGTAGTGGGTGCTCAACACCAAGGGGGCGTCGAGCGTTACCGGATTGGGGCATGAATAGAGCCTCAATAGGGTGTGAATAAGTGCCCACTTTGCCCACCCAGGCGCTTGTGGGCGGGAAACGGTTCACGCGATACCGCTGCTGCAGCACAGCAGCACCACAGCAGCGCGGGAGAGTGGAGTGCTCCACTCGTCTTGTACTTTTTTTGGTTTTTTGGTGGTTTTTTTGGGAGTTTTCATTGGGATGGTTTTGGGATGGTTTTCGGTTTGCGGTTTACTCAGTTTTGGGGCCTAGGTTTCTTCCCGTCAATAGAGTCAATAAGCCAATAAGCTAATAAGTCAATAGCAATAACCAGAGAGCAACATGGCCGTCCGGGGAACGCAACGCACCTCGCTGCGAGTACCCGGGGTGATTTCCTCTCACATTTTTGTAGCCTTCATCATCGTGCACTTATGATACTCGGGTTCAGCTTCTCAGCATCTTGCTTCTTCTTTATATATTCTCATCCTGCAACTCAAAGCAACTCGACAGTATCTCGTTCTGCAGTGTGACCAGCAGCAGCCTTGGCCAGCCGCACTCTATCCCAGCCCCCTTGAAGCAAGCCTAGATGCAGGCACAAGCATAGGAAGAAAGATACCAACGACGACCACAGCCCCTTGGATTTAGCTCCTTCTTTCTTTATACTCCCCCCGGGCCCTCGCCATTACACAACTTTTCTCATCTCCGGACTCCCGTTTCACGTTTCACACGTTTCACGGTCCACGGTCCAACGGTCTCAAGGTCCACCACATCTCACTTCGGTCTTGACCAACACCACCACCACCGGTCGGTCAACACCGGTTCGGTCAACACCGGTTCGGTCAACATGACCAACACTACCAGTAACACAACTACAACAGACCCCAACAAATGGGCCTCCTTCGGCTTCACCACCTCCTCGACGGACCGCCTCGGGCTCCCAGCCCCCTACACCACCACCCCCCTCCAAATCAACCTCTTCTTCCGCGTCTTCCTCGGCCTCCTCTCCCTCTTCATAACCTGGGTGCCCGCCCGGCTCCTCTGGCGCAACGGCGAATTCGCCGGCACCGTCCTCTGCACGACCCTCCTGGTCCTCAACCTCATCACCGTCATCAACGCCCTCCTCTGGCGGGATAATGATGTGAGTACCTGGTGGTCTGGTGAGGGCTGGTGTGACGTGATGAACTATACGTATTTTCCTCTGCATACGGCGTTTAATATTTGTATGTTTGAGATTATGCGCGGGTTGGCGGGGAAGGTGGCTCTGAGACGGGCGGTGCAGCCGACGAGGGGGGAGAGGCAGCGGCAGAGGGTGGTGTCGGCCGTGGTGATTTTTGGGGTGCCGGTTGTGCAGGCGGTCATGACGTATTTTGTGACGTTTGGGAGGTATAATGTGGGAACGTTGGTGGGTTGTGCTGCGGTGTATTATCCCGGGTGGATGTATTTGGTGGTGTATAGCCTGCCCACGCCGGTGTTTGCTGTGCTGGCGGCTTACTACGCGGGTATGTTCTTCTTCTGAGCCACAACTATCTCTCACGGAACAGTGAGATGACAACGTATAGCCCTCACATTCTACCGCTACCGCAAAATCGAAGCCGTCACGCGCGACATCGCCCAATCCCACGACGGCCTCGCCGCCGCCCGGCAAGACCGCGTCCGCAAGAAGCTCTACTTCATGACGCTGGTATGCATCGTCGTCGTCCTGCCCCTAGTCATGGTCCTCCTCTTCGTCAACATCGCCGTCGGCAGCCCCTGGACGCTACCCTACGACTTCGACCTGCTGCATTTCGGCCCGGACCCTTACAACGACGCCTTTATTTCCTTCACGACTACCGACCGGATTGCGTTTACGACACTTAATCTGGGGTATGTGGCGGAGCTGTCGGGGATTGTGGTGTTTTTCCCGTTTGGGACGACCCCTGAGGCGCTGAATATGTATCGCGCGATGTTGGTGGGGGTTGGCCTGGGGACGGTGTTTCCCAGGCTTAAGGACGAGTATGTGCCCCGTCCTTCGAAGAAATCTGGGGGTGTGGCGGGTACTGGATGGGTGATTAGCTGGAACTCGCTGGCTACTACCCTGAGGGGACGTGCCAGGTATGATCTGGTTTTGTTTCTCACCTTTTGTCTCTCCTATGTCTATCATTCTATATTTCTGCGAAACCAACATCTTCCAGCACCTCCTCCATCCGTAAAGACAGCCTCCTCCCAAGAGCAACCGACCAAATCTCCCTCGCCACCCGAACCGACCACCCCGACCGCCTTCCCTCTTCCTCCTCCTCGTCTTCCCCCAATCCCCAACAACCCCCAGATCTCACCATGAGCGGAGCAAGCGTAACCCGTCCCGAAAACGCCGTGCTTCATCCGTCCCACAACCACGACGACGACGACACCAACAACGACAACAACCCCTGGCCGGATCTCCCACCCGCCGATCTCGACAGGGCAACCGCTCAGATTGGGGTTGTGCGTCCGCTGCAGCGGAATCCTTACGCTGGGTTAGGGACGGCAGCCCAGTTTTCTGTTGTTCGTGGGGCGTCAGGCCCCCTTTTCACGGAAAGGGGTACGCAGCAGCAGCAGCAGCAGCAGCAGAAACCGCATCAAACAACACATCAAACTTCCTCATGGACCGGCACCATCACCAGCAGCAGCAGCAGCCAATCGTCGTCATTGACGCCTTCGCTGTCTACGCAGTCAGGGGTACCGCCCCTGGGCGTGGATACCCGTGTGTGGGCTGAACCGGTGCCGACCCCTTTTCGTTTGGCTGCGGCGGAGGCTGCTACGGTTGAGACTACGATTACGATGGCGTCGATTTGTGTTGGTGGGGGTGGTGGTCAACGGAATATCAATGCCACCAACAATCATCAGGGCAGTACCAACACACTCAGCAATAACAATCACAGCACCAATACACATAGCAGCCGCAGCAGCAACAACAGCAACAACAGCAACAACAGCAGTGGAAGTGAAAGTCTGCACAGAATACCCGCGAGACCAAGGGACAGAAACAGCGGCAGCCGAAACCTAGCGCCGCAAGATTCTATCCAGGGTCAACAACCCGGGACATACCCCCTTCAGTCCCTGAATACCACTACTACTACATCACGACCACCATCCCCCCCACTATCAGCGCCACGACCATCACAACCACCACGACCATCATCACCATCACCACCACTACCATCGCAATCACCACCACCACCTCACCAAAGGGGTATCACCCCGGACACGCCCACAGACACAGCCATAACCACCAAAGACGGAGAAGAAGAACAAGACAGAGAAAGAGATCCCATGAACCTAAACACAAACCTCATCCAACACCCCGGTCCGAGCCTGCAGCATCCCCAGTCTGCACCGTCTCACGGACCGGTATCTCCGGCAGACGAGGGATCTCGAGGAGGAATTACGTCGGGGGAGGTTGGAGTGAGAGGATGGGGGGATTATCAGGATTTTCAGGGGTTGGGTCATGATCGAGAGAGGGTTGGGATGGAGAGGGTAGGATCTGGGTCGGGATTCGAGGAGGTACAATAAATAGGAAAAGTAAGGAAATAATAGGGGGTCGACTGCGGAGAGGAAGGTGATAAAAGAGGTGGTAGCTACGATATGGATAAAATGGGGTCATAAAATGGGCCAGGAGAGGGAAGGGTGGACGGAAGGAAGAGCAGTCCACCAATGAGTGAGGAGCTGCAACAATGGGAAGCGAATGGCTCATAAACTTTTCTCTCTTCTTTTTCTTCTACCCCTTTTTGGCGTTGTCTTTTGGCGGAGCCCCTACCCCGGTTTCTTTGGTTTCCTTTTATTCTTGTTTCCATACCCGGCGTTTCGGGTTTGTTTTTGGTATTTTTTTGGTATTTTTCTAGTATTCTTTAGGCTGGGAATGGGGGCACAAACGTTTCAGGACGAAGGCTCGGGAAAGAGTCTAAAGACAGACCGGCAGACGGTAGATATAGTATATACAATGGTGCAAGCTAATTCCAGATTTCACTTTCCCCCTGCCTCTTCTCATCCCAGCTTATGCTCTTCCAGCCATTTCATCCGTCCGGGCTACCCGCCCAGTCTGCTATAAAGCCGGTATGTGCCTACTATCATGATCCAGTTCGACTCGTGAGCGGGGACTAAACCAAACCGGCACTGGGAATTAGACTGAGCGGAGGACTATCAGTGGCTTGAGATAAGATCGCATGTCCAAGCCAACCATCTATTAATGGCATCTAATATTACGGCACCGCATTCTTCGGGTACATCGAAGGGGTAAGAAGGCTGGGTTGCTTGTTAATCAGAATATGGATAAGACTCTACGTACAGCTAAGGATAGGGGGGGGTCACCGTGAGGTAGGTCCGTCTTTTGCTACCTTTCCTTGAATATATAATCATCTCTCTTACTTCATCTTCAGTCTCATATCCCGCTTCCTTGAACTGAGGTCTGTCGGCTCCAGCTCCGGTTCCCTCATTTTCATTCTCATTCTCACTCCACTCTCACTTATGTGCCTTGCATACTACAACCGAGACCAATCAACCTCAAATCTTTCTCAAATTTTACTCTCCCCTAAATTCTTACTTTCGTAAAACCCCATTCTTGCACTCTCCCACAGACGACAGTAACATCCTCCCCGAAAACCAGACACCTGAGATATAATTAGGGGATAAGATACCCACCCCCAAAACAACGATAACCAACCTAGAGAAACAACCCCAACAACAACAAACAAAGCACGAGACAGCAACAACTAAAGACTAACAGAGTGAGCCTTCTCTTCCATACGCCACCCATGATATGATGATGCAGCTGAAAACCATACTAACCAACGGGAAGAGAGTCGTGTTAGGAGGGAACAGTGCTAAAAAGGGGAACAAGCCAACAAGCGAAAGAGACAACAAGCAAAAACACCCATGCAAGCATGCAAGCAACGGAACGAGACCAGCAGGTAGGGAAACACCAGCAAGCAAAACAAGCACCAGCAAGCAAACACCAGCAAGTAAGTAAGGCAAAAACACCCAAAAAGAATAAACCGCTAAAAGGGGGATATGTAAAGTAACATGAGCAACCCCCTCCCCTGTCCAAAAACACAAAACAAATCACAGCTGCCATATGCATCCTTTCGCTTGATCTCATGCCTTATCCGTTCCCCCGTTCCATTCATTTCCAGTCGATTCAGTCGATTCAGCCCATTCATTCGCTCATTTGTCTGTCGTCACCACGCCTCTCGTCCGTTTCATCTGTCTTGTCCATCTCGTTCATCGTCCATGTCCATCGTCACCGTCAATCAATCAATATGTCCGTTTCGCATCTCAACCAAACCCAAACTAACCCAACCAACCAACCTAGCCACCTATCCGGATATCATTCCCCTCACTCACTTATTCCCCCACTATGCCCACCCAATCCTCCACCTCCGGCTTCCCCAGCCGCAAAAAAAACCCCTTTCCTCACACCCCCTCCCCCCACTCCCGACACCAAGGATGCGCAAGCACCTGATCAATCGTATACCTCGCCGCCACATCGCGGTCCAGCATCTTGCGCACCAGGTCAATGCTCTCCTCGCTAATGGTATACGGCACGCGCAGGTCGCGGTCCATGATCTCGTCGATGCTGTAAAAGGGGTTTTCCTTGTAGATGATGGTGTACAGCAGGATGCCGAGGGCCCAGACGTCTTGTTCTTTACCGCCGTAGGGACGGCCGGCGAGGACTTCGGGGGCTGCGTAGTCTGTTTTTTTTTTTTGGATTAGTATTCTCTTTTCTTTTTCTTTGGTTTTTCGTTCACAGGGTGGGGGACATACCAATGGTCCCGACAAACACATCAAAGGGCCCGCTCTTGATATACGCGGCACTCCCAAAATCAATCAATTTAATCCGGCCCTCGCCATCGAGGATGACATTCTCGTCCTTGATATCACGATGCACAACCAACGCCTTGGTGTGCAAGTGATGCACGGCCCGGGCGACCTGCACAAAGATGCTGCGGCTCTCCTGCTCGTCCATGGTGGCGCGCAGCTCGATGTAGTCGAACAGGTCCATACCCGGCAAGCCGTGTGGCGCCATCTCGATGTAGTAGTTGACGTCGTCCTCGAAGAAGTCGTCCATCTCGACGATGTTGGCGTGGCGCAGGCCGTCGCGGCGGAGGTAGTCCAGCACGTGGATTTCTAGTGGGACGGTGCCTAGGCGTCGGTCGCGCGTCCAGGTGTCGACTAAGATGCGCCGCTTTGTGACGTACTTGAGCACGCACTTCTTGCCTGTGCTGCGGTACCGCGCGAGCTTGACTTGGCCGTAGGCGCCCTGGCCCATGTCCTCGAGGATGATGAAGTCGTCGATCAGCTTTTTCTTGTTCGCTTCCTCGTCAGTCTTGGTGGCCGCGGTGGCCACAACCGACTGCTGCCGCGGCTGTTGTTGTTGTTGCTGCTGCTGCTGATCCTTGGACACCCCCTCGGAAACGCTCCTCGACGACGACCCGGTCAGCTTGGCCGCAGCTGTCAAAGCGGCGTCTTTGATTTGCCGCGCCAGCGACGGTGACTTGACCACCTCTTTCTCCTCCTCCTCCTCCTTTTGGGAGTCGTCCGAGTCGGACTGCATCTCCACGGGGCTGTGGGCGGGTGTCTGGCCCGGAGATGGCTGGTGTAGCGGGGTCGCCATTCCCGAGAGCAGCGGCGACGCGGCGCCCAGAGTCGACCGCGAAGCATGGAGGTGCCGCGAGTAGGTGATCCAGAGCGCGTACACCATCTCCGTCTGCGCCACCAGGAACTTGTCGCTTGCTTCATCCGACGGCGAAGCTTCTCTTTCCTCATCCTCGTCGCTAGTCTCCTCGATCACGGCCTCGTTCCGAGACTCGACTTGCTTTTCACTCTTGACGACCCGCATCTGGATGTCGATGCGCAACTGGGACCCGTCCCGATGCTTCGCGGGGAGGCTCTCGGGGCGCAGGAAGCCCGCGGCAGCATCTGGTTGACCCTCCTCCAGCGCTAGGAACGCTGCAGCTTTTCGGAACGAGTGCTCCGGGATCACGATCCCATCGACGAAGTGGACACCGTCTCGCTCGGTCAGCACGCGCAGGATCTTGTCAAAGTTGGGAACCAGCTGGTTGAGCGACAGGCCGTCTGGCTGCTCGTGGCCAAAGAGCGCGCCGCAGAACACAGAATTGGAGCTCTTGATGGTCAGGTCTTGCGGGCAGACCACAACGATACCTGCGATATGCGGAAAACTCGACACACGCAGCTGCGTAGTGCCCCGGACCTGCGCTACCGTCGCGGGGATATTGATCTTGTCGCTGGTGCGGCACGTGTAGTACTTCCTCCGGGATATCTCGTGATAGTCCAGCTCTCCATACCGCGGGTCAATGCCCTGCCGTGGAAGCCGCGGAATCAACGCCCCGACGTCCTGGCCCGGCTGGAGATTCTCGTTCGCCCAGATGGGGCCCAGCGCACCCGAGAGCTTGAGCACTTTCCCGTCTTCCCCGACATCAACATACGCGACATCTTCGTTGATCTCCTCCAGTACCCAGATCAAGCTCACCCGCTTCTCGATCACCCAAAGGCTTGCAGATCCAGTCGCCCCGTTCCGTTTCTGTTCAACGTTAGCCACCATAATCACACCCTCTAATCACACGCATAACCAGAGTCATCATGACAAAATCCCCCCTCACGTACCTGTATTGGGACGACATCGCCGCAAAGCAGCACACCCCGAGACTTGCTGTTCTTCCGGTGGCCCTGCCCCGGCTTTGGAGGTGTCGGATCACCGCTGTGGATAGTAGCTGGCCGCCGAAGGGGTTTCGGGGCCTGGGACCTCGAATTGGGCTTACTAAGGAGCCTCGCCGTAATTCCCCCGGCCCGTCCCCCAAGAAGACTCGATGCCTGTACCGTGGGTGGTGGTGGACGAGGCGGTGTTTCGCTCTCTGAAACGCCCCCCGGATCCTCTCTAAATCCCTTTTCCAGCTTGCTCACGAGCCACGCCCTCCTCTCTTCCTGCACCACTTCCATGATCCCCATCTTCCTCACTTCGGCCGCCGTGACGCCGAACAGCAGACAGGCAAGATCGTTGGCTGCCAGAATCGTCCACGGTGCTTTCGCTTCGGTGGTGAAGATGGCTTGTGTGGCAGGCACCCAGCGTGCTAGGTGATTGTGGAGCGCTGGGGGCGGTGTAGTCATCGACGGATGGAGACTTGAGCCGCCAAAACCCTGGGATGGCCGATGCTGGGATTGGGATGACTGTTCTGCGGCAAGAAACGGCTGTGCCATGATGTCGATGAGTTTTTGGTGTACCGAGGCCTGCACCGTGTCCGTATCGGTCATCGTTCGCTTCAGCACACTAGGCCGTCGTGATGGTGGCGGTGACGTCTTTGCTGTAGTACCGCTTGCACCGCTCTCGTTCGTGGGGGTTCTCGATGAGCCCTCAGACCCGGTCCCTCCGCTAGACGGACGTCGAGGCGGCGTGTCCGAGGTCGGAATCGGTTCGTCTCGTCGGGAATCGCGGTGTTCGAAGGCTGCGGGTGGGGGAACGGGTGCGGTTGGTGATGTGAGAGGTGATCTGTCGTAAGGCTCAGGACTGGACGTCCGCAAAGCAAACCCCTTGTCAAACACATTCGCGCTTGATGCAGAAGCCGGCCCCGTCAACGGCGCAATCGGGATGTTTGGGTCGCCGCTTGGGAGGTTTCCAGCACCCACTAGGTGTGCCTTTGCTAGCAAATCCAACATGTTCTGCATTTCTGCATCGCCACTCGCCCGCGCTTGGGCGCTGGCTATCCCCGCGTTCGACGACACTGACCAAGCCATCCGGTCTCTCATAAATTCCATCGAGCGTTTCAAGACGTTCTGGCGGTTGTGTATTAGATCTTCGGACTGGTGAGCAAACGAGAAGGAATGGAGCGATTCGGACGGGAAGCGAGAGAGGTCTTCGGTGAAGGTCGGAGAGGCCGGGAAGGAGGCGAGTGGTCCCGAGGAGCTGTCTAGATACAGGCTGGCGGATGTCGACCGTGTGAGATCATTGAGCGAAGGTGTTCGACTCGACACGGACGGAAGTGTGGGCGTCCGCATTGCATTTGGCTGCTGCCGTATGCGCCTCAGCCCGGACATGCCCAAGCCATGGTCGTGGTCCGTGATGATGGAGCTCCTATGCGCAAGTCATCCAATTGTCAGTTTCGGCGACGCAATCAAGGGCGGGACTGAACCTGTTTTGGCCCGCGCAGCAACAGATTCTTGTCCCGCTACAACATCCGCCGCCGTCCCCCTTTCTGTGTTCCAAGCTGACCTTGACATAGCATCGTACTCGCTGGCCGCAACACCAGAATCGAACGAAAATCGGGGGCGGCCCGTGTCGGTGTCGGGCATCTCGCCTACGGTCTCGAGGTTACCGGTGCTCCGGTTTTTCGGAATTTGCAGCGTAGGCGAGAGCCTTTGCCGGCCCGAGGTGGTTCCAGCGCCGCGTTGTGTGTCTTCGCCTATCGCGGGGCGCGCGCGGCGCGTCTCCGAGTTAGCACAGTGATACCGAAGCCTGACGGACGCACTCAGCCGCTCCAAAAGCGGGCAACCACCGGTATTGTTTTTGGTGCTTCTCAAGAGGAAAATGGGCGTCACAAGGCATCAAAAACTCACCATTGTCCGAGGCTCCGCCACCTATCCCGAGCATAATTGAGGCAAAGCAACGGACCAGCAAATTCCTGTGCAAAAAACAAAGGGAACGATATCACAAAAAGAGTCCTCCAAAAATGAGGGGAAGGAATCCGTGGCCAAATGGAGATCGAGTCGACGACGGAGAAATCGGTTGGTGGGGTTTCAGCACGGCGCAGCGCCGGGTTTAAAGGCCTTGTCCGTGTCGGGCGGGCTTTTGGCTTTTGTCTCAAGTTCTCAACCCGCTGAATACTGTGCCTCAGGTACCTTGAACGCCGGCCGCGGGCGGCAAACCAGGCCAAAAAGTCACCGGGGCGTTCGTCCGATTCAGGAGGATAACGTTAGAGAAGAAAGCCCGGCCGCAGCCTTGATCCCGAGGGAAATGGCCCGAATGCAATCGATCGTAAATTTCGAATATTCGCGGCCGGGACGGTTTTCGCTTTCTGAGATGGTGAATTCCTCGCAGGGCTAAGCGGACCGCACACACTTCTTGAGTCGGGAGCTGATGCACGGCATCCGGCACACCGGGGACGGAAATGTGGATTTGCTCTCCTCGCTTTGTCCTTTTTTTTTCCCTGATCCCGTTCGGCTGCAACGGCGGGGACGGAGACGCTGTGCACCCCCGCTGTCAATATATTCCGGGCAACCACTGAAGGAGCGAAAGACAACACGTGCAATGCGACCAATTTCGCGGCTCACTGAGGCGAGTTTAGAATGATTGAAGGGGTTTCAGGTGTGTCGTACACGTATAAAAGGAAGGAAAGATATGAAAGAAAGAAAGAACTCCTAGTTCCTTGGGCTGCAAAAGACAATGAGTCGAGTTTGTTGCGCATTGTTCTAAATCTCCAAGTCCATCCCACTCTTTGATGAACAGTGACCTTGGCCACATGGGGGTACAGTATCTGCACAGTGCGGACCTTGCTGCGTCAGACCGTAGCGCCAAGGCCCAAGGTGGGAAGTCCTTGAACATGGCTCAATGGACGCCCGGCAAGGCAACTGTTGCAACAACGATGTCAGCCCGCATGCCCGGAAAGTAAGACGGGACACCGAAGCTTTTCTCTTGGAGCGCATGCTCCAGGTTTTGAAAAGCGCGCCCATACGTGCCGAAGCCCGCTGTTTCATCCCGGGCGAGGAGACTAGGCCTTTTGGGCTTCTCGAGGAACAATGGGCCGGGCCGCCTTCACAACCCCGCCACAGTCGGAATACTCGCATACGCACTGTTACCCTGGCTTGTTTTCCTTGTTTTCTTGGCCAAGCGAGCCAAGCTCCAAAGTCAACTCAGATCATGCCCAACCTTTTCAGACAAATTCGAGCCATGTGAAAGCCGGCTCGATCCCCTCGACCCCTCCAGTTGCTGTGACGCAGGTTCTCGATGTCGATCTGGCCGGGTACCTCTCGATATTCTTTTCTTCCAAGAAGGCGGCTGACAACCTGACTAAGAAAACACAATAACCATTGTTTGCTCACATGGATGGGGTTTTAGCCCCCGTACCGTGCTCACTCAGTGTTACCATCCGGCTCCCGACAGCGGCCGGTCCGGCCCCGAACACACCCGCCCACACTGACAACCCACACTGGGCCCGAAACGGGGGGGCCAAACCGGCCAAACGAGGTCATCGTGCATCGTGGTCCTGCACCTAGCCTTGACGATCGTAGAAAATCTGATCATGAATGTCTTGGCAATTTGCGGGAGAAAGAAAAGGCTTGTCGTCATCTCTTGGGTTAGGACAATATCTAACCGGAGACTACATACCTATTCCAATCATGTTGGCTCATGGGCATGGCTTCATGGGCATTGACGACCTTTTTCCCCATCATGGGGCCAGGTAAATGCACGAGAGCAAGACAAGACAAGCTTCTGGGCAGCGGGGCATCACGAGTCTTTTTCTTCACCAACATCCTAACTGGTAAGGAGGTCAGGTAGCCAAGCAAACACCCCACGTTTGCGGGCTTTTACATCCGTCACCTCACCGTGTGTGTGATACTAAGTAATTAATCGGTCAAGGACCTTGGCACGCGAGACGGGAATTGAGTCCTAGCGCTTGTTAAACTTGAATTTGCCTCACGAGTCATATTTCACTTCCGTCGACTCACTCGTTATGAAGGTGGAGAGCCAGGAGAGTACTCTGCCGGGGCTCCGAGTAGAGACGAGATGTTGCCAACGCCAGTTAAACACAACCAACGATTTTCGTGTTGTCTATCAGGGGCAGCTACCTCATCTTCAACTGTTGTTCTCTCCACCAGTCGTCAAATATTACTCCTTTTATCCTCGCCCAACCTTCACAAATATACGGCTGCTTAAAACGACCCCTCGGCCCCATTAATTTTAGTAGTTTATCACAAGTATCACACAACAGCAAACTCAACCCAGTGCACCTTCTTCCAAGCTAGCTCTGGGCGAGACACTTCCACGGTCCCAGTCCAATGCAGCACACCAACACAGAGCCTCACTCCAAAAACCTCCGATCGAGTTACACGAGACAACTCATCAGGCTTTTGACAGCCCAAACCCACCGACCTTCTTCGCCTATCACCAACTCTATTAAACTCGCACGGGAACGGAAGGAGTGTTTTTTTTTTCAGCTCCCGAACACCCACTAAATCACAATCTTCATTCAAACATTCACAGCAACCCATAGGCTTGGTTATTTCCCAGCACCCGGCGTGCCCGGTTTGTCGGTTGCAGTCCCGGGCTCCGCGGCCAGAAACCGGGCCGGCGAAGAAAAAAATCTACCCCGGTCCCCGGTGATGAGGGCCGTCATCCACTTTTGAAACGGCCTGGCGGTCAAGACATGACACTAGAGCCCTACCACCTGCAAACCGCGAACGAATGGACATGCCGTTGTCCTAGGCCACGGGGCCGTTCTTCTTTTTTTTCGGCCCATCTTTTCCCTCCCTTCCTCCCTCCTTTACACTAACCTTCAAAGGCTGCATGGGGCCGTTGTCGGATCCCATCCCGCTTGGTCGCGTGGTCAACCAAGTCAAATCAGGTCAGATGGCACAAGAGCGAGCTAAAGTTATCATGCGGCCGCTTTAGCTTTTTAAGTTAATCGAGACCCCCACTGATTAAACGCATGTCTTGATATCCCGCCATCATATCGTATCCTAAACCACTTTCATTATCTCCTCATCATCTGTTCGAACACCCGAACAAAGTGAAGCTAGTGTATGTACTGACAGTATCACGCGCACCTTGTCAAAAACACGCACACGACCAGAAGAAGGTGGGGGGAGGTATTGAGGGGCCACGGAGCGCTTGTCCGTCCCACGTTCCACTCAAGGACCCCTCACTCAACGGCAGAAAACGTTATAGTGTTGTTAGTATTTCTGTCGGCTGTGGGGGTGGAGAGATGCACGCAGGGTCCAGGGTTGTCGATCCTCGTTTATTTTGCGTTCCTTTCCTCGTCGGACTCAACCTTTGAAGGATGGATAGTGAGGCTTTTGACGGAGCGCTCGTCCGGAGTCATATCATTTACCCCTTTCCGTAGCCGGGCTATCTATTATTGGGTATGATGTTTGTTTTGAGCAAGGTTTTAGTCCCGATGGTAAAAGGGATAAGGTTGTTTCCCATGCCGAGGTGAGTGGAGTCTAAATCATGCCGAAACTCCCTGCAGAATACTCTCCCTTGACCATTCCGGAAGAGAGACAGGACCACCGGGACGTGTCATAGTAAACGGAAGAATGGCTTGTCGGCCAACTCTTGACATGTCTAGGGTTAGGGAAAACAGGGGCTGTTGAGGCCATTTTCAAAGCCTTCGGCCGGGTATCGTTCCACATGTTGTACATACATCTGAGATACACTGCACAACTAGTAGACCACACCAGGGGTGGGACCTTATTTACGCACCCGATGTGATGTGTCCGCTTTATGGAAATCTTCTTACCATGAGAGCATCCCAACAATCGGCGAAATTATCCGTTGGGAAACAGAGAGAGGCAAATGATATCAGGCATGAAACATCGCTCATGGAATGCCCGTTGGGAGATCGGCGAGTCCCCACCTTGGAGATGGAGGTGGGGGGATTAAGCACCGCTTCGTCGTTGAAGATGCCGGCGACACTCCTCCATAGAAGCACGACCCGTTTCCAAATCCCATCAACGGAGCGGCATCTTACTGTAGAACCAAATTTGCAGTGGCACCTAAGAAGCAATGCCCGAAAGCTGGAAAAGGCATTGCCGATTCCCGGAGATGTCGGGGAATCCGATGCGGGGAAGGCGCTAAAGGCGCCTGAAGAACCACCGATAAGATAAGGGACCTCCGAGACCCCCGCCAACCCGCCTAAGACCCACCTAGAGCCCACCTGAACCACCCCACCTTCCCGCTGGAGGTCTCCTGAAACAACGAACCAGAGCCAATCGACACCGGTTTTCAAGTCACGAAGACCCCCCAAGCGGTGCCACGAAGACGGTCAGAAGGGGAACCTCAAGACCATTGTTTGGGTGTGTTAGTTCGTGATTGCGCTATTGATGGTGTTTTTGTCGAACAAAGGGAGGAATTTGGAGGTCCCGCTCTCTTAGCTAAGTAGGGCGAGTGACTGTGCCACCCGGATGACGGCGAGGTAGGCTATCCGCTCCCCCGCAGTGCCCCTCCATCAGCGACCTCTGTTGATCTAGGTCTCTTCTCTTTGTTTTGTTCCCGACAGAAGACGGGACCTTGTGATGGCTTGAGATGCACTCGGTTATTTCTCGGCCTTTGAAGGGAGGGAAGGTCTCGTATCATATCAGGGCCCGAAATTGTAAGAGCTAGCGGGTGTTGGGGAAGGAGCACATGCGATGGTGCGGCTGGGCGGTTGTTGGGCATAAGTAAGCCTCGCTCTCTGGGCAACACGAGCAACCGCTTTGCTTTGCTGCCCCTCATTCAACCAACGCCGCTACCTAGCCGCTTTTATTATTAGCCACTCCCGCCCATTGCTGTGTTCTTTCCCTTCTTTTGATTTTTATTTTCTGGCTTCCCATGGCGCTGGTTGTTTTTGACGGTTTCCTGTTGAGAATGCAGTGATCAACCCAACCGCCACAACATACAACTTACACGGGTTCGCGGTCTTATCTACATGGATGATCTCATGGATAATTTGGTCGCACAACCATTGTCCGCCAGCCAGCCGGAGGTCTGCTCAACTGCTTAGACACAGCTAGCAAGGGATAATCCCGGACGAGCCATATCCAACGCAGCCCAGCCACGAAATACTGTCGCTTCAGTTTCTCCAAATTGTCCGTTGTTTCGTTTCCCGATTTGCTCCGATCGACACCGGGCCGGACTAAAAGAACAAGCCCCGGCGACATCCGACGGTAAAAGGCCTGTTGTTGCGCTCTCATCATCGGTTCGTCATTCGTGGCTCACGTTCTCGCGCTCAGACATTCAAAGACAAGGCGCCCGCAGCACAACCCGATTCATGGACGGCTGCTAACAGTGGAACGGTCGCTGGTAAAAGGAGCCCTGCGCCGTGGTCCCATAACAAAGCGCAAGGGATTTCCCTTCTCTTTTGCCCTTTCACGTCCTCTTTCTAAGGCGACTCCTCACGGCCCCCTCCTTGTCTTTGCAACGGTCCAGTGTTTGAGCCTAACCCCACCACCGATCATCGCTCTGGCCCCCCGGTCAGATATCGCCACCTCCTCGTTGTGTCTGTGGTAAACTACGCCAATCCCGAGCGCCAATTGGAAGGTTGGGGACCCCCGAGGATCTCCAAAGTGCCTTTTCCCTCCGAACACACCTTTTCTCCAACGTCGTATGCACGATATTCAGCATCCTCAGCATCCTCTCTTGCCTCTCTCGTCTCCCAGCATCCGGCGTATCACACAGACACAGAAGCAACACCACTCCTGCGGCCACCACAATGGCTGGCCTTGATATCTACTATGGTGCTTCCACAACGTCATCAGATCCCGCCATTCTGGATGGGACTCGGAGGGAGGAGGAAGGGGCCGTCGAAAACGGGCCGGCCCCAAGGTTGAAGAGGACGAGAGGGCGGGATCGATTACTTCGTGGACTTCAGCGTATCGCCTCTTCGCCGTCTCTCACTCTAGCTGGCCGTACCCGGTCCTCGAACAGCCCTTACAGCTTATCCGGCACATTTTCGTGTGTCAGCCTGTCATCAACCGGCTCTCCCTTTGGCCAATTTAGCGACGACGGCTTTTACTTCTCTCAGGCATCGTCACCATCAGCCGGCGGCATGTCTGGTGCCCAATCATCGATCCCGGCTAGCCCGATTACCGGATCCCTCTCTCAGGGAGGGCCTAGATCGTCGCCGGCCGTTCGCCCCGTGGGCGCTACTTTTGTGGTCCCGACGACCGCCTTCGTACCATATAACGTCAGAAAGAGGACGGCCATATTCAGTATATGGGCTGGATTTCCTCGTGAAGTCAAGGTGCACGTCCTCTCGTTCCTGCGGCCCAAGGAGCTCGTGCGTGTTTCACGAGTCTCCCGCGAATTCCACAGCCTTTGCTTCGATGGCCAGTTGTGGACGAGTCTCGATGCCTCCGAGTTCTACCAAAAGATCCCCGCAGAATCCCTGGCCAAGATTGTTGTTTCAGCCGGTCCTTTCATGAGGGATCTCAATCTCAGGGGGTGTATCCAGGTCGAGCATCATCAGCGAGCCGAGATCGTGGTCGAGGCGTGTCGAAACCTGGTTAATGCCACGTTGGAAGGGTGCCGGAACTTCAAGCGGTCGACCCTGCACACGCTGCTCAAGACCAACAACAGGCTCGCTCATATCAACCTCACCGGACTGAGCGCCGTCAGCAACGCCACCTGCAAGATCGTGGCCAACTCGTGCCCGCAGCTCGAGGTATTGAACGTCTCATGGTGTAAGCACATGGACGCCCGCGGAGTGAGATTCGTCGTCGAGTCCTGCCCCCGACTCCGGGACCTTCGTGCCGGCGAGGTCAAGGGTTTCAACCTCCCGGATGTGGCGACGGCTATATTCCGCACGAATAACCTGGAACGGCTTGTGCTTTCCGGCTGCGACGACCTAACGGACGACAGCCTGCGGCTCATGGTCCACGGCCCGGAACCGGAAATCGACTACCTCACGGACCGCCCGATGGTGCCGCCGCGGAACCTTCGCCATCTCGACCTGACCCGGTGCTCTCGCCTCACGGATGACGGCGTCAAAGCCCTCGGCCACTTTGTCCCCGGCCTCGAAGGACTCCAACTGTCCGGGGTCTCTGCCCTGACCGATGCCGCCCTCGAGCCCATCCTCGCTTCGACACCGCTGCTGACCCATCTGGAGCTGGAAGACCTCCCCCAGCTCACTGACAGGTTGTTTTCTCAACATTTGGCCAAAGCCCCCTGTGCACCTAGGCTTAAGCACCTCAGCATCAGCTACTGCGAGAACGTGGGCGATGTCGGCATGTTGCCCGTACTCAAGACATGCACGCGCCTGCGCAGCGTCTACATGGACAACACGTTAATCAGCGATCTATCTCTCACCGAGGCTGCCGCGATGGTGCGTCAGCGTGGCGCAACCGCTGTCGCTGATGGCAAGGTTGCCGTCGGCGCCCTACCCAAGGTCACGCTGCGCTTGGTGGCGTATGACTGCCCGGCCGTGACCTGGGCTGGTGTCCGCGAGGTGCTGAACCGGAACACCACCGCTCTGCCAACCCCCGCGGTTGCTCTGACGACAGAGCCCACGGAAGTGGAGGTTGAAGGGGAGGGTGTCAAGGATGAGTCCATGGTGACCGTCAACGCCATCTCCTCACCACCCGGTTCCGCTTCCTCATCCTCCACCTCATCCACTACCTCTCTCTCCGCTGTCCCGCTCCCCAACGTTACCACCTCCACCATCACGCCCTCGTCCACCGAACAACCAGAAGCCAAAAGACGCACCCCTCACACCCAGCAGCCCCCCGAGATCATCTCCCTCCGCTGCTTCTACTCCTACCAGATGACCGTCGACGAACATCTCAAGCGTGTACTTGAAGGCGACCCAGCCGGCGCCCGCGAATTAGAGCGCAAGTGGGCCGAGTTCATCCAGGCCAGCCAGGAAGTCGGTGCTGCTGTCGGCGGGGGCGCGGCGGCTGCTGTAGCGAGACGGCGGAGGAGGAGACGCGCGAGGGAGGCTCAGGCTATCTTGCAGGCTGCGCAGGGGGGTGAGAATGGTGGGGGTGGGAATGGACATGGACATGAGGATGGGAATGGGGAAGGGAACGAGGAAGGTGGAGGTGGAAATGGCGATGGTGGTGAGCAAGAGGTTGGCGCAGGTGAGGGGATTGGAGAGAGTTTAGTGGGGGGGTTGTTTGACGCTGTCATGGGGGGTGGGAATCAGGCTGGTGGTACTGGCGTTGTGGGAGGAGGACGGAGAAGAGCGAGGGCCATGGCTTGTGCGGTGATGTGAGGACTTCCTGAGTCTTTGAGTTGCGTAGGGTTGAACGGGTGAACGGGACGGCTCACAGCATGGGAGTATGGGTATCCGGATGGGCTGGGTGTGTTGATTGATTTACATATGGCTTGGCTGGTATGGTTGGTTTGGTCTGTCTGGCCTGGTTGGGGAACACGGAACGGAATAGGACGGACAATGGGAACAGACGGAGTTCTACTTCTTTTTTACACAAGGCATAGGAAACGGGTTGGTATCGGGTTTCTTTCTATATTTCTCGCATATTTGGGTTGGTTCTTGGTTTTCTTTCGGGGGGGGGTCACAAAGGCGTCCTAACAGGGTTCTGGAGTTGGGGATTTCTTCGTAAGGTCTATGGGTTTACTGGGACAGGTTATATCATCTTTACCTACTATCGCTCGTTTTCACCTTCAGAGGAGGGAGCTCGAGGAAACATCACGAGAGAGACAAACTGGGAATTACACATTCAAATCATACCGATGCAAACACCTGACCTGACGAAGTGAGAAGTTCCTCTCCCCGTGTTCCAATATGCCAGCCATCGCACGAAGTCTCCTTGGAAGTTTCCCCTGAGAAACATCACACAAACCCTCACCAGTGTTTCTGGTGCGTCTGGTGTGTATGGTGCAAGCCGGTCCTCGGTTTGGTCCGGGTGATTTCTGTTGGGTTGGCCTCGGTTCGGTTCGGCAAGTCGAGAGTCATACGACATGTTTTCTGTGTGGCCTGTTTTGTCGTGTCCATCGCCTGAAAGGGGAGGGGGATAATCTATCGATTCGATATAGAGTAAGGCAACTATTGCTTTTCTCTTTTACAAACAAGCATGCATCCATGGATGGTAAAAAGGTTCTCCCCAGATCAGGCTTGGCTTCTTTAAAACGATCGGCATTGGGGGGGCACGGGGGCGGCCGCAGGAGGGCCACGCGGGAAGGTAACGAACGTCTTTCTTGGACAATGGAGGGGAATACACATAGGCAGTGACCTTTGGGGTATTTGGGATGCTTGTTCGGATGGGTTGGATGGAACGGGAGGGATGAGGTCGATTCCGGCGCGAATATGTTGACGGTTGCCTACTTCAAGATACGAAGCCCCTTCATGTCTCGGGCTGGGAAGTGAGAGCGGGGGGCAGTATTGTGCTTCTGGGGTTGAAAGACAAGAAAAGAAAAACTGGGTGTGACCAAGTCGGCAGCTGCCAAGTACCACGGGAAGCGGGAAAGCAGAACTCGTCTCATCTGCAGGGCCAATGGCACCCTGTTCTTGCGTAACTCTGGCTTGAGAAAGGTTCGTTATTCTGTCGTCGAATGCAGGAGAGGAGGAGCTCGTCACAGTCGAAGCGACTGGTTGAAGGTAGTTGGGTAGGTAGCTCTGCATTTGCATTTTGGGCCACGGGACTGGACCGAATGATTGATTCCTTGATGCGCGTCCACATATTGTAGTCCAATCCAAACTCTGACAGACCAAACACAGGCTGCAGCAGATGCAAGAGCGGCCGCGATCCGTGGCTGTCTAGTGGACGGAAAACCATAGGGTTGGGGGAGCACGCAACGGGAGGATGGATTGGAACGAAGACGACGAGACATGTCCGGATATGAGCTCGATGAGGCCCGCCGGGAAGGGAAAACCCCCCCCACCCCATCCCTGGTTGCAGCGGGTTTGTCGATGACGCACGGACTGCATAGAGATCGATGCTTCGATGCAGATGTGGGGAAGTGGACGGGAATTGTGGGGTGTCATTCGCCCAACAGAACGCCCGTTTGTACGAATATTCGAAAACGGTTTGGATCGTTGTGGACAACAGGGCGAGAGAATGATGAGAGGAATGATGGGAGATCTGAAAGTCGGCCGTGGTAGGTTGTTCGAAGACAGTGGGATGGCGAGATGGGGAAGAATCCTCCCACATCTTTGGATTGGGGGCACTCATTAAGACGCGGTATGAGTGGGAGCACAGTCGCCCCACCCCCGCGAGGGAAGCCAGGCGAACAGTGGGCGCCACAACGAGAAAAACATAAATCAATGTTTAACTTCAGTAGTAATTTGTTAGTCCAACTGCCAAGAGTCCTTGAAGATGGAAGAGTCCTTCTTCCCGAGCTAACGGTTGGTAGGTAACATCATAGTAGGCTCACTCCGAGCAAAGTAGGAGTCACCTCCATGTATTTACATGTATGTACAGTACATAGATATCGACACATCGCACCTTCCTAGCGAACCTCGCACACAATAGCCGCACGTGTCCAAGGTGGTGGTCGCTTGGACCACATCAAGTGGTTCGAACGAACTCTCGCAGCTTCCGCCTCTCCAGGTCTCAAACCCACCCGTCCCAAAGACGCCTGCCCTGCACGAACCCCAGCGACCCCTCTTTTTTATCTTTTTTCACCACCCGCCTTCTTTCCTCCACAATCGCCCATTCTTCATGCGGCAAACTCGACCCTCCCGCATCTCTTTCCAAATTTCCCCATCTACACCCTCCTCCTCCATATCCTCAAATCACATTCCCGCCGTGCCCTTGCATCGGTTTCCTCTTCCCTCCCGCCGCACCAACCTCTCCTCCCACTTTCCCATCCTCCCGAGCCGGTTCTAACTATCACTGCCGGAACCCCGCTCTCGCAGCTCTCCCCCAGCGCACACGCCACCCCAATTGGCTGTGTCCACCTGCTGCAAAAGGTATGTGCATCCTGCCCCGCCAAACATTAGGTTCGGCACTAGGGGTCTTTATCGCAGCGCACCGTTTCTCTTTCTCGATCCTGCCCTTGACGAGCCTGCAACCGCTTCCTTCTTTACATACAAAGGGACACCTGGAAAGGAAGCGAGACCGGCGCAAGCTGCAGAATGGTCATTGGCGTTTGAACACTGCCTCCATACCTTTCCCCTTTCATCCTCCTCCATTTCGACCGTTCCCGGTTTCGTTTCTTTGTTCTTCAAACCCGGCGCAAACTTCAACACACCGTCACCATTGCGCACCACACAAACTAATCCTCCCGCAGCCCGAACCACCCACCTCCCACCTACCGTTTGTTCCTCCCGCACGCACGCCTTCGAAGCCGCAGGCATCGTTATCCCACACCGCAAACCGATTTTCTCTGCTCCGTTTGTCACCAACAACCAAAAATGTCGGCACCACAAGATTCCATCCCCGCGGGGTCTGATCTTCCCGAGAACCTGGACCAACTCAACCTTGGCGACGAACCGCGCCTGGGTCCCGACGGAGAGCCGGCGCCCAAGACGGACGAAGAGTATGCCCAAACCCAGCTGACCCTGCGTGCGATCGTATCGTCAAAGGAGGCTGGTGTGATCATTGGAAAGGGCGGAAAGAATGTTGCGGATTTGCGCGATGAGACTGGCGTCAAGGCCGGTGTCAGCAAGGTTGTTCAGGGCGTCTACGACCGAGTTCTGACCATCATTGGCGGCTGCGAGGCCATCTCGAGAGCCTACGCCGTGGTCGCTCGGTCCCTGTTGGAGGGAGCCCCCACACTGGGCATGGGCGGAGTGGTCCAGAGCAACGGAACCCATCGTAAGGTCCCTCCGGCGTATTCAGGTTCTTGATTTGGCTGGGACACAACTAACTGACACTCGTTTATAGCCATCAAGCTGCTCATCTCTCACAACCAGATGGGCACCATCATTGGAAGGCAAGGTCTCAAAATCAAGCATATCCAGGATGTGTCTGGAGTGCGCATGGTGGCTCAGAAGGAGATGCTGCCGCAGTCCACCGAGCGGATAGTTGAGGTCCAGGGCACGCCCGAGGGCATCCAGCGTGCCATTTGGGAAATCTGCAAGTGCCTCGTGGACGACTGGCAACGGGGAACAGGCACCGTCCTGTACAACCCTGTTGTCCGTACCCAGACCGCTGGCGCGCCTGGCGTTACCGGAGGCAGTGGCTACGTACAAGATAGGGCCCCGTACGGCGGCTCTCGCGTGACGCGGACAGGCAACGGTGCCGACTTTAGCAACGGCGGACCCCGTGGCTTCTCCCGCCGATCGGATTCCGACGCTGCCACGCGTGCCCCGCCGACACACGACGAGAACGGCGAGGAGATCCAGACCCAAAACATTAGCATCCCTGCCGACATGGTTGGCTGCATCATCGGCCGCGGTGGTGCCAAGATCAGCGAGATCCGCAAGACGTCGGGAGCTCGCATTTCTATTGCCAAGGTGGGTGATGAGAGTGTGTAATTTGTTGTGTGTGCATATTGATTGACCGGCATTGACAGGCTCCTCATGACGAAACCGGCGAACGTATGTTCACCATCATGGGTTCCGCCAAGGCCAACGAGACGGCGCTTTACCTTCTCTATGAGAACCTTGAGGCAGAGAAGACGCGCCGGCAGAACCAACCGGCCCCATCATCCGAGTAGAGTGCGGATGAGGGCCGACGGAACTACAGGCTGTAATAAAAACCGGACATGCTGTAACCGCTGGAGTCTGGCGTGATGGGGAAGGGGCCTATGGTAACTGCCCGGAAACGTGCGCCTGGTTTTGCTGGGCTACGTCGGATTTGGCGGCCCCTCGGTATGGGACAGGGACCAGATCTGGCTGCCGCAAGGCATTTTCTATTCAACGTTGAGGTTCACGATGCGACGACGACTCTCTTAACCTACAAAAGCATTCCAACACACAAAACACAGACAGTCACAAACCCACCCATCCATCACCTTCTCTTTTCTTTTTCTTCCGGACCGAAATCATTCCCTCATCGTACCCGTCTTTTTGCGGCAGAAGCCGGCCGAGCATATCGCGGCCCTCGCGGATACGATCAACCATCACAATCACTCTCGGGCGGGATGTGAGACATTCACATCCTGGGGCATCGAACCAGAGCCAGACAGCGGTAGCAACAACACCACCGATTCGCGGAGGTCCGAACGTACCACGCGCCGTACTAGGAGCTTTGCCGGGGCGGCTCCTTTATCATAGTCCACGTCTACCTCCCGTTACTCGATTTATCGCATCTTCAAACCGCCCGTTTTCACTATCCACCCGCCTCTCTCTGCTCATCGAACGATTGGAGTTTCTTCAGTATCCTCATACTAACCGAACCGATCATCTATCCATCTCTACTCCCCGAGGCCCGTGTTGTACGGATACCCCTTTCGAATACCGGCCCAGCCCGGCTGGAGCACAACCCCATCGACCTGACATCACCAGATCTTAGGAAGATGTCTTGGTAGCTATCTGGACGGAGACTGGACAGACTAAATATACCAATTTTATGACGGGGCCAGTCCTTACAGTTGCGTGAATTCGGTTCCAAGTCTTGATGTTTGCATGTGCCATTGTCGTGTGATTACTTCGTAAGCCTAAATGCTATAACTAAAAGAAGCCAGCTTACCCTAAGGAGGTGATGGCATTTCCTTTTTGGGTGGTTCTGGGTCCGCGCCTTCCACAGTGCTGGATGAAGCCCCCACAGGCGGCAGAACAGCGGCAGCGGCATGGAAGCCCGCTAAGCGAGGCGCTAAGACGGTCGTGTGGGGGCTGACTTGTGGGGAACCTTGACGCCCCAGCACGCCCGGGAAAACAATCTCCAAAAAGCCAGGCTGGCCGAATGAGAAGGGTCTGATCTCTCTCCGTTTTGGGGTGTGTAGTCGCATCCCACTTGGCGCAAAAGTTCAGGACACCGTCGTACTTTTTTCTCGCTCCTTATTCTCGTTCCCTTTTCTGTTGTCCGTCACGTCGTCGTCGATTGGGAACTGTTGTCGATCTCTGGAGTTTATTCCGGCCCTTTTGCGAATTGTCAATTGGGTTGCGGGGTCTTTTGAGGTATCCATCCTCTTGTTCCTTGTTCATCAAGGTTCTCTCTCTCGCCCTCTCATCTATCGCGTTCGCAAAGTCCCACACGTTTGACGCGCGAACTCGACCCGACTTGACTAGACCTTTTTGCGCGCGTTCGAAACGTCCAAATGTCCCGCATCAAGCAGGCCACACCGCTGCGGCGCGAGCCGTCGTCGGAGTATGCTGGGAAACAGGATTTGAGGAGTTGGGAGTCGGGGACAACAGGAACAGGGACGGAAGCAGAAAAAGCAGGGAGGTTAAATGGGGAAGTCAAGGAAAAAGGGCAGGTTGCGGCTGCGGCTGCTGCTGTGGTGAGGAAGGAGGCCGGGATTGTTACGTTGGTTATTGATGTTTTGGGGATTTATGCTTCTTTGTGAGTCTTCTTCTCTTCTCTTCTTAGTCTCTGTCTCTCTCGGTATGTCTCTCTTGAGGGTTGAAGCTGACTAGAAATACCCGACCAGCCTCACATGGGCCTACCTCCAAGAAAAACTCACCACCACCACCTACACCAACAGCGGCCCCGACTCCGTCCCCGAACGCTTCAAATTCCCCGTCTTCCTCCTCACCATCCAATCCCTCTTCGCCTCCCTCGGCGGCAAACTCTTCTCCGTCCTCACCACCCCGCGCGGCCAACCCGTCCCTGCCTTGATCCCCTCCCGCGATATCCTCCCCCCCCTCCTCCTCGTCGCCTTCACCAATGCTTTGGCGGCCCCCTTTGGATACGCCGCGCTGGCGCATATCGATTATATCACGTATATCCTGGCGAAGAGCTGTAAATTGCTCCCCGTCATGGCGTTGCATATTACGGTCTTTCGGAAACGGTATCCGCTGTATAAGTACCTCGTCGTTGCTGCTGTGACGTGTGGAGTGGCGGTGTTTACCTTGCATTCCGGCAGCGGACACAAAAAGAAGGCGTCAACACATTCGGGCCAGACGGCGTGGGGGATGCTGCTGCTGGGTATCAACCTGCTGTTTGATGGGCTCACCAACTCGACGCAGGATTATATTTTTACCAATTGGCGCGGGTATACGGGCCCGCAGATGATGGCGGCGAATAACTTGTTGGGGTCGGTGTTGACGGGCGGGTATCTGGTGTTGAGTCCGTGGTTGGTGAGGACGGGGTTGGGGGAGTGGTTTGGAATGGATGTGAGCGGGAGTGCTGGGGAGTTGGAGGCTGCGCTGGGGTTTTTGGCGAGGCATCCGACGGTGTGGAGGGATGTTTTGGGGTTTGCGTTGTGTGGGTGTGTGGGGCAGGTGTTTATTTGTGAGTTTTCTTTCTCCCCTTCTTTCCCCTCTTTCTTTCTCTCTCTCTCTTTACCCCTTCCTCCCTTTTCTCCCTATCTCAGTGACTAACGTTAGCCCGACAGTCCACACCCTCTCAACATTCTCCTCCGTCCTCCTCGTCACCGTGACAGTAACCCGCAAAATGTTCACCATGATCCTGAGCGTGGTCGCGTTCGGCCACCGTCTCTCGCAGATGCAGTGGCTCGGTGTCGGGCTGGTGTTTGGTGGGATTGGTGTCGAGGCGCAGATTGCGAGGCGCGAGAAATTGGCTAAGGAGGCTGCTAAGGCTGCTGCTGGTAAGAAGAGAGAGTAGAGTAGGAGGGTAGAGGGCAGGAGGAGAGGAAAGAGGATAGAGGATAGAGGGAAGTGGTGGGGCTAACTGTGATGGCTGAGGGGGGTGGTTGTGCGGTGTATATATTATGTGTTGTTGTTCGTACATACTTTACTTCTCCGTTTTAGACCGCAGGATAGAGAGGTCCTTGTGTTTCTTATTTCGCCGACTTGATTTATCCTTTTTTAACAGCAAGTTTCTTATCACATGATTCAGTCTATCCCCAACTCGGAATTTCCAACCATGAACGAACAAAAGCTCATACACATTGATTCGGGCTGTGTAGAAAGTAAGTCCGTAGATATATATTCATATGCATGCGCATTGAGTTATTCACACCAGCACCAGTACCCCGTAGATGAAATACCCATAAGCCTAGCTACCACGCTTGCCACGGTAATAATGCCTGCTCCATCATAAACACCATCTCATCACATTCCTATTTCGATTTCATCCCAGTCCCATCATCCTAAAGAATAAAAAATAAAAATTATTTCCTCTCCAATACACACCTCATCCATCCATCATCCAGCCCACTCACACACTCACACTCACTGCCTCCTCCAATCCATGAGCCTTGGCCCCTTCTTTCCAGGTAAACAAACTGACTTATCGGGCTATGTCCGGCTTCTGAGCGAGTGTGCCATGTGGGTGCTATGTGGGTGCATGTACGTGGGTGTGTGAATGTGTGTAAGCTGATGTTTCTTTCTTTCTTTCCTGCTTTCTGATGATGATGATGATGCTTCTCGAGATACACTCCCAAGATGCCATGCCATCCCCAGAGTTATTATACATTTCATTTTTGTGTGAGATCAACCCCCTACCCCAAGTCAAACCCCCCTACAGTCAAAAGCCCCCCAGAAATAACCCAACCCAACCCACCAAAAAACATAAACATAAAAAAAGAGACATTGCGGCAGTGCAGTGCAGTGCAGTGCAGTGCAGTGCTTTGCTTTGCTGGGCTATACGATGCTGCGTAGCGCTAAAGTCGCTGATAAAATGACAAGCCATCCATCCATCCATCATCATATCACCCAACCAACAGTGACACTTAAAAAAAAGAAAATCGACATAAAAGAGGCGGAATGCTGTGCTGACGCCGTTCCCTGTGCTGCTTTCTTTCCACCGCGTTTCCCTCCTCGCCTGGGCATCCTAGCAAACATATGTCTGGGTATGTATGTCTTCCGGGTGTCGTAGATAGAGCACCCCACCAAACAACAATAATAAAAATCATGATATCCGTACGACAGGTTAAGTAGGTAACAACCCATCTAAATCATCTCATCAATAGACCGCACAATCGGCGTCTCCCCCTTTGTAGGTGGACTCCTCGGATCTGCCACCTGTGTCGGCCGACTGAACGGGTAGAACGGATTACGCGGAAACATGGTCTCGCGCGGCGAAAACAATGCGCCCCCGCTTCCGCTCTCGCTCGGCGTAGGTGGGATCTCGGCAAATTGGAAACCCGCCAGTGAGGGTGCCGGTGCCGGTGCCGGTGCCGCGTCTTTTGCCTTGGGCGAATTAGAGACAGCGGCCGCCGCGCCAAAGGTTTCGTGGATCGGGTTGTTCGTCATGGTTTCCACGCGCGGGGATAGCAGCGCATCGTCGTCGGGAAAGCTCGGGAGGATGGCGACGGCGGGCCGGCCCGGGGTTGGGGGTTCTGGCGGAAGGGTGTGGTTCTCGATGGGTTTGGGGGCGGGCCCGATGTTGAGCGAGGCAAACCCGTTGAATGCGCCCAGTTTTGCGCCGAAGCGGTGTGCGCCGAAGCCGGGAGACGGCGGTGGTCTCGCGAACGGGTCGGAGGGCGCAAAGCCGGGAGACATGGGCGGTCGTGACAGCTCGAGCGGTGCGAACCCGGGTGATGGGGGTGGCCGGGGAATCGCGGGGGGTGCTCGTCTCGGCGCTGGTGGGGGTTTGGAAAGGGAAAAGCCGCCGCCTAGTCTCGATGGTGGTGGGGGCGAGCTAGATAGCTGAAATCCCCCGAACCCGGGGGTCGGTGGAGGCTGGGACATAGTAAATCCGCCAAATCCCGGTGTGGGGGGCGGTTTGGAAATGGTGAAGCTACCCAGCCCCGGTGATGGCGGAGGCCGGGAGACGGAGAAAGACGGAGGTGGGAATGGGGGGTCGTCTGGCTTTGGCGCAACCAGCGAATCAAGGTTGAACCGCCCAAACTTGCCCGGATCCGCCTCGTCCTCCTTCTCGGACCACGTAAAGCTCGACGGGGCCGACGAGGGCCCTGGGGAGATGGGTTCCCCGCGATTATTGGGGGTTGAGGTCCCCCTCCCTCGGTTGGGGCTGCTCTCGCGGTCCCCGTGGTTCGACATCGTGGGGCCGTCGGCGGGCAAGGGGGCCGTCAATGGCTCCTTCGCGGCCGTCTCGATGTTGTCCGCCGACATGGTCGCTCGGTGGGTAGGGCTCTTCCCCAGGGCCAGGCGTGGCTTGGCGCCCGCACTAGGCGCGAGCCTCTTCTTTGCGTTTTCCTTTTGGAAATCCTGCAGGCAGTACATCAGGCGCATGTTCGGGCTGATCCACCGGCTCTTAGCCTGCGCCGCATGGTACGCGTCGTTGACGCTCTGCTCGGGTTTCTGATACAGCCCATAGGCAATGATCAGACTGGCCGACCGGCTCGCGCCCTGCTGGCAATGCACCAGCACCTTCTTCCCTTCCTTGGTGCGCTTGTCGATCGTCTCACAAAGCGACATCAGGTCCGGCGAGATGTCGGTGTTGTGGTCCCACGGCATGTGGATGTACTCGGGCTCCTTGAACGGTTGCGCCTTGGGAGTTGTCGGCGTGTCACCCCCGGCATCCTCGGGGAAATACTCGTACGCCGTCGTGAAACTGGCGGCAGTCATGGCCGTCTCTGGAATCGGCGAGTCCTCATCGGGCTTCTCCTTGAACTCTGGCGTTGGCTGGTCTTTGGCACTGGTGTCAAAGGGATTGCGAACTTCGCGGGCCACGTTGATGACCACGTCGAAGCGAGACGCCTCCTCGGCAGTTGGTTCCAGGTACAAATACACATTATCGCCATAGATGGCAATTGGGCCTTGCGGGTAGCCGGGCGACTTCTGGTCCTCGTTGTTCTCCACTTCATGGTAGGGTTCCGTGTCGAAGGCGATGCGGTTCGCTATTTGCGTCCGGATGGGCGAGTCCTCTTCCCTGATGGTCGAGGTCCTCCCGGGCCCTTCCGTCGACCGCGAAGGGCGAAAAAAGGTAGAGAGACCGGATTCGTTGCGCTCCAAGACTGTCGGTATTGTCATCCCGCCGGGCGGGCCAAACGTCGCAGACCGGAGTCCCGAAAGCATCTGCGGCGTCGACGTCGAGTGCTTCAGGGCCCGGCGCTGGAGCATGGGCACTGCTGCCACGGTGGGAGAGCTGGGGATCTCGAGCGTGGTGCGCGCGAGGAGATCGGTGGTGTTCGTCTTGAGACTGAGCTGGCTTGGCTTGCGCTTCATGGGCGCAATTGTGGGTTTGATGAAGGAAGGCGAAGCGGGTTCCGACAGGACGGCCGTTGACGAGGCCATCGAGGGCGGCTGGATGGACAGGCCTTTCATGTTCTTGAGCCGCCGGGGCCCAGGGGACGTCATGGGCCGATCGCGGTTTGGGTCGGAGACGGTCAGGTTGGCCATGCTGGACAGGCGCCGAAAGGGGGTAGGCGCAAAGCTGGGCGCGAAGCTGGGCGCAAAGCTGGGCAGAGGCGCGAGGTTGACGGGTGAGTCGGGAGACGACGACGGGGAAGGGTCCGAGAGGTCGGACGAGTCGGCGATGGACAGTGTTGTTGTGGGCGACGAGTCGGCGGACTCGGTCATGGCTTGTGTTGATGCGCTGTCATGGTGTCTGTGCACCGCATCCGACGGCAATGCGCTGGGCCGTAACCCTGGCTGTGCATCCCCCGGTAGCTTCGCGTCGTCCCCCATGACCAGCTTGTGGTCCACGATGGTGACGGGGTTGGACTGGTCCATATCTGTGATGCCGCTGTCCACCTCGTATACTGACATTATCGACGGTATTTGGTCCTCGAACAGCCGTCGTGCCACCGCTGAAGGCATATTCGGCGGCTAGCAAAATCCAGGGAAAAAGAAAAAAGATGCGAGGAAAATGGTGTCAGTCCGACCACCAACGGGTGCTGCTGCTAGTGCTGCTGCTGCTGAGATTCCCTGGTTCCTGGACAGAGCCACCGAGTCTGACCTCGTACTTCAGATCCGGCCTCAGCCACGTCTCGTCTATCCGCCACGGGTTGGCCGCCGGGTCTTGTGACCTTTTCAACGTCCGATGGTTGCTGATGGCCGGAGCAGCGCAGGGTGTTGTATTGCTGGAGGGCGAATTGGTGTAAAAGGTCGGGAAAATGGTGAAATCGTGGGTTTGAATGCGTCTTGCAGAATTGCAACTCGACAAAAATCGGGCGAGGCGGGACAGCGCTGCTGAATCCTGGGTATCCTTTCCCGTCAATGTCCCACGCAAAAAAGAGAAGAAGAAAAAAAGACAAGTAAGCACAATCCGCTAATATCCCTTCAACTCCCGCGCAGTGATTTTTTGTAAAACTCTTCTCCGTCGATTGGACGATTGAACGTCAAAAGGCGGCTGGTAAACAAAGGGCAGAAACCCAACGGCGGGAGGGCGCGCGCCTGGCGGAGGCTGGGGAGGAAGAGGAAGATGGCTTGTGTTGTTGCGTCTCGTCGAGCGAAGCGCAGACGGACTGCGGCGCAGTCGATCGAGCGGGGGATGAGAGTCCGCTAAAGGATCAACAAGAAAAGAAAGGAGCGTGGAAGGCAAGGCGGCCGGCGACTTGGTGGCGTAGGCATCAATGCATGGCCCAGTCGTCCGGTCTCGTTCGGTGTCGGGGTTGGGAAAGTTAAAAGGAAGCCGAGGGAGGAATGTTGTGTTGTGGGAGTTCGGAGTCGAGATGGCTCGGTTTTGCCCGGTGCAGTGTTGTTGTATGGAGTCTGAGTGTGAGCAGCGGGGTTCGGTCCCTTTGCACGCTCCAATTCCTCGTCTTCTTTCTCTTTCAGCAGGTCGAGTCTGGTTCTCGGCCGGTGCTCCCAACGTTCCCGTCTAAAAAACTGCACACGCTGCCTTTCCGTTCCCTTTCGGTTGTTGTTATGTTTAGGTGGGAGTATGAGGGGGGGGAGGGAGAGAAAAGAAAAGGCGTGGGAATGCGTGAACCTGGAAGAGAGAAAAGAGAAGAACGGAATTGGCTGGCCGTGAGTTGGCAAGGATACCACAGATGGCCGGGGATCGGGGATGGCCACCTACCTCAAGGCGGGCGGCAGTGGCACCTGCAGCGGAGAGACAAGCGCTGAAGGGGGGCAGCTGTCCAGGCCCAAATTTGGGCAAATTGGGGGGGCGCTCGGGGGGAAGGGGTGGCCTGCGCAGGCAGAACAGCCTGCATGCTCGGCCTGCAGACGCTCCAAAACACTCACTCACACACGCATTCTCCCCTACCCCCCGGGCCGTTGCCCCCCAGCCAAGGCGCTCAGCATGGGGGTGCTTCCTCGGGACAGCGAGCCACTGACCTGCGGCCAGCTCGCCCCCGCCCAGACTCTGTTGCAGGGGCGGGACTGCCGCCGTCCAATGAGCAGCCGCCTTGCGGCACCCCACTTGGCCGGTGCAGGACGCCGGCGGCTAGCTCCCTTTTCGAATTGCTTGCTTCCAAACAATCCATCCTAAAAATAGCCGGCGCGACCCATGGATGCAAAATTGTCTGGGGCTGCTGATTGGAGGGACACCTAGACTTTGACGTCCTTCGGGCCAATCACCAGCGACGTGGTCGGAGAGGCCCCGTCTTCCCCTCCGCTTCGCTTTTCACAGCCAAGACAGCTTCGTTGGTCCCCTTTTCTCTCTTCGATCCCCGATCAGCGAGCGGTTCGAAGAGGTTCGTTCCAAAGTGGTGGTACTCTTGAGCCGCTGAGATCTTTCCCCAAGATCATTTTAGGGGTTGCTTTTCGGGCAGCCCGGGATTTTTCTCACTGACAAAGCTTCTGTCCTCGGCCACCTATGTATGGATGTTCTGTGGACTGTACACTGCTTCTTTGGAGGACAAAAGTCCGTCCACCGAAACACCGACTTTCTGCAAGTGTGCCGTTGGCTGTCCGCCGTCTGCTTACGTCCTGTCCCGCTCGCAAGCCAGGGATACCCAACGCAGTTGGTGCTCGAGATACTATTTATTGTTGATATGCGCTATTGTTAGCCCTACAAATCCCTTTTTCGTTGGGAGATATTTCTGGTCGAGCCATTTTTGACTCGTGCAGGGCGGTTCGTCATTTCAAGTTTCTTATGCCAGATCTGAGATCTGAGACTCGTGGCCGCCGTCAATTTCCACCTCGTGGATGCCTGGCATCCTTGACCTATACTTGGGAGTCCTGCCCCCAAATTACGTCCGAACATGATAAAAAAACGTGGGAAGACAGAGATCTTAGCGCCCGTCGGCCGACCAGCGGTATGGCCGAGGTTTTGGGCCGGCGCCCCGGGCCATGCAGTCTACACGCTGGGAAGTCTCCAGTGAGTCCAGTCGACGTCCCCGTTGTCCCCAGGGATAGTGGCCGTCTTTTCAGGCCATCCCATTTTCTTCGCGGGAGCCCCCGTGGGTTTGTCTTGCCAGCTTACCTCCTGGGAGAGACAAGTTCTCCCGTTGGGTAAAAGGTGAGCTGTGCCGCATGGCTCCAGGAACGATGCAGTGGATGCGTCGCTCAGGTGGACCGGGCCAATTTCCACGCGGATTTCGAGATCCTGCTGGATTTGTTGTTCATCTCGCCTGCATGCATTGTCCTGTTCCCGATCGGCCCGTGGAATTTTCCAATTTTCGAACTTGCTCGGTCCCGCAATGAGTTCGTGGACAGGGACACCACGTTCCTTTTGCCATCCATCGTCGGGGTCTGGTCCCTTCCCCGCTTCCACGAGCGGTTGGCTTTCCCAAGATGGTAAATCTTCGAATCGCACATCGCTTTCGCATTCCCTCCACCTCCCGCAAATCATCATCCTCGTCGTTTTGGTTAAAATTAAAAACAACAACACAACACAAACACACACCGACCCCTTTTCTGCCGTGTTCCTTCACTTCTGTGATCCCCCGAACGGTGGGGCCAACCTACCATCGCATCCCGCGGGCGCATGTTTCCTCCATCCCCGCTTTGGCCCTCTTCTGCCACGCCATTGGCCGGCCGAAATCTGAAACGAGGTCGGATCCGAAAGGCAGGGTGCCTTGTGGGGTCGTGGGCACGTGCAGTGCAGCCCTGAGCGCCTGTCCGCTTTGCCCACTTTTGCCCACCGCGGTTCGGTCCAAAGCGTGCAAAGTTGCAGCCTCACCCACTGGCGAAATCTCGCTTGTTTTACTGGTGGAGTTTGATTGTGTGAATGTGTGCAACAGCAGAAGTTGCGCTCGGTTCCGGTTGCAGGCGAATTCTTCCATCCCGTCTCTCGTTTCCATCACACACACCGCCGCAAGGAACTTCGCGGGAAGGTGGGCGCCAAGCGCAGAGCCGCACTGGACGTGTCTTTTGCCGTTGACGTCTTGTGTTTAACGCTGTTTATTTATTGGTCCTCCGATATATCAGGGTTGTAAATAGACGCGGTGGTCAAACCTAGACCCCCTACGGATAGTGGGAACAACAACGAGATGCCTTGTCAAATGACTCCAAATAGTCCGTAGTCACCTCTCTGTCATTCCGTCACTGTTTTAATCATATTAGCATCGGCCGAGGGACGGAAATTCCGCGTTTTAGCACATCCCGCAAAGCTTGTCCTTCACAAACGGGCAATATCTTTCAGACAGCTCATCCGCCTCTTCCTCATGCCCATATCCGCATCCAAAGCAGCAACCCGTAGTCATTTACCTGTAACAGCATAACTTCCCGCCCGCCATCGTCATCGAAAGACACGGAATCGCCGAATGATTCAAGACAGCAGGCTAAAGACAAATCGACGACTCACTCCCAACAGGAAATGGCCACAGACGGATGTATCCCGACCAAAGGAGGCAAATTATCGGAGTTGTTCGACATTGTAAGGAAGTCCCAAGGTTTGAGAGTTGAAACTTGCCCGAGCACCTCTCATCAGACGACTTTGACTAGTTATCCGTAGGCTTGACTCGACTTCAACTCAACTAATTTTCCCCGTGGCGCACTGCCTCAAACTCGGGACGAAAAGTGGAACTTCTTTTCAACGTTCCAACTCCACATCTGTTCGAGAAATCATTCATGCTAGATGACTTCATTTCCTTTCGAGTTCATGCTGGCTCCTCTTTCGAGGCTGGGATGGGTATTTCGCATTTTTGGGAGGGCAAGGGATGATAAGAGAGGCGGTGAGTCCAGGTGGATGGAGACGCTGTTATGCACAAGAGACAGCGGGATGTGAAACTGGTGATCGCTGGCTGGGTGTTTGGCTTGGGGTCTGTGCTCGTGGACAGTCTTTTTGTTTACTCGGTAAGTGAACGAGTCTTGTGCCTTGCTTGTAGGGTATCGTGAGCTTAAGTAGCCTTGTCCCGTTGTTTCCCTGTTGCTTTGAAACTGACAGCATGATATATAGTCTGGCCGCCGCCTGTTTACAGAAATGCAACAAGCAGGGCAATAGTTATTCAGTGATTATCACTGTTTTCCAGAATCCAGACGAGGTTTCACAAGTCTATTTTGGGCATTTGAACAGGAGGATGTACACTACAGTACAAGACGCGGATGCCCGAGACAGTCTCGACGATCGGGCCCAGCGAAGAGGGTAGACCTCATAATAATGTCTTGCCAAAGGGATCTTTTTCATCCTGGTAAACTGACGAAGCCATGGAGACGCAGTGGAGCTGGGGCTCAGCCGTTACGGAGGTTCCAAAGACTCGGATGCTTCAGAGAATCCTTGTTCGCCCGAGGAAGGACTCAGAAGTAAACAAAACAAAAGGACTCACCAGTCTTTTCCACAATTAGCTATGTCCCCTTTGAAATCTTTACCAATTCACAGTCCGAGTCTGTCCAGACCCGGGCCAGGCCAACACTCATCGGTCACAACCAAACGACCTTTTGTGCTTCGCCCTCGATGTCAACAAACCCCTGCCACTGACCAAGCGTGCACATTGCTTTTTTCTGGCTGCAACACATGGCGTGCATCGCTCGAACACCCCGTCAGTTATCCCGTTGTTCAAGGAACCCAAAGAGAACTCTTGATTCGCCAATGCCATTCTCCCCCCCCTCGCGCTTTGCGCTTCCGAACAACGGGAACAGCTTCAGAGTCAGACACACGCGATGGGTGAGGTTCATCGGGAACAGCATCCGAGACGGCTTTCCTCAGCCTCCCAGCACGGCACAGCAACAACACAGCAGAACAACAACTCTCGGAAGAGAGTTGAACAACACAACACAACAATAGCAACCCCCGTCCATCCAGCCAGGCCCCAGGCCCAGCCCAGCCGAACCAAACCGTTTCCCGCTCGGCGAGGCCCGCGCGCCGCCAGCCCCCCGTCTTCCATCCATGGGTTCATGGATGATGACAACAACCCCATGTCCCTTCCCTCTCTTGTTACCCGAGCCGCAACCAAAGAAATTGCAAGTGGCGGTTGAATTGTTGTCGCGAGACAGGGTTCTACACAACGCGGTCCTTGAAGGGAGCATGGTTTGGTCTTGAGGTGTCGAAGCGAGATACGGTCACGGTCTACGGAACGGGAGAACGACGCGTTCCGGCTGTCTATCTGCAAGTGCTGGAATCAACGTTATCTGAGGAGACAGATATCGGCGGCCAATACGACGTGTTCCCTTTTTCTTTGTTTGTTCGCCTCCCTCCCTCCTGTCTCCTGCTTCTTGCATAACGTTATCGCTCGTTAGAGAAAGGAGAAGCGAGGCAAAAGGAAGAAAACTGCGGGGTGAAGTCCTCAGCCGGCCTGCTTGCTGCATGATCTGTTGACCCCGTGGCCATCCGGTCCACTGCAACTCCTTCTTTCTGATTTTTGAGCCGGCACTTCGAAAATGCCACTGCGGGGTTGTGTCCTGCAGTCATTCTTTTTATCTTGAAAAGAATTGACGAATTACCAAGTCCTCGTCGTGTAAGATCCATAGGACAACCATGTCATGCCAGGTACTCACGCTTCCGAGACAAAACATGTTGCACACAACGGCCGACGAACGACTTGGGCAAGCGCGTGTTGACATGAACAGATGCTGCCCGAAGAGGGAAATCGGAACCTGAGGCGAACCCCGGCCCGCTATGGTCTGGGTTTTTTAGCGCGTCGATTTTGACCTTTTTCGAGCGGCTGGGGTCATGGGGTGCTGTAATTTATGTATCGGGTACGGGCTCGGCGGCGGTTGTTTACTTCGCCCTTGGAAGATGTCTCCCATGTCTCCCGGGCTACGGTCCGATACTTTCGTTTGAGATGATATCATTCTTTTTGGACTGACTCAGATCATCTGAGGCTGGGTTTGTCCCGTGTTGTTGGCTTTTCTCCAGCCTGCAGCAAACGGATCGAACCCGAGAGGTGGCCTCATAAACCCGATCGGAGCCGTTCTTGAATCCAAGAAAAGGGATAGGTAGCCGCATCCATCTGGCATGAGTTGATGTCAAGATTTATTTACTGTGGTACGGTGGGTGCCTGCTTCGGCAGCCCTTTGACATCAGTCGAAGCGCCTCGCGTGACACTCGAGATGTCATGGTTTGCGGTTTTGTGGGGCGTGTTTCGGTAATTTACACTTGGACGCAGACGGCCACTGACAGTTGTCCACGCATCCATCTCGACCCGCGATGCACGCAAGCACCGCAAACAGATTCCCCGCCTCCAAAACAATTTACTGTGAATTTTCTCTCCCAGTCAACTCTAAATTTTGAATGTTTTGTTGACGAATCTGAGCTCATACAAATTACCCGCTTGCCATTATTCGCGTTTGCTGCGAGTCGCTGACTGCTCTCTTCGCTCTCGAATCCCGCTGCGACCCTCAGACCGCTCTGGCTTTTTTGCCCGTCTCGCTCCCAACGCGCGCCCAACCACCGAGCAGCACTTGGAGTCATCCCGCTCGACAGGACAGCAAAGATCTAACCAGGTTTTCGGATTCTTTCTGTTCGACGCTGATGCGCCGTTTCAACAACCCAGCCAATGCGCCTGTGTACCGAGTCTCGACGGCAGACGGCATAGAAACACCCCTTTTTCTTCGTTTCTTTTTCGAGACGCGAGGGGGGAAACGGGAACACGGACCCGCGCGCACTTTCACTCCGGCGCAGCATCAAGGTTTGCGGGCAGGAGTGGGGCCGTCCTGAGCAGCGAGCAGCAGATTGGAGCACGGGGCAGCTCCCAACCAAAAGCATGACCTCGACCACTTTCGCAGGCCGCCCCTGGGCCTTTCCTCCGGATTACCATTTCAGCGCGAGCGGCCAACAACCACCTTTGGCGGGCCCCCTGGAAAAAGCGCACAACATCAGTGGCGCGCAACAGTCTCAGCACCCACAACACCCACAACCACCACAACAACAACATCAACAACACCCGCCGATATTTCGACAACCACCCCAAGCACACGACACGCGCAGCGACATTATAATCAACACGCACCGACAAAACCACAACTCATCGAAGCTGCCGGCGTTTCGATTTGCAGACCTGCAAAAAGACCGCATTCCGGCGCTGCTCGCGCTGCAGCAAGCGGCCCCACTAGCGCCGGTTCTGTCGCAAACGACCGTTGCTGACCCCCTGGGCGCAAGCGGGCACATCCCTGAAGCGTCGCATAACATTCGCACCCTCCAAACCCTCCACCATTCAAGCAGCACACCAACCCTGCCGGATCGGCCGGCCCCCTTACCTACTCCCGCTACTACCTTTGAGTTCCAGCAACACCACGCCGGAGGAGCCAGTGCCACTGCCAGTACGAGTACCAGTGTCACGACAAAGACGACGACAAAACCTCGCGCGCGCACATTCCAACTGCCAGGCTTCGACATCGCTCGCGACAACACGCCCACAGGCTCCAAGCGCCCGGCCTCGTTCTCCGACACGCACATTCTTCCCCGCGACGCGTCGGCCGCAAACCGTCGTCTGTCGCAACCCCAGCCGCAGTCCCAGTACCAGTCCCAGTACCAGCACCAACACCAATACCAGGAACAGGAGGAACAGGGGCGCCCGACGTCAGCGACCTCGCCGATCCCTCCGATTAAACGGCGATTGACCGAGAGCGCGATTAAACATTCGAGCCACGGGCACCGAGACAGCGCAAAATCGGACGTCAAGCAATCGCGCCCGCCGCTCTCGCACAAACCGTTTACGTCCCCCAGCGGCGCTTCATCGTATTCCTCGGGCAAGCGGACTGCTCCGCGCTCGTCCCGGTCGCCTGGAGCGCGCAAGAGTGTCTTTCTCGATATGCGCGCGTGGCGCAAGCCGCAAGACGTGCATTATAGTAGCAACCATAGCAGCAAGAAGAGCAAAAACAATAGTTCGAATCACAACCACAACAACGACCACAACAACGACCACAACAACGACCACAACAACGACCACAACAACGACCACAGAAACAACGACGACATCGCCGGGACGGGGTCAGAATACCACCATCGCGACCGTCCATTACCCTCGATCGAAGGTGGGCGAGGAGAAGACGAAGACCTCCCACAGCCGACACCGTCGGAAAACGACGAAATGACGACAACCACGGACAACGACAACACGGCGGACCTGTTTATGAAGATTGCCGGGGAGGATCCGGCCCCGCGGGCGTCGGAGCAGCTACCAGCCTCCGCGTCCGCCGAGCCGAGCCCTCTAGTAAGTTCCTTTACGGGGACACGCTCGTTCCACGACGACGACGACCGCTACTCGTCGGCCCCGTCGCTGACCCGCTCGCAGTCGCGCATCTCCCGGAGCGCACATCGTCGACCGCTCTCCACTTCCGTCGCGGCGACACATCACGAGACCCCCTCGCCACCGCGGGTCACACGTCGGATGTCGGACCAACGCGACAGCTCGCAATCACGACAGGCGGCCGACACGCAGTCGGCGCATCCTCTCTCGCGCGAGTCATCGGCGTATCGCACGCCGGCGGGGAGGGAGAACCTGCCCCCGCTCGCCACGTCGGCCGAGAGCTCTAGCCGGTCCCAGTCCGGGCGGACACCCCTGCGGCCATCGCCTGTGACACCCCGGCAGATCTCGTTCAAGGACTCCCTCGCGGGGGAGAACAGCTCGAGCTCGAGCTACCAGCGTAGGCGGCAGTCGCTGACGGATAATAACAACCACAGCAGCAACAACAGCAGCAACCCGTCGTCCTCGCGGTCGACGCACTACCGCAACGCCAACCTCGTGATCACATCAGCCCGGACGTACCACTCCTCACCCTTAGTCCCCAAATCCGTCAACGTTCTCCCGGATCACCCGAACACCTCCGACGCGAACCAGGCCGCAGTCGAGGGGAACGAGTCGTCGTCGTCCACAGCCGCGCCATCGACGGTCTGGGACGAGCTGGATGACCTGAAGTCGAGGATCCACAGGCTGGAACTGACGGGCAAGATGCCAGCTACGCCAGGCGGTAATGGGGCTAACGGGGTGTCCCGGTCATCGGAAGAGCGCCCACGAACGGCGACGACAAACGCCACGACGGTATCGGCGTCGCCCAAACGCGGATCGGGGACGGGTGTGCCGCAGACCGCGGAGGTTACTCCGAACAACGTCGGCAACATCAACAGCAGCGTGCAACACATCCAGCAGACGCACATGCAGCACTCATCCCCCCTAGCCCGCGAGGCCCAGCCGCTGCTGCTCTCAGCGCTGAGCAAGACCAAGAACCTGGTCAACCCCGACGTCTTCGACGCGATCGAATCAGCCGCCGCCGACGCCATGACGCTGTCGTCCATGATTGGGTCTGTGGGGCAGCCCGGGCCGGTGTCGAGCGCCGCTAGTGTGGTGGGCGGGTACAACGGCAGCGTGACCGACCGGCAACTGCGCAAGAAGGCGGATAGTATCTGTCGGAGTTTGACGGAGTTGTGTCTCGCGCTTGCGGACCCGGCTGGAAGGACTAAGTTGCCGCTGCCTGCTCCTCCTCCCACAGCAGTAGCAACACAGGCAGCTCCCGAACCGGAGACAACAACCATCAGTCCAGCAATCAACCACCTCGTCGCCGAAACCCCCAACAACAACAACCACCGCCGACCTAGCGCCGTAGCCGACGCCATCGTCAAAAACGGAGCAGCAGGCGCAGGTTCCACCAACCCCAGTCCCCGCGCCCCAACCTCGCTCGAACAAAAACGCAAGTCCATGCTCGCCGGCATGTCGTCCCTCTCTTCCCCACGCTACGCCACAGCCCCGTCTACCCCGCTCGAATCTACCGCCGGTCGGAAATCTTCTCTTCTGCTTGCGCGTATTCGCCGCACTGCGACTGATGAACCTGAGGATAGCCCGCAGTCTGCTGGGGGGGTTGGTAATAGCGGCGGTAGGCGGTCGTCGCTGTTGTTGCGGTCGAGACGGCTGGGGTCGGAAGAGCCGGAGGATCAGACGCTGCAGCAGACTCAACAACAGCAACCGTCTCCTCGTGAGAGCGGAGGGGGGAGGAAAACCTCGCTGCATCTACGCACTCGAAAAGCAATGGTGATGAGTGAAGACGAAGACGACGGGCCGACACGCATTCGTGCGCCGTCTAGGGCGGTTACCGAGGTTAATGGGTTTCGTCGTGAAACTCATCGCGAATCTCATCGTGAACCACCCATCTCAGGTTCCCACCGCCATCACCGACAGCAACATGACAGCGGCAGTGAAAACAACCGTCACAGCCCCGAAGGCCCGGCCACGCCATCTGTGCTGCCGCGTCGGAGTAGACTCGTGCCTGCGGCGATTGCCACCCGGCTGGCGACGGCGTTGCCGTCGAGTCAGCATCATCATCAGCATCCGAGCACACCGGCGAGGAAGTATCTCGAGCGGAGTAGCACCACGCAGGAGCGCGATCGGGATCGCGATCGAGATCAAGACCGGACCCGAGACCGGGACCGCGACCGAGACAGGGATAGAGAAAGAGATAGAGAAGGCAGAGAAAGAGACAGAGAAAGAGCCCTACAGAACCTTTCCGATCGGCTGGCTGAAGAAAGAGGGCACCAGCAGCAGCGGCAGGTGTCGGGGTCGGCGGGACTGGGATTGGGGTTGGGGTTGTTGGGACGGAGTGGGAGTCTGGGGCGGAGGGGGGGGAATGTGAGTGCGGCGAGGGAGAGGGAGTCGGGGAGGGATAGTACCGGGAGGGATAGTACCGGGAGGGAGAGTATGGGGAGAGAGAGGGAGACGGGGATTCCGAGTTTGAGGCAGTGATTATGAGGGTCAAGCTCTGGGGGCACGCGACGCTCCCTTGGATGCTTCGACTACACGCTTCGACTACACGCTTCGACTACACACGCTTAACCACACCTCCGAGTACACGCTCCAACCACCTCTATATTATAGAGTACACGCGCTCCATAATACAACAACATACCCGGCTACACTCGGAACACGACACCGCCCAACCTCAAGAATGCAACGGCCAATCTAAAGACCACACAAACTCGACAACGTTAAAACGACCGCCATGAAAGTCCAATGTTTCGATCGATACACACACACCCACGTTCCGCCACCCACCAACCATACTAGTCTCACACGGACAAAACTTATCATCCACCCGGGTATCAGACCAGCTCGGGACGGAGGAGACGGAGTCCGGGATGAACAGGGATTGAGCACAAACGAGCAGAGACAGAGCAGGGCGATTGCAAAAAACCATGTGCATCTCTCTGCTCTGTCTCTGTATCTATCCATGCTTCTATACTGTACCGTCTGCCTGCACCCATCTGCGCCCGCATCCGCATTTGCATCTTTCGCTCCCCGCATTTTTGGGTTCCTTCTCGCATTTTTGCAAGACAACCGGTGTTTCGTTGGATTCTTGTTTATTCTTATCTTATTTATTGTTATCATTACCATTTCCACGGAGACAGAGACGGGGCTAAGGAGGCAGCCAGGCAGGCAGTTTGAGTTTTCAGTTTCAAGTTTCAAGTTCGAGTTGAAAAGCTTCTTGTTTTGTTTTTTGCTGGGTTGGGCTGGGCTCGTTAGATTTGGCATTTTGTTATATTGTCATATTTATTTTACGGTGGGGTTCTTTGGTTTTTGTTTTTGTTTTAATCATTGGCATCGTTCACGGCATCCTCACATCGGGTAGGCGTCTTGGTTTTGACGACGATGATGGCCACGGAATGGAATGAATGGTTGGATGGTTGGTGTAGGCAGGGTATGGAATGGGGTATTTGTATCGGTTTTGTAGGAGCATGGATGGATGGATGGGATAGGATAATGAGGCGGTGTTTAAGGGGCAGCTGGAGGGGAAGTGTGGGGTTCTTGTATGATGATGATTGTTTTATTGTTCCATTATCTACATGTGCTGCTTTGTTTTCTCTTTGTCTTGTTTGAGTGAAATGGTGTTGGGTGTTGGTTATTGCACGGGCGCTTACCGGCGTGAGTCACCGGGGCTATGGATTCAAAAACCACTGGGACGATTAAAAGATGGACTCTGTCTTGGGTTAATTTCTTTCGACTTGTTTTCAATCCGTCCGACGTCAGCGCTTTGGCCCTGGAATGACCGTATTTCAAGATACCTGATACCGTATAATATCGAACTTTCGCCGAAGAATAGCCTGCATTTTGACACTCACCCCACAATCTACAACCCCACTACCCCACCACGACCTCTCATTCTCACGACAACACACGATCTCAGTTTCATTGCAAAGTCGGTCAAAACGGGTCTCATCATAAAATGTGAGTGATTCCGGTCTCTGCATCTTGTCTATCTCCTCAGTTGTGTCTATTTTTGTCGGTATATCTATATATATTATTCTTATTTTCTTCTATTTCTCATGTACAAATTCCTCATTCCCCGACCTCGTTTTTCAGCTGCCAGAATTACACCACCTTTCGCAGTCTTGTCAAAACCAATAAGCACAGCCAGTCACTTCTCACCACATCGTCTTTCCACTCCAACCCCCAAACGTAACCTGCATCAAATTTTATCATTTCGAACCTCATTCTTACCTCTTACATTCAACACAGCTTTCAAGAGGACACACACCATGTCCAGCCACGACCTCGAGCTCGACGAGGACCGACTCGCTGACCTTGCTCTTTCATCCACTCGGCAGTCCGGTGGTCGAGGGGGTAAACGCGGCGGAAGAGGACGAGGCGGTGGAGGAGGCGGTGGAGGAGGCGGTGGCCGAGACAAACGCGAAGTCGACCTATCACGGGCGCTATCCCGGCTGTTGAGACACCAGGCAGCCAACGCCGGGGTGCCGCTGGACCGGGAGGGGTTTGCCAGTTTAGAGCGGGTGGTCAGTCTCTTCCATCTATCAAACTATTCATGAATGCCAACTAACCGACTGACTCTGACTGCTAGCTCCAATGGCCCCCCCTCCGCTCCCTATCACCCAGCTTCGCCGAAATCCGCCACGCCGTCGACAACTCGGACAAGCAACGCTTCGCTCTCAAGCCGGACCCGCGCACGAACCCGGACCTTGACGAGTCCACGACCGACCCGGCGCATTGGCTTATTCGTGCTAATCAGGGGCACTCTATTAAGCTGGATAGTGAGCACCTGCTTAAGCCGCTCGCTTTGCCTTTGCCTGGCTCCGCTACTGCGTCCGCGGGGGGTGAGACGGGAGAGGAGGAGGGGAAAGAAACGGAGGGTGAAACGGGAAAGGAAGTCGGAAAAGAAAAAGAACAAAGTCTCCCACCCGGCGCCCTCCCCATCCCCCCAACCGTAATCCACGGCACCTACTTCGCCTTCTGGCCCTCGATCCTCGCCAGCGGCGGCCTCAAGCCCATGGGCCGCAACCACGTCCACTTCAGCACCGGCCTGCCCGACCCCAACAACACTGACCCGAATAGTAAAACCGTAATAAGCGGCATGCGCGCCGACGCCGAACTCCTCATCTACATTGACGTAGAGCGCAGTCTGCGGGATGCTGAGAGCGGGATAAAGTGGTGGATGAGTGAGAATGGGGTGGTGTTGACGGAGGGGAATGGAGAGGGGATCGTGCCGGTGAAGTATTTTAAGGAGGTTGTGGGACGGAGGCAGCAGGTGGGGGTGTTGTGGCGGGATGGGGAGTGGGTGGGGGATTTGCCGGAGAGGGTTAAGGTTAGTGTGCCGCATGGGAAGGTGAGGGGGAATGGTGGGAGAGGTAATGGGAGAGGTGGAAGGGGGAGTAGTGGAAGGGGAAGAGGAGGAAGAGGAAGGGGGGATAACTAGGAGGGAGAGGATAGGGAGGATTACTAGGCGGGAGACAGCTAGGGAGGATAAATAGTGTTGGGTGGGAGTCACTAGGGATATGATACGGGGGAATGGATAATCATCGCTATCATCGCTATATGCCGCTCTGCGTAAACGAGAAAAGCACCAAACCATATCTACGCCGATATCCTGCGAACGACTCAACCAACGGTGCTTCGTCCCGAGGATAAAACCATCCCATCTCCCATCCCATCTCCCATCCCATCTCCAGTCTGATCTCTCCATCTGATCGCTACGCCAGAGCATCCACCATCCTAAGCACACCACCCACCGTCCCTAGCACAGCACCAACCGTCCTAAACACAGCACATACCCTCGGTGCTGAGTACCTAGCTAGGTAAAGCACCTACTCCCCCATCATCTCCTCAAGCTCCCTCATCCTCCTCTCCTGTTCCCCAACCAACCACCCCAACACCACCTCCGCCACTCTCTCCGTCGCATTCTTCCGTCCATACACATTCTTCACATCCCCTAGACCCTCGGGGATTTTGAGACCCGCGTCGGGTCCGAAATCCGCGCGGCCGTCGAAAAAGTCTCGGGCAGCGGTGAGGGAGACTGCGCCGGGGGAGGTGGAAGATGGCAAGGTGGAAGAGGCGGTTGGCGAAGGGGAGGTGCGGTACTGCGGGATGGTGAGACCCATCAGTTTGCAGAGGTCTTCGACGCGTTTGGTTGCGGGGGGGATGTGGTCTTCGTCGTAGTCCTCCGCGTTCCCACCATTCGTTCCATTCACGTTGGCGATGCCGTTGGTCTTGGGGGTCTTGTTCGCAACTCCTCCGGCTCCGGCTCCCGCTCCGCTCTTCTTCGGCGTCACCGGCTGAGTCTGGTCCTGAGACTGGGACTGGGACTGCCCCTGAGACTGCGCCCGGGCAGCCTTGGCCTTGGCCTTCCCGCTAATAGTGGTCGTGCTCACGCCGTCGGCATTCATGTACCCGCCGCGGATCAGCCACTGGACACAAGCGCGGGCGGCATACTTTTTGGCGTCCTTTTTGCGGCTGAAGCTGGGGGTAGTGCCTGTACCCGCGGCGGCGTTGGCACCGGCACCGGCACCGGCACCGGAGATAGAAGCGCCGCCGTCGTCTTCGTTGGCGGTGTTGGTGGTGTTGGTGTTGGTGGTGTTGGTGTTGCTGGGGGAAGACGGGGGAGGCGAGCTGAGGCCGGATTCGGCGTTGGGAAACGACAGTTCCTGGCCTGTGGCGGGCAGGACGAACTGGCAGGTGCAAGTCCAGCGATTGTCATCGGCCGGGTGCTCTGTGAAAGTCGGCGCGGCGCCGTCGTTGGCTTGGATGTAGACTGGGCGTGTTCAGTGTTCGTCTTGGGAACCCGAGAGTGTGAATGAGTTTGTGACGGGGGGGGCGATGGGGGAGTGAAGGAGACGGGAAAAGACTTACGATTCAACAGGCTCACCCAGTCGCGATCGCCTAGCTCGGGCTCGATGGCGCGCTTAAAGTCCATGAGTGCCTTTTGTAGGGATTGTGACAGCGGCTTGGGGTTGCGCTCTTGTTCTTCGAGCCACTCGCGCAGGTCGCGGTAGACCAGCGGCTCATCAAAGGACGCGGGGGTCGCCATGGTCGTGTGTGTGCTCGGAACTAGGGCGGGATCCGAGCCGGTATGGGTAGTGATACCGGGAGTGGTATCGGTAGTGATGCTTGTGTCAATGCCCGAGATGGTACTATCGGTAGTATCGATACTCGAGATACCGATGCTTGGTTTGGGTTTCTTTTGCGAAACAGATGTAGGAGAAAGAGAGCGATCAGGAAAGCGATCACAAGAGCGATCAAGAGGATCAAGAGGATCAAGAGGAACAGAAGGAGGAGGAGGAGAAAGAGAAACAGAGGAAGATTGAGAAAGAGAAGAAGAAAGAGAAGGATGCTCAGGAGCAGCAGGCGCGAATGCTTCGGTGAACTTGCGTTTAAAGGACTGTAACATGTTCTAGCAGCTGTCCGGTTAAGAAATAGGAAGAAGAAGAAGAAAAGGAAGCGAGAAAGCGAGGAAACGAGAAAACGAGAAAGCGAGAAAGCAAGAAAAAAGAAGGCAAGGCTGCGCGAAAGGAAACCAAAGAAAAGGATCAAGTGGGGGAGGGCCTCATGCAATCGTTGCAACTGTGATGGGCTTAATGGGTGCGATGAATGCAGAAGAACTGCTTCTACATGGTAATCATGGGAAATGCCAAGAAGAAAAACGGATTGGTTAACACAGGCGAATGGGAGTCATGTTGCTGAACAGGAGAGCTGTTCATCGAGGGCCGTCTGGAACATGGAGGGTGCATACATGAGTAGTGGGGATGACCCCGCGTGGTAGGCCTCAGTGTCGTCAAATTTGGGTCACATTGTGCTTGGCTGTGAATACACCATAGACCAAACTCGGATTGTGGACTGTATGGAATTGACTGTTCAGTTCAACTGTTCAGCTCAACTGTTTCAGCTCAACTGTTTCAGCTCTGCCGCTGTTCACGCATCTGAAATAGTCACAGTTGTAGCATTGGGTATCAAATCTATGTACAAAGCAAGCTGCTAATTATGCCGAGGCCTGGACTCAACAGTCCATGAGCAGTTTTACTCAAAGAATTCTCCATCACTATCCTCCTCGGCCCTCTCAGCCTCATTTTTCGTCTGATTACCCCGTCCGCTCTTCGCCCTCTCCTCCCTCTCTCTAGCCCGCCTCTCTCTCCGCCCACCCTTCTCTGGCATCTCTTTACTTCCCATCTCTTGACCTCCCATCTCTTCACTTCTTACCTTTTTACCTCTCATCGTCTTAACGCCTCCCTCAGCCGAGCCTCCAGCCGAGCCTCCAGCCGAGTCACCAGCAGATGACTCCCCCACCAGCCGACGATTCTGCAACCTCTCCAACGCAGCCTTCCCCTGCTCCCTCGTCTTCTCCACAACCTTCCACATCGCCGGCCGTGGCGTCCTTAAATACTGCGCTGCTGTACTCGTCTCATTTCCATTCACCTCTGTATCATCCTCCCCTTTTCCTTTCTCCTCCTTGGTTACGCCGGCATACAAGCTGATGTAAGGCTCCATAAACGGAAAGTAGACCGCATAATCCACATCGACCTGCGCCACGTGCAGGTCGGCCTGCAGCTGGGCTACTTCGGCGGGGTCGGTGGCTTGGGCGAGGCGTTTGGCCAGTTGCTTGGTGAAGCGGAGGGCTTTTTTCCTTTCTACTCCGGATTCATCCATTCTATTAGCCACCCTCTCTCTTCACTTCCTCATTTCCAAACCCCATTTCCAACAGAAGCATTGCAAGAGAGGGACAGAGCGAGTAAAGGGGGGAGACATACCAAAAAACCGCACCATATGATACCGTCCAATCATCCTACTCCTCTCCTTCTTCTCCCTCGCCCCCTCAATCCGCTGCCTATGCGCCGCCAGTTCCCTTTCCAAATCCTTCTGTTTCGTAGCCGGCAGCTGGAGGGTCCCGGCACCATCGCTGCCACCTCCCCGCGCCAGCAGCCGTTCGATGGCCCGGGCGCGTTTCTTGATGGCGGTTAGGCTGTCTAGGTCGATGGGGGCTGTGGGGGTTTGTTTGCGGCGGTGGTGCGGGTTCTGGTTTTGGTGTGAGGAGGAGGAGGAGGTGGTGCGCAGGCGTTTGCGGGCGGGGTTTTCGTAGGGGGTGGAGGGTGGGTGGGTTCTTTTGGTGCCCATTTTGACTTTTTGACTTTTGTGGTTTGTGGGATTGGCTTTTGCCGTTTGGTTTTTGGGTTTGGCTTTTGGTTGTGATTACGTTTGTTGGAATGGAGGTTGAAGTTTGGCGATTGTCGGGACTTTCTCGAAATTTTGGACCCTGCAAGATGCCTGCCGGGAGTATGTCAGGGTTAGGGTTTTGATACAGTGCAAAGTACAGTGCATGGACTGTTCAGATTGTCTAGCTCGCCCCACTTCCTTTTCAGGGCAGCTCTCAGTTCTGAGCTCACAGTACTCGCTCACAGTTACAACGTTCATCTCAGTCCATCATCTCAGTCAACTCAGTCCACGGTATGACCATGCTCGACTCGAGATAAGTTTCCCTTGATGTATGGCAGTGAAGCATTAAACCGGATGACGGGAATGAGGACCGGTTGATTTCAGTCCAAGTTCAACTCGGTCCAACTCAACTCGGTCGAAGCTCGATTCATCAACTCGAGTCCCACATTCACTCACTTCTATTCATACCTCTCTCCTCTCAAATAACTGAATCTCTCCTACTCAACCCCCCCCCAAAAAATCCAAAATGGACCGCTCCGACTCGGGCCTAATCCGCTGGTCCCCCCACGCCTCGCGCGACTCCTTCCTGCACATCAACCTCCAACACCGAGTCATCCAACTCTACGAGCCCACCGGCCTGGCCCGCTCCAACGGCCGCTTCGAACACCGCAAACTCGCCAAACACGACGATTTCCCGCCCCTCACCACCTACGACTGGTCGCCTACCGTCCCCGGATTGGTGGCTGTGGGCACGTCGACAGGTGTGGTGAATCTGCTGCGGGTGGATGATAATTCGAATGCGTATTTGGAGTTGGGGCTGAAGATTTCACGGACGTGTCAGGCGGTGGCGTTTAATACGGCGGGGAGGTTGGCGGTGGCGTTGGATCGGGTGAGGAGTGATACTTGTTTGCATATTTGGGATGTTAGTCGGTTGTCTGGTTCTGGTTCTGGGACGAATGGGAGCGGGAGTGGGAGTGGGAATGGCAGTATAGGAGGGTTCCCGATCGGGGTTGGTTTGCCGTCGGAGCCGGTGGAGAGGTTGGAGTTGAATGCGTCGGTGTCGAGTGTGCGGTTTTTCGAGGATAATCCGAATGTGTTGGTGGCGGGGGTTAAGGGGCAGGGGTTGAGGATTCATGATTTGCGAGGTATTTCTCTCTCACTATCTCCTCTCAGTCTAAACGTTTAAAGGAGGGCTACTAACACATAAAAACAGACCACAGCCAGGGCCCCGTGGCCCAATTCCAAACCAAATGCTGCAACAACCTCGCAATCGACTACGCCGACCAAAACTACTTCGCCTCCTCCGCCCTCGACCTCCCCGGCGTCATGATCTGGGACCGCCGGGCCATGAACCGACACTCGGCCAGCCCAGCCTACGCCAGCGCAGTCGGCCACGACGGCCGGCCCTGGGGCGGCGCCGTGTGGCTCGACCGCGCCGTGCAAGACGAGACGCGCGCCTCGGACAGCGAGAGCGAGAACTCGTTCATCCGCGCCCTGCGTTTCTGCCGCGACCACCGCGGCATGCTGGGGGTTTTATCACGGACGGGCCAGCTGCGGGTGCTGAACCTGCGTCGGGAGCATGTCGAAGCCGAGGGCCGGGTCGATGGAAGTCCGGAGTTGTTGGAGGTTGCGCGGTCGTATGAGCTGGATCCACGGTATGCGGAGCCCGGGCGGAAGAATGATAAGATTGTGTCGTTTGACTGGGTTACGATGGGCTCGCCGGTGCCGCAGCCGCGGGTGTTGGTGTTGAGAGCGAGCGGGGCGTTTGATGTGCTGGAGAAGCCGTCGTTTACGGCGGAATATCCGTTTAGTTTGGTTCCCTGGCAGCCGCCGCATCGGGGACAGCCGGACGGGGCAGACTACCAAGACCTGATGCACTTTGAAGCCTCCTCCGCCCGCGACATCTTCGGCCCCTTACTCACCGAGCAAGCCCTATCAGACGACATCCCCTTATTCGGCCCACACAAACCCAGCATCCGGTCCCTCGTCGAAAAGAGCCTCGCCCCGGACGCCCCCTCGACCCCTGCCCTGGTAACCAACAACGCCAACCCTCCCACCTCCTCCTCTCTACTCTTCGACCAAGCCACCACCATAGCCGACAAGCTCAAAGCCCTGCGGCTAGCCGGGAACCAGGGCCAGGAGCGGCCGCCAGAGGACGCCATGTTGCTGACCCAGCGGGAACGGCATGAGCGTTTGTTGACTGAGGCGAGGGAGTTGACGGGATTGTCGGCTAAGGAGCGGTTTGCATTGGATCATACTATGCTGTTGCGTGCGCAGGAGGGGTATCGGTTTGATTTTGGGAAGAATCAGAAGATTGTGGCGGATGATCCGTGGTTGACTGATGTTTGGGTTTGGGTTGCTGGTATTTTTGCTCTCCTTTTCCCTCATTCCCCCCCTGTAGAAAGGAGACATGGCTGACTAGAACAGGAGCGGAAGAGGCCGCGACCGAAGGCGGCATGATGTCGTATCCCTTGGACATCGGGTACATGGGCGTGCACAACATCTGGACCAATAACCTAGGTACGTGCTCATGTTGACAGCCATATTCATGCATCCATTTAACAATCCCAGGGAGCAAACCGGAAAGACGACTATCCGACGACTCGAGGCCTCCCGACGAGGCCGGCTGGGAGCGCTGCCTCAACGCCATCAACAAGAAACTCGGCGTGCCCAAGTTTGACGGCACCGTCGAGACCAAACGCGTGCACCACCGTGAGATGTGCCTCGCCGTGTGCACCCTCGGCCGGCCGTACGGCGCCGAGTTCAGGGAGGCGCTGTCGGGTTCTACTGTGAAAAGACCGTCGACTTGGTACACCATGGTCGCTGCCCACGCTCTGTTCCGCGGCGACACCAAAGGGGCCGTCCAGGTGCTCAAGGTCGCCAGCACCGAGCATCCTGAGCTACTATTCGTCTCGCTGGCCTTACAATTGATCGGCAAATCCGGAGACAAAGACGACGACACCAAAACCGCCCTCGACTTCGACGAGCGCATCGCCTGCAAAACCGACCCCTACCTGCGCGCCATCTCCGCCGTCATCGCCACCGGCGACTGGGCCGTCATCGCCGACCAGCGAACCCTCCCCCTGCGCGACCGCTGCTTCGTCGCCGTCCGCCACTTCTCCGACGACGCCCTCACCGCCTGGCTCTCCCGCGAACTCACCGCCGCCATCGACACGGGCGACATCAAGGGCATCATCCTCACGGGCATCACCGACCCCCTCGTCGACATCCTCGCCCGCTACGTGCACAAGTTCCACGACACCCAGACCGCTGCCTTGCTCCTGGGTGTCTGCGCCCCGCGCTTCATCGACGATATTCGGGCTACGGCGCTGCGCAACGCCTACCGCGCGTACCTCCAGCGCCATCGCGCGTTCTTTTTCAGGGCCAAGTTTGATGTCGAGTCCACCCTGCGCAGTAAACACCACGGTCGTCCGACTGTTGCCCCGCCACCGCGGCAGATCGGGTTGAGGTGTGTGTATTGCGATGTGGAGTTTAAGACGGAGTCGTTGCCCCCACTGACGGGGGGCAGTCAGGGGGCGACGCCTGCTTTCTTGTCGTCTACCTCTTCCGGTACCAGCTCAAGGGCACGTCAGAAACACCCCCATCAGCAACACTCCCAACCCCATCCCCAGCACCCTCAACACCAACACCCCCACCAGCAGCAACACCAACAACATCACCCCCGACCAAAACACGCCCAACAAGAAGCAAACCCCTACACCGAAAAAATGGTCGCCTCGGGAATCAGCTGTCCCAGCTGCAAACAAAACCTCCCCCGCTGCGTCGTCTGTCTCGAAGTCGTCGGTATGCCCCGGACCACCACCTCCTCCTTCTCCACCACCGGCCCTGGCACAGCCCCAGGGATAGGCGCAGGGGGGATAGGGATAGGCGGAAGAGGGGTAGGAGGGTTAGGCATAGGAGTGGGAGGGGGAGTAGTAGGGGATACTAGAGGAACGGGTCGATTCCCGACATTTTGTGCGGCGTGTGGACATGTGTTGCATTTGGACCACGCGAGGGAGTGGTTTGCAAGGCACAGGGAGTGTCCGGTGCCCGAGTGCAGGTGTTTGTGTAATACGAGGGTTAATGAGGAGTTGGAGTATTAGTCTTAGGGACTTACTCGCTTATTCACGACTTACTCCTCGCTGTAGATGGGAGGAGGGTGGGTGGTGGGTGTAGTTAGGTATGGGTGGTGTCTGGGCGGTTATTGTATATCCATCTATCTAGGCCATCTATCTATCTGGTAATTTATAGCAAGTCAGAGAAACTGGCGTGCGTGGGCGACTCAGAAATTAACGTTAGCAACTCAGAAATTAACGTTAGCAACTCAGAAATTAACGTTAGCAACTCAGAGAACGCCGACTAAGTAACTCAGAGTACCTACCTAGCTAACATAGCTAGGTCGAATATACCGGACGAACCAGCAAGTCCAAGCCGGGAATAGCTTGTGCAACCCTAACCCTCGTGTTCTTTTACCCCTTTTTGTTCACCTCAGAGCACTCTTAGCCCGCCCTTTGTGCCTGAGCATGATCACATAGTCGATAGACCGATACTAATGGCCATATTTGATGAATCAAAATCTCCCCTGTGACCAGGCCATGGGCCGGTGATAAACCAAGACCACATTGCTGAATCGGAATCGGGAAAAGCTCCCACGTTCACTCTTAGCACGGTGCCTATTCTGTATCACATGCGAGTATGGAGCAGTACTGTCTTGCAATATGACATCGTTGCCTCGTAAAGTTCATTGGGAATAACCATTGATTTAATTACAACGTGGCATGCTCCCCTGGGTATCTATCATCCATCCTCCCCTGCCAAGACGTTCTCCATGCGCACTGCTTAGTTGGAGATCTTGGAGCTGACCTTCTTGCTATTATCACCATTCTTGTCAGCCATCTTTTCTCAAGCACACTAGCGCCGTAGGGACCAAAACTTACCCAGTAGCCTTCTCAAACAAACCACGCGCACCGTCGGTGATCTTCTCGGCCGTGTTGGCGTTGACGTTGTGTCCGGACTTCTTGGCGACCGCGTCAAAGACCTTGTCGCCATAGTCCTTGTGCTCGCCCGCGTTGGCGCCCGCGTTGGCGCCCGCGCCGGCACCGGGGTTGGCAGCGCCGCCGGTGGCACCGCCAGTGAGGTTGCTGAGGTGGTTCATGATGGTGGATGTGTGGTGGTTTTTGTGGGTTTATGTGTAAGGTGTTGAGTGTTCAAGGTGAGTCTGGCTGGATGTGGAATGGGGAGATGAAGGCAGCTGAAGAGACTCATTTAAATATACCTTTTAGCAGCAGTGGAGTTGGTTGTTGAACCCCCTTGACCCCTCTCCATCGTCACTACGTCATCGATCGATCGATCTGTGGCTTGGTTCGATCGCCAAGACCCTGCCCAACCCTGCTTGGCTGCAACCTGCAGGGACCATCCACCAACGTCATTCCTCTCTTTCTCTCTCTCCCAAGAAGAACAGTAAGAAGCTAGAGGCATGAACCAAGTACGCTCGGGAAACAGCCGGCAGACAATTTAATGCACTGCGAGATGGTCTGGTCTGACGTTTAGCATGAAAATGGCAATGAGCACAAGTAAACGTACTAGTACTTCGTACTTTGGGGAAAGTAGCAGACCGTCAATGAGTTTTGTACTACTCCCTCCTCAACACCGGAAGCCCGCCGTGTTCCGATCTGTCAGCCCACGGCGGGTCTACACTAGCTGACCAGCTGCAGGTGCATTGAAAATCACCTGGATGCCCATCGGAATGAGCGCCGACGACTCGAGATTGGCTATACGGACGATTGGCCAAGGTCAGGTCAGCATGGCTGAGAGATTCATCCCGAAAGAAATGCCCCACTCGGGCGAGGGAACATCGGAACTTCGAGAGCTGAGGGACCACTCAGCTGAGGGGCAGCATCACGCAAGCCACGCACCCACGGCACCAATTGAGTAATGGCAAAGTGCATCGTTGCAACCTTTGCGCGCCGCAGCTATGGACTATGAACACTACGTAGAGACACAGATTTGCATCCGCAGCAGCTCATTCAGCCGACCCACCCACAGTTCTGGAGGATAATTTTAGAGCCCATGGGCCATGGCTCGCCTGGGGCGAGAGGATATCTGCCTAGTTAGACGACATTTGGACCCGACCGTCCACCGCTTTTGTTTTCTTTCTCCGTCACATAGCATGGAGTTCCTCTTGTGACGCCCTCGCACCCTGTCGAACGAGATGGTTCAACAATTTTGAAGCTGCGGGCGGACCGCGATTTTACTACCGATTTTACTACGGCGTGCCTCTGTCGATGGTCGATGGCCGATGGCCGATAACCGATAGTCGATACTCAAATCTCAAATTCCTGCGCTCCGCTAACCTAAACTACCTTGCAGTGTGCCCAGACGTCACAAATGGCCCGAAAATCGAGTTCAAGTAGCAAGTTCAGCTGTAACAGTTCACCTTATCTGCCTCCAATGTCTTTACACGTGCCTCAAGGACGGCGACGCCGACAATCCGTTAAACATGAACGCAGCGGCCATTTACACGCCCTACTTCAACATCACCGACACGCCGTTCTCCGTCTCCACGACCCGTAAGTTGGCCTCCTTGACAGGCGTCGCGTCGTCCGCCTCATCCTCAACTATGTCTCTCCCCGCCACACCGTGTTTAACACCCACTTCAATAGCCACTTCAACCCCTCCCAACCCCAGCCAGGTCTACTACCACCATTATCCCTACGGTATGGATGTACATGGCTGCCACCCAGTCGAGATGGATACACACTAGAGATTCGCTGAGATGCCTGCTCTTTGAGCTAAGGATGGTCCGCCCGCGGGGCTACGCAGCTACTATTGACCCGGGAGTCTGTCTGTACCCGTTGTATGTATACACATATAACATGTTTCACTCGATAATCTTCAGTAAACGGCAGAAAATAACTAGATACGTGGCATCGACCTCGGCGTTAGCTGGCTGGCGACGTTTTTTAAATGTTTACATCGGAGAACAAGTCCCAGCGTGGATAGTTACCCCAAACCCCCACCGCCATTATCGGGGAGATTTCTTCATCACCGCTGACGGGCTGGAACATTGTCTAAAGGGTTGCTCTGTTCCCTCGGAGAGTGGCACCTAGAGATGTTACACTAGGTAGTTGGTTCGAAACCCCCCTCTGTCGAACCTTGAGGCTAGTCTTTTTCTCTAGCGTCTACTACACCGCCAGTGACATATCGCAGAGCCATCACAGGAGAGATAGAAAACGATAGTGTGAGCCGGAAAGCAAGCTAATGCTCCATCTCGGCATCCACATATCTCAACCAGCCCACTGCTCTTGTCTGGAACGGGTCAGTAACCTTCTATCTATCAGTTAGACAGCCGATTTCACCAGGCGACACCAAAACGATGTTGGGTCTCCAGCTTAAACGCGGGAACATCGCGACTCTACATCTCTCTGCGATCATGGCCCAGTACCTTGAAAATTTATTAACCCACCGGTTTCTAAGATTTATTCGTGCTTCATTGCTATCTCAAGGTACAACCGATTTACCATTGTCTTCTCTGTTTTCTTTTTCCTTTTCTGTTGGTCCCTCTTCTGTTGTTGTCATCTGCTTTTCTTGAATTTTTTTCTGTTTCCCTTCCCAGCCTCTTCCCCTACTTCTTCAAAAAGTCCATCTCAAGACCCCAAGGCCCCGACTTTTTCGATTCAAAAGTAGGTCTCGGTCTACAGAAGCTACAGGGCATGTAGCACTTTAGATGGCCCAGGCACCCGCCCCACGGAATACTATGTACGTATCCTAGAACTAATCTTCTGTCAGATTTCCCGCGTTCAACGGCTCAAATACGAGCCCGTCAACCTAATTTGGCCTGAAATGTCTCGCCAGAGACAACCCTTATCTTCCCGTTGGTCGATATCAGCCCCCCCCCACCTATTATCCAGCCCACCACCTCGCATCCCACCCCATTCCGTCCTGCCCAGACACAATCTCGGCGTCTTGGGCACGGCACTCACGCAATAACTAACGTTAAGGGGGAAGAATGTCTTAGGAGGGCTTGGACTCGGTGTGTCCGCCCGCGTGTGCCCGCATGTGAGTGCCATGTGGCCATGTGGGCATGGTACGAATTCGGAATACTAGTGCAGAGAAACGCCTTGAAGACAAAAGGGGAAACGGGAAACGGCGGAAGGGAAGGGAAGGGAGGCCAAGAAAGGCGATTGTTTGGAGTATTATTAGTACCCGCAGTCAGAGACAATGAGAACAGCGAACAGTCTATGGAATATGGTAGGCTCGTTCGGGAGAAGACGAACACTCAGGCCAGCCAAGCAGGCCAAGAACCTGGAGAAGTCCGAGAGAGAGACAAACAGAGTGAAGACGAAGGCAGTGAATGGCTTGGAAGGCTTGGAAGCTTGGCCGGCGAGAACAACGGCTCATTCTCCCTCTCCCTCTGATTTGCCAAGCGAAGACCGAGAACCAGCCTGAGAAACCGCCCAGAATCACGAAGACCTCGCCCAGAATGAGGCCAAGAAGCCAAGGACCGCCAAGGGCCTTGACGCCAAGGGACCTCGGAGACAGACGACTAATGCCAAGAAAGGGGCCCGGGAGGGAAGAAAAGCCAAGGGCCTGCCAAGGGCATGCCAAGGAGCCTCCGGGCCAAGAAGGGCCAAGAAGGGCCAAGAGGGGGTGGGGGTGCGACGGTGCCAAGGAGGACGAGAAGCATTTTGATGGATGGGGAAGTTGGGGAAGTGTGAGGTTGACGAATAACTTATCATTTACGTGTGGTGTACTCTGTACTATGAGAGTCGCTTGGGGAGAACTTGGCTAACTGTGTAAAGCGAAAGAAACGGAGGGTTTCTCCGAGAGGTTTAAAAGGTGCGGCGGGACTGTAGTAAAATGCTATTTTGGGGGTTGTAAAAAACACTTCAGTTGTTTTCGTTTTGTTGGCGTTTCAACTTAACCTACGTGTATTTCAAATTCGCAAGTGACACTGTCGAGTTCCCGCATCAGATAATGCCCCCAGAGATATTCACATGTTCAGCTGCTTGGCAGGATGCGGACGTGGTGACAAGGATCGAGAGAGACAATCTGATAATCATGAGGGGTTGGTGGGGGTTTTCGGGATTTCTCCGGGAGAAGAAGAAACGCGGGCACCAAACATGTCATGCGGAGCGCAGAGCCGAAGGCTGGCAATTCATAGAGGTCTGCTTGTTGACAGCCGCTGACCGATCGATCTGACAGCTCCGTTCACTGATGACAGCTGTGGCGAGCCATGAATCGAGACGACCAGCTGGCACCGGGCCGGAGGAAGCTGGTGATCAGATTGATTATTGATGTGCTCAGGCAAAACAATGATGAGATGACGACTTTTGTTTGTCCAACATCCCTTCCCCATCCCACGTGTAGTTTGCGTGTGTTTTGCCCAGACCTGACTCGCGGCGCGCCGAGAAGACAAAAAAAGGCCGCCGAGTTCCGCAAGGCGAAGCAGCCGCACCAAACGAGGCACCTGGGACGTTGGCGCAACCGGTTGGAGTGGGCATTTTCGCGGAGAGAGAGACAGAAGAGTTTCTTGGCTTCCTTGGCTTCCAAGCGAGAAAGGGGGCTGTGCGAGACCCAGACCGATGGGATTTGCTGGATTTGGCTGAAGCGGCGGGCGGGAGTCGGGGAAGACGGGGTTGCCAAGCGCTTGGCGCGCGGAGGATGATCTCTTGGCCTCATCGGCAAAGCTTGGCATGGAGTGGGCGCGGCATCAGGAGCCTCACAAGCCTTCGTCAAAGAGGGGATTATCTGGGATGTCGCGATCGGGCAGGAGATGCCGGAGATGAGTGATGCTGTGAGTGGACAGGTTTACCCTACGAAGAGAAGTGCCTTATCAGAACGGCCAAAGAACCCGAGATCTGCTGTTTGTAGTGCTTTTTCTCTGGAGGGGATATCCGGCACAACGGGAAACGAGTCAACGGGTGCCGGCGCGACCCGTTTCTCGAAAAGGAAACAGCCGTGCGAACCGGCCTGCAAAACCCCATATGCACGAGAAACAACGCGCCTGCCAAAATACACAACACGGAAATGACACAATTGACAAATGACATAAATGAGCCGGACGCTCAGGAACTTCCAGGAAGGAGGCACCAGGAGAATGAAGGCACATGAGGGGCCTGGGCATTTCTGGGCAAAGCGTGTGACCAGGAAGCAAGGGTAATGGGGGGGCAATGAGCGCTGCCAAGACCTCACCTGCAAATACCAAGCCTTGGCTGTTACTTGGCGGTCCTTGGCATGGCTTGGCAGTGGAAGTCGTGCTGTTAGTGCAGTCCTGAATTGGGGGCAGCGTTTGGGTGGCGATCTGGGCGGGCGACAGCAGTTTTTGGTGTGGCACGGGTTGGGCTTTCTGTGCGACTCGCCTATCAGCAGGTACCCTAAGCGGCCCGAGGAGGCCAGGTGCAGCCAATGAGATTTGTCTTGGCAAGAGAGGCCCAGACCGCCAAGGCTTTGCCAAGAGGACTGCCAATGTTACTGCCATGAGAGAGAAGGCGTAATAAAGACAGAACGACCCGCTGTTCTGCTCAAGTCGACTGATGATCGATTTTTCCTCTTGCATCTCGAAAAAACAGACGAAAAGACGCCTATTTTGTCGCAAGTTTTGTTGTTCTCGCTGAATAGTTGCGACGAAGGTTGTTTTGTCGCACTTCTCTTCGTTCTTGATATCTTGGCAACGCTCGTTGTCTCTTTTTTTGCCCAGTGCTGCAACTGGCAGGGCGTGTTTCTTGGCCTTGGCACTCCTGCTGCAAGCAGTCATTCAACTCTGGGCGTTCTTGGTAAAAAGTGGGACCACCTCAGAAGATTTCTTTGTGGCCTCGGAACGGAAAAACACGGTCGAATCCCGAGGCTCCACCGAGCCCTGCCCCACCTTCCCGGATTTTCTTCGGCCGAACCCACAAATTTCTGGTGCACGCACCAGTTTTCCATTTAACCCCACCACCTCAATCCCAAACCCGAGGTTTACCCGATCCCACAAACTCCGAGCTTTCACCGAGGCTTACCCGACCGCACAACATAACAAGCACAATCAAACAACGCACGAGCCATGTCTGGTCTCGCGCCCTCGACGCAGACGCCTGCACCGGACGGTGCTGGTGCAGCTCCGGCTGTGTCCACTGCCGCGTCGGCTGCCGGCACTGCGGCCGCCTCGGGCCCTTCGGACCCCGTTTCGACTGACAACACTCCGGCCCCGTCTACCGGCGCCACGGCTAGTTCGGCTTCTAGCGCCGGCCAGGACGATAACTTGGTCTGCCACTGGGGCACTTGCAAGGACCATTTTGGTTCAGCTGAGGCACTCTACGTAAGTTGATTCCGTTTGATTGAAATCGCGACATCTGGAGTCGGACGCATCCGAAACTTGAAAAACCGATCGCGATGTTTGCAATCTTGCGACTCTCGCGACCGGTCGTGTCGGACACATTTTAAACCCCGAAAAGAAATCGGGTTGAAAATTGAATTCAAACACGTTTGGGTCGCGTCGGATCTCGTTCGATTCGAATATCGCTTCAAACATTAATAGACATGCTAACCCAAAATAGGAGCACATATGCGAGAAACATGTCGGCCGTAAGAGCACCAACAATCTGAACCTGACCTGCCAGTGGAACCAGTGCCGCACTACGACGGTCAAGCGCGACCACATTACATCGCATATCCGGGTCCATGTGCCCCTCAAGCCTCACAAGTGCGATTTCTGCGGCAAATCGTTCAAGCGTCCTCAGGATCTCAAGAAGCATGTCAAGACCCATGCCGATGACTCGGTGCTCGTCGGTGGCCGTTCCCAGCAGGACCAGTCCGGCGGCATGCACCCCGGCTACCGTGCTCCCCAGGCGGGCAAACGTAAGTTCCAAATCTCTCTCTCGTCTCGTAAAAGTATTCGTAACGGACGTATGTTTTTGAGCCCTTGCTGACCGAGTTTTTAGCTCCGGCTCCTTTCTACGACCATAACGGACACATGCGCGGCGGCAACTCGGGCGGCCACTTCGGCCACAACGGCCAGCCTGCCTACTACGGCCACCAGCAGCAGGGCCCTCCCCCCCAGGCGTACCATGCCCCCATGTACTACTCTCAGGCCATGGGCGGCTCCCGTGCGGACTACATTGGCCACCAGGCTGCCGGCTTCGGCGATGCCTCGCGCAAGCGTGAGGCCGACACCTTGAACGACTTCTTTGGCAGCGTTAAGCGCGCCCAGATTGACCCGCGTTCGTATGCTCAGATCGGCCGCTCGCTCATGCCGATCCACCAGTCGCTCCCCATGCATGCCGGCGGCGGTCTGGCTGCCGAGTACATGCCGCAGGCCCCGCACACGCTGGGCGCCCCCGGCGGTGCTTCTTCCCATGGCCCCGGCCCTCTGACACAGCACTACTACTTGCCGCCGATGCCCAACGTGCGCACCAAGGAAGACTTGCAGCAGCTTGACCACATGCTGGAGCAGATGCAGGCCACCATCTACGACAACTCGGGATCCCCGCAGCACGCCCACTACTCACAGGTCGATATGCGCCACCACTCGCCCGGCTATGTCACACGCCCGGCCGCTCCTGACCCGTATGGTGTCTCCGCTGCCCAAGTCATGTCGCCCATCAGCGCGTCATCCAACACGCCCGCGGTCACCCCGCCGTCTAGCAACCTGTCGTACACTTCGGGCCACTCGCCGACCGCCTCCTCCGCGGGTCTGTCTCCGTCTTCCCGCCACAGCTCCGCTTCGGTCTCGTACCCGAGCCTGCCAAGTCGCCCCAACCTGCCGTACCCGTCGGCCGCCGGCCTCGGCTCCACGTTCGCCCATAACGAGCGCCGTCTGTCGGGCGGCATGCTCCAGAGCGCGAGCGGCAGCGGCGGCAGCCACCTGCGTCGCGACGGTTCGCGCACTCCTACTCTCCGCTCGCCCACCAGCAGCGCTCATCCCACCGCAACCGGCCCTAGTGCCGCTGCCGAGTCAGGCGGCGCCGTCAGCTCCCCCTCCGAAGAGTCCTCCGAGGCCGGAGAGTCGGAAAGCTACGACGACTGGGTCCATAACATGCGCACGGTCGAATTCCTGCGCAACTACCTGCGCCACCGCCTCGACCACCGCGAGTACGAGGAGTCTAGTTCTGTGGCTGGCGGTTCTGGCGGTCGCACGCCGTCTGCGTCGTCGTCGTCGTCGGACGACGAGGGCCGCATCGACCCGATGCTGTCTAGCGCCGGGGCTGGGGCCACTAGCAGCAGCAACGGCAGCGGGAGCAACGGTAGCGGCTCTCGCGTCAGCTATCCGTCGTTGCCGCTGCCTCCGACGCAGTAAATTTTGGAGGCAGTAAAACTGCGACAGTTCCGCGTTGCCTTTCTTCTTAGGTCGTTCTGGTCTCACCCTTTCAACTCTAGCAAATACAAAGAGTTTCACAAATCTTTCCGCTGCTCTTGTGCTCGCTTGTCCGTGATCGCTCTCTCTGTGACTCCGTGAATGCCTGCTTGTTTGCGCCGTCTGTCCATCTATACTAGATGGTGATTTGCACAGCCTCGTCGCTGCCGCCCTTTTTTGTGTGGGGGACCGCGCCGCGGCGGCTTGATAGCCCGCTGCCCCGGCCTAATTTTTGGGTGAGTACCCGTTGCATCAGCCTGAATTCCCGTCGCCTCGGCCTGAAACCCCGCTGCCGCGGGCTGCTTTTTCGGAGCGTGCCCCGTGGCTTCCCGGGAATCCCCCGTGGCCTGCTTCTTGCGCGCCACCACCTACCTACCTACCTTGGAGGTCGAACCTCACAGGTGGGACGGGAGTATCGCCAGCTCCAAACCACCCGACGCACAGCTTCGCATCGCAGGACCGGCCTCGGGCCTCCTCACACCGGGCCGTCACCATGGCCGCCACGCGGATGGAAGCCCGACGTAGGTATGTTTACCCTCTCTCAACCATTCCCGCCATCGGTGAAGAGGGTCGCTTACTGATTGAGTCCCGTGGTCGCTTCCGGTCGAATGCCCCGTGGCTGGGGCCGGTTTTTGGTGCGGCCCTGTGGCCTCGGGGAGGGTTAGGTGAATCCCCCCATGGCCGGGGCTTGTTTTCGGGGGATGTCCCGCCGCTGCTGTGTAGTTTTGAATGAATTACCAGTAGCCTTCGGGGGGGGTTCGGTGAAGCCCCGTGGCCCCGGGGAGGTTTGGGTAAATCCCCATGGCCTCGGGCTAGTTTCTGTAGGGGGTTTTGGTTAACTCGCTGTGTCGCCTTTAATCCTGGGCGGCTTAGAGTTACTCGGTGTGGTGTTTATTTCTGACTTGTTGGGTTTACCTCTGGAATTCCTGTGTCGCTGTCGGGTACGCCGATTTTTGATTCGCTCCTTTGGCCCTGTGCCCTAGCTACCCTATCTAATGCGATATATTTGGCTTTCTAGACATCTACGTATCAACTCGTTGGAGTTTGTCTGGCACGGCTACCTTCATGTTCATTAAGGACTTGAGTCTGAGTCGCCATGCCCTTCAGCATGCGATAACGGGGCCCATCTGTATGCCCTTTATATTTGCAGCAAAGGTCGCCTCAATTTACCCCAGCAATCATCTCCCCTTCCATCTCCTCTCCCAGCCTCTGAACGTACTGTTCTGCTTCCGGGCCTGTGAGCTCCTCCTCCATGCCATCAAAGACGCCAATCTTTCCAACCACGCCGTAGATCCTAGATGCTGTTCCCTCAAGAACCTCAGCAATTGAGTAGCGCAGTGGATTGCCCCTCTTTTCAAGCCCCTGTTCTGCTTCCTGAAACTTCTGTCGGTACAGTAATCTCGCTCCAACCTGCCGGGGCATATTGCGATGGGCCGTGTGTCCGGGATCGTAGAGAATCTCTGCCGTTTCTCTGTCGGAGGAGATCAACGGGATTGGCATGGGACAGTGATTCACTTCCCAAGGCGCCGATTGCGCAAGTTCCCAGTCAATCACGGCGACGAAATTGAAATCGTCGTCGATGAGAATGTTCTGCATGCCCATGTCCATGTGATTGGAGTGAAACGGTCCTTGATTCAGATCGCCCTTGAAAATCTCCGTGTCGCGCACGATATTTCGAAAGATGAGAGGTCCAAGAGTAGCAAACTGGTTATTCTCCATGCCAGAACGCTTCTTTTCGAGTGCCTGGGCGACAAGACCTTTTGACACGGCAACGAAGTAGTCCCATCCGGAATGGAATGGGCCAGCGGCTGGAAGACTGTCAATCCAAGATGTAGCGATTGCGCCAATGATAGGACCAGTATCTGTGGAATATTGTGAGATTGAGCCAATCTGTGGAAAGGTAAAAGTGGCAAGCTCTGCCTGAAATGACGTCCATTGCGCAAAAATGTGCTCTTGGGTCGACACCTCCAAAGAGTTAGAACTATGTCTATAAGGTGAAAGAGGGTGAAAACTTACAGGAAGATTATAAATACTATGGTCGACGTCTTGGAGAGAATTACCATAGAATCCTTCGATGAGCATGTACGCGGCGCCTGCGTTGATAGCCCTCACAGATCCTGGCGCTTCGTATGCGTAGAGTGTAGGCAATGGGACGGTCCTGGAATTCGCTCGCAAGAACTTCATTGCCGCAACTTCGCATTGGATCAAGTACTCCTCGTCCGCGTCCGTGGCGTTACTCTCGGGATGTTTCGGCAGCCGAACTCGCGCGACAAGGAAGCGGTCGTCGTCTGGTGCGACAAGCTCGAAACAGCACCAGTACTGGCCTGCGGAGAAGGGTTCGCTCATGGACGCAGGTGAGCCGAGCACGACCGAGGCATGCTCCGTCAGCGCCGTCTTGTTGGATGGACGCCATGAATCCCTCCAGGCGCTACCTCATTCCGCCGTAGTCCCAATCGTCAAATGGTGCCCAGCGTTCGCTAGGCCGCATTTTCTTAGGCGCTGCCACGTCGCCGGACATGTTACTACTCAATCGTATAACTGTTCCAGTGCCCGGGGGGTAGTGTGAAGGTTGATGAGTCGGAGCAGAACAGGAGAAGAGGAGGATGGTGGGCGAGAGGGCGATTATATAAATCCGGGTGGCTTACGTTACATGGGCTCTGCCTTTCTTGTTGGGTTTTACGTTGGTTGGCTGTTACTTTCCCTTTGCTTGACGATTTCCTGTGTCGTGATGCTTCACGTACCGTGCTCATACCGTGTCTTGACTTTTGTCCCCACTGCTGTCTTCAACGTCCTTCACCGTTCTACATTATTGTATCACTCAGCAGCATCTTTCACCACTCTGCGTTGTCTCAAGCTACGTTATCTTTGTCCCACTGTTCCCCTTTCCTTCGATCACCCCCCCGTTCTTCTCCCTATTTCTCCCTCAACAATGTTACCCAAGCCTCTACATCTTGCTTACACTGTGTCTCACTCGCCTCTGTATCTCAGTCACAACCTGCCTCATTATCACCTGTCTTCCACTCAAATCACAAAGTAAAACATACACACACGCTAATCAATTATCATAACCATCATCATAACTCTATGACCACTACTTCCATAACCCTCACAACCCCCTCACAACGCCCTCCAAATAGCCCCCGCTCTAGAAACACCCACTTCCACGCCGCCTTCTCTCCCCAGGCCGTTTACCCCCTCCCGCTGATCAACCCCCCGCCGATTCATCCCCCTAACCCACGCCATCTCATCCGCCCTCGCCTCCTCCTCCACCGTCTCCATCAGCGCCAGCTCATCCAACATACCATGCACCAGTGCCCGACAACCAGCTAGGATACGTCGGAGGCTTGAGCCCCCGTCTTCTCCCTCTCCTTCTCTGTCTCCTTTTTGGGTTTCCTCCCCGTCTGCATTTCCGCCGTGTTCTCCTGCCGCCGGGTGTTGCTGTGGTGGCTGGGGAGTAACCTCAGGTACATCCCCCAGCTCACGCAACTGCCGACGCCACTCATTCAGCCGCCGGACCAGCGCGGCGTGTTCCTCGCGCCAGGCGGGAGAGAGCGGGGGGAGGAAGATGTCGGTATTAGTATCCAGCTTGGCGTTGGGGTTGGTATCGTCCTCATCACCGCCATCATCATCATCATCAAGCACCCTCCTCCCACGCACCGCCCTCTCCACCCCCCCAACCCAAGCCTCAAATCCCCTCTCCACCCTCTCATACCTGCCCCCTCCTCCCCCTCCTCTTCCGGTCTCATCCCCCCCATCATCACATCCTCCACCCCCAACAACAGCCCACAACCCCGACACAATCCCATCCAGCACAGCGACCTTCTCCTCTAGCCCATTCCCACCACTCATCCCAGTCCCAACTCCAAAATGACTCCAAGCAAGCAAATCCCCCACCACCCTCGCGCCCTCCACCTCCCCGCGTAACACCCTCACCCCGTCCTCGCGCACTTTGAGCGCCTCAAACCGGTCGTGCAGTACCTCCCGCGCACTGCCCATCCACTCGGCTCGTACGGAGGGTGCGTCACGGTGCAGGAGGTGCAGGGCTAGGAGCTCGGCTTGGAGGCGGGTTGTTTCGGGGGGGTTGTTGTTGTTCGCCGTCACATTTGAGGTTGAGGCGGCAGGGTTAGGGTTGGTGGTGCGTTTTGTCGGAGACACGGGGAAGGTCGCAGTCGTGGGCATGGCTGTGGGGGTGGGGGTAGATGTACCAGCCGCTCTGGGCCTCGCGGATGCCGACGGGCGTCGGGTGAGGCCTGGCCCGGTGCCTGGGAGTGAGGACAGAGACAGCGGTCGGCGCGATGCAGTGGCGGAAGTCGGTGATGGCGGGACGGCAGAGGTAGACCCGGACCCGGACCCGGACCCGGCCCCTACAGGCGCGCGGCGCGTGACACTCGTCAGTGGTGGCCGGGCGCGGTCACTCCTGGATACCGTAGTAGTCGTGGTCGTAGTAGATGAACTCGCAGTCGAAGCCTGTGACGGGGGACGCAGCATAGTCGGGCCCGAGAGGCTGCTGCTACCGTTAATCACAGACGACTTGGACCGGAGATGTCGAGGCCCAGCCGGACCACCTGACCCGCCAGCACCAGCACCAGCACCAGCACCAGCACCATTACCCGCGGCTGCCGCTTTCGCCTGCCCAGCAAGTGACATAGTGGACGACATCCGCCGCGCAACAGCCGCTGACACACCCGGCGTTGACGGCCGGCCGGAAAGAGACGCCAGTCGCGCCGAGGCGGTGCGCGCGTGTCCGGGGGCGGGTACACCATCCTTCGTCTCACGCGCTGCTGTTAGACCAGCTCCGAGACTGGGTCGTGATGTTGAAGTGGACGTCGACGTCGACGTAGAAGTAGGAGTAACCCGTCGTTCATCCCGCCCAGCCACACCCCCTCCATAAACCCCCGACACCGGTCGCGCACTCCTCGCCGCCGTGGCCCCAGCCCCAGCCGTAGCAGCAGCCGAACTCGCGCTCCTCCCCAGCCGTGTAGGCGCCCTACTACCCGTATCTGTCCCATTCCCAACCGCCGTACCTGAGCCAGCCACCTTCATCGACGACTGCCTCATCAAACCCGTTCCCGGCCCTGGCGTCCCTGTCCTCGTCAGCCCTGGTGTCCCCGTCCTCGTCGGCCCCAGAGCCGGTGTTCCTGTGCGTGGCGGCCCAGGCGTCCCAGTCCTGGTTAACCCAGCCCCAGTCCCAGCCCCAGCCTGACTCTTAACAGGCAACAAGCCCCGGCGGCTCGGCGACACATTATTATTGCGCAGGGCGGTCGAGGAGGGTTTGCGCAGGGAGCGGGCGCGCGCGAGGGCGGGGTCGGGGGCGGTGGATGCGATGGGCATTTCTTTTCGGTGGTTCTCTCCTGGTGGTGATGGGATGGGTTGTCGAGGTGTGATGGTGTGTGTTTTGGTTTGTCGGTGTGGTGTGGTATCGGTGTTATGGTCCGTCGCACGGATAAGATAACGTCAACGTCCCGTCGAGCGCAAGGAATGCAGCAGCTGTCTTTTCAGATGCGGACGTGTGATCCGTTATGGCGTGATGCAACCTGGTTATATTATTTCGCCGTTGACCCAGCAATCCAAGAGCGAGCGATATGGAGCAGTCGAGAAAGAGAAAAGTGCAAGAACCCGCCCCAACAAATCCCACGAAAGAGTACGAAAGTATGTCGGTCAAGTTGCCCGCTCGTTGTTTTGCAGAACTGCGAATCGAATTGAACAACCCGCAGCGCAACGCAGCAGCGACTGACACGCGAACACGCTAAAACGGGCCTGGACGTGTGCTGCAGTGTGCATCCAAAAGGGCGATCGATGTCCCCACCGCCTTGCAGCAGGCCCTGACAGGCCCTCGTCCCGTCTGTTCTTTCCCCTGGAGCGATGCGCCATTTGGCTTAGGTCAGCTGGCGGTGGGCCGCCAAACCGTCCGAGACTCCACAGCGAGCCGTTGTTAGGGAAAGACGGGTGTGTATCACCCGGGATCTTAAACGTTAATGCCATGCATCGGGTTTCAAGGAAGATCAGGTTGAACTTGAGGAAGTTGGTATTTACAGCCAGTTAGTCAAGGTATCTTATGCAAATTGCACCGGTACCTGATAACAGGACCCAGCAACCCACGAAACCCCCCCAAACAACCGTCAACAGATAGCAAAGTACAAATTACAAAACATCTTGATTGCCAGTCCCTCCATGCCAGCTATGCCATGCCATACATACCATTCAATGCAACAGACTAGACCACCGGTGAAAGCCCCCATATACACCGCCCTGCCTTACCATGCCAGCCATGTCAGCCATTCCAGCCATGTCAGCCATACCAGCCATGCCACCCCAGACTCAGGCACCCCGATCTATCCCAGCCAGTCAGCCACCCTTCTGATGCAGTGTCCGCCCTCCATGTCTTCCATATTTCTCCCTGTTCTCCATGTTTCTCCATGTTTCCTCTAGATGCACCGTGCATGTGCATGTGCATGTATATATGCATGACTCGTAACAGCCGTCATCTACCCATTTCAAACCGTAACAAAACAAAACAAACGCACAACAAACAAACCAGCAAATGGCCACAAATACGCCACCTAGTCGGGTCAACCCGACAGATCTTCTTCCCCTCCGTCCCGGAAAGGCTATGTAGCCTTGTCTTGCCTTGTCTTGCGGAAGAAATGAAAAACAAAAGGAAGCGAAAGGAACTGTATGTCCGTGGAGAATTGAAGAATGGAAGAGGAGAAAAGAAAATAAAACAAGACAAGATAGAGAAGCGGACGTTTTGTGTGGAGGGAGATGTGTATGCCGGCGTCTAGCGAGCATGTCTACCCCCCGTCCCCAAGCAACCCTATACACAACCCCTTCCCCAACTCCCCTCAACTCTCAGAGAGAACCCCCCCCTCGAGAGAAATCTCAAGATAGATAGAGAGAAATCTTCGAGAAAAGAAGATCAAATCTTCACAACCCCCCTCAAATCCCCCCGTCCCCTCCTCAACGCCCCCGCGCACCCCGCACACAAATTCACATAACACCCCCCACAAATCCAATCATCCGCCTCTCGATCCTTCCTCCCACACGCCCGACACGCCCGCGGATTCACCCTTTGCCGGTTCGCCGTCATATACCGATGGCGCGTCGGGCAGTTATAGTGACGTTCCTGCGGCGGAACGGCATCGGGGATGTCGGCGTTTGTGTAGGCGCCGGACTCGTCCGTTGGTGGGGTTGGGAAGGCGGGGGTGAACCAGTTGCGCGGGAAGAGGGCGGCGCCCGGGTTGTCGGTGTATTCGGGTTCTGAGGGGGATGAGGGGCTGGTGGGAGCAGCGGTATCGATGGGGTCCCGCAGGGCGGCTGTTACTAGGCTGGGGACGGAGCGTTGGTGGGTTGGTTGTTGTCCCTGTTGTCCCTGTTGTCCCTGTTGTCCCTGCTGCTGCTGCTGCAACTGCTGCTGTTGCGCCGGCCCTGGCTTGACGGTTTCGATGGAGCCGGTCTCTGAGACTGTGCGAATGGCGGGGTCGCGCGACTGAGACCGCGACTGAGACTGACCCCGGCCCTGGCCTCGAGTCTGGCTTTGACCCCGGCTCTGACTCTGCCCACGAGTCTGACTCTGGCCCCGCGACTGAGACCACCCGCGATGCTGCGATGCGCTCCGAGGCGACGCAATGGGCGACGGACCTTGCGCTAGACTACCCGGGGGCGAGTAGGGCGTGTATTCTCTCGGAGGGGGCCGGTTCTTCCCGTTGGATGGTGTCGGAGGGTAGTCCCGATACCGCGGCTCCTGGCCGGGCATCTGGCTCAGTCCAACACCAGCCGGAGATGTAAACTGGTTCTGCCTCACGTTCGCGTTCACATTTCCACCCTGACTTCCTCCATCAGGCCGCGGAGACACCGGCAAGCCCATGGGCGACCGCGCACCCACACCCACCGTTCCCATTCCCGTTCCAGTTCCCGGTCCTAACCCCGCGGTATTCGGCGCTTGTGCTAGTTCCGGTGCAGCTGGCGCTTGTGCTTGAGTTGGCGCCGGCGCGGGCACCAGGGATGGACTGCTCTTGGCGGAATGCAATTGGTTTCCAGGGGGGCTCACCGCCTTCCGCGCGATAGGTTTTGTCTCGGGCAACGAAGCGACAGCTGGCGCAACAGACGAGTCGGCGGCGTCGGTGGTCGTCGTGTTTTGGATCGGGATCGGAGTCGGGGTCTCACCACTCTGGCTCTGGCCGCCGTCACTAGCCTGCTCGTCTTGGCCGTTTGTCTTCGCCGCAGCCGTAGCCGCCGCCGCCATATTTTCCTTGCTTGACCACCTTCCTTTACCACCCAGCTTCTCCCTAACCCGCGACGTTTCCTGCCCCATGACGACGTCCGTTTCGGTCTTTGCCTCGGTCTCTTCTTCGCTGGGCACAGGCCGGATATTTCTCCCGGGCAGCCCGCCGTTCGGACTTCGCGGTGGGACTCTCGGCGTAACGTTGGTTGTCGCGGCGGTGAAAGTGGTGGCAGCTGGCTCAAGCCTCTCGGGATCGGGATTGGGTCTCGGATCGGGATTGTTAACGTTATCCCAAGCGGAGAGGTCGTAAGGCGGTTGAGGCGGTTGTGAGGCAAAGGTCGAGGAGTCAATCTCAGGGCCAACGTGATTTGGATCGCCCTGCAATGCGCTGGGGGCTGACGCGGCGGTGGAACCGTGGCTGGAAACGAGCTTGAGATCCGGAACAACCAAGCTTTTTTCCGCCTTGAGCGATCGTCGGCGCCAGAGCTCCCCTTGCTGCTGCGGCGAGCCGTTCCCCAACGGCGATCCGGTCTTGGCTGATGCTGTGGCTGTTGATGCTGTGCCTGCTGCTGCTGTGGCTGTTGATGCTGTGCCTGCTGCTGCTGTTGCTGCTGCCGTTGTTATTGTTGCTGCAGTTGAACTCGAAGACTGCTGCGAGTGTGAGTGAAAGTGTGTCGAGGGCTGCTGTTGTGATTGCGGCAAGTGCTGCGTGTTCTGCGTGTTCTGCTGGGGCGTGTTCTGCACGACGGGGGGTGTTCGTGGCCTCGGCGAGCCACGCTGTGCATTTTTCACAGGCAGCTGCGGCGGCGGCGGGGGTAGCGGCCGGTCTTTGTGAAGCCCCGCGTGCCCCGGATGCCCCGCCCCTGCAGGCGGATTAGGAATATTGTGGTGATAATGGCTACCCGTCTCGTCGTCCCTTTGTGCATTTTCACCGGATGGCAGCGGTGGAAGGTCGCGCGGCAAGGCTCCGGACAAAGCGCTGTTTCGCTGGCTGCCGTTCAAGCTTGGTGACACCGCCGAATAGGAGTTGATTATGTCATGCGGCACGTCTACCGATGCCCGCCACGTTGGCGAGTCGGCCGTGTGGTTGGAGTAGGCCGAAAGCAGACTCGAGATGGATCCTGCTGGCGAGGTCGCCAGCATATTATTTGGAGATGCCAGCGCTGGGGATGGGTTGGACGAGGCCACTGGCGCCAGGGTCGAAGCCGGAGATCGAGCCGGCGCTCGAGACGGAGCCGGAATGGGAACCGGAACGGAGGTTGGAGTAGGAGCTGGAGCTGGAACTGGAGCTGAAGTGGGAACTGGAGTTGGAACTGCAACGGGCCGACGTGCGATGGGCTTCCGTGAAGGTACGGCTGCGGCAGGCTGGGGAGGTAACGACGGTAACGACGGTAACGACGGCAGCGGCGAGTTGAGCGGCTTGGCTGTTGCTGGGGATGATATCGCAGGAGACATCGCAGGAGCCATAACGGGCGTCCTCATGGCAGAGATTTTCCAGTCTCGATCGACCTCAGCACCCTTTGGCGGCGGGACAGGCGGCAGTGGAGCATGGAGTTGGTTGCGGGGAGGTTGCGAGCGAGGCAATGCCTGCTCTGAGACCAGCGGCGCGAGACCCAGGCCCGACTCGAACTCGAAACTGGGCAGCGCCGGCGGAGGTGCTGGGAGCGCTTTCGAGAACCGAGACTGCCCGGTTTTCGGGGGCTGCAGGGTCGTGGCGCCCATCATATCGTCCCGGCCGCGTCACTCGGGACGTCACTCTGGATCACGGTAGATATGCCGGCGTGATATGAGAGTCAAACACACGGCGGCGCAGCAACGTATAGTCGGGGGTCGTCGGGATGATAGTACTGTCCAAACACCCTCCTGCGGGACGGGTACGGGCTATAGTCGGCCCTCTGCTAATGCCCACCCGTTCCAGGTCTTGAGGGCTTGGGAGTCTCGGTCCTGTTTGTTATGCACCGGCACGCGTCGCAAGGCCCGCTTCTGACGTCGCACATTTAATGCTCGGCCCTGATCTTCACGCTCACTGCCCTCTACACCGACGCCAACGTGACGGCAGGGCGCAGCGTGGAATCGGCCCGCCTGCCAGGTACGATAATGCTCTGAGTCCCCTTGCGGATGATTCCTGGATCCGGCCGGGATAACGGACTCGAGGGTGTGGGCAACGCAGTAAACCGAGACGGGTATCGTGTGCGGCGTGTGCAGGAATTATGGAGCAATATGCTTCCCACTACAACAAAAGTAAGAAGATAAAACTTACTGCGTACACACAGTAATGCAGCAATGAGGTTAGAAAGACAAAAAATCGCAGCAAGGCCGCCCGCAATCCAGATTTTCGGATCGTCCCTGGTGATGCAACAGCCTCAACAGGCACACCCCTAACGGCCACCAGAATTAGGACGATCGCCTTGCCCCCCGGCCCCTGGCCCGGCTGAAACGGGCGACTTTTCGTGAAAGCGGGCGCGCAACGGGGCCAAGAGTCCCAAGACCACGCGTTTTTAATGACAGGGGGAGCCAGCTCAAAGCAGAACCCCGTCTGAGCCGCTGACTGGTCAAAACCCTTCGAGAAAGGAGGCGAACGTCGGGATGGATCGTGGTGGGGCCGTTTGGCCTTCAATCTCTTTTTTCGAGCTTCGAGACCAGCTTCTCGAACCTCTCTCATGCGTCCTGTTCGCCCCAGTCAAGTTCGCTCAAGCGCGCGGCCTCGACAAAGCTCCCGGATCGAGCGGATGTCCCCCCAGCGTTTCCCAAACCGATCAAATCCCCGACGGGACAGAGAAAGCCCTACCTTCGTAAGCAGTCGGGACCATATTGAAGAAATATGCGTGTGTCGGGAGTCGGGAAACACAACAGGGCCACCAGCAGCTCGGGCGCAGCCAAACGCAATGCGTGGCAACATTCGGGACGATCTTGAAAGATGCGTGTGCGCACACAGCACTGCATTTCTCAGATCTCGCTGCTGTCCTTGCCTGCTCGCCTGTGGTCACCCGTTGATGATTGTCGCAGACCCATGTTAGGCCTAGGGCTTGACAGCAGCGAGCGCCCCACTAGCGAAAGCGAGTTTCCTAGGTTGACTCATGGTCCCTGGGTTGACGATGGCCCATGGGTCAATGGCGTGAATGGGTCGAGCGAGGGAGCTGGCTCATAAGTTCCATAAGCTCCGGTCTGGGGATGAGGGAAGCAGGTGAGATCGGGGAGATTGGTGAGGATTGAGGAGGCCTCCTTAGCGCTGCGATGAGACAAGCGCCCAAATCGGCTGTCGGAGCCGCTGTGGCTATTTTTGCCCACCAGATTTACGCGACGCCGAGCATGTCTTGGACTTGCACGGGGCATAAGACGGACCCCGCGGCTCTGAGGCCTCATGCAGTGTGGGATGGGCGAAAAGAAAGCCGACCGTGAGTTTGGAGGGATAAGAAAAAACCGACATGGCAAATTACCGCCCATAGTGTACACTACACTCACATGTGAGTGATATTATCTCGTGAAACTACATGAACGCTCACAGGTGGACAAGAGAGAGCTCAGTGGAATGCCGAGTTGTGACATGTCTCGGGGACGGGAAGCTCGGGTGAAATGCCTAGAATGCCAAGAACGACACCTAACCGTCGAGTACGCGGAAAAACTAGACTTCCACCCGTAGGAAAAGGAAGGCACGGCTACGTTAATAACGTTATCGGGGAAGGAGGAGAAGCAATGAGTGCCTTCCCTCTCCGGCCGCTGGACAGGCACACTACTTATCAGGTAACTGCGCAAGCGGTGTTGGATTCGGGTAATGACCCCCATAGGCGCGCATGTTTGCCTTTGCGTTTTCCCGGTGTTGAAGGGTTTAACACTTCTGATATACCTCCCGTTGCAAATTGAAATCTAACCATCGAACACTCTGGCCACCGTCGCCGAGCATTTCGACATTGAATTGAAAATAAAGCATTTCTCGGAGTCCTCCAAAATGGCATCTTTTCCCTTTTTAACCACCTTCCATTGGGTATCTCTCGGGCCGTCCGCCGTGCATTTGCTGATCGCCAGCGAATGCTGGGCATTCTTATCTGGAAGGTGTGTTGTGCGCCGGCCGAGGACGATCTTCCGGCGTAAACCCCCCGAGATCCGGCATCAGCCACAATGGTCCGTTTGTTCAGGGGAATGGGGAACAGGGAATGGCTTTGGGCCCTTGGGGGGGATCGGAAGTCCCGTGTGCCTAAGGATCTTCTAAGGTGGCTTCGGCATCTGGCCGACAGTTCTCCGGTACCTGCATGAGGTGCCATCCCGCTCGCAAGCTCGTCAGATAATAGGCTATTTCACAGCCTCTCTGGCCCACGCAAGATGCAACAGCGGCCGGCACCTGGTTTGGCCGTCCCTTAATGCCATATCATCGACCCTTTGAACCAGGTCGGCAGGTGAAGCGACCGCCCTCGCTTCCGGGTGCGGGTGTTTCCCCGTCCCACACAACTTACAAGGCAGCCAGGAATTTGTCGATATGGAGATACGTGAGTGTACACGGACAAGACTTGCCAATCGTGCTTCCTGGTATCCGGAAAACAAGACCGGCTGGCGTTGATCAGTGATCACAGTTCCACACATTGCGAGTCGTGCATCGTGTTCGGTGTCCGGGGCTGATAATGACTTTACTTGTGGTCCGTGGTCAAAAGTCTGTGGCAACTGAACCCATGAATCGGAGGAGGTCTCCGCTAAGTTCCCGCATCTTTGGCGAAACACAAACCGAGCGGGCTTGGCCAAGAGCGCCAAGGCGGTACGGAATTCAGGGCACCATCCACAGATCACAGAACCAGTGCCGAGACGCGGACGAAGCCGACGGACGTCTTGACTCTTGAGACATTTCCCCCTCATCAAAGTCCTCCGGGAGACCGAGGCCAACGAAAGCACGCAACCACTCGCGCGGCAAAGAACAAAGCAATCTCGCAATCTATTATGTAGCAGCACAGACTCTCTGCTCCATGTCACCCAGTTGGGACGGGCCACGGAGCGCGCCCAGACGGCCCAGGGCGGCCCAGCACCCATTTTCCATTCCATCAATGGATGTCCAGAGCCAGGAGGAGAGCGACTCAAGAGCGAGCACAGCCAGTCCAGGGGCTCCTCGGCTCCCACCTCCCCCCCTGCCCCTGGTTGATCAACGGGCGTATCGTTTAAAGTTTTTCTGCGGTTTTCTGTGGTCAGAGCGACTCTGAGGCCAGCGCCCATGCAGCGTTTTGCGGATCTTTGCTCCTATTGTCAGGTACGAAAAAAGGTACCGCTGGCGCTACGACTTGACCCACACCAACGCTGTTTGCGGTGTTGCAACCGCCAAGATGGACCACATCCATGCTGGAAACATGCTACATATACATAGCCGCCGCCGGAGCCCCTGGGGCTGCCGTGCTCGTCCCTCCTTTTGTTTGGTTTCCTCCGTAGCTGGCTTGCGGGCAACCATACGGATACCGGGCTCATCGACAACATGAGGCTATCCCTCACCCACGCCGGGCTATGGTGCCTCTGCGCGGCCCAGGGCGTTGCTGCTTCCGTTGGGCATCGACATCAGCATGGCGGGTCCATCACCCCTGAAACTCGGGGTCACGAAGCTCACGGTCACGAAGCTCGGGGCCACCAACCTCACGGCCACCAAGCTCGCGGCCACGAAGCCCGCTCCCGCCGGGTCACCACTAGCAAGAGCGTGTACTCGACCGGCCCGCAGGACCCGGACGTCGACCCCCGAGCCGCAGCCAAGGCCGCCATCGACTCAATGAACAGCGCCTTCTTCAACTCGACCCTGGCCGTCTGGGCGCCGACTGATCCCTGGTGGCTCAGCGGCGTCGCCATCACCAGCGTCATCGACTACATGCGCAAGACCGACACCACCGACTACCTGGACAAGGTCACGGCCATCTTCCAAGCCCAGCGGTCCCAGGCCCCCGGCGGCGCCGGCGACTTCCGCGCCGAGTCCACCGACGATACCGGCTGGTGGGCCCTCGCCATGGTCCGCATGTTCGACATCACCGGCGACCGCCATTACCTGGACCTCGCGGCTGGCGATGAGGCCTACATCTACCAGTCCTGGTCCGAGAAACCCTGCGGTGGTGGTATCTATGTCGACATCGCCGCCCGGACCTACAAGAACGCCATCGCCAACGAGCTGTACATCAAGCTCGCCGCGGCGCTGCACAACCGCATCCCGGGCGACACCGTGTATCTCGAGAGGGCGAAGAAGGCCTGGAAGTGGTTCAAGAGCTCCGGCATGATCAACGAGGGCGGGCTCATCAACGACGGACTGGCCTCCCGCAAGGACGGTACCTGTTTCAACAACGGCTTGCCTGTGTGGACGTACAACCAGGGTGTTGTTCTCGGTGCTCTCGTCGGTATGTTGTCCCCATTATCTCCACTTATATCTAACCCAAGATATCTGTGTCTCACGTCTCTCTCTCTCTTCTGATGCTAACCAAATCCCCCAGAACTCTACCACGCCACCTCCAGCACAGGCTATCTCCAAGACGCCCGCGCCATCGCCGACGCCGTGCTCTCCTCCTCCCCCTCCAAACGCGGCAACCCCTCCCTGGTTGACCACGCCTCCATCCTCACCGAAGGCGACTGCTCCGGCCCCCGCGAAGCCTCCGGCGGCTGCAACGTCGACCAGCAAATCTTCAAGGGCGTCTTCATGTACAACCTCGCCGAGCTCGACGAGGCCATCGCCCGTGCTGGTATCGACTCTGATGATGGTGGGAGGCCCTACGCTAAGTTCCTGAGGAAGAATATTCGGAGTGCGTATGTGCATGCACGGGGGAAGGGGACGAGTGGCTTGGCGGGGGGTGCGGATTTGTATGGGGTTGCCTGGGGTGGGTTGGATCCTGGGAGGGCGCAGTGGACGGCTACGTTGGGGACGCAGGCGAGTGCGTTGGGGTTGTTGATTAGTGGGATTTGAGAAGAAGAATTCTTTTTGAAGAGGAGGGTGTTTCTAATTTCTAATGAGGGGGTGTGGTGTGTGTGTGTGTGTGTGACTTGGTGTTAAAAGAAGGTGGTTTGTGTTATTATTTTGGATGGGTTTCTCATAGAAAATGACGCCCGATGGAGGAAGGGATGGGTTGGGTTGGATATTTAATCTTCACTGTGTCGTCTGACGGGGCCTTATGATTAGGTCCCGTGGCACCCTTATTTTTTCGCTTCAATATTTTCCGTTGTTCAACGACATGCGAAATGCTACTTGTGATTGGGGATATGAGGAGATGTATCTCGTCTCAATACACTCTAACGTACTCTCGTATTTGTGTCCATACCTTTTCACTACGTTAATAACAGCGACTCTTATCGTGGCTGATGAGCGGGACCCCCGAATACGCTCGCTGAGTTGATCTTCGGATATGGTAAGTAGGGTTCAACACACCTGACAGGCCGGGTACATGTACATACGTTCTTCTTATCCACCTTGATCAAGCGTTGTGTTGAGATACCGTCGAGCCTTTTGATATATTCCGTCCTTCCCTTAATTTCCGGTCATGGTGTGGGGGATTTGTAACCTAACCCTCTTCTTAAAAAATGCGACGTTTGTCTCGAACCTGATGTTGACTTCAGGTGATGTATGCTTGTAATCATCGGTACATACGTTCTATGTCTTCGACAGCCGACATTCATCACCAGCCCGACAACTAAAAGGTCACGAGAGCATAGGTATGGTTATTGGCATAACAAACGAGTAGGTTAAACACCACAGGCCACAGCCACAATTTAATGCTCATCATATTGGGTACTTGTCTAGCATCGACGCTAGTCCTGTCCTTAAAACACCAGGCCAGCAAGAAAAGAATAATAGAACTGATAGGATATCGAAGCTTCTTTGGCGAAAGCGACAGAGAGCCCGTCCCAAAAACCGTTCCTTTTTTGCCGTTCACGATTGACAGGGGGAAGGACTATGTTAAAATCCCTCAAACAACGTCCAATATCATCATTTCGCTTCTTGTGGTCAAGAACGCCCGCCCAACTCCAGTCAATAACCCTCCCCCACCCATCTAGCATCCATCCCATGGTAATCCATCCATCCATCCATCCATCCATCCGCGCCTTACAGATCAGCCCCTTACAAGTTAAACGGCCTCCTCACATACGTAACCCCCTCCACAGCCGGATCATCCACAAACCAACTAGCGCGGTCCCCAGCACCTTCATTAACCAACGCACAAGGCAAACCATTCCCCCCCTCAAAAATCTCCTTCATCACCTCCTTCTTCCCCGCCCCCGTAGCCACAAACGCCACCTTCACAGCGTGTGTCACCACAGGCAGCGTCAGCGTGACCCGGCGCGGGGGCGGCTTGGGCGAGTCCTCGATGGGCGCGACCCACGCGTCGGTTTCACGCAATAACTCGTGGCCGGGGAACAGCGAGCAGGTGTGGCCGTCGGGTCCGCACCCCAGGAGCAGGAGGTCGAAGATGGGTAGGCGCACTGAGTCCCGGCCCGCGAAGCTGTGTACGAGGACTTGCTCGTACTGGTCGGCGAGTTCCTGTGTGTCGTCGAGCAGGTTGGTGTCGATTGGGTGGACGGTGGGTTGGGTGGTGGAGGGTGGCAGTTTGTCGAGTAGCTCGGTCTTGAGCAGGCCGTAGTTGGAGTCGGCGTGGTCGAGGGGCACGGCACGCTCGTCGGCGAAGAAGATCTCCCACTTGTCCCAGTGGACGGTGTCGGCGTCCGAGGAAGGAGCTGGCAGGAGGGCTTGCGCGAGGGTCTTGGGCAGCGAGCCGCCTGACACCGCGACCTTGAAGACACCATGGCGTGCGATGCCGGCGTTTTGGGCTTGGATGACGTAGGCCCGGAGGGCCGGCGCCAGGGCGTCCACGGCCGGGAAGGAGTAGAGGTTGGCTTGGCTCATGATTTTTGTCCTTTTTTTCTGGAGAGGGTTGTGGAATGTGATAATCGGCTTTCTTCGGTTTGGTGCGGTGTAGTATCTGAGACTGACCAAAATTGTTGTTTGTTCGGATCGACGCGTGGAAGAATGGCGGGGTGAAAGCTCAGCCAAAAAGAGCTTGGTTGTGGTGGTCAAAAAAGCGGGGCATGGAACAGTGTTTTGCCGCCTTGCAGGCGAATCTTCAAACCGATATCGATGGAACTGATTAGATTTACTCCTTAGTGCTACCGATAAGAGTGGGCGAAATCTACCGACAGAACTCAGCAGAAAAAGTTGCGACTTTTTAGCTGTGCAGCGACCTCGTGCCGCGGGATTTTGATGTGCCTCAGAACGTTACACAATGGAGGGGTCGCCAAGCTGCATGGATGAGCTTCGCGGGGTTGCTTGGCAATGGTTCACCTTCCATGGTGCTGACGGAGGACAGAACAGCTGTTGTTCAGTACCTGCGGGCGCCTATCGATAAGATCCTCACCTCTCGTAAAGCAAAGTTGTAAAGTAACTGTTGGTATTGAACCCAGTCTGGCCAAAGGCGATGTCTCCTTTACCCCCGTGAACAACCGGCCAAGATAAAGTCAATCGCGCCAGATCGCGAGGCCACGGACTGCGATAACAGAGCGAGGACGGGAGGAATGCGTATTTGGCTCATAGTTCCTGCACTATGGTTGCTTCCACTCGCGCCTTCCGGGACATTTCTTCCGGGTCGTGGTTGCTGGATTCCGCCTCCGGCAGTGGTCTAGCCAAAAACGTCCGTCCGCTCCTTAAGCACACCTCCAACTCGTTGACACGATCGCAGCGGCCCGGCACACAGGGGGATCGTAGCCGGTGACGGCACTATGACGATATATCAACCCGTCCACCGTCGTCGGCAGAACTTCATGTGGACAAAATTTGGTGTTGAGTTTAAACGCCGGGCCGCGAATAGTGAACAGTGTGTACATCAACAGCTCACTGTCTACTCATACTGTACATACATTACTATGTATTATGTTGGGGAGTGAGGTATGTAGTCAGCAGTCGTGTAAGCCATTTTCTCCGGAAAAGGGACGACCTCGCCACGAGTTCAACCCGCATGCGGAGGATCCCAGGACGAAGTGAAAAGGGGAATAAATTAACTAGCGCTACAAATACGGCCAATGGCCGATGCCCGACAAGCTCATGCAAGAGAAACATGGAATGCTCCAAGTTGCCCTGACGTGGAGCCACCTGTCGAAGAGGGGTCGAGCGGGTGGGGTGGGCTCCCCCATGATGGCTCAACCCACACTTTTTCTTTCGGTTTCCACGAAATGGGACGATATCAAATCGGAATCATATGATTGTTTTTCACGCTAATGCTAGGGAGTCAAGGAGTTAAGGCCGTGAGGCAGTTTACATCCCGAGTAACAGACTCTGATACTCCTCCCTGGCTATTGGGAATACGGCAAGAAATAATTCTCGAATCCGCTAACGGCGTCTCTCACGGTCTACCGAGCGCCAAGCTCGGTTTCGGTGGCGATCTTAAACGAAAGAGAGCCGTTGGATCCGATACCCGCTCTTCGGGATGGGAAGAAGGGAGAGAATGGTGGGGCGGATCACGGCTCATTTTCCACTAAAGTTCTGCCATTTTTAACACGAACCAGGACCCTGCAGAAGCAACCCCCCGCGTCATTAGATCGGCCATGAGCCGTGTTCTCCAGACTCTTGGTTGCAAGCGACGAGACACAAGAGGCCGTGAAGGCCCTTTTTGTCATAATGGCGTGTCGTTCAGCAAAAGCCCAGCTGGCCAGGGATGTTGGATGGCGCCTCATCATTATCAAAGCCCGCATGTCGGGTCCATGAATACACTAGTGTAGTGTATGGACTGTCCCCGCGAGTGAAGTTGGTCCCTCCATTGCCAAAAACTTAGTCGACGACCCTGATCGTTGGGAAGGACCCCGAAATCTTGCCTCCAGTGGCCAATCACCGGGAGTGTTTCAGATGCTCCAAAGAGGGGGTTCTTAGTGACCGTCTGATCGAAGCTGCAAAATTCGGCTACGTTCTCCGAAAACCGAAAATGGCCGCCATTCGAGAACCAGATTGTGCCGGCCTGGTACTTCGCTCAGCCCGCTGCGGGCCACCCGCTGCAATGTGAGGCGCAGCGGCCGGAGATCACCCGCTCCAAACGAACGTCGAATCGTCCCCCACCACTTCCACTTGACAACCCCAAGCCGCAATCATGACGGGACCAAAGTACCTCACCGGCGATGCCGCCGCTATCAGCGACTTCATCGACCGTTTCGACGTAAGTTCTTTTCTTTTCCCGCCGTTCCATTCCTTGAGTCATCTGCCGTATGCCGCATACCCCATGACCCCCAGTTTCACAAGCCCCTCGCTTACTCAACCCCTGGGCTAGGTTTTTTTGCTGGACTGCGACGGTTAGGGATATCTTTGTTCGCCTCGGTTCGCCTCGATATTGACTTGGGTTAGGGGTAATATGGAGTGGCGATCATGTGTTCGAGGGCGTCCCGGAGACGCTCGAATTGCTTCGATCTCGAGGTGAGCGATCCTCACATCTCGCCTTCCAGGCACTTCCTATTGGACTTTTCAGGCCCCCGACACATCCGCTGACGTCCCCGCCCCTTTCCCAGGCAAGAAGATCGTCTTCGTGACAAATAACTCGACAAAGTCGCGGGAGGCCTACCTCAAGAAGCTCACCAGCCTTGGCATACCATCGAATACCGAGGAAATTTTCGGTTCGGCCTACTCAGCGGCCATATACATCTCGCGCATCCTGAAGCTCCCAGCGCCCAAAAACAAGGTCTTCGTCGTTGGCGAGTCGGGTATCGAGCAGGAGCTGCGGACTGAGAATGTGCCCTTCATCGGCGGCACCGACCCAGCCTTCCGGCGAGAAATCACGCCCGCCGACTTCCAGGGCATCGCGGACGGGTCGCTGCTGGACCCGGACGTCGGGGTGGTGCTAGCTGGGTTCGATACTCACATCAACTACCTCAAGCTGTCGCACGCCTTCCATTACCTACGCCGCGGTGCCGTCTTCCTCGTCACCAACAGGGATTCAACCTTCCCCATGAACCATAACCTATTCCCAGGGGCCGGTTCCATCAGCATGCCTCTCGTATACATGTCGGGCCAGGAACCGCTGTCGTTGGGGAAACCCAGCCAGGCCATGCTGGATGCAATTGAGGGCAAGTTCCAATTTGACCGAGCCCGCACATGCATGGTGGGCGATCGGCTGAACACGGATATCAAGTTTGGCATTGAAGGCCAGCTGGGCGGCACGCTGGCGGTGCTGACAGGCGTGAGCAAAAAGGAGGACTGGGAGGCGGCGGATGCCGTTGCCGTGCCGGCCTTCTACGCCGACAAGCTGAGCGATCTACGTGCCGCCGCCGCCCCATGAACATTTGCGTCCAATGCTTTTTTTCTGGCATTTCTCGCCCCGTCTCTTGCGTACGTGGATGAGGATGTGCTTGTTTTGTGAGGGCGCGGTCTAGACATCTGTAGAACCTCGGGGTCCATACCTGCCCCGCCCGGATGTCCTCTTTTCCGGACACTGGTGTGAGATTCGGCGGGGGGGGGACCGACAGGGTGCAGCCAGGAAACTGAAAGGGGTCCAATGATGTCGATTTGGGAGACTTGGAATGACGACTTTCTAGAATTGTCTAAATGCTTGGATACAGTAGGATAGATAGAAGTCATGGATAGATCTAGAACTCTGTGGTAGTCAACGCGTGGAACTTCCCTATTCCCTAAACCCGAAAAAGACGGAGACACAAGAGGGGACGGGACGAGACTTGGACCCTGGCTTTGAGAGCACTTGGCGATCGACGAAAGCATTTGATCTTCGCACTACCTAACCCCCCTTTTTTACATACAAACCTTTCTTTTTCTTCCTCCCACAACAACTTTTCCATTGTGGCAATGGACCCCCGTGGGACCGCAGCGTCCCCGGCCACTAAACTACACTAAGCCTCAGTTCAACTGGCGCCCGCACGCCCGATCTGGTGAACCCATGTCTGGTTCTCACGATCAGGGGGGCACGTGGAGAGGCACAGAGGGTGAAGACCGCCTTGGAAAGGGGTATGACGTAGCACCCCCCTTCGGAACAGGCTGGCGGCCAATGGGCCGCCGTGGGCTGCTGCAAGCCATCTTTTGGAGCAGGACCCTGAGAATGTCAAGCTCCCGGATTGCCGCTGATTCGGTGGGTGTGAACCCTGTTTTAGTGCATGATACCCTTGCACAAGGGATCGCAGTGTGGGGCCAGGGTCTTCGGGGATCGAGACCATCTACTTTGTCCCACTGACAAGAAAGTGACAGCAGCGAGAAGGCGACTAGTGCAGGGCCTGCACTGCCATCCGTGGACATGGGAAGACACAGGATATGGGGAAGGATATGGGCAATACACAGCCCACACAACCGCCGTCGTTCTGCTCGAAGCAGGACATCTACACCAGTGTACGAACCGGGGTTAGTGGGTGAGGCTTTGGAGGCAAAACGTCACCATCACCACCTCCACAACTTGATGGAGTTTGGTGGCTGCCCTCCACAACGGTGTGACCGGGACTAGTGAGGTTGTGATGGGGGGCGAATGGGCTAACCGTCGGCATCCCGACCACACGCACTGCCTGCTCAAGGTCGAGGGTGGAGGGGTTGTTGGAGAGTGAAAGCAAAGCACCCGCACAAGCAAGGCCCAAAAACCCTGGAATTCCCGGGCCCCGGCGTGGAGCTCGGCGTCGCCCTGGAAGACATTTACCAATTGCGCAGGAGGTGCGTCAAGCACGATGACGGCACCCGGGAACATCATCTCCAATCCAACTTTTTGCGGGAGTCCGGTGCCCTATGGGGCCTAGCCCAACGCAGGAGGGGCCGGGGTGGCCAGCAGCAGAAAGAACGGGTACACCGGTCTTGATGTGTGTCTTGTCGTGCATTGCCCCAGAATGCTGCCGGCTTTCTGATTCCTTGAGATGCTAGGGTAATCCAGTTAATCAGTCAATCCAATAAATAATACAATTACCTCGATTAATCCATGAAACCAGGGTTTTTCTTGGGATGATGGCGGACGTTGGACCACAATCTGCGAAAAAAAAAAAAGGAAAAGGAAAAATACCTAATACAGGTCTCGGCCATCTTGTATGTGTGTGCGGGTGGCACCTGCGTTCCAAACAGTTACCACAGTACCTGCCCTACCATAAACACTCCGCTCCTTCCCGACGACATACAACTCCCTAGTTTTCACCTAGCACCTTATTTTTTTGCCTCGTTGCCCAAAACATCCAACGAACTGCTGCACGGGTGGGGCTTCTTGGAGCAGCAACGACGAGTGGACCGAGCCTGCCTCCATTACCCATATCGCAGCTTCCGTTGTCATCGTCCTGTGAGCGACTGCAGCTTTCAACCCTCCCCCCTTCCTTCTCTCACCCCGCCAGTGCCCGCCTGGCCACAGTCCCACTCGGTTCCTCACCCTCGCATACCTGCTTGCCAGAACAGGGAAAGAACTTCGTTGACGAACCGACTACGTCTCCGACTTGCAGAAGACCCCCCCGGCCCGCCCCCCCCTTCTCCCTCTCTTTCTCCCACAAGCCTCAAGCAGAAACTCATCAGCTTCCGGCAAACCCTGGTGCAGCTTGCCACGAACACGTTGGCTAGAAACACACATCAAAGGGGCCACGCACGGGCTCTGTCAGTATCGAGCGTCTTCTAGGGCTATCTTACGACGAGTCTCGAAAATTCTACTGCTTCCCCCCTTGCCGTGGTCCCCATTTTGGGACCTGCAAGGTCTCACTGACCTTGGCCCGAAATTCTCCCAACCCTAGCCGGTTCACCACGGATTTACACGCACTTCATTTGGCCGATTTACCGGATTATAACCCCCTCCCCCCCACCATGGACAGCTCGTCGCCTTCTGTTCTTACTGATGACAAGGACCCCCCACGGGGGCCGCTTCTGGAGCGCCGCCAGGAGCTCACCGACGCTCTGGCTGACTCACCTTACGACCTCATCCTCTTCTTAGAGCGAGCGGTTGTCTACTCGAACCTCGCCTATCCCGATCTCGCTGTTGGGGACGCCTATCGCGCCCTGCTTCTAGCAGATGAGGTCCGCGATGAAAGCTTCGAGTACCACGCCCAGGCAAAGGCGGCCATCCGGGGCTACAGGCTGACGCCCTGTCCCGAGGTGCTCAACCATGGCCAGCTTCTGGATGACCTCGACCAGCTGGTCGACGGCGCTGGCGCAGAGGATGCAGGCGAGTACAACATACTGGCGAACCTAGCCTCGGTCCGTTGCTTCCAGGTTATATCGCTCAGTCTTTTGCTCTGTGGCTGCCTGAAGAGTGCCCTTGATTTTTGCAAGAGGGGCCTCGATCTGGTCCCCCACAACAGGGAACTGGGCGAAATTCAGGGCTACATTGAGCAGGTGGCTCGACGCAGGTTGCGAAAGGGACCCGACGATCCCATCGAGGTCACCCACCTACCAGACCGTGGCGTCGTGCGCCGAGAAGTGTACCCTTGGAACACTCACGAGCCCGACCGCTTTTCCGAGGAATCCCTTTCCTTCCTCAATAGCCAACTCAGCAAACTGGCCCCAAAATGCGAGGTCAAGGTTTCAACTCTCCCAGTCTTGCTTGATGGTGAAAGTAACGCCGAAGGGAACGGCGATGTTATCACCACTTGTACCCAACTCGGTCTTTTCGCCAAACAAGACATCAGCCCCGGCGACGCGGTATTGGAGGAATACTCACTGCTGACGGCCAACAACCGACAAGAGCAATCGACATGCGACGCCTGCGGGACGGAGCTGCCCCCTCTCCAAAACAACTCAAAGGCAGTGAGCTGTCCCGAATGCTACGAGACGACCTTCTGTGATGAGTTCTGCTTCAAAATGGCGCAAGAGCAGTACCATCCTGCCGTCTGTGACAGAGATGTCGATTCGGTGGCCAAGGACCCCGAGCCGAGCGTTGTAGATGAATCGCTCTACCTACTGTTGTTGGCACGGCTTTTAGCTATGTCGACGCATCAAGAACTTCACCCCTTGGAAATCAAGGAAATCAAGTACAGTATGTCACGAGTCAAAACGCAACCCCCTCCTTCCCCCCTTCCCCCCCCCAAAAAAACTTGGAATGGGGTTGAGTTGGCCCTGTTGCAGCCGATCAGAACTGACGTCATTTTCAAAGTTTGGGGCGATTTTGTGAGTGCGTCGCTCAACGATATCGACGGCACGATCACGGATGAACCACCGCCCGAATGGACGCTCCCGTTTTCGTTCAAGTACAATGTCGAATATCCATTACACATCCTCGAAAAAATGGACATTGACGTCTATGCGACACTCGATAAGCACGACCTCTGGGTCTTCAACACCGCCTACGCCAAATTCCGCGGCACCGCCTCAGCACGAAAGAGCCTCCACGACGGCCGCCCAGACGTCGCCGCTGTCCATCCCCTTTGGTGCCTCGCGAACCACGATTGCAACCCCAATGTTACCTGGGAGTGGGGAGGACGCATGGTTTTGTGGGCACGAAAGACGAGGGTTGTCGGTAGCCAGGCCGGCGGCATTCGAGCGGGCGAGGAGATTCTGAATCACTACTGTGATGTGAATCTCCCGGTCCAACAACGGAGAGAATGGGCTCAGGGGAGCTTGGGCGGATGGTGTATGTGTCAACGATGTCGCGACGAGGCTGGGTCACAGACAAACCGGTCGGCAAAAGAAAGCAACGGATGGTGACAATGAATAAAAGGAGGGATAAAAAGTTTGAACACCGAACCGAAGGGACGGCTTAAAAAAAATACGACCGAATAAAAGCGGACGGAGCTTACTTGATCGAACCCGGATGCGAGACAACGAAGCCGAACGTTTTAATTCCCCCTGGATAAGGAGATCCGGATAATAGCGACACGATGTGCTCGAGAGACGGCTTTGGATTCGATTTATAACTCGCTTGGACGCTCCGCGGCGAGTCGACGTTTACACCGTTCGAGCTGCGAGAAGACACAAGCGAGGGATATATATGCCTGGATGGATATACGTTTGAGCGAGGCAGGGAAGACTGGATATTTAAAGCGGCGTGCGTGCATGGAGACGGAGTTGGAGCACAGGCTGTAATATGTGCTGAGCTTGTCCCTCGGTTGGAGCGTGGATGCGTGGAGTAAAGGAGTAGAGGATACGTTACTAAATTCAGGGTGGTTTGATTGAGTATCTCTATCGGGGTTGTCGGATGTGGCTGTTGTGATTGAAATTGCGCTGGTCGTTTAGAACTAAATTGTGCAAATGTCTCAGAAACCCGAGAAGACGTCGACAAATCTGGGAAGCAGAAACTAGGCACAAAATACTAGTTAACTTTCCTTATCACTCACTAGGCAACTAGCTACCTCGACGCTACCTACTCGACTACTCGCCTAACTCCCTACTTGTTTTCATGGGCTACCTCTCTTCAATTACCTCTTCATTCTACTACACTACCGGTCTCGCTAGTGCTCCCTAACGCACATCAGTCCATCGATATGGATTAGTTGCTGGGGGGCTTATCTCGCCTTACTTACCCAGCAAGGAAACGAACGGCATGACGAGATTGGCTGTGGTGGGTGTCTTTGCGCGTTGGTTGGGTGGTGGAGAATTGGGTTCCCCAGTTTATAAACTGAACTATGAACATAATGTTAACGTAGGGTCAGGGATAATGGACTAATTAGTAGGACCTGATGCGGCAGCGGGTGGGTTTCCGATTTCGATTCGGGTTATCGCCAGCTTCTTTTGCGGCGCGTTGGCTGTGGTAGTGGAAACTAGCTAGCTTGATTTGATGATTGCTGTTTCGTGTATCACGTTGAGTTGGCCCACTTTAGGTTCCTTTCTTCGCTCTGTTAGTGCAGGAGGTGCTTGGGAGTGAGAGGTCGGTCATAAAGGGGTGAAAGTGAAACGGATATCTTGACTAGTCGGCAAGTTGAAGATATGGAGCGGCTGGGTGTTCTGAGCAAGTGGATAATTAGGTCAAATTGGGCTACTTTCCTAGAAACAGGCTGGATTATATCAGCCAACACGGGCCACAAAATATTGTATTGAATGGGTTGAAAGGGCAGTTTTGTGGGTGAACGAGGGCCGCGCAACAGGATAGATGCCGATAGGGGGTAATGAATTTGGAGATTACAGAAGGTAAGTCCAGTCGGCAGGTAGTGTTATCTTCCCCAATCCGGTCTTCTCTGAACTCGTGGAGTCCTTATCTAGGTCTCGAGGAAGTACGCTGCTATGGACAATGTATATTTTCTTCACTAGGGGCGCTGACCTGACCCCTGACGAGCTCAATCCTCTCTTATTGACATGGCATGTGACAGCAGGACATACTTACTACCTCCCTGCTGCCTCAAGCAATCTTCTTTATCCTCGAAGTAAACCCGGAGCAATTTGAACCTCCTTTTAAACACCACTTGTCACATAACAAGGGACCTATCTCTCGTGATAGACTTAGGTAGTCTGTTCGTCCTGGTGACACCCCTCAAAACTGAACATTGCTTAATTCCATTCTCATACGACATACCTGTCCATCCCACCTTCCCATCTACTTTAGCTCCCTACTTGGTCTGAATACCGAGGGGGTATAATAAAGAAATCAAATCTATTTTGATGATTATTATTTTACGGTGAAAAGAAAGATAGATAAGATGAGAGACTAGGCCGTTGAGGGAGTGCGCTGTGAGCACTATCTTGCGTACGAAGGAGACATGTTCCAGTTCCAAAGTTGGGAGCTCTAGATTGCTGATAGTTATCATTTCGCTGTATATTATTCGTAATTAATGAGAAAGGATTTGTTTACCGGCATGGCAGTCTTCACTACCCGAAGGGACAAAATTACAACCAATGGAGAACAGTAATCTCCAGGCCTCAACACGCCCAACCCAACCAACCCCCCAGGTCCCCTGCCTTCCCACTTACGCTTTGTACATGTACATGTACAACGCCCTAAGATCGGTGCTCGAGATCGGTCCTGAGGTCCATAAACGCCCAGCGGAACTTAACCCCCGACCAAAGACTTACCACCCCCGGACTTAACCATCAAAACGTCCAGCCCAAGAGAATTCAACCCACCCACTTCCAATCTCCCGCTTCCCCTCCTCGCGCAATATCAATACCAATTCCATTTAACCCCCTCAACCCATGGCCAAGCAACTAGCCACGCTGGCATACTAATGCATATAAGCCGGGCTCGTTGACTACCCCGCTAGTCCCGTAGCACAACATAACATCCCTTTTCATGCCCAACGCACAACGGGAACGGTTCCCCCGCAACCCAATCCAACCCTCCATTCCTGTTTACGTCAAGGGAACCGTACCCAGCCAGTCCTCCCTTTTCTCCCCCCGCATTATGGCGGGAACCGTACCCAGCGAGCCCGACCCGTTCATCCATCCACGCCCAGCGATTTGCCGGGAAAGCCGAAACCGAAGTGTGAACGTAAGTGTGGAAGCCCAAGATGAGGGGAAAGGGGCAAGATGGGAAGTTGATAGGTTGGGTTGTGCTGGTCTGGTGATAGAGGACTCTTAGATACCTGAGGGGGTCGTCCAACACAATACAATACAATACAAACGCCCCCGGATAACATTAAGTGATATAGTACAAGTACAATACGTTTCCATCATGTAGCTCGATGGCCTCGGGTCATCCTCCGTATGTATCTCTCTCGCCACGATAGTAGCTATGATGATGCTGATGACGGTGATGGTGATGATAAGGTCAAGTTAAGGGCTAGGAACAGACAAACGTCACCCACACTAGCCTTATTGAGGTGAGATACCACTAATTATTGATTACGAAACTGAGGTACGTCGATGTAATGAAGAAACACACAAGAGACAAAATATGTCTTGTGAATAAAGAGAAAAAAAAAAGAGATGAAAAAGAGAAAAAAAAAAAGAAAAACACGAAACGCTCACCCCCCACTTCCCACAGTAAGGTCATGAACAGCTACGAAAACCCCATAGAATTTTTCTCTGGTGCTCCCACCATGAGTCGAACTCACGAAGGGGAGAGAGAAAGCGGGCACTGCTCGGTGCTGCCCGCGCCCCAAATGCACCATCCGCGGTCCGGGCAGGTATTTGCCGGATGGGGGGGTAGAGGGGGGCTGTTGGGAAGGAGGGGTGAGAAGGGGGGGGTGGGGGGGGGTATAAAGGGCCGTGCAAGGCCACCTTCCTTGAAACCTAGAGTGACTGAAATGGCAGTTGGCTGTGGGCTGGAACTTTGGTATGTAGGGAGAGAATAATAATGATGAGAAACCACCTGTCATACACCGTTAGCCGACTTCAAGTTCAAGGACATAAAAATTAGGGGGAGAACAAAACAGAGAAGTACACCGAAAGAAATACCAATGCACACGCTAATCAAGAAGAATCTCTCCTGTTTGCCAGCGGCTTCCTCGTTTCGAGTCCCCAAGTCCCAGCTCACTAGCACAAGTCACCGAATGCAAGGTCTCAGGGTCCGGTTTGTTTTGTTCGTTGAGAAGAGGGGTTTTCTCTTTTATTTGTTTGTTTGCTTGTTTAATTTCTCTCCTCCCATTTAGCCGACCGAGTCAGCCTCCATGCCTTTCAGTTATTACAAGAGTGGTATATAAAATAGTAAAGAAACAAAGTTGAGCTGCCGCTACGTATCCATTATTGAAACAACGGCTCGCGGTAAATAGGTATCGAGCTTGAGAAGAGGGGAGAGACGTCGACCGTGCAGTCCGTGTATGATGTTGCTCGGCTCGACCAGTCGAGCGGTAATTGTGGGGAAGCTGTTGTGAACGGCGTTCCCAAAGAATTGAGAACCGAATAGCGAAGGAGTTGAGTTGATTAGCACGCCGGCGTGGGGTGTCAAGCAACTGTGCGGCCGAGGACGACACCGTTGCGTCTTTGTATCGGATAAGTAGACCGGTTGCGTGGTCGGAGCCGGCGGGTATGCTCGTGTCGATGAGAGGACGCCGCCTCAACCATTCCTAAGCCATCCATCCAGAGTTTTGCCAGCCAAACCAGACCGGGCCGCGAAACCGTAAAACCAAGGGACTCCAACCAAGGACTCCCTTAAACCTAGCCAGTCCCACCATAGTACCAGAATATCACAATTCCATAACCCAAATAGTCCCGCACTCCCGCCAATGATTGTTGATTGTTGTTGATGATGATGTTAATCCAGACAAGAAGAAAATGCTCCCATCCATTTTGTTGAAAACGCCGCGCCCATGCCCATGCTCATGCATTGTGTGTGTCATGTGTGTTATGTGGTGTTGTGTGTGTGTTTGTGTTGCGGTTCGTCGTTGTTCGTCATCCGGGGGTTCGTGATGTGTATTACATAGATCCAAGGCTGAGAAGAGCCTCCACGGCCTCGCGCTCCTGTGCGTCGGCGGCCTGCACGGCTCCCAGCGATGATGTTGGGAAGTTGAAACTGCGTGACCCAGGGCTGAGCTGCGGCGGGCGTGCCATGCCCGTTGAGAAGGAGCGAATGCCTCCGCCGAAGGTATTTACATTGTTGAAAGGGGAAGGTTGTTGTGTTTGGTATGACGCCGCACGAAGTGCGGCAGCACCGACGGCGGCCCAGTCTTCGTCGTCAGTCGCGTCCTCCGGGTCGTCGTTATGCCTGGGCATGTCGTCGTCGTCGGGAGCCTCGGAGCATGACGCTGACCCGGATCCGTCTAGGGACATCTTGTCGGCTTCGTGATCCATCATGTCCATGTCCACGTCCATGAATCGGTCGTCGTGCGAAAAGGCGGCCGAGTTGCCGCCCAGGCTGGTTCCAAGGTGTGCTCCGAGTCGTGACCGATCGGCGCCCCACCCGGAGGTCTTGATGATGGGTATGCTGTTGGGGTGGGCACCGGGCGATGCGCGACGCGAGAGCGACTCCCGGGGTGGTTGGCCCCGTCGCTTCGCGTCCCACCGGCCCCAGCCGACCTTCAAAAACTCCACATCACCATCCGGACCACCTCCCTCATTGCCGCTCCCCTTTCCCTCCAAAGCGCCCACGACTAGCCGGCGCGCCTTTGCGGGCGCGATGCCTGCAAATCCCGGGACGGATGTCGTGAGGTAGCCCATCAAATGCCGAATCGGCAGCGGGCCGTGGTTCAGAAGGATTTCGGGAAGATGGAACTTGGCCAGCATGGCCGAGGTAATGGCGCCCGCTGAGTCTTGCGGAGACAACTCGCGCGAAGCGGCATGTTGACCTCGGCCGTCGAGCAGGTCAATGTCCGAGTCGACCGAGTCGAGCCGCGCCCTCTGCAGCTGGGCCTTAAGCCCGTGCGGAGGCAGCGAGGGCGATATGGAGTTCGGGGGGGTCGGGAGGTCGGTCGGATTGGTCGTCACAGGGACGCTCCGGGCCGCTACAGCAGTTAAGTTGTCTCGGCCGGAGGTCATCGCGATATCGCGAACAGCAGATGCCATAGTTGCCATGTTGACAGATTCAGGTGTCGTGTTGCTTCGAGACGTGTCTGCGATGAGGCGCAACCGTGAGTCAGTAAGGTTTCTTAGCGGGTGTGGGAGCGAGTGCGAGTGCGAGCGCCGGTGCGCATCGGACGCGATGATGCGGTGAGCGGATGACGGTGGGCGCTGACCGCTTCTGGTTGCGCGAGCCATGGCTTGCTTCCCTTGGAAGTAATCTGCGGTCTGCGGCCGTCGCCGACGACGGAGGAGATGGACGGTGGATGATGGGGGAGATAACTTGGCTGAGTCACACTTACAGGTCCGAAGCAATGCGCAGCTTGAAGGTAATTCAGCTTTTGGCCGAAGGCGAGGCTTGTCGGGCAAAAGCGCGGTGGGCAAAATGGCAGAGCTGCTGCGGATGATCTTCTGTGACAAGAGATGACTCTCTTGAGTTCAAGTCAAATGGTGGAAATAATCGCGTTGTTGTTGCTTTGGGAAAGCAAAGGGAAGAGAGTGGTGCCGGGGATGGCAGGCCTGGGCGGTAATATGGAAATGAGAACGACCATGTGGTGCCTGGCTCCCTGACGGCACGCCGCAACTTGGATGGGAGGTTTGTGCTCAGTCAAAGCAAGTACGTGCAATACCCGGGAGGTACATCCATGGATGCGTACCTCGCAGGCTGCGCTCGCTGATGGCTGCGGTCAATTCGCAGTTGGCACTGGGCACCCGGGGCCCAGCCCGTCCATGCCTGCAGCAAGTTTGGCCAAAAGGGGACAAGCGCTGGTCTCTGCAAGCGTCCAACTCTCCAAATTGTTGCCCTTGCCTCATGCCCTCGCACACAAGGCATTGAGAGCAGCTGTGATTGCACCGTGCCACAAACTGTCATGAACTGCCACAAGCAGCATCAATTTAGTGAGTCGCAAAAGGATGTGATGACTGTGCCGTCCAGTCGGCTTCGCCGTCCTAAGCCCGTTTCAAGAGTTTTTTCTTGGGCTCTTTGCGGCCACCCGGAGCCCACGAATTGAGCCAACATGAAAGAAAAGAAAAAAAACATCACTTGCCCCACAGACAACACATTAGGGTTTTTTGACCGGACGCAAGCACAAATATCGGTGAAGTTAGCTTCATTGAGCGAACCCCGGAAATGACGGTTATCTGTGGAGTCTCGATGAGATGGCATTTCGTGGTCACAGTGCGAGCTGCCGTTCTTTGTCCCAGACCAGACATCAAGGTCCCCTGTTTGTACCTCTCCGGCACGATGACGGAAGGGGCGATCCGGCCACGGAAGGCGTGCGTTTCAAAAAGGAACCTGCAACCCACTCCCACCCACACCTTCTTGTTGCCCACTTCCCACGCCTGGCTCTTCTGCGCCCACTCACCCGCCGCGTCGCTGCACACTTCTGCCCCGGCCACTGATAGTTCAGCGTCCTGCCTTGTGTCTTTCGTCTCTTCTTCTCTCGCCCCCCAGCCACGGCCAGCCAACCACCAACGAGAAGTCAGCCCCTTGTCATGTGCCTCGATAAGCCACCCACGAGGCACGATCTCGATGCCATTGTTTTACCAGAACCTTCAACACGATGGCGCGCCCCCGCTTCTGCCAGGGCAGCCGCCGCGGGGAAAGCAGGAGGGGCCCTAAAGCACAGTATCCTGATTGATCTGACTGATGACGAGCATATCATGACTGACTAGCAGACTTTGGAGTCATTTTTCATCCATTTTTAATAGGCTAGTGGGGGTTTCTCGGCTGGCAAAGAGAAGGAATGGCCGAATATTCCCGCAGTACTGTAGTACTCCCGTACTGTCATTGTCACGTCCCGCTGACGATTTCTTTGATGCATCGGGCAGTGGTAAATTACTTGGCCAAATTGGGACTGCGCGAGAGAACCCATGAGGCAACACACGCCTTGGTTGTTACACGAGACGACCGAAGCCTTTGAACCACACAGGCTGAAAAGGAGCTTCAGCGTGAGAAGGGGCGAAAGGACCAACAAAAAGTATTAACAGCACCAGACAAAATGCCGTCTGAGAAGACTCTCAAAACCATCGAAACCCGTATTGTGCGGGTTTATCCAATCGCGTCCAACCGCTCGTCCCCGATTCGATTGATGACAAGCACCGCCTTGCATTCCGGGTCCAGCTGACCCTTCTCGGCGTCCGATGATGGCTTTCGTCTCCCGCTGACAGAACGGTGATTCGACGTCCTCTCGGCTTTCTACCACTCGAAGCGTCAGGGCTCAACCCCGACCGGAAAAGGCACAAAATACCCTGAGTATGGACCCGTATTCCGTAACTCATGCTTGAGTCGTTCCGGTTGCCACCCCCGGATCGCCAACCAGGGCGTTCCAAGTACCTTATTGTCCACAAGGTTGCGGTTGTGTAAGGGCTCGGCCCCATCACCCAGTCCGCTGACCCCACGTTCCTGTCGAAGCTCTGCGAATTGCACATCCACATCGGCCACCAGCCGGCACAGTACAAAACCGCAAGTGCCGTACAATCCCGAGTGATGGGAAGAATTAAACCTCGAGACCGAAATGCAAGAAGGTCGATCTTCCACTTCCCAACGGGAGGCTTCAGGGCAGGGGCGCGGGGGCAGAGAAGCCTCAATCCAAGGCCGAGCTCTGAATGCAGCTCTTGCATGGGATGGGCGAGCCCGTTGATCGTTTGACCCACTGCACGCTGCTCGGAACGCGCAAGGTGGACCACCTTCGCTGAGACGATAACTAAAGTTTCCTTTTTCGTTCGCTTTCGTCTTTCTCGAGTCCCCCCTGTCTCTCCCCACAATGGGCCGAGCGATAACCTTCCTCTGACGACAACAAACCGGGCCTATCCTTGGCATAAAGAGCACAACGCGGGGACTTAATGGGGCCGTGAAGCTGCTCCCCCTCCCTTCCGGACGCCGGGACGGGGCCCGTGGTCGCCCGAAGAGAGGGGAAAGGTATTACCGGCCCTCCAAGGCACGGCGCATTCGCCATCAAGGTTCGTTTCTGCATCACGGTCCCAATTGAGTGGTTGAAAAGGCAGCCGAACGTCGCCCCGGCCTTTTTGCTCCTCTTCTCCCGTGGTACCTAACCGAACCACCTTTGGCTCTACTATGGTACTTCTCGGCTAACGACAGCAAACTCTGTTTCTGCGAACTGCAGATCGGGCTTCTCGCCCGGGCCATGATGGATTGCATCCGGTTATCGGAAGTGGAGCGGGGGGGGGGGGGGGTTAAACTAACTTCAAGGCACGAAGTAACGATATGTGGTTCTGGAAACCTCCTTCTCCCATTTCTCTAACCCGAGCAGAAGGCCTGCCCCATCCGTCTGCACCAGCTTTCAACCACATGATATCCCGCTTTCCACCGCGCAATCGGTGCTCGGCCTCGGTCTCGTTGGGATAAGCCCTCCCCGCAATCAAATCCATCGCATATCAATCCATTGTACTTCGTATCGTGATATCATCTCTATCTCCGGGAACATTTGAGACTCCATCGGTGGGGGGCGGGGAGCGGTAGGTACGCGGCCTCGGTACCGGAACTTTACTCCCTCCTTTTCCCCCTAGGTTGGGGGGCAGTTTCCGCGGGTGTTTGTTTATCAGCCAAGAACGACGCCGAATGCCCCGCACTTTTTCGAGGCTACACAGCAGCTGAAAGGGACAAGTCAAGAAGCGGCTTGACAACGCCCCCCCTGAAGGTGTCAAATCGCTGGCTGGACTCGTCATCCCGCGTTTTGGAAGACATATTGTCTACAGGCCTATTGGGTTGTGGTTTTGGTTGTCAGAAGAGTTTTTTCTTTGGCGGGAGATGTCAACATCCCCAATGGGAAGGAAGCCAATGTGAGACAGTTGGGTGAGACACGCTACGACAGCCCCCAAGGAAATGCAAGAGGCGGTGTTGAGGAGAAAAAATCGTGGATGAAGAAGGAAAATGAAAGGAAAAAAGCGTGAAAAGGGGGTAAATAGTGAAGAGACAAGGCAGTACATGCGCATCTGAGGGAGAAAAATAAACAGAAAAGATAAATAAAAGGTATAACTCACCGCCTTCAGCACGCTCAACGCTGCCTTCGACTGGTTATACACCTGCCGATACCCCCCAATGCTCTCGCTGAGCACCGCCTGCTTGGTCGTGCGCCCCTCGCAAATCGCCTTCATCTTGAGCTCCATCTCCTTGCGCAGGAACGGTTTGCCCAAGCTGGTCTCAAACTGCATCCGATCGAACCCTTCGATCAAGGCCACTCCAAGGCTAGTCGGAATAAACTCTCGCACTCCACTGCCGCCGCCGTTGCCATTCCCATTACCCCCGTTCCGACCTCCACGTCCCCCACGCCCGCCTCGGCCTCGGCCACGACCCCGTCCACCGCCCCTTGCCGCGGGAGCGTTGGCTTCCTCCTCGTCTCCGTTGTTGTTGTTATTGTTGTTCCCTCCACGCTCGACCGTGCGAACATACTGCCGCTCCTGGATCTTCTCAATGTGTTCGGCCATCGTAGCATCCGTGCCAATCCCATTCGCATCCATGAGCGCAATCAGATCCGCCTCGGTCAAATACGCCGGCGGCGTGGTCTTCCCCTCAGTCAACAGCGCCTCGGCCGGTTCAAACAACTCCCCCACCATAAACCGCGGCAGCATCGCCGTACCTGTCCAGTTCTCGTACGGATACACATCCAGGTAATTCCGCGCCAGCACCGTCACGCCGTGCGCGGCAAAAGTCTCCTCCCCGTAGACGATCTCCACGTCGCTGGCCATGCCCTGCGCGTCCTCGGAGCAACACGCCAGAAACCGCCGCGTGACCAGTTCGTAGATGCGCTTCTCACCGTCGTCGCCCAGCGCGGCGGGGGCTACGTACGCGACCGGGTGGATGGGCGGGTGGGCTTTATCGTCGTGACGGCCCTCGCGGGGTTGTTGGAACGCGCCGTCGGCGAGGTTCTGCGCGAAGGTGCCCCAGCGGGGGTCGGGGGTCTGTTTGCGGACGAGGGCGCGGAGGTCCATGCCGCGGTCGAAACGGTCGGTTTCGGTGCGTGGGTAGCTGATGAAGCCGCGGGTGTAGAGCTTTTCGGCGATGGTCATGGCTTGTTGACCGCTCATGCGGAGGAAGCGGGTGGCGAGCTTTTGGAGCTCGACGGTGGTTAGGGGGAGAGGTTTCCATTTTTTGGTGGGCTTTTCTTGGACTTTGGTGACTTTGGCGGTTTTGGCGGCCAGGCAGCGCTCGTAGAGGATGACCACGGCCATGCGGTCGAAGAGGCGGTGGCGGGCCCAATTGAAGTTGACTTTGATGCCTTCTCGCTCGTGGGCTACTTTGATGCCCCAGAATTGCTCGGGGACGAAGTTTTTGACGCGGAAATATCGGTCTACGACGAAGCCGAGGGTAGGGAACTGGCAGGATCCTGTGGGAGGAGTGTTAGTTAGGTAACGGCCGTGAAGGTACGTCTTCGATGTCTGCAAACGGGCCGTCATGTGGCAGAATGAACGTACCATAGCTGAGGGTGAGATTAGAGAGTGGCCCTCCCAGAGGGCGGAGACTCAGCGTTAGGAACCGGGTGAAGCAATACCCAATCCTCAAGTCGAGCTCGATCCGAGCCGACACAGCGTCGACCTGCTTCTCGTCGAGGAGGCCGAGCTGGCGTGCTGCGGTTAAAATGTGACTAGAAACACGCCAATGATGAGCTTGACGAGAACTATGGAGGCTTTCAACGAACAAGCAAACAAACAAGCAGACATCATGACCTACGCTCTCTCAATGTTGCTGAACCGCGCACGCTTGACCAAGATGTTGCGGTTCCCTTTCTTCGCGGCGTCCCTAATCTCGCTGCCGATGTGTTCGCCCTCTCTATCGCAATCGGTCCAGATGACGAGGCCGGTGGCGCGTTTGGCCTGGTCTTCGATGTTTTTGGCGATGGTCTTATTGTTCTGCCCTTGGAGTTAGTTTGCAACGGTGGTCGACGAAGGGGGAACAAAAGAGACAGGATTCAAAACAGGAAAGAGGCCCGTACCGTAGGAACAACCGTCAAGACGGGTGCATCGAAGAGACGGTCTGGCGGGGGATACTCCCAAGATTTGTAGTCCTCGGGAAACTCGGTACTTGTCAGATGGCCCTTGACTGAGGTCATGGTAACAGATGAGTGGCCCCATGGTGGCCCGAAGTCATAATCGAATGTGTAGTTTTTGACATAAGTATCGCGCGTATTGTTCTGGCGTTGGAGATGTTAGTCCGGGCAATTTTATTACGTGACATCGCCCTCAGGATGTGGGTTTGGAGTTGCGGAAGAGACCCTACTGTTTGGTAAATCCCACCGGAAAGATGGCCGGCGACAGCTTTTGCAATGGAAGGCTTTTCGGCCACGCATAAGATGCGGGTCATTGTTTCCTTAGACGGTCGGGCCTTTTTGGTGATGGTTGACTGATAACGGTTGTGTGATCGTGGAAGGAAAACCCAAGCTCGAAGAACCCGCACAGAAACGAACGTCTTTGCCTTTCCTTGTTATTTATAGTTAAAGATTTATGTTTTGTGATGAAAGCCCACCTTGTTGAACTCAAATTGGAAGCGCATAGTGCGCTCTCCTTTGGTATGTGGTCCCGGATCATAAGGCGGGAATCCGCCCTCACACCAAGGAAGTGAACGAGAGAGAAATGAGCGACACTCCCGCCTGGAATCTGCACTGAGGAGTGCGGCTCTGGGGACTCTCCGGCTCAAAATCTACAACGAAACCTTTATTGCCTGAATGCATCAGGGCTTGGGAGCGGAGTTAGCTTGCAATGCTCCTTTGGCTCTCCCCACGGCGGCCTAAACCGCGATCGCGTTGTCTTGTTGAAGTTGAGCTGTCGCGTCACGGTCAATTGGTTGAAATATTGATTGAAATTACACTGAGGTGTATTGTGTAAGCGTAAGGTATGGGAAATTACATCTGGGAACTCTTACACTGCGAACAATAGGGTATTTTACAATACACGTCCAGGTCCGTACATTACCAGAGCGAAGAGGGTGAACACACTTGCCTTTTATAATGTTACAGAAGCAATTGATAGAAAAAGGGAGTGCGAGAGGCCAATCGGATTGCATTTGAGTGGCAAAAAAAGGAACCTGCCATCAACAAGTCAGAAATAAAGTTGCGGGTTTGGTTGAATTGCACTCCACATTTCTTACCAGATTACAAACACTTCTCATCTGTATTGTTACCGTGCCAGGTCCGTTGTGAGCGCCCATGCGGCCTGGCTAACATACGGCCGCTCAATCGAGCAAGGACCCACTCCGCATCACTAACACGAAACGGAACGTCCACGCAGCAGACTGCCGGTGGAGCCGCCCGCCGTTTCCGGTTCGCTAACGGCGGTCCCCTAGAGCTCCGCGAGACGATGACGCTCAGACCCGACTAGGACCGCAGGCGAGCTTCAGAAAGGTGTTTTTCGAAGCACTTTCTTTCCAAAAGCTCATGTGTTTCTTCAAAGAACATAAATAAATACTCAATTTAAAGCCATTTACAACCAAATCATCCAAAATGGCGCTCCCCACCGTCCACGCCCTCGAAAGCTGCGCCGACTTCTCAACCGCCGTGCAGCCCTTCCTCCCACAGCTCTACGACCTCCCCCACCAGCTACTCGACATCGCCACGGGCCATAGCGGACGGAGTCTCCTCCAGCTCTACGCCGAGACCAACCCGCTCATATCCGGGTTTGCGGCATCTGTGGCGCTGGGCGCCGTGTTTCTAGTCTTGGCTGAGATCAACCGCAACTACTCGCAGGTTGACCGCGCGTGGAGCGTGCTGCCGACGGTGTACATCGCGCACTTTGCGGCGTGGGCACGGTTGACGGGTGTTCCGCATCAGAGGGTGGATGCGGCGTTGTTGTTTAGTGCGATTTGGAGTGTAAGTTGGCTGGTTGTCTCATAAGTGAAGCCGTACAAAACGGCCCAACGGGGTCAGGGATGGTGGCTGACTACCAGCGACAGGCTCGTCTCAGCTTCAACTACTGGAGAAAGGGGGGTTATGGGATTGGGCATGAGGACTACAGATGGTGAGTTTAGTCGATACCACATTCCAGGAACGTCTGACTTATACCTCGTAGGGAAATCATCCGCCAGTACATCCCCAAGTTCGCGTTCCACGTCTTCAATTGGACGTTCATCTCGTTCATCCAGAGCATCTTGCTCTTCCTGATCGCGGCCCCCGTGTACACCATCCTGCTGGCGTCCACGATCGAACCGGACCTTACGAGCGCCGACATCGCCTCTGTGGCCATCGAGCTAGCTCTCATCCTCACCGAGTACATCGCTGACGAACAGCAGTGGGGTAAGCATGCATATTTATATCACTCACCTTCACCTCCCCGCGAAATACCGCATCACGCAACCATCCACCCACTCACCCACACATCCACATCAAGCAAGCAAAGCACTAATAATCCCGCAGTCTACCAATCCGCAAAGAAGCAGTACCGCGAGACCAACAAAGTCACGCGCGGCTTCCAACAAGCCGACCTCGACCGCGGTTTCATCACCACAGGACTCTGGGGCCACAGCCGGCACCCCAATTTCGCCGCCGAGCAGTCCATCTGGTTCGTGCTCTACCAATGGAGCTGCTACGCCACCAAGACGCTGTACCACTGGACCGGCGCCGGGCCGGCATTTCTCGTGCTGCTCTTCCAGGGCTCGACCTGGCTCACGGAGCTGATTACTGCGGGGAAATACCCGCAGTATGCTGACTACCAGCGCCAGGTTGGGGCTTTTGCGCCGTGGGGGTTTAAGGCGTACGATGCGTCGTCGGCATCGAAGTCGTTGGCGTCGTCGCCGAAGGTGATTCGGACGAGTGAGCTGGCGAAGAAGGCGCAGGAGAAGGAGACGAAGAAGCAGAAGTGAGAGTCGGATGAGATCTAGGGGCCCGGGGGCCTGCGAACGGTTATTTCGTTCCCCATCCTGTGTGACGCCGGTTGTTGTGGAATGAATGTGACCAAAGATACGAGTACCGACAGGAGGCTGAAATAAGAAAAAGAAGAAAAAAAGATTGCTTGTCGCTGATCAAGCCAGGCAGCCAAGCAACGGTGGCAGATCCCGGGCAGGGGATCCTCACTGGCCCGTTCGAACGGCCGCGGCGCATCCTGTGGATCTGGATCTGTGCAGGTCTCGGGTAGGGTCTGTGTGAATGGGATGGAGGAAGGGTGCATCGGAGTTGTTGGTGTTTGGGGTTGAGGCGTTACCTTTACTCTTGAAGAGTAGTTACATAGTATGGTCTCCTCCTGTTCAACGTCATCGGTTTGTAGAGGAGTCTGCAAGTACATATGTATGTACGGACACGTACGCACCTTCTCCTAAAAGTCCTGCATGGAAATACGCAACCCCCGCAAGTTACGTATAATTTTGCGACATCAGAACTCAAATCTGAGATGCATCCCCACATCGGCGATTAACAAAAGCTTGGAGAGCACATGGCAAGGCTCGTTGGGTGTGGTCCAACGGGCAAATCACCGTCATCTGCGTCCCACGACCCCGGTCCAGGGGTGTTCTCAGCCTCGACTGTTCTGTGGACTTTCTGGTCGAACAAGGGTGATTTGCCCACGCGCTAGCGAAGTTGGGAATGCTCACCTGACCAACCCCAAAATTGCGCCAGGCGGCGGTTCAAAATGAGCAAAAATATCTTCGGACCACTCGTTTCAAGCGTGGGGTGCACACGGCCAGGTCGGCGGCCGGTCGCTGCTGAAACTTTCTTTGTTTTTTACAGGCCGTGACAGCTGGCCGCAGCCCAAGAAACTAGCCTGGCAGTTGGCCAAAGCCTTCGGACGGATCCCCAAACGGCCAAGGCGTTGGTTGGCGCCCCCAACTTGTGGCCCACTGCTTTCTTTGCAGAACCACGAAGCAATCCAAAACCCCCAGCCCAAAATCCACAGCGGTAATGAGGGACGGTCGTGGGGAGATGTATCTGCGACCTTCGCCCCCTGGTCGGTAAGCTCGGGAGAGCGCCCTTTGGCCCGGGTTGGGACCATGTGGTCGGTTCGTGAGATGACGACCTCGAAATGGGTTCCATTGAACCCAAAAGCCTCCCAAGTATAAATCCCCGGCGGCCAGCCGTTTCTGTTGTTGCCCGCACCTCGATTTCCCGTGCTTGCTGTACATGTGTGCGTGCTTTGAGCTCTGCTGAATAAACCTAGACCTGCTGGCTGCCGGATCTTTTTGAATTTATCAGTTCTGCAACTTGAATCACCCTTCGTCATTGCGCGTACTCGACACATCATATCCACCTCACCTGCTGCCTGCCAAGCCCGAGCTCGTCTGTTATCAGTTGCAAAACCCCCCGAACCCTACGTCGTTCTGCTTCAAGTATAAGACCACTGTCCCCTCGACCAACCAACCAGCCGTCTGTCTATCCATCTATTCGCCCGTGCGATCCGGTTTTCGGTCTCCGAGCTCTCTAACATCTTCTCCCTGCTTCACCGCCCACCCGCTGTCCTTCACCTCAGAGGTCACCTTGAGGGTCCAACCCCCACGTCAACACCCCGGTTCACATCGCCATTCGCTCCCTGCTGTGCGCTCAGGTGCATCTGCATTCCAACGCTCGCTCACTTTCGCCAACACCACACGCGACCAAGTGGGGTCCTTCTGTGGGGGTTCCACCGACGCCGGCATCTCACCACTGCACCTTCCCGAACAATTTTGACAGGATCCCCGCCGGGTATACCCTGGGAAGAGCTGTGAAATACTTTTAGGGTTCAGGTCCCAAGCTTGATCTCTTTCGGTTTTCTTTCTTTCCTGGTCCATCCCATACCGTCGTGTCTTCACCTTATCCACCACCACCAACCCATCCCCGTCAAACCTCGAAAGCGAAAAGACTTGCCTATCATGCCTCTCACCTGGGAATCCGTTTATTCCTTCTTCTCCCCACCTGCCTCGCGGGACCCATCTCCGAACAGCACACCCTCCCTGTTCTCGGGCGCATTCTCCTCCAATACATCGACCAAGCAAACCGACCTGCCAATGCCCCCCACCACAACATTCGGGATGCCCTCCCCGGCAGACTCCTCCACCTCATCTCTGACCGGAAGCGAGCGCGACTACTCCCCGCCCGGGTCCGCATCCTACGCCCGCCGCGAGCGTCGGCCCTCAACCTCAAGCACGTCTTCCCGATCCACCACCAGCCTAGAACAACCAATACGCCAAGGCCCCAACCGCACCCACACAACCCCCGCGGTCGTCATCACCTCCCCTTCCCCCCCACCATCATCATCATCCTCCTCCTCTTCCGAAATCAACCACGAACAACGACCAGCACCCCCGCGCCGTTCGGCCACCGACATCGTCGCGCCCGAACCCATGTCGCGGACCTTTCCCAAGCCGGCGGTCGAGCCAAGCCTCGACGAGCTGCTCGCACGTAAGCCGCTCAAGCACTCGCTGGGGTACTATGTGCAAAACTCGTCGCGGGTCGCGGCCGCCAAGGCATCGCAGGAGTCGCTTCGGGCTAGTAGTGAGGAGGCGGCGGCGGAGCGGGCGAGGAAGTTTGAGGAGACCAAGAGGCGGTTGATGATGGATCAGGAGAAGTTGGCCGGGTTGGGGAAGCGGTGATGGGCTTTTTTAGAACTTCACTTCGTATTCTCGGCTGGATGGTTTAATCAAAATAGTTTTTTCTGGGTCTGGGTGGGACGGCTTTTGTGTTATTATGGCAGGTTGGGGCGGGAAGCGCATCGTTGACTTCTTTTTTTGCGATTATTTACTATTCGGATAATGTTAGCGAGTACCAACTCGGCGTAAAAGCATATTCTTCCTCCATTGGCCTTTTCTTTGGACTTGTTTCTGTGCGTGCTTCAACAGCTCAGATCGACACTTTGGTCAGGACCTTGGGTATCTGGTGCAGGAATCAAAGGCCACAACAAAAGCTGGCCATTTTCTCGGGAGGAAGGGACCAGGGAAGTTTGGGTTGACGATCAGGTATTAATTTTCCGAAATAGCGAAGTCTGTCTCTGTTAAAAGGATTTACTACAATAGACATAGTCAGGAGAAATGTTGACAAAAACGGTGTAAAAGTAACCATCCGTACCAGTAAATCTCACCTCAACCCATCAACCCCCCTCAAATTCCATAACGTCAGGGGGAGATATTCTTCCCCTACCCTCGATCATGCCAACCGCGACGCAAGGGTGAACCCATAGGCCACCGTGGCGACGAACGACCCAAGGTTCAACAACGACGACACGCCATGCAGCATGCCGAAGCGCTTGTTGAGCTCCGTCATCTCCTGCGAGTGCGGCGGAGCATCGTAGGATTTCTTGCCGTCTTTCTTTTCTATATGGGTATCATTATTAGCTATCCCACACTCCAGAGTACCCTGAGCTTCTTCTTGGGGAGCAGAGCACGACTCCATTGGAACCGGGGGAAAAAAAGGAGAAGACATACCCTGCACCCTCCTCTCCTCCATAACCCCCGTCGTCGCCGGCCCAACAACCCCCAAATTCACCGCGCTACTCAAAAACGCCCCCGCCAACGGCACCAACACAGTCCATCGGTTGTCCCGATCAAAGAATACCCCGGCCACGCCGCTGGCGCTGCCGAACGGGTTGCGACTGCCCGGGTAGGTGAGGATCAGCAGGGCTGGGAGGGCGGTTTGCAGGGAGAAGTAGACTGGGAAGATGTGCGACATGAGGGTTGAGAATTGGGGGCGGGGGAGGACGCGGAAGGCTAGGATGCCGTTTATGAAGGTCTTGGGGGGGGCGGGGTTAGTGCGTGGGTGGGTGAGTGAGGGGGGAATGTGTGAGTTGAGTGAGAGGGGGGTGGTTGGGGGGTTAACATACGTGGAAGAAGGTTGCCCCAAGGAGGGTTCCATAGCTAAATACATCGTATATTATTGTTAGTTATTCTGTGTATTTGGGAAACGATGGATGAGAGATAAATTGCATGCAAGCAATGAAGGATGGGGGGAATGCCTACCTAAGAATATGGTACGGGCCAGGTGACAGGAGACTCATGATGAAGACTGCTCAGCCTCGAAGAGTTTGAGTTCGTTTATTTATTTACTTTTTACAAAAAATTCCAGGTGGAAATCTCAATCGTTGATGAACTCATGTGGGTGCATTTGGAATGACGTTGAGTTGAGAGTGGTGTCGGCATCGCATGGGCCGTCTTGGCGTTGAGCCGCTGTGGGTTCCAGGCCGTGGAGCACCGGGGCCTGCACCTGCAGGGATTATATTGCTCTGACGCGCTGTCATGTGCCAGCGCGAGGCAGCACCAGCGAGTTGGGACAAACGGTCCAAGCTCGCGTTTGCTGCCTGGACGGGATATGGTCTCGACCCTGACCTCGATGATGAAGACAAAATAAATTCAATTGAAAAGGTGTTTCTGGTCTTTTGCACCTTTCTCCGAATCTCCCATCAATTTGCCTATTTTCCCTTCTCTCTGTTCCTGTTTCCATCAATTGTATCTCGGTGACCTCCATTCAACCCGCAACGATGGCGGACAAGGAAGCGACGGTGTACATCGTCGACCTGGGCGAATCCATGGCCGACTGCCACAACGGTCGCGATGAATCGGATTTGGATTTCGGCATGCGCTATGTATGGGACAAAATCTCGACGACGGTCGCAGCCAGCCGCAAGACTTGGACCGTCGGCGTAGTGGGTCTCAATACAGAAGACACCGACAATGCACAGGATACCGAAGGCCTTGGGGGCTACGAACATATCTCGGTGCTTCAGAACCTCGGACCGATGACCATGACTTCATTGAGAGAACTGCGCTCGTCGGTGCAAGCATCAAACAACTACGGCGGTGATGCCATCTCAGCAATCGTGGTCGCCTTGAAGATGATCGAAGTGTTTACAAAGAAGCTCAAGTACAAGCGGAGGATTATTCTGATGACTAACGGCGAGACGCCAATTGAAGAGGACTCTGCGGAGGATGTTGCAGCTAAGCTGAACGACTTGGGCATTGAGCTTGTAGTGATGTACGTTTATTAACCGACATGTTCTTGTTCCAACCGAAGCTGACTAGGGCAGTGGTGTTGATTTCGATGACTCGGACTACGGGTTTAAGGAGGAAGACAAATCCAGGGTCAAGGTAACCATCCTTCTTTCGGTGACCTCTTCCGAACTCTTTCTAACTCTAGATAGGCGGCAAACGAGAAAATCCTGCGCAAGATGGTTGAGAGCTGCACCGATGGCGTGTTCGGTACGATGCAACAAGCGGTTGAAGAGCTCGCAATTCCACGTATCAAGCCTGTGAGGCCCTTCAAGGCGTACGACGGGCCGCTTACGCTTGGAGATCCGTCCAAGTACGAAAGCGCGCTGAGCATCCACGTTGAGCGCTACTTCAAAACTAAGCGTGCTACGGCCCCATCAGCAAGTACTGTGGTGATCAACACGGATCACGGGGGCGCTTCCCAGACTCAAACCCTTGACGAGGACACGGCAATGGATGGTGCCGAGTTTTCCGGTGTCAAGCACATGCGTACCTACCGGGTCCAAGACGACGAAGCTCCGGGTGGGAAGCGGGATGTTGATATCGAGGATCTTGCCAAGGGGTACCAGTACGGCCGGACCGTGGTCCCTTTTAGCGAAAGTGATATGAACGTCACCAAACTCGCCACGACCAAATCTTTCACTATTCTTGGGTTCATCCCATTTAATAACGTAGGTGCCCACCCCTACTTTTAACGAGTTACTACCTCGATGCTAACCCGGGCTAGTATAACCCATCCATCAACATGGGCGAGACGGGCATTATCGTCGCCCAAAAACTCAACGAGGAGGCGGAACTGGGGCTTTCCGCTCTTATCCACGCCCTTCATGAACTCGAGTCCTACGCCGTGGCCAGATATGTCCAAAAAGACGGCACACAGCCACAACTACTCCTCCTCAAGCCAAACCCGGCTATCGAGGACGACTTTGAGTGTTTGTACGATGTACCACTCCCCTTCGCCGAAGACGTTCGCAGCTACCAGTTCCCGCCACTCGACAAAGTCCTTACTGTCACCGGCAATGTCATCAAGGAGCATCGGCTGCTACCGTCAGATGACCTCAAGGAAGCGATGAGCGATTTCGTTGATGCCATGGACCTGTCTGGGTACGATGTCGACGAAGACGGGTATGTCATGACTGAGAGTGGTTTTGCAGCTTGGGGCTAATGTCAAGTCTAGAAAACCCGTCGAGTACGCGCCCATAGACGAGACGTACAACCCCATCATTCACCGCATGAACCAGGCCATTCGTGCCCGAGCCGTGGATCCAGACGCCCCGATCGGGCCGCCCGCTGAAATCCTGCTTCGCTTCTCTCACCCACCAGAGAAGTTACTAGACAAGGCAAAGTCAGAAATCGATGCCCTGATCGATGCGGCAGAAGTCAAGAAAGGTGCGTTCACTCTTCCTACTACGATTCATCACTAGCTAACAGAACGATATAGTCCCTCCGAAAGCTCAAGGCAGGCAAGGGCGCAAAGAAGCTGTCAAGCCACTCTCCGGTCTCGACATCGATGCGCTCCTGGGCGAGAGCAAGCGCACCACCATTTCCACCGAGAACGCGGTGCCCGAGTTCAAGCAGATTCTCGCCACCGCCGAAGACGACGCCACCATCGAGAGCGCAGCCAAGCAAATGGGCGAGATCGTCCGCAAGCTCATCCACGACAGCTTCGCCGACCTGTTCTATGCCCGGGCTGCTGAGAATCTCCGCGTCATGCGCGAGGAGCTTATTAGTCTGGAAGTGCCGGGGCTGTACAATAAGTTCTTGACTGGGCTGAAGAAGAGTACCCTAAGTGGTGAGCTGGATGGGGACCGGAGAGAAATGTGGTTTAAGCATATCGTCGGTGGGCGTCTGGGTCTCATTTCGCAGGACGAGTCGGAGGTGTCGGAAGTGACGACTGACGAGGCTAAAGCTGTAAGTCCACACATTTTACCCTGATTTTCTTCCTTTCATTTCTTTTCTTTTCTAGAGCTGGTGTAAAGGGATCCGTTTTGAGCATTTGCTGACTAGCACGCAGTTTGTGAGGTAGCCTGGGTTCACCTTAACCCTGTTAATTCCGGTTCCTCGTGGCCAAAGTCCAGCCTCGTTACTCCTATATTGGGACATGAGTGGTCTAATTTGGAGGGCTGTTGACGTAGTGGGAGGCTGGGTAAAGTTTTGATCCAGTTGTCAGCATTTCGGCGAGCTATAAGGAGGAAAAGGGTCGGGCATCCAAAAGTAGACTGCCGTCTTGGCAAAATAAGGCTGAGAACCGTGGGTCTTGAGGCCTACCATCTTCATTCTCCACAAGTGCCAGGATTGGTTGAACTGGACACAACTGGGCTTACACCGACTGACTCCTCAACGTCCACAGCTTCCAGCTTAGTAGTAGTCGTGTCCAAATTATGTGTGCCTTTGTCGCGGCCCAATCCCAGACTCGTTTGGAGGGAACTTACTGCTAGAAGTTTCGCTGTTAGTCTCCGGATCCACACTTGGGTACGTTTGCTCTTGAGCTTACACCAGTTAAAGCTAGGGATAATAAACATCCCCTTTCATATATCGTGCAATACTGCACACAAACGGTCTGGCAATCAAACACTCCGGAATAACAACTGTTTCCTACTTCGAAACTGTATTTGGCCCCACAAACATTTCTTTTCATGAATTACATCAGCCAACCATAGCAAGACCGGTTAACGGGAAGCCATCGTTGGGCCCCTACTATTCGATTGCTCCTTCCTTACCCCTCTTCGGAGGCGCCTTAGTCCTTGAGCCTGTGCAAGAGCAACCAACTCACATAACTTTGCCTACCTATTGATAATTGAGAGCCAACGTCTTCACAATACTAAGACGTGAATGAGAATTCTTGGCCTTATCATTGTGAGTGACAATAGAGCCTTGGGTTTCTAAGACTTTCCATTCAACCTTGTGTCACATAGTGTGTTGACAACCCATATAACATTGAGTCCTCACAGTGCCCTCACACCAGCAACACATCACATCGTCTGAGTCTCCGCTCCAAGGCTCCCCATCTGATCATAGGCCGGACCGGACCCGTTCCTCGAACTTTGAGTTGATCCGGTGCCCTCACAACAGCGAACCTTCACTCTGCTATCTTCTCCGCCCGCCTGCACTTCCCACTTCCTCTTTCCCTCTTCCCCTCTTCCTCACCCAACCTCATTTGGTCGACCGAGTTGGCTGGTTGCTCGACTACCACCCCAACAACAAAGGTGCCATATATTGGGCCGCTCGTTCCTTATGCTCGGCTTGATCCAGTCAAATAAAAGCAGACCATTTAATCGACCACCAACAACAAGGCAAGATGTCAGACGACGAGTTTCTGGACCGTCTCCAGGAGATCACCGGCCAAGACGCCGATGTCTGGACCGACTTCAACCCTTCCAAGTGGCGCACTCTGCCGCAGTTTGATGGCGCCTCCGACCTTGATTATGACCTAGGCAAAGACGACTTCTATGACGACGCCGACGAAGAAGACGACGGCAATTACGGTTCCGAGTACGACGAAGCGCCGGGGTTGCTGAACATACACAAACTAACGCGGACCGAAAGGATCATTTCTAAAAGGGCGGCTGCTGCCGCTGCTGGTGGTGGTGATGGCGATACTAGTGGCCTGTCTGGCAAGCTCAACAAGGCCCGCGAGTATGCGGCTGGCGAGGTGGCTTTTCCCAAGGCCGTGGCCAAACTGGAGAACCACATCTGGAAGGACACCGGACTGGAACTGGGCGAGCGCTCTGATGAAAGCGAACGCTTTGTGCCCTGGAAGCTCATCATTCACTACCCGGATTTATTTGTGGGCAAGGCGAACGGTGTTCGGGTACGTGTCGTTGTTTGGAGTTGTTAAGTTGTGGTTTGAGGGACTAGGGAACTGACTATTCTCAGGCCGCCCCGCTGTTTACGCTCGATGCCCTTCATGAAAACAGGGTCTGGGATCTGTAAGTCAGCAATATGCCACCGCATGGCCAACGCCACAGTACTGACAGACAAACCTAGTTACTACATCCACGCTCCCCCGGATATGAAGCTCAAGCCGGTGATTTTCGCGCCGACTCATCAGTTCCATCATCTCCTGGACGTGGTCAACGCCAAGCTGGACACCCAGCTGACCATCCCGGGCGGCAAGAATGCAGAGAGGTTCGAGATGGAATTCGGCGCCGATGGCGGCCCTGTTCCTCGCTTCTTAGGCCGTTCGGAGAGTGCCCAGACCTTCAACACCCTATCCGAGGCCATTCCGGAGGCGCACCCGGACGACGACGTGACTAAAATTACTACCCAATTCGGCGTCGACGAGTTTAGGTTCCTCCTCAAGCAGACCCGTGTCGAGGAAAAGAAGACCAAGAAGGCCGACAAGAACCGTGCGAAACGCCTTACGGCCCACCGGGACTGGGCCCGATCCATCAAGCGAGTCCAGAGGTACCTTGGTCTTCGTAGCCGCGAAGTGGAGGGCCAGGTTGAGCCCATCGATGTGGACTTGTTGAAGCACGTCGCTCACGAGCCCGAGGGCTCCGTTCTGTTTGTGGCCATCGATATCGAGGCCTGGGAGAAGGACCACAACATGATCACCGAGGTTGGCATCGCCATTCTGGACACGCTCGTTGTCCGACCCATTCCCCCTGGTGAAAATGGCGTGAACTGGCTGCCGCTCGTCGAGGCCCGTCACATCCGCGTCGAGGAGAACTCGTGGGCCCTGAACTCCCGCTATGTTCACGGCTGTCCGGACCGCTTCAATTTCGGGTATGTCTTCTGCTGCTCGCCCTCCATAATACCCCCCTCCCCCTCAGCCCCCTCACTAACTGGGCTTGCATAGGACCTCTGAGTTCGTCAAGCTCGATGACATCTCCCAGCTCATCAAGAGCATCATCGACGAGGCCACGTTGGTCGACCCGGACACCGGCACCACCCAGCCGCGCCCGGTGGTACTCGTCTTCCACGAGGCGACGTCCGACCTAAAGTACCTTCAGTGCGTATCGTACCATGCCGGCGATGCTGACAACGTCATCGATGTCGCCGACACCCGTGTGATGTACCAGTCCTTGGTGCGCAAGAACGACGCGTCCAGTCTGGTGGCGGCACTCGACTACCTCGAACTCCCCCACAAGAACCTGCATAACGCGGGCAACGATGCCGTGTACACCCTGCAGGCTATGGTTGGCCTTGCGGTCAAGAAGATGGGTGTGCGAGCGGAGCGGAAGAAGGAGAGGGCTGATGGGTGAGTTGGCTCTGTGTTCTGTCTGACGTAGTCTATCTGTGTTGTGATCGATGAAATACTGACATTACTTGCAGTTATATCCCCTACTCCGAGTTCAAGGTGAAGGAGGGCTGGACCAGTGGCGATGAATCCGATGGTGGTGTTCCGGCTGGTTTGCCTGCTGGCTGGAGCGCCGAGGGCATCGACAACTAATGCCAGCCTGACAAAACACATGCCGATATCCGACACGGCGGCTGGCAGGACGATGCCGCAACTGCATTTTGCGAACGCGGGCGCTGCTAGCCTTGAGTCATCGGGGTGTATTTTTGGGAAAGACAAAACAACGAGCGAAATCTGGGTTCGGGGTGTGTCTGCCAATATTTGTGTATATTAGAGGAGAGTCATTCAGCGAGCTCGCGCCGGAGCTGAGTGCCAGATCTTTCCGCACTGCGTAGATTTCAGAAATCACTTTTTTTCTGAAATGCTGGATTTCGGTGATAACCGTGGTCGGTTCTTGTGGTGTTACATAACGTGTGGGTGTTCCGGCCTTCTTATCCCCCCCACGCCGATTGCCATACCCGCCTTGATGAGCGAGCCCTACATAGCATAACCCCCCTCAATCCAACCATGTCCCCAATTCGATGCCTTCTCTCTTTCTCAGCCTCCGGGTTCCCCTACAGACAGACTTCCACCGTACCGTCCCAATGACAAGCCATTTCCACCCCAGAACGCCAGTGCTATGATGATGGTTGTTTTTTGTTGTTTGTTGTAGTGTTGTAGTGTTGTACACGGAACGGAGCCGGAGAAAGGGGGTCGGGGTACGCCGTTTGGTTATAATCGTGAGTTGGCTGTCGGAGCGCCTTTGCTGAGCGGAATCGTGATGGTCGTCGCGACCAGGCTCGGTTTGTAATGTCTTCGAGTCATATTGGCTCAGCAACCCCAGCAAACCCACCCCAATCGTCCGACCGAGTTTCCCGATCTCTTTTTCAGATCTCCTCTCCATCCGTCTGTTTCCACCCGAATTACCCCTTCCCCTTCCCCAAAGGTATACCTCCCCATCCCCACCTACCCCCTACCCCGCGAGCCAAAACCGAGATGCCGTCACCGGGGTGCGCAGCGCGGGTAGGTAGGCAGGTAGGTGGTAGGTATGCAGCCATAGTCCAATCATGAGTTCTTCTCCAAAAACTCCTTCGCCTCATTGACCTTGGTCGCCAGGTACGGGCTGCCGCCGCGGTCGGGGTGGTTGAGAAGCATCAGTGTGCGGTGGGCTTTGCGGACTTTGTCTTTCGTAAGGCTGCTTTCACTATTTTTTCCCTATTAGCGAACCGCTTCCCTTTCTAATTCCTCGCTCTGCCCTACTTCCCACCCTCGACGATAGGAATGAGGAATATAGGGGGGAAGAGGGGGAAGGGGGGTAAAGAGGGGGACGAACCTCAAAGAAAGAATCAACGACGCCTCCCGCTTGTTCATGCGCGGCTCAAACCCGCCTTTGTAAAACGCCTGGCCGAGGGCGCCTACGCCGCCACGTGAGCGACGCCAGGCTACTAGGCCGGCTCTGCCCTGTTATCCGGGGGGTCATTATGTGTTAGTTATGTTGATTGAGTATTGGCGGGGAGAGTGGGCGGAGGTGGGGGGGCGTACGAGGAAAGCGGCGACTGCGACGCCTGCGCCGATGGCGAGGGCGGACATGGCTTTTGGGGGTTGTTGTTATTGTTGGGGGAGTTGGGGTGGTTGGATGTACTCCCGACTGGCGCGGGGTCGGTGGTTGTGGTTTCGGTTTGTGGTTGTGGTGATGATGTCGGCGATGACGGGGCTTTGGTGGGTTGCGATGGAACTTTTTCTTGCCTGGGCGAAGGCGGGATTTACCGGGGTGTATTGTGTACGATACACTGTAATGGTACGTGGTGGTGGTGGGGGTAATTACCGTGTCTTGGCGTTTTGTGCTTGGAGGATGAATTTCACCTCATTTCAACATCGATTCTGTTGTGAAGCGAATCTTTATTCATTCTTCGAGATTCGAGCCCATCACACACACGCGCTCAGAAAACCTCTTAGTTCCGCCTAGTATAAACCCTCTGAGGAACAGCCAACCCCAACTCAACATCCTCCAACGCTTTCCTACTCAACTCCGCTGCCTTCACCCGCTCTGCCTTTTCTCTTTCCCGGATTTCGATGCTATCAGTACCAGTAGCCCAATTCCCCGCTCCGCCTCTCCCACTCAGCCCCCCCGTCTTTGCCCTCGTCGCCAGGCTTGCCGCTACAGCGTCCGTGACTTGGAGCCGGTCCGCCTCGGCCGCGGCGGCGGCCTCTTCGGGTTGCTTTGCTGCTGCTGCTGCGGCATCTGAAGCCGCGCCGCCGTTGGAATCAGTCGTCGGCGATGGGAACGTGAAGTTTCCTGCTCCACCGCGGCCGGCACGCGTGTAGCTCGGCCCCGGCCCGGGCTGGCCGGATGTGGTTCCGGCCGTTGTGGTTCGAGTTAGGGTGAGGGGGTCGGCTGTTTGTGCTTCGATGTCCTGGGTCTGTGTTACTCTTGGAAGTGCAGTACGATCGCCAATTTATTGAGATTTATCGAGGTATCTCAAAGAAGGAATTTGCTACCTACTTCTTTGCTGACCCTGTCGGCCTCTTGGACGTCTTGCTGGCTGTAAAAATTGCCGGCCCCACCACGGCCGACTCGGCGGAAGACTTCGGAAGACATTGCGGACTGCGGGTGGACAAGTCGTTTGCACGAGCGACGCTAACCATTCAAGCCGTGCGACGAAGGGAGAAGAATCCCCCTTAGATGTTGATGCATTTTGGGGGCCTTCTTGAAACGAAATATCTCTTCGTTCTGGATCATCGCTCGGTTGTTACAGATCACTAACCTTATCAGCTACACCCAACGCTTATCGGGAATGTCGCTTCCCGGTTTGTCATTCCATTACACTACACCCGATATGCTCCCACGCAGTATTTTCACGTCGTCGCCGTTGTTGCTTCTTAACGTTCGAGGTTTCCTGTGTTCGTTTATTGCAAGGGACCTGGGGTTCAAACCACTGTTTTACTAGTATACAGGCGAGCGGCTAGGCATCCCAACGAACGACAATCCCAACAATGGACAGGCAGGGTGCCATCGAAAAAACCCACCGCCCTCCCGCCGCCAATATGTGGGAATCTCGCCGATAGGTATCGTGGCTGCGCAGCGAAGCAATGATAGGTACATGTACACTTTGCACTAGCAGATCAGCACAAAGGCTACGCACGCTCGCTGCTGTATCCCTGTAATAGGTGTACTTGTACATGCAACGGAGTTTCGACACAAGGCTCTACTAGGTACCTACTCTCGCAACTGCAGGTGGCCATGACGTTCAAAACCTTCACAGGTGCTGCAGTGATACCCTTGAGGCTCTCAAAATACCCCCTATGAACCAATCACCAATCGCCTTTGGGCCAGCCTCAACGCAGGTCCGGAATTGCCCCGCGGCTCTTCAAAAGGAGGGCGGCGCTAGCTTCTCGTTCTCGGTTGCGTCGCGCGAGGCCTGGTAATACCCCATTCCCCACGAGCGAGCCTATATATCGGCACCACTGCTCGCTCAGATACAGCCGTTGTTATTACTTGCCTGCAACTCACGCTCAAGAATCCTATACAAAACTTTTCTCTCTGTCACTTGGGGCCGCCACAGATTGCCTGTAAAGAAGATGGCCTCCCCGGCCCGCAGCTTTCTCCTTCCCAACCTAGAGGCAGCAACCACGGTATTGCCCCTGCCATATCAGGGCCCGAGCGGATTCCATTCACGCCGAAATGTGAGTCTCCGGTTTTGAGTGTGCTGCGTTCAACACCACTGATTTCGAGTGACCTACCTTGGTACTATCTCAGGGACGGCCGACGGATACATCCAAGCTATCACGGACCATTCCCAACAAACCAGCGAAAGCACTATATACCCTGGAGATATCTATAAGCACCTTGAAGGGTATTTAAAATGGAAGACAGGTGTGTCGTCCGAAAACCATGTGCCCGACGGCTTCGCGTGGCTTGTTAGCCCGGGCCAGCAAGCACCATCGACGGCCGACGGCCAAGAGAACCAAGGGCAGTCTGAAGGGTTTTCGGATGTCAAGTCGTGCATAGAAGCACTGCGGAACAACATTGAGGCGTCACGTCCTCAAGTTTTGTTCTTGCGGGGCCATCCTCCACCAAGTTGGCTCTCAAGCATCGGTGCCTTTTGCAACCTCGACCCTGAGCTGTTTCGCCGGTTCGCCACCTACGAGGACACAGGCCCGGGAAAGGGTTGTTATTTCGGCTCCGCGCCTCTCGCAATGAGCAGGATATTTCGTTTCACATTCTTCACTATCCTCAACATGCATCAGCAGGTGACCAGCAGTGCAAAGGCAAACCTAGAGTATCGGCGGTACCATGCGGAGCTAAATAACTGGCAATGGGTCATGAATCCGAAGCCAGAGGACTCGATTGTGCGGGATGTTTATACGCCAGATGGAAGACACCATGTTATCAAACAGGAAATGGCCATTTCAATATTTGAGATCGGCAAAACATGGATGGGTAGGTATACCTTGATCACAACATACCTCCATATAAGATGACCATGACGAGTAGATGTGCTGACGAGATAATACCCCTTGCAGCCATCGCCTGCACAGATGCAGGAGGGGACCTCACAAAGGGCACGATGCTCCCGTGGCTCGAAGAGGTGGGACCGGTGGCACCGACGATCGTCCCCATCATTCAATACCGGCCAAAATGTGCACTAAATTCCCGTGTAATACCGAAGACTAAGGGAAACGCCCAAAGCCTCGCCGTCTTTCCCGAGCGCGACGGACACCGCCTAGATTGGGCATCTGCCAAATCAGACCGCTTCCCAATTCTATCCGAGGTCTTCAGACTATCCGCGTTCTCGCGGAAGCAGCTCCTAAACCTCTTACAAACCAAGATAATCGCTGAGACAAATCGGCTGCAGCAAACCTACGGACTTCCGGAATTACTCTCTGTGCTCGGGAAACCGACATTTGCCAATCTACTCTACTATCGGAATATCCTCCAGGACCAAGTGACCGACCTCTCACAAATGCTGCTGCTCACAAACGGGGAGAGCAGAATTTTCCACAACAGCGCCTCCCGTCCGGTCACGGCCCACAATGCCATGGACATGTACGAGGTGCACAGCCTGCTTCAAGACCTCCATCTCCAAGCGCAGTCCCTTGTTGAGAAATGTTCCCAGGGCATGACGGTTATCAGCAACAACAGCATGCTCGAGGAATCTCAGCGCGCCATCCAGTAGGCAAAGCAGGTCACTAAACTCACACTCGTCACCTTTGTGTACCTTCCATTTACCTTTACCGCGGGATTCTTCGGGATGAACTTGAGGGAGCTTGAGGCCAGTAAGATTTCGCTGTGGGTTTACTTTGTCATCTCGATTCCACTCACAATCATCAGCGTGATGTTCTTCCTGTGGAACCCCTCATCGATGGATCTCATCCGTTATACCTTGCAAAAGGCAAAGTGGCGCACGGGAAATTACTACCGGCGATTGAGAGACTACTTGATACCGGTATAGCGATAGCGCCATTGCGCTTATCGGTTCAAAATTTAGCATCTTCCGCAACAAACATGGTAGACTTTGTGCAGAGGTTAGCAACTAAGAAGCGGAGAGTGAAGCAAATGGACTTTAAATGGACATACAAGACAGGAGATTGGCTGGTTTGAGACGGCACAGTACTGATTCAGCGCTTGATAGTCTCAAGACAGTTTCGGCTAACGAAAACTGAGCGAGATCTCATGTCTCCTGTCAGTACGGTGGTCGTCTGTGGGAGGACGAGACTCGAATGTAATTCCCAAAAGGGTAATTAGTTGGGGCGTGCCGGGGTTGTTTGGGTTCAGAGTGGCCGGCAAGACTTCTCAAAAGCTGTGATCAAGCCCTCCGGTGACGAGGTGCTTGTAACGTTGGCTAAAATAATGCGCACATGAACTGCACCGTGGAATAAGTAACTACAACGTACACCAACCTCAAAGCCTACGCAGACGGGTCTTGGCGAGATCCTGAGGAGCTCGCTTTCGCGAGCCATCCCGCTCGTAACTAACCCCATAGTGGGGAGGCAGATCATTTGGGCTGCGGCATTGCTGCTAGGTGATCGGGATCGATCTGGTGCGCAAGACACATACATACCATAGTGTCAAGGAAGAAGGGCGATGATGAAATTGCGGGCTTTCTCTCAGCTAACGGACACATCACCCTCAACATCTCCAATGCCCGAGGAGCAACAACTGCAGTTTCGGAGACCGTTGCTTCCATGACATGGTAGGTTTAGGTTGGCCTGGCACGCTTGATCGCCGCGCTGAGATCTGATTTGTGGGGTGGCGCTCGCCTTGCCTATGAGCCTGCCAGTACGTATACGTGTACTCGAGATGTTCTTTCCTCAACCCTTTTTTTTTTTTTTTTAGGAATTACTCCTTTCGTCTTCTCCACGTAGTCTTCAGCCCTAGATCCCAGATTTCCTGGCCAGCCTGCGCACATTGCGACGCCGGGCCGTCAGGTGGACCCTCCGGGCAACGTCATCTGCTTCTGGGGCCTTCCATCAATAATTCCGTGTCGTAGGAGGCTGAGGCCATGGGACCGTGTCATGAGGCAACCTTTTCTTTTATGTTGCAATTTTTTTTCTTGGAGGTCGGCTGTCCCGGAAGAATGCATTTCCTTGGCCTGGTGTCTGTCTGATTTGAGTGACTGTGGTTAACCAGGCTGAAGAGGGCGAGACGAATCACTACCTCGACGTGGCATCAGTTACTGAAATTCTTTCTGTTTCCTTTTCGCTTCTTCTTTTCCCGGGTTTCCAAGTCGTCAGGACCGCGCCCGGGTTCGACTTTCCGAAATGCATCGTTGGGGTATCAATGCAACTGTTTCAAGGAACTGGCTGTGTCCCGATGGGTTTCAAGCCCTGAGCTGTGGGGCTTCATCGCTCACGTTAACCGTCTTGTGTCATCCAAGAGCCGGCTTGTGTGTTCACGTGGTACTGCAGCATTTGTTATCTAAGAACAACCGCATCGAACGACCGAAGCAAGTGTTATCAAAGATCGCCGAACTCGTTCATCAGGCGGTCCTCATCGTTGTAATCTGTACCTGGCGGTTGATTTCCGGATCTGCCGCTCATTGGTCTCGTTCGTGTTCTGCTCCCAGGTCCCGATAGCCAGCGTCGCAGAACAGGTTGGTTCGGTGCAGATTTAATGAGGGGCCGAACAGCCGTGCCAAATGGGCACCGAACCCGATGAGTTAAGCATGCTCGGCATGCAGAACCATCATCCCATCGAGCGATCCGGTGATCTTGACGATTGGTTGACATCCGTCTCGTGGGACGGGAGCTGCTCGAAGCGGGGGTCCTTCAGAGAAGGTCCAGCCCGTCGAGAGGGCAAGCGAATGGGTGCTCGGGTTTGCGTGCTCTCCGATGATTGGCAGATTGGCATCCGGAATGGGGTGTGTCCTGGGGTCAAGTGCAGGACCCAGACTTCCCGAAGCCAGTTTGAACTCCGGTTGTTGAGAGCCACGGAACACAAGGTATGAGGGGTTCGGTTGCTGCTTGTTGGGAAACCAAAATTGAGCTTGAACGTATCTATTTGGATTTGCCCCAGATGACTGCTGCTTCAGCGTGTAATTATATGACCGGTCATTCTGATATTGTCTTACCAGTGCAGTCTGAGCGACCTGAGGGCTGGAGTACGGATTCCTGTGAACCTGCCGGAGAAACTTGGCGGCATCGAGATTCATGCAACAGGCAATTCGCGAAATGTATTCTGGGATTCTCCCCACATCATCGAGTGGCTAACTCCATTAACATCCTTGGTACCCATTGGTACCCCAATTGTGGAATGGAAATGGGGCTCCGAATGGGGAACACAACAGGCGGGGTAATAACGGCATGTTGAGGTTGCGCAAGTGGCAGAGGAGCGAGACGAGTTTGACCTCGTACACTGGCCCGCTGGTTAAAGGGCTATTGAAATTAGAGCAGTAATTAGTGGACGGGACGATGAGAGGAAACACACACTCTCTCCGTTACGCCTCTCTTCATTCTGCTCTTTTCTTGCTAGAAATGGTAAATGATTGTTGAGTCACTTGTGGAGACTAGGCTGGGAGTATTGGTGGACCCGAATGCTCGTGACCTGGACACATTTGTCCGGTCTGGGCAGCCAAAAGCGGTATTAAGACTCGCCGAATTTTGTAGGCAGCTCATTGCTTCGCGGTTGACGAAGCCGTACGCGGCCGTGGCGTTGATCAGAATTGTTGAGATCTGGCTTCCGAAAGACCGCTTTTGCATCTTCGGCTTCGATCCCTTCAATTATTTGATATTTCTTGTTTCCACTGTGGAATCGAGTTTCTCTGTCTCCGTGTCTAGTGACAACAGCACTGCCTTCCTCGTACCAAGCAACTCTGTTGGTGGATTGCTACACCGAGGTGAGGTTACTGGATGAGGGGTGGGCCTTGACCGAGAGAGCCTTGTGCAGTTTGCCTGGGTTAGGAGGGGTGTCGACGTTCCCCTTCGTTCACTCCATTCTCTTTTACCTTGTATTCGAGTATCCGTAATTTGAGGGCAGAACGTCCGGTTCGCCATTCCCGTCCAGCGTCTTGAACCGGGCGCGTCCTGCCGAAGAGTGTACCTGCGACATTCGGACAGATTGTCCAGTCAGACGCCATCCCAGACACACGATGCTGCATTCGGCTGGGAGTGTGTCCATCTGGACACTTCGGCGCACCGCTCGCCCTTGGCCAGGTACCGGTTCTGAGGGGAGGAGGCAGCAGGGGTACATGGCCAGGGGCAAATGCGCATCGCCAAATACGTACCCCCCTGTGAGCGCCAGCATTCCACCAGCGAAAGCTGGGAATCGCCCGGGATGGATATGCACGCTCTTGGGCGCTTGATATTTCCATTCCCGTCATTGCTGCTATGCCGAGACCTCCCGCCCAAAGCCTGCTTCTTTCAGATTGTTGTTCCAAAGAGCTGGCGCCTGAGGATTCGCAGATCCAGTAGTTTTTGCCTTCTCGATCTTTCTCAACTTTTTTTTTTTTGGCTTCGGCTGACTGATTCGTTTCGTCCCAACCTAGCCACGCGCCTCCCGCTTACAGGCAACCCATCCATCCATCGTGACCTGCAGCTCATTCCGCCTGCTGTTGGACCTTTCTCGATTTGATTCCTCGTCTTAGGCAGGAGGCACAGCCACTCGTCCTTTCTTTGGATTTTCCTCTGCTACTGGCGCGTCCCAATTGCTGGCCAACTTTTTTTTCGAACTTGGTGTCCTGAGCTTGAGTGGTTGGCAGTTGGCACAGTCACAAGGACCCATACCCTAGCCCGAGCCCCGAAATTATTATTGTTCCTCCCCGCGCTTTCGACTTGCATTGCAGCTACCAGCTGTTCCCAACCGCTACACATCTCCCGACAAATCGTGGCCCACCAGCAACTTCACACACGCCAAAGTCCCGCCAACACACAACCCTTTCCCGCACTTTTGAATTATTTTTCAGAGCCCTCGCGTTTTGGATAGAAGCGGACGGAACAATCACACAGCACAACGCTGGAACTCTACAGCGGCCTTCGCAATGGCGTCTTCCAAAGTGAGTCCTGACTCTTACACCCACGGATGACTACGAGCGAGTTCGGCCTGCCGGTTGCACGGACAACAAAGACGGACGGAAACTGATCACGTCGGATGCTTCTCACAGGAAATACAACAAACCACGCGGCCGCTCTCGCACCGCTCGTCGATTTCCTCCACCTCCGTACCGGGTGGCCTCACGCTCGGCCGTCAATCCCACTCGCGAAATAACTCACACTCGCTGCTCGGGAGCGCGCTCAATGGCAGCCACCGCATCACACGCCGGAAGAGTATGACAAACACGGGGGCCAACGTGGCCGCGGTGGCGGCAGCGCTCCAGGAATCGGGCGACATGGCCATGCCGCTCCCGATCACCGTCAATTCCCGCCGCAACACAATTTCTAGGAATGGTCTCTCGCGGTCGGCCGTCGTGGGAAGTCTCCCATCGCCACCCGCTAGCCTCCCCACGCACAGGTTCGTGGCGGAACACGGAGCCAGCAACGCTGGGCAGGAGAGCGCGATTGACGACGAACTCAATGACATGTCCGGGGACGACGCCGAATCGGCTTTCCAAAAGGCACGCGTTAGAAGAGCGAGTGATGGTCAACCCTTGGCCAAGGAAGGCGGCCGGAAGAGCAACCGCCCGGAACTTCGCTGCGAGAAGTGCGGGAAGGGATACAAGCATAGCAGCTGCTTGAGCAAGCATTTGTTTGTGCCCACTTTCCTCTCCCTACCCTCTCCCACCCCGTGGTACCCGAGTGCGGATTCGGCAACCCCCTACCACCGATCACGGATCTTGAGCTGCGCCGTGTGAAGCAATTGTGTTGACTTGTTTGCCCGTTCAGGTGGGAGCACACTCCCGAATGGTCCTACACTTCCAAGCTCTTGATTTCCAAGCACCAGCAAGTCCAACTCCTGGAGGCCGCCTCGGTCCTGGTTGCGATGAACAACACACCCACCGATGCCGCCCCTGCCACCACGACGCCGCCAGAGTCAGCCCGAGACTTCAGTAGTGACCGAGACTCGGCATCGCCTGCCGCTAGTGGCTATTCTGACCAACAGGACGCCGGATCCGCCGATACTACACCACCACCGCAGCTGGATGGCCTTCACGCCGCGAACGCGTCCTATCGGAGTCTGGGTAAGAGGTATAGCAGCGGAAACGGCCTGTCCCGGTCATATCAGACGGCACCATACGCCAGCTCAGCTGCAGGCAGTGTGCCAAGCGTGTCGGGCTTTGGACACTTCCGGCAACTTAGCCAGGACCAACGGCCTACTTCATCTGGCCGGAACGCCACAAGCCAAGACGACCGCGAGCTTGCCGCTGCCGTGGAGCTTCTTAGTTGCAGCTTCAACAGCAACGGCGGCGCTAGGACCGTCCACTTGCCCGCGGACGCACCGCCGGTACCGCCGCTTCCAGCGCAGTACCTCGACCAAGGGATCTTGTCGGGGACGAGCTTCATCAACAGCTACCCTAGTAGGGCACCTGAGAGCTTCACGCGCGGCGAGATGCGGCGGGTCGACCCGAAGATGGAGGATAACGACGACAGCGTTATGGACGAAGACGACGAGGACGACATGCGGTCCCGGGCACGGAGCGACGAGGATGACGATGGCGTGTTTGGACGGATGGAGGAATGATGTTCCTTGAGTCTTGTCCCAGCCGGAATTCTCCGCGTGTGTTTCCTTTTTTCGCCTATCGATTCCTTGTCACTTATTTTCGGTTCCTTCTTTTCCCCCTTGCCTTCTTCGGAGGAAGGATATCGGAGCTTATCGGCGCTCTGCTGTTTATGCAATGGATACGGTTACGGGTCGGGTCGGTTTTGGTTTCTTTTGTATACCTATACTGTAAAGCGTGTAAATGATGGTCGCTCCGCCGACGGCCCTTGGCACCGAAGAGTGGGGGAGCGCGAGTTCCCGTGGTACCAAACACTGCGGTGTTTGAGATACTCGGGAACAACACGCCAGGTCCCACGAGGTTAAAGCGAGAGCCGTGTGCGAGCGTTGAGCGAGTGCGACTGGGGTTGGACTGAGCCGGAATGGGTATGGTTGTTTTAGTATGGATATTTGATGAGACGAGATACTTAGCGCTATCGACTTTGATAACAATAACAAGTTGGGATAAGTATTCCACCCAACTAGCGTTTTGTTCCTAGAGTTATTGGATTGTGCGATTGGTGTTAAGCAGTGCACAGCGAGTTTTCCCAGAAATGACGAGAAACATTTGACAAGGGATGGTTTGATGAAGTGGTCTAAGGTTATTCAAGTCTGAAATGATGGCTACTTTACCGTAAATAAGGCTGTCCGTGTCGAAATATGATGCGAGGCGCCTTGCTTTGGTTGAAATGCACAGAACTTAGAACTTGCCGTAGGGATGGGTGGTGAAAATTTTGCGAGAACGTCGAGTCTTGACCGGGCAGGGGTCATCAGAAAACCTTAAAGCCATCCATACTTGGTAACGTAGAAAGGTGACAACAAAAGAAACTAAGTTGAGGAGAATATTCTGCAGTAAACGGAAGAATATGAATGTTGTTGGTGTTTGTTAGAGAACTGAGCAAACGGACTTTGCTTGGGTGCTTCCACTTCGACGGGGAGCTTGCTAGGAAGCTCAAGGGGAACCATCGAACCGAACCAGCCAGCTCGAGCCAGGCACCCAGGGCACCCGCAGCGGGGATCAGTGCAAAGCGGGAGGGGTTCCAGCGGGTTGGTGCTGTCCAAGACGTCACTGACTCCACATAAACCTGGGGGTTTGCACCAAAAGCTCCCAGGGAGCTTGGGCGGTTCGGCACCCGAGCGTGGAGGTTGCATCGCGTGCGCTGCATTTCGTCAACAAACCAAACAAAATAGGAACATCAACACTCAGTGAAGTTGGGTAATCGAGTTGTTTTCCATCAGAAATCTAGAGGCTCTTGACGGCAGCATCGCGACTTGTTAACATCCACGTCGATAATCACTCGAATCTTACTGTTGACACTGGTGCATCGTTTTTGGTGCTCAGGTTTTCGCGCGCCGATTGAACAAGCTCATCATCGCTCTCACTTTTTGGGGGTTGTTTAGCTCTTTACTTGGCTAGCGCATCATCTTTTAACAACGCGACAACACGACCCTCACTACCATACACGCACCACACACCACACCTCAACCTCGTCCTCCACAATGCCCCGAACAAGAGAGGCCGCGGCCGAGCCCGCGACAAGCAGCAGAACCCGAAGCAAAACCGCCACAACCAGCAGCACGGCACCAGGCGGCGGCACAGCCGTAGCGCCACGCGCAGAAGACGAGCTCTCGCGTCCTCCCTCCTCATCGGCATCCACCGGCGGAGCCGAGTCAAAGGTATCATCACCAATCAAGCGAGCCGTCGCTGATGGTGATGTTGCTACTGCTACTGCTAAGGCTGCCGCTGCCGCTGCTGGGCCTGGCCGGCTACCGGGACCGGTGCGGTTTGTTTTGGTGGTGGTGTTGAGCTTTGCGCTCTTGTCGCTGGGCCGCTCGTTTGTTGATCACGTGAGTGACAATGAGGTGGGCAGCATTGCGAGGGAGACGAATTCGCAGACTGAGTTGGGGGTGTTGGCTGCGTGGAAACTGTGAGTTTTATTTTCTTCTCTCTTTTTTTACTATTTTTTGTATGGGAGTTTCTTTGGGAAAATGTTCTCATTTTTTTTTCTAATTTATTTCTTTAATTTGTTTCATCTTTTCCCCGCGCCCTCTTTCTGGCCCGGTAGGGCTGAAGAGGCTGGCTTCCCGTCTTCAGCTAAACCAATGCTAACTCGCGTGTAATACTTGGCAGATTCGGGCTCGCTCTTGGATGGCTCGGTGACTATGACGGCTTCGATCTTGCAGCCCTCGCCGTGCTCTCGCATGGTCCCGCGGTAAGTTTAGCCCCCTTGCCGCATCGCCATCCCGTTATTCCCTCTCTGTTGTGCCACGAGGAATGAGCGGCATCGGGATGTTTATGCTCCTTTATCCCCTCTCCCCCCACATGGAATAGCAAGGCGCAGTTGTGACTGACATGCATTGGCTGCCCCCCCCCCCCACTCCCTCCCGCTAGACTTTTCTGATCTCCGTCTTCTACGGGATCCGCTCCCTGACGGCCGGGGCTTACCTCGCTGTGGATGTTGTATCCGCCTTTCTGCCGTTCGTTCTCCTGCGTCGGTTGTCCAGCGCCCACTCTGCTGCGCCCGGCGTGCCGAACCGCGACATTGTGGCCGACAAGACCATCCAGGTGCTCACCGCGCTCCAGTCATCGCTCGTGTACAGCGTGGTACTATTCCTGGCCGGCCGGTACCTCCTACCGGACTATCTAGTGCTTTACTTTTCCGGTATCCCGACCATTCGCCCCGCCGCGGACGCCACGTTCCTCGGGCTCGACAACCCGACTACGCTGGCACTCAGCGTGCTCTTTGGTCTTGCGGCCCGGACGTTCATCTTCACGCCGCTTGTAACCACGCCGCGGACCGCCGAGGACGAAAAGAATGCCGGCTTCGACCCTGTCAGTGCGACGCTGGGCCAGACCGTGGCGTGGAATCTTTGGGGGTACACTAGCCGCACTAAGGTCTCGCTCGTCCGTACCGCTGTAGCTATGCTGTACTCCGCCGTGGGGACGTACCTGGACACTGTGCTTACTGTTCGCGGGGTCGAGCTGTACGGCGCGGTTGTGTATGCTGGTGTATGGGTCCTGGCTGCGCTTGTTACGGGGCTGTCACTCCGCTATGTCGGGAGCATCTGATGAGCTGCGATGTGATGTGATGAGTGATCCTCGGAGGAGGGGTGAATCGTGGGCGGTGACGCTGGCCCGGGGGGTTGGACGTCAGGGTCGGGGGATTATACGCCGAGCTTGCCTGCTTATCCTGGGACCCGACGGCACGGAAGTGGTTCCCTTCCCCGCGCGGTACCAGGGCTTGAGGGCAATCTCCCGTCTGTGACATCCTTTACGGGTCCGCCTAGCTGGGGAGGGATGGCGGGAAGGCGTATCAGGCGTTCGGGTTTCTGTTTTTGTGGCTTGGTCTAGATTGGTACGGTACGTCCGACGCTTGGGACAGAAAGGGGGAGCGGGACCGTGAAGTTGACTCTCGGGAACGACTCGGGAACGAGGGTGATTTCCTGGGATATGTGCATGGGGGCGGGGGTCATGGCCAGAGGCAGCTGCGCCGATCGAGGGTTTTGGATGACGTGCCGGCTAGGCTACGGGTAAGGGAGAAGACCCATGACCAGTGTTTTGGCTCACCGGCTTGCGTGGTCTTGTGTGGAATTTGATAGGCACAACCACTCTTGAGGTTGATTGTTCGTATGTGTTCTTCCGGTTTTCAGAACAGGCGCAACGGTGAGCGAACAGGACACCTCATGAACAGGGTGAGCGGGGAAGGCAGCAACAGATAGTGGCAGAGTCAGAGATTGGAGAGAAAAAAAAGCCGTTGAAGCCTCATGAGATCCCAGTCACGACACCCATGACCACAACGGTTTCTTCTTGTGAGTTCGGTCGCCAGCAACGGCCAGCCGCTACTAGCAGCCGACAGCTCTTTGCATCGGTGTTCCATATCGGGTACCGGGTCGTGCGTTCTGGGGACCCAAGGGAGCTGGAACAGCCTGCACTGAAGACGTTTTGGGAATGGATTCGCGCGCGTCTGTGGGAACCAAAACATCAACGAAACTGGCTTGACGGGGCCCCGCTGTCCCGGTGTAAAAGTGGGACCCACTCCCATGGCCCCTGCACGCCTGCACAAATCGCTGGGCCCTGCCAAGACCCAGCTGAAGCCGGATCCGCCTTGGTAAGGCTTTCCCGCAAAACTTAGAACGGATTGATTAGAGTTGTGGTGGGGTTTGGAACCGGTTTCTCTTTCCGATGCAGCGACTTGTCACACGAAAAGGGAAAGAAGGACAAAAGAATGAGTCGAGCGGCCAAAAGAACCATGTTGCGGCGCAAAGTAGCACCTTTTTGCTTTCTCAATTGAAGCATCTCGATTTCTTCAGCCGCTTGCTGCGCCTTTTCTCATGGCAATCATTGTTAGGCAAAGATCGGACTCGTGACAGACTCGGGAGGCAGTTACTGTGTACTATCTATTTTCTTTCCTCTAGCCAAAGCCAATAAGCAAACGGAGTTGAGGTCTATCTGCATTCGACTAAGAGAGATCCCAAACGGGAAAACTAGCCAAGACTAATAACAGTGTAACGTGTAAGGGCCGAAGCCCAAGCGCGGCGCGTGAGGCGGATTTCGCTTGCAAGAGAAGCCAAGCTACCAAACTATCAACGGCTGCGGCTAACTCTATTCCTAACGAGACGAAGCCAGCCGAATCCACACCACCAACTTCTTCAACCCGGCTTCCTTACAGGAGTGTAGTGTACTGTGTAGTGTATTCTCCGCACCACAAACACCCGCGGTCTCTATTTGTGGTATTTCGTCCCATTACCAATCGAGCTTTCCCGCTGCGCCTCACCCCCCTTGCTCGTCCCAATGTCCAATCATACCACAGAACCCGACTCCAAATTACCCTTTTTTCCCACACCAACGGTGCCACGGTCCCACCATTCTGAGCTCTGCCGAAGAGCCGCGTGCCCGGGCTGGTCTACCCGATTTAGCGCGCTTTCAAGTTTGGGTGTTTGGGGATTTCCTCGGCCGCTGGTAGGCAGGGCAGGCAGAAAGAGGCATGGCTGATGGACCGCTCAACAGGGGACCGGGGTGTATTCCTCTTGTCTCTCTCTCTTTCTGTCTGTCTCTTCCTTGCCCCGAGCTCCCCCAATTTTACCATTTTGATGTGGAGACCCGCGGAGATCGGGGCGGCGTTTTTCTGGGCACCGCCGATGTGACTTATTTCTCGGGACGGCTGGGGGGTGGAGGGGCGCGTGATAGTACGCCCGACCGTTACTCAATGTACCTAGTCTTTAACTTTGACACCGGGATAATGGTGGTGGTGATGGTGGGGGGTGGAGCGGAAGGGAGAAGAAAGAGAAGGGGGGGGTACCCTGGGCTGGCTAATGGCCCTAGTCTGATCTGGTGAACGAAGAGACAGGACTCATTCCCCGTCCCATATCCGCGATGGCATCTCGGGTTGATCCCCGGCACAGACAGCACTCTGGTTTCCTTTTTTTGCCTTTTTTTCCTTTCTCAGCCCGGCCAGTAACTTACAGGCAGACACGTCCGCGGGATGAGCCCCGGGTTAACTGGATGACTCGGTCACGCACGACGTAATGGGTCAGGTTGCCATATTGTTGTCTTGTTCTGAATCTGGGGACGCTCAAGAGACACGCCTGGCTTACACCCCGTGTGGACCGCCGCTCCACGTTACCTGAGGGCTGGCAAGGCAGGTCGGGCCGGGAAAAAAAGAACTGTTACCAATTTTCTCTATATCTTTCCGAATATCACACTCCCCTTTCTCCCCGTTTGTTCCCGAGCTTGGGGTTAAGCTCCGTGGACCTGTGTCCAATACTACATATTGGCCAAGCCTCATCAGCTGGCACTCTGACTCGACTCCGGAATCTCCATGCCTAGCTAGCTATCAGGTGATTTGACTCAACAACCCTACAGCCTTACAGCCCTACAGCATTACAGCCACAGTAGATGGGAATACCATCACCACTAGCTTGTACGAGGCGACAAGGCACTTACCCACCCACACACACACACCATATGAGCGGCCATCATTGGAGCCCTCACTGACGACCATCACGGAGAAAACATGAAAAAGGGCAAACAACCTCTCCCTTCTCCTGCTCCTGCTTCTGGCTCATCACCACTGGCACCACCGCCACAGGACACAACAACAACATCAACATCAACAGCAACCTCACCCACCACAAGCACATACACACCCGCAGCCACGCTGGCCGACACAACAGGAGCTGCCTCTTCCCCAAACACCTCTAACACAACCGCCGCACCATCCCCAGCAACCACCATGTACGAATACGAACACATCATGACCTTTGACCAACCCATGGTCCTCGGTTCCTACCCAACCACCACTGCCGCTACCACCACCACCTCCTCCACCACAGCAGCAGCAACCTCGTCTTCAACCACCGCCGCCGCTGCTTCCGCCGGCGCAACAGTCACCAAGTCGATCAAATCCGACGACTCACTCGCCATCCGCGGGCCGTTGGAAGTAGACGGGTCGGTCAAGTCGATGGGGTCTGTGGCGATGGAAGGGAGCGTGTGGGTGCGGGATCGGTTGGAGTCGTATAATAATTTGGAGATGGAAGGGGATGTCAGTGTGGGGGGGAAGGTGAAGAGTATGGGGAATGTGAAGGTTAGGGGGAGGGTGGTTTGCATGTAAATTTCTTCCCCGGGATTCGTATCTGTTGTGGTGAGTGGTAACTAACTTGCTTTGTGAATAGGGACAAGGTCAAGATCTTTGGGAAGTTGAAGATTCGCGGGACGCTGGAGGTTCATGGGGATTTGGAGGTTTGGGGCGCGTTGACTATCAATGGGTATCTGTAAGTTGTTTCCCCCTATGTTTTCACTTGTTGGGGACATTGCTAACATATATGGCAACAGGAAGTGTCGGACTCTGACGGCATACTCCTCTCTCACGACTGTGGGCGATCAGTCCTGGTATGAGGCGGAATTGGGCGAGAAGGTGCACGGCGCCAAGTTGATCCAGCGATACTGAGTGTTGGAGCTGTTGGATTTGTTTCTCATTCTTCGCTTTTCTTTTAGCTTCTGTCCCTTTCTCATCCCTTTGTCTTCTATTCTCCTCTTTTTTTTCTTTTTTTGACTTTGTTCACTTTCTGTTAAGTTTGCCTCAAGTTGGCTTGTTACGATCATCATGACACGGCTTAGAAGGGTCTGGCTTGGGATACTGGAGTTGTACATCGGAGGACTTTGGCTCTGTATGGATCGGTTTGGGCATCTTGGGTTTCTTGTTTCGTTTATACTCTAGATTCTCTTCTTCGTTCTTCCTTCTTTCTTTGGTAACCAGACACCATTGCGGTTATACTTGGGCTTGTTGGGTATACAGGCGGTTTACAGGTTAGGGTTACATATTCAGAGGGTACACTGTCCCTACTCTTACTCGACAACAACGAGAAATTTGATTTCCACTACATTTCTCTTACTTTGACTAGATCATGACAAGTTTGATTTCCGTGCCACCTGCTTCGTGCCTATCGCCTTGATGTGTCGTGTCTGGAATTCCCACCAGCCTTCCATTTGCAACTGAAGCTTTGCTAAAGACTTTTCTGGCATGTTCCTCAGCTACGGCCAGTTTCTCTCTCGAACGACTGAATCGAGTGTGCTGCCTACCGCGCCCCACTCCGAGTCAGGCCGATGATGTTGTTGATGCGCAGTCGCAGGCATCTTACTGAAAATCGGATGAACTTTAGAGTAAGACGTCAATCGGGAGGATATTATCCGAAGATCAGCATGGCATGGTTACACAACAGATTTCCAGTGCCCGCTGGACCTGACATTCCTTCGGCCGCGGGAAATGGTCTGAAAAAGGAAAGAAGAATCACAGGGTCTCTTGAGACTTGGCAGAACTCGAGAGCTGCTGAAAAAATGGCGCTTTTCCTTGCTTGGTCGTCGGCGCCAGAGTGGCATCGTTTGAGATCGATGTCCGCTTTGAAGCTTTGGGGACCATGCAGTGTTCCAAAAATGGCATAGCCAATCTGCCGAGCCGCTGCTACTCAGCCCCCTGTTAAAAACGTGGTGGGGCCCTTTGGGGGTGGGGGGTTCTCGAGGCCCCACCTGCCTGCCAGTGGCAATGCTTGGCGCGATCTGGAGCTGCGAAACCGCGTTCCACCTCAACCACAGCGCATTCATCGCCAACAACACGCCCGAAACGACCAACAAAAGCGACGCCGAAATCACACAACCCAACCGAGTCGCATCGATGGAAGTGACTTTGCGACAAAGAATAATATGTGCCTGATTGATTGGTAAAAACAACAAGATTATTCTACGGCTCAGATCGGGAATATTCGTGTCGCGCAATCAGCACAGCCACGGTCAAAATTCCGTGCTTGCGACATGGACGACGACGAGGCCCTGTCGCCCCGGCAGCCTGCGCCGTCGATCGAACGGGCCATGGAGCCGGACGGCCCGGTCAACAACCGACTTAGCCATCTCAACTTGCGCGCCGATCCCGATGCCCAGGCCACCGTGTCCGACTTCCTCGACTTTACCGAATACCTGCCCGCCGACATCACGCGCTCCCTCACCCTCATCGGCAACCTAGGCGAGACCTACGCGGACAGCTCCTCCAATGTCCATCAACTCACCACACTCTGGGGCCGGTTACCCACCATCCCTTCGACCGACAAGACGCGCCCAGTTGCGCTCCGCGCCGAGATCGCAGACGACCTCCACCATGCGCTGCACTCGCGCGTCTTCTCACTTGCCGAGGCTAGGCGCATGACCGAGAATGTCCTCCGCCATTATGCGCGCGCCAAGACTATTCTCGAGAAGCTCACGACGATGCAAGAAAACTACCCAACCGCCGAGGAGCAAAAGAGTCCGGTCACGGCGGCCAAGTCGCTGCAGCTATCACGAGCACCCAAGGTGGCACAGCGGGGGGAAGCGCAAAAAGTGCGCCGGCCACGTGTTCCGCGGATTACAGTGCCCGGAGAGGTGCTAGCACCGTACGACCTGAACTTCGACGCGTATAGCACAGGGTCCGGGAGCAGCTCCGACGAGGAAGATGACGACGACGAGGGTCTCACGCCAGCGCCCCAACCGCGCCTGAAAGCAGCGAAGGGGACCTCGAAGGTGCCGAAGCCCGGACGCGGGCCTCGGGCAGCACATGGAGCATCCCACGCGCCAGGCACGCCGTTCTTGTCTACGAGCGCTGCGATGGCGCAACTGGCACCCCCGCCTGCGAACGCCGTCATCGGTAGCTCCGACGCGCCGTGGGGTCAGCTGACGCCCTATGAGTTAGCCAGGCTCAGGAAGCGGATGAAGAAGAACGCGGCGTGGACCCCGAGCGATACTATGGTGGCGCGCGAGCTGAACAACCTCGGCCGAGGCGTGGATGCTTTCCGCGCGGCGAAGAAGAAGGCCGAGGAGGAAGGGCGTGCTTTCGACGGCAAGATGCCTGAGCCTGACGTCGATCCCGATACGGGCCAGACACGGATGCCCGCGGGAGCTTTGACTTTAGAGGCCTTGGCGTCGGACGACAAGAACCTGAGCAACCGTGGTATGAAGTTGAACGAGGCTAAGAAACTCAAGAGGGAATTGCTAGCTAAGATGGCCGCCGAAGAGGCCGAGGAATCGGCTAGGAGATTTGACGCCATCGCGCGGACCTTGATGCTAGACCCCAGCCAGGCGAGTGCTCAGGACCAGGCCAAGGCTAAAGCGAAGGCGCAGAAGAAGCGGAAGAGGGATTCGGCCACCGAAGTAGATTCGGAAAAGATGGAGACACCCGAGAGCCAGCCCCAGCGGCCACAGCTGAAGCGTACCAAGACGGAGACTCCAGTTCCTCCTCCGATTCTCACGCCGGGCGGTTCGCAACTAACCACCCACGAGACCCCATCGCAACCTACTGCCCAACGGATCTCCACGGCCGGCTTGCTGCATTCTACGACGCCTATCCCCTTGCCCATCCACGGCCAGGACCAGTCCATCACGGCCAAGTCTGTCACGTCGGCCACCTCGCCCGATAGCAGCTACGCGGGACCATCCGGTGCATCGGTCTCGGCCTCGACCTCGGCTTCGGCCCCAGCTCCTGTGAAGCTACCCCCGGCTGAGACCCCGATTCCTCCACCCGTGATCTCTCCCCGGAAATCCATCACCCCTATTCTCCCACCTACCCGAGAAACCCGCAAGACCCAAGCTGCGCGCGCCCAAGAGGAGGCCCGCGCGACCCAGGCCACGGCCGTCTCGTCTCGGTCAACAAGCCCGACTACCGCTATCACACCGGCTGGCGCCGAAGCCGCTGCAGCAGATACATCTACATCAGCGCCTACTACGGCCACAACCGCGGCCACAACCACGGCCTCGACTGCTGCTACTACTACTGCAGCACCACAACCCCCCACAAACCGCCGTCCCGGCTCCCGTGGCAAGGCCGCAAGTCAAGAACCGCAGCCTTCCCTAGCCGCAGACCGCCCCCGGCGCACTAGTACCGCCCGGAACACGCCTGCACCCCCGGAGTCCACAACGGCGGCGGCAGCAAACACCCTAACCACCCCCAATAACACCACCACCGGCCCATCCCCCAACCACCAACAACTCTCATCATCGTCAGCAATCTCGAGCATGGTAACATCCGCTTTGACTGCTATGGCAGCTACAGCAGCTACGGCGGGGAGTCCCACCGGTCCAGCCGCAACCAACCTAGCAGCAGGAGGAGCAGCAACCCAAGGAACAGCGGGAGCAGGGGCGCTTGCAGCAGCGGGACGTCCTCAAGGGGGACGTCGTGCCAAGCGGCCTGCACCGGGTGTTATCAGCCGGACTAACAGCGGCGGGAACAGCGCGGTGGGGGCTCGTAAGGCGGCGCCCAGGCGCAAGAGTAGGAGTAAGGGGTCGGCTGCTGCGGCTTCGGCTTCGGCGGCTGCGGCTCGGGCGGCTAATGCTGCTGGTTCTGGGAACGATGGGAGTGGGAGTGGAGGTGGTGGTGCTGGGGGTAGTGATGGGCAAGATGTGGTGGAGGTGGATGATGAGGGGAATGTGATTGATCCGCAGGAGGAGAGGTATTGTTTGTGTAATCGGGTGAGTTTTGGGACGATGATTCAGTGTGATAATGTGGATGTGAGTCTTGCCCGATCTCTCACTTCCCCACCTCTTACTTCTCCTTCTGCTTCCCCTTGGTCCTAGGCACTGACAAACTTTACTTTGGAATGAACAGTGCAAGCTGGAGTGGTTCCACCTCGAGTGTGTCGGGCTCTCAGATATTCCCGCGCGCACCACCAAGTGGTACTGCCCTGACTGCCGGAAGGCGTTGAATATCGGCGAGAAGGGGGAAGTTAGCGCGAGGGGGGTCAGGGCTTGACTCGACACTCTTTAACGGAGGTCTCGAACAAACGGACACCGCACATTGAGATGGCTGGCGCTTTTCCAGCTTCGGGTCCCAGGGTTTTTATTAAGTATCCAGGGTTCATCTCTAATTTTCTGATTTCTGCTTGGCGTTTCAACCTGTTTTCTTTTTTTCTGCCTCCCCTTCTTGTCTTTTTAGTTACGGCCCTTTCGAGGGCTGCTTACGGAGATTTGATTGCGTTTGTTCCGTTTGTTGCTTGCTCCCGAGTTCGCAGTAATGCGAGGTGCCGGCAAACGGGCATGTATGCATGTACGGGAGTGGGCCTCATCAGATGTCATGCGTTGGCTTCTGGGATGTTTATGGGGGAGAAAAACGTCGTGGAGGGCACGAGTTGACGTATTGCTTCAGCTCATGATGATGGGTTGCGTGGGTGGCCTCTTTGTTGTAGTGTAATTGTCGGCGTTGTATGTTGTGGTGTTGTCTTGTGTTGTGTCCGACTTGGCCTGTGGGGCTGTGTGTGTACTTGATACCTTGTGTAAGTACTATGTACAGAAATGGAATCATTGACTTATTTTGTCCGTTTGTGTGAATTCCCCGGCCACGTTATGCCGTTTGCATTCATTAACTAGGGCATAATGCACACCTGGGGTGTAATACCACAGCTAACCTCTCACCATCAACCTTCTCTAACCGCGAGCACTCTAGGTGACGATGGTCGTTTCCGGGAAGTGTTGTCGTTAATTCAAACAACTTGCAAGGTCCACGTAATCAATGTCCAATCCGGTGTCACGATACCATTTACCAACCAATAGAATGGAAACAGCAAATGGACACTGCAGGACACCGTCGGAAGGGGCTATGCGGGAGCGGGTATGCACACTCGGCAAGCACGGTCGTGACGGTGAAGAACCGGGGCTTCTTCCTCGGACGGGAGTTTTGGGTTCATCATCCTCAAGCTTGTTTTCTTTCAGGCGTGACATTCTGGTCCAATCAACAGCACACCACCTCGAACACTCAGCACTTTTCACGAAACAAACAAACATGAACGGGGATGGAGCCCCTCCCCTAATGGATGGAGCCCCTCCCCTCAACGGGTTGCCGGAACATGAAGTTCTATATCCCACCGACATTACGGTAGACCCATCCATCAGGGCGTTCATCTCGAGGTTTTACCATGTCTCAGACGACCCGGACCGGAACGGGGAATGGGCCGACTTCTTTACCGAGGACGCACTTGTCAAAATAGGGAGCAATGTGGCCGAGGGTACCGAGGGTTAGTTCGCTGAGTTCCTCCCTCTGCTTGATACCACGGCCCGTTCCGTGAACTGACTCTTGCGGTTTTATCTCGACATAGAAATCCATCGACTTAGAGAGAACATGTGGGTCAACGTCGCGACGCGCAAGCACCGGGTAGCCAAGGTATTCCCAGCGCACTTTCCCGCCACTCCAACGGCCCCGGCGTCGATTGACGACCCCGAATTCATGCTGTTCGGCACCGTCGCATACACCCCGAGGAACAGTTCGGCGTACATCGTGGTGGACTGGGCCGGACATGCGCGGCTGACGCGGGATGGGGCGGATGCACCGTGGCGGATGTTGGCGTATACAGTGTATTTTTAGAGGTAAAGTCGAGGTACATACAAACCTGTACAATATCGTTATGTCCTTTAACAGGCGGCGCCGGGGGAGAGGGTTGGACTATCCGATGTCTTCTGGGGAAATCAAAGAGCTCTGGTAAGCCTAGATATGTATGTCTAGTGCTGCCGAAGGATATCATGTACTGGAATGGAAGGTTACTGGCTAAATTCACCTCGTTAGCCTGTGTTGTTGTTCAGGTGTTCGTTTGCAAGACAGTCATGTGGTCAATGTCTCCCCACCTTTCTCATCCTTAGTCTATCATTTGCTCCGGCTTCGCATAGGTGCTTGTCATCGTTTGCCATGCTTCGTTTTATTCGTCGACGGCTAGGGGATTCGAACGTAATCGGGCGATCGAGGCCGTCTACCCCAGGGTTACGTTTGAAGCTCAACACCGGTAGCCAATGCTCAGTTGAGGCTATCTTTGAGGCCCACTGCGTTGATGAAATGGTTCAAGTGTTGCTGCAAACGACGAAGTACCGCCTAAAGATAGCGCGGAATGACGCAAATTGATAGCGGGAGGAACAGCTGTGCGGGGTGACCGAGCAGATGCGACTCCACCGACTCACCCGGCCAAACCTCCAGTCATGCCGGACGGTCCCATCACTTTTTGAAATCACCCTTTTAGACTCAGGCGTAGAAATTTCAAGATGCTTCTCTCTTCGGTGCTCCGGCCAGAATGCTCCGGCCAGAAGTAAAGGTCACTTGGCGAGGGTCAGCAGCGTTCACGAGGGTCATGTTCCAACCCACGCCACTCCAACCTTGATGGATATCCTCGGAATAGGAATGACGTAAGGCGCGGAAAGGGAAGTACAACTAGCAGACCACCACATTGAGCAGTGAGGGCAACGGGCGGCCCGGAGCGGCGTGGGCTTCCCGTTGGAACCTGGGTGACCTGTCCCCAGGAGGAGCTGGCCAGGTGCTCTGCTAGGCATGACGCCCTATCCTCGGTCCACGTGTTGCGTTGTGGGAGTTGTGCATTCTTGGGATCTTGTGCTGGAACCTGTGCCTGTCGCTTCATCTCTCGGAAATGCGGGATCGTCCCCAAACGACGGCTCAAGCGACTGCGCAAGGCTGCTGCTCATAAATTCCATGTTCAATCAAACGAAACCCACCCCTTCCAGCACTGCACGGAATACAAGTCGCGCGTCGACATCTGGAAGGTTCTCTCATCGTCCTCCGCTCAACAAAGGCGGGAGCAAGAACAACCGACTATCAGCCCCGCCAAATCCGATAGCGCTGAATAGGTACCTCTTTGAAGATCATGCACTCACGCTATCCCGTTCGCAGCTGAAATTCCCCAACGGAGAGTGGGCCTATCACTGGATTACCGCTACTGCAGGCCCCACCAACCTTCAGACCCCAGGAACAAACCCCTCTCGCCCTTGCCTTTCCTGGGGCCGCGTCCTGCAGACAGCCCCGCCTCTGTTACGCGACGGGGGGGCTACCCAGGTGGTTACGGTTGCGCATGTCACCCGCAGTCACCCAGCGGCCAGCTCCGAGTCACTGACCGCAGCAGCACCACCTCATCGGGCAGTTGACGCACGCACCCCCCTCCCTCCAGGTACCGTCCTGGCTTGGACATACCGATCCCGTCATCTCTTCCTCGAAACAACTTTCACTCCTTGACAACCAACTGACTGACAAACAACGACTCAAACCGAATAAACTGCTTTTAATTTTCTCTTGGAACTTCTGCATACTTGGCGTTTAACTATTCTTTTCTTTTCTGTAATTTCCATCTTCGGCGATACTTAGACAGACTCCCCTCGGGCAGTGCCTTTTACCGTTCTTTCCGTTACCGACTACCGGGCATTATCCAGCCGGTTCAACGCGCATTTTAGTCCACGAGCCGACCAACCGTGCAAATCGTGCCTCCTGTCCGATCGTGAACAACCTACGTTTTCCACCGACATATCATACCGCCGACTTAGACCCTCGCATCTCGAGACCCATCCCCGGTCCGACACCGCTTTCGCGAGCCGATACAGACTCCGACTCTTTGCGAGGGTGACGCGACCCCTTTTCGTCTCTGGGCAGGTCGCTGCTCTACTGGCCGGCACCGGTTGCCGTTCATGGGTATGTATGAACCTCGAGAAGGCTTCCATCCCCTTGGCAACGGAACTCGCGCTTGACACCTGCCTGTCCCAAACAACCAGTCATCTGCCACCTAGCCTTATCTAAACTAAGCTAACCGCCCCTCTGCAACAGCCAAGAAGGGGAAGAATGGCAAAGAAGGCGGCGGCGTGGTCGCAGCGGTGACAAACCAGGGGGCTAAGTTCTCGTACGTTTTGTTAATCAGAATACCATATCAGCATTGTTATCACCATCTCCGAGGCCGGGCGCTAACCACATCACAGAAGCGATAACACTCCCACGACCACCAAAGATTCTTCTCTGAACCCCTCGCCCGTCGTTTCCCCCGAGATGAACCCCTCGAGCATCTCGTCGAACGAGAACCCCATCGTCTCGCCGATGTTGGATGCCGTCTCGGCCACGTCGTACGCAACTAGCAACTCGCCGAATACAAGGGAATGGGCTAGGGGACTGGGAGCAGCTATGGCCGGCTCCCCAGGAAACCTTATCAGCTTGTCCGGGGAGTCCCCACCGACAGCCCCGTCATCATATGAGGATGGCCGCGGGATGCGATCGGGCTGGTCGTCGCCTAGGCCCGCTGTTGGCTTTCACCCAGCGTCGGTCTCGCCCCCTGTTGGCGGCCGCCGGCCACTGAGCTTCCACATGGACAACCAATACTCCGCCCCGGACGTCCATCACCAGCTCGCTGCGGCCGCTGCACGGCGCAGCTCGATGCATTCGCATTACTCGCAGGTCCGAGCAGCGTCGAATCCGCCACTTCCCCATCAACCACAACCACACTTCTACGGCGCGCCCCCTCTAGATGTTGACCTACCGCGTCAGACGGGAATGAAGGCGGGCGATAAGGGGTATTATTTTGGCTTTGATACTCTTTCGCCGCAAGACGTTGACCGCGCCCCTGGAAAGGATAGCGTGGTACTGGCCGCCTATGAAGGCGGGCTCGAGGTATACTCTGTTGGGAAACGGGGCCTCGAGAGCGTCGCCAGTCTGAAAGGGCTCCGCGGGGGCGTGTACCACGCCAAGGTGTTGCCATGGACGCCCGAGAACTCGGACTTGTTTCCTTTGGTGGCTGCTGTTGTTCATGGTCCCAACGTTCCGCCACCGACACCCGAGGTGAACGTGGAGGGTGACTACGATGCTGTTTCCGCTGATAGGTCGGAGGCCATGCGCAGCGCTAGTCCTGAACCCTCTAGAAACGTGGGTAGCCGGGCTACCCCGGGCTTCATCGAGTCGTACCAGACCACGGTCGAGGTCTTTTCGCTCAAGACGGGCCGCCAAGTGAGTGTGCTTCTTGAGGCGCCGAAGATACCCCTCAAGGCGTCCATCTCAGGCCCAAACTTCCAGCCGCCCCCTCCTGCTGGCGCATTCCATATCCACGCCGATGAAGGCAACGTCGTGGTATCATCTGGGGTGACAGGTGAATGTTGGGTGTACCGCCAGACTCCCGCGACGGACGAGTACCCGCTTCATTTCCGCTGCCACGGTAAACTGTGGACCACTCTCCAGCAGCCGCTCAAAGGAGAGGCCCCCCAGGAGGCCGAGCGCGGCCATTCCCCCGCTCTCCCACGTCCAAGGCCTCAGGTCGCGATTCTCAGTGTCAATGGCAGGTTCATCGCCTATTGCCCACCAGCCCCATCCTCCCAGATTGCGCTCCGAGCAATGGTCCCGGTGGTGCCGTTCGGTCGTGCTCCAGGCCTAGCTTCTGTGACACCACCACAACTGCCGCCCGCTAACGCCGACCTGGACCTCCCCCTCGCCGAGAGCGTCATGAACAAGATCATGCGAGATGCTACACAAGAGCTCATCCAAGGCGCCAAGTGGGTCGGCAAGCATGGCTGGCAGGCCTGGAACAACTACTGGAACCCGCAGCAGAGTCAGCAGCAACCTCAGTCACCTACTCTCGGAGCTCAAAGCTGGGGCAGTGCGGGCAGTGCGCGGCCAGACCCCTCACAGTTTCCCCCAACACACGGCGCCGTGGCCCAACCAATAGTCAAGGAACCTGGCCTGGTCTCGATATTGGACATCGAGACCCTTGGTGTGTCGGTGAACCCACACCCGATTACTAGCTTTGCTATCCCGCACGGCTGCAGCTTCCTCTCGTTTTCTCCGTCCGGCCTCTCCCTGTTCAGTGCGAGCAGCAAGGGCGATGTGCAGAGTGTTTGGGACTTGATGCGGATTCAACACACAAAATCATCTCCTCTGCAGGCAACTGGATCGCCTTCCGGGGGACCGCGAGTACGACAGGTCGCCCAGTTCACTCGGATGACGGTAGCACGCATTGTTGAGGTCGCCTGGACGCGCCCAAATGGCGAGCGGTTAGCCATGGTCACGGAGCGTGGCACCGTCCATCTGCTGGACTTACCATCGAGCGCCTTCGCATGGCCTCCCCCGCGCCGCCGACGAGCTCCAGAGACACAAGCTGCCGCGCCCGAAGGGCCAGCCATGGCCGTCTCGATTGCATCCAATGCACTAAGTTCGGTCCGCGATGTTGCTCGTCCGCTTATTAACCGCCAGCGTCGGAGCAACTCGAACAACGCTCAACAACCAGCGACAGGGTCGGGTATCGGCGAATACGCCACGCAAGGCGGTAAAGTCATCGCGGCCAGTATCAGCCATTCGTTGGGCAAGACTGGCAATGCCATCAACCAACTGCGACACACCGGCGAGAACAGAGTGTCTCTTCCGAGTTCTACGTCACTCCCGGGGCCGTCATGTGTGGTCTGGGCTAACGGGAAGAGAGACCACTCTCTGTTGGTTCTCGGTGGCGGTCTCGTACGCTCGTTCCCGGCTAGGAACCGGCGAACGGTCTCCGGGGCGGATAAAAAGGCCCCGCGCCTGTCTCGGTACACCGACTTTCAGGTCCGTTTGCTGCCTGACGACTTCCTTTCGCCTCTCGCGAGGAATATCATCGACCCAGATGAGCACCTGGACATCGAAGATTTGGACGGCGGCAACAACACCATGGTTCTTCACCAGCCCAAGTCCCGCGCCCGACTCCACGACCAGAGTGCCGAATCCTCTATCCCTCAGGCGGAGATAGAGTCTAGTGCTCCTTATCAACCATTCCATACCGACAGACGCGTGGCGCTGTATGAGTTGGGGGTTTCTCAGCAGGAAACGGACCTTACCGCCCTCATGGCAGCAACTTCGCTCGACGAGACAGCAACAGAGGAGCCCGCGCCACGTAAGAAGAAGGGATCTAAGCGACCTCGACCCCAGGCGAACACCAGCGGCCCCACGGCATCTACGGCCGCAGCCACGGGCCCTTGGGTCTTTGGTCAGAACATTACCGCGACTAAGCTCGATCTCGGCGTACCACAGTATCTAGACGAAGACTCGTTCAGCGGCAACGCCAATATCCCGCTCGACGCCTCACGCGCCCTCCCCGCGTCGGCTATGGAGAGAATTATGCAGCGGGGCGGTGAGGGCGATGAGCAAATCGTTGTCACCACCCGCCGAAGACGAGGCGCGGCGCCGAACGCGGAGGACGATGGGTTCTTCGAGGATGACTGTGAGGTGTTGGATTTCGCGGATCAGAGGGTCTGAAGTTTGAGGAACAAGGCGACTTTTGCCCTTACGCTGTTCACCCACCTCACCTCCCCTTTGGTTTTCAGGCGGCGTTTTGGGTGGTGCGTCATTGCGTTCTGTGTGTGTCCTGGGGGAGGGTTTGGTTTAGGCGCGGCTTGCCTTGGCTTGACTTGACCTGACTTGATTTTCTCTCCACTCGACGCGCCCGTTTTGCGCTGCAACTCGCTCGCTTTTCAATCCAGAAATGCAGAAATGCAGAACAAAAGAAAAACACTTAGAAAATTAATAGAAAACACGCTACCGCTCAACGCCCACTTTCAGCAAACTCAACGTTTGGTGGTTAATGGATTTGCGTGGCTACGTGTCATGGACGGGGGACGTCCGTACGTTATAGGGGGGATGAGACGGCGGGAGCGGGGGAGTTTCGCTGCTTTCGAGAGGGCGGCGAGAAGGAGGAGGTTTACGTTATTACGTTTATTGATGGGTATTATGGGTTGACGAGTTGGGTCTAATAAGTCGGCATCTGGCGCGCATCACATAAAGGGCATGAACAAACAACGGCGAGCGACATATAAGATTACAAACTCGCCATTCACTCTAGTATTTGGGTTGGGTTTTGATGGGAGGGCCTGGGTTATCCCGACGGGCTTCAGGGCAACGAGGACGAGGAACTGGATGTCCTCGGGCTCCTTCCCGCTTTTGCTCGAGGGTATACCTTTTCTTGCCCTGCCTTGGATTGATCAGGTCCGGGTTGCCTTGGGTTTACTTCAATCGTCTCCCGGGTACCGGATGGATGGATGGACAGTCTACCTCCCTGTTTTGATTCTTGTTTTCTTTCTTTCCCCGGGGGGCCGGGCTTCATCAGCATCCCACCCTTTTGGCTGGGCGAGCACAGCCGATCAGGGCGGCTCTGGCTCTAGTGGGGTGATATACATGCGTAGTATGCTAAGCTGAGCTGAGCTGAGCGAGGTTTCTAATAACAGCGGTTGCTAGTTGGGTGGTATGGTTGGGAGCGTGAGAGAGTGGATGGAGTAAGGGAGAGGAGGGTGGAGGGTGCAAGCGATGAGTAGTAGATAGATGGATACCTTACGTGCCTTGCTCAGGTTAGGTGCGAATTGATTGATTGATTGCTTGAGGGCATATCAAGGATTTGGTAGTTGTGCTCTGTTACCGGTGTCGTTATGTGTGCGGCTTGTGAAAGGGTATGGAAGCTTGGGGAGTGGTAGACTGTCTGGTACAGAAATTTCGATAAGTTACTAGTCTGATTGTTAGGGCTATTCACGGTGGTATGGAGAGAGTTCTGATACCAAGGCCGTTTGTCAAAGACGACTCGAGAACTGAGTGGTTGTGAGATGGTTTGTATTATTTGGTAATTTGGTTCCCTCCTTTCTATATCTTCCTCTCTATTTTGTTTTGCGTTTTTTTCTCCCCCCAGGTCAACTGCCCTTCCCCTCACCAAAAGCCATCCTCCCACCGGCTAACTCCTCCTCAACAGCGTCCATCCCCCTCAACGTCCACCCAACCCAGACCACAACCACAAACAGACCCTTCCCCTTACCCCAACCCCCCCATCCGTAACAAACAAACAAATAAAAAGAGTTCAACCAAGTAAGTAAAAATCAAGCCTTCTTCTTAGCAGCCGCAGCCTTCGCCTTAGCCGCCTTCTTCCGGTTGCTGCGGATCATCACCACACTCAGGAAGGATCCCACCACGGCGCTGCCGAGCAGCACGAGGATGACAGGGAGGCGGATGGCCCAGACGCGGGGCGGGAAAAAGGCTTGGAGGGGGTGGTCGGCGTCGACGAAGGGCTGTTTTTTTTTCCCCCAGGGGGAGAGGTGTTAGTATGTGGGGGTCTCTGGGGGGGAGAAGAGAGGGGGGGGATAAAGGGGGGCGTACCATCAGGAGGGTCCAGATGCTGTAGTAGAGGAAGACGACGGAGGCGGCCACGAGCATGGCGAGACCGACGAGTTTGTCGAGCTGTAGTGGGTGGGTGCCAGGTTGGGTTAGCTAGGTGGCTCTTGAGGGGGATATGGAGAGAGATGGTTGTGACGTCGGCAGGTTGCGATTGGGGGACGCACCATTGTAAAGAGCGTGGGAAGAGTTGATTAATGGGGGTGTTGGACGAGGAGTAGTTGCGATTGCGACGTCGAGATTGCCGGATGTCGACTCGGTGGGCGGTGGTTGTTGCTCTTGGAGTTTGGTTGTTGTTACATGGCTAGAATCACCCGAAGCTTCTCCATCGAGCGTTGCGCCACGGTGACCTTCAGAAATCCTGTCAGGGGTTCGCGTTAGCGCGTCCAGCCGCCTGACAAACTGCTGCAGCACTGCAGCACCCCGGCCGGCAGGCAAGACCTGAGGACGGAAACGAAACTGCTGCAAGAAGAAGTGGGTCCCACCCGTCTATCTGCTCCCTGCATGGGCCAGCCTCGCCAAAGAAACATTTTAGCTTCTGTCTTCCTGCTGCAAGCACACTGCATCGCGTTTTCGTCCGTCGAGCGAACTGCAACTCCTTTGGCGGCCCGTTTGACATTTGTGGCAATTGGCATCACCTTCGGCCGATATAAGGGGCGCGTTTTCGACGACGTTCAGGACGGAGACTCCCGATTGACGGCAGGCTAAAGAAGATGGCGTCTGCCGCGGGAGAAGCAGAGGCTGCTGCAGCGAGCACGCGCCGCTCAGACGACGACAACGACGACCGTGGCCCATCACCATCACCATCACGATCGCCGACTCGATCCTTGTCACGATCTCCATTGCCTGCCGGCCCCCGTGACTCGCCGAGCCCTCGTCGCGAACGTTCTTTATCGAAAGATTCCCGCCATGATCGCGACGACCGTATCGATCGTGATGACCGCAGCATCACCCGCGACCGATCCTTAACAAGATCCCCAGCTCCCCGATCACCACCGCCACCACGGCGCTCGCCCGACCCTCGCGATCGCTCTCCCACCCCTCCCTCTCGTGACCGGTCCCCAGCTCGGTCCCCAGCCGGTCGACGGGGTCCTCCTTCAGCTCCCGCACGCCGCGATGCCGATCGATACCGACCCGCAGCAAAGCAGGAACCCGCGCCGCCACCAGCACCACCACCCGTGAAGACGGAAGAGGAAAAGCTCGCCGATGCGCGCGCCGAGTACCAGAAGCTGCTGAACCTGCGCAGCCAGGGCGTGTACCTGCCGCCGCAGAAACTGCGGGCGCTGCAAGCGGCCATCACGGACAAGACGACCAAGGAATACCAGCGCATGGCCTGGGACGCGCTCAAGAAGTCCATCAACGGTCTCGTCAACAAGGTCAACACGGCCAACATCAAGTTTGTGGTGCCCGAGCTGTTTGGCGAGAACCTGATTCGCGGCCGTGGGCTGTTCTGCCAGAGCTTGCTCAAGGCCCAGCATGCCAGTTTGCCGTTCACGCCCATCTACGCGTGCTTGGCGGCCATTTGCAACACCAAGCTGCCCCAGGTTGGCGAGTTGTTGGTCAAGAGGCTGGTGATGCGGTTTCGCAAGGCGTTCAAGCGGAACGATAAGGCGGTGTGCCTGTCGTCGACTATGTTTATTGCGCACTTGGTGAACACCCAGGTCGTGCATGAGACGCTGGCCGCGCAGATTCTGCTTCTGCTGCTCAAGAAACCGACGGATGACAGCGTTGAGATTGCGGTGGGCCTGATGCGCGAAGTCGGTTTGTTTTTGGAGGAGATGTCGCCGAGGATTACCAATGTGGTGTTTGATCAGTTTCGCAACATCTTGCACGAGGCGGACATTGACCGCCGCACGCAGTACATGATTGAGGTCCTGTTCCAGGTGCGCAAGGACAAGTACAAGGACAACCCGGCCGTCAAGGAGGAGCTGGATCTGGTGGAGGAGGAGGATCAAATCACGCACCGCGTCAGTTTGGATGGCGAGGACATCAACACGCAGGACAGCCTCAACATCTTCAAGTACGACCCAGACTGGGAAAACAACGAGGCGGAATATAAGCGGCTGAAGGCCGAGATCCTGGGTGAGGGGAGCGATGACGAGGATGACGAGGATGAGTCGGAGAGCGAGTCAGAGGCGGAGGACGAGGAGCAGAAGGCGATCGAAATCAAGGACCAGAGCAACGCGGACCTCGTCAACCTGCGCCGAACCATCTACCTCACGATCCAGTCGAGTGCCGACCCGGAGGAAGCGGCGCACAAGCTGATGAAGCTACGGCTGCCCGCGGGCCAGGAACCCGAGTTGGTGTCCATGATTGTCGAGTCGTGCGCGCAGGAGAAGGTGTACCTTAAATTCATGGGTCTGCTGGGCGAGCGGTTTGCGCGGCTGAACCGGATGTGGACGGACCTGTTTGAGGAGTCGTTCACCAAGTACTACTCGACGATCCACCGCTACGAGACCAACAAGCTGCGCAACATTGCGCGCTTCTTCGGCCACCTGCTCGCATCCGACTCGATCGGCTGGCACGTCTTCTCAGCCATCCACCTGACCCCGGACGACACCACAGCCGCCAGCCGCATCTTCATCAGCATCCTCTTCGAGGACCTCCAGGAGAACATGGGCACCGCCAAGCTCAAGGCCCGCATGGCCGACGACGCCCTGCAGCCCAGCTTCCAGGGCATCTTTCCCCACGACAACCCGCGCGACCTGCGCTTCGCCATCAACTACTTCACCGCCATCAAGATGGGCTACCTCACCGACGAGATGCGCACCTTCCTCGCCAACATGCCCAAGCCCGCTCTGCCCGCTGCTACTGGCGGTGCTAATGATGACGACCGCTCTGACGCTGAGTCCGTGTCTAGCTACTCGTCGTACTCCTCTTACTCATCCCGATCTCGGTCCCGCTCGCGGACTCCCCGCCGGGCTATCGACCGCGGCCGGTCTGTTTCACGCACCCCGCCTCGTAGGGGAAGAGCCGGCGGCGGTGGTGGCCGCGACGACAGGTCGTACTCCCGCAGTCGCAGCTACACGCGCTCGGTATCCACCCGCGGCCGCTCGCTCACCCGCTCTCTTTCCCGCTCACCTCGGCGCGGTGGTGGCCATGAACATGGTCACGGTCGTGCTCGTAGCGTGAGCCGGACTCCAAGCAGAAGCAGAAGCAGAAGCAGGACCAGAGCCAGACCCCCCCCTCAACGACGAAGCTACTCCCGCTCTATCACCCGCTCTCTGTCACCTTCCCACTCACCTTCCCGGTCCCGGTCCCGGACGAGATCACGCTCCCCACTACCCCTGCGCCGGAAACGGCCCGCAGATTCCCCTTCCCGGAGTAGGTCGCCACGCCGGTGGTCAAGATCCCGGTCCAGGTCGGCCTTGCCTCCTACCACTGCTGCTGGCTCAACGAGCGGGAAACGGCCCCGGGCCGGCGGTGCTCGTGGTGGTGCGGGGGATGATGATGATCAAGAGGAAGAGGGTGCGTACTCACCTGGTCCGCCGCCAGCCAGGAGACAGAGACGGTTCACGAGGAGTCGGAGTCGCAGTTGGGATCGGGGCCTGGATACTCGTCGTGATTCACGATCACCGTCGAGGGATAGAGATAGGACACCACCACCACAATCCCGCGGTAGCGGTGGTGGTGCAGCAGGTGGATCAGCCAGAGGAAGTTCAGGCCGAGACCACCAGGCGGGCTACAGAGATAGAAACGACGGGTATCAGCAGCGGTTGGGCGGGGGGAGACGGATCGGGAGGAGTCGGTCACGGTCGCCTGGGCCGGGACCGGTGTCTCGGCGGCAAGATGATAGGGATGATAAGGATCATAGGGATCATAGGGATAGGGATGATGGTGGGAGAGATGGTGGGAGAGATGGTGGCGGAAGAGATGCGGCGGGGAGTGCTGGAGGGAAGAGGAGGAGAAGGTTTAGTAGTGGTGAGAGGTCGAGGTCGCCGGTGGGGTATGCTAAGCGGGGGAGGGTTGATGGTGGTGGACGGCGTTGAAAGGCAAAGGGAAAGGGGAAAGGGAAAGGGAAAGAGATGGAAGTGGACAGGGGTTGGTTGATGCTAATAGAGTGGGGTGAGAGCGATATTGAGAAAGCGGGGGTGGTAGTGAGCGAGCTGGGAAAGATTGTTATGCAAGCAGAGTAAATGAAGGTAGAATGAACGATGCTGGGGTTGTGGGCGTGTTGAGTGTTTACAGATGCTGAGGCGTGGACGGGTGTCTCCTGTGTCTCTTGTGTCTTTTTATGGGGTTTTATTTAAACTCGGTGGTTTCAGCCCTTAGTTGGGAATGGGGCGGGTAGTTATTAAGACATCATTCTTCTGTCTCGTTTAACTTCTCGGTATCAGTCTCTTGTTAATACCTCTTTTCTCCTCCTTACTAACACGCCAAGTTCAATGTTTCAGTCATGAATTGTCCCGACCGTCTGTTGTTGTTCTCCTGTGGTATGGGAGATTTTAGATGTTCCTTGGATTTACGATAGGCGGATGGTCTAGGACTTTGACTATGATTCTTCGGAATGTATCATACACTTGACAAATCTGTGCCCCTAGGTGTCACGAGTCATTTAGGGAAAAGGTATCATGATGCAATTCCATGACGTTTTAATGGCGAGATGCTAGGTATAAAAAAATTGTGGCGCATCTCTTCTTGGGGAATCTTCCCCAAGGATCAGTTCCGTTCTGCAATCACCATTAAGTTTGCACATACAACAACTAGCTTGGAACTGATCCTATTACTCCAACGATTCGGCCCTGTTTCCTCCTTTTCAGTGAACCTTAGTATCTTCCCAACCATTAACCTTCAAGTTCAGTTCTTAGTTGTCTCTGATATGGTAATTAAAAAAACAGGTAGTTGGAGGAGTAGCGGGGTTTTGGTTAGATGTAGGTAGGTAAATAATGTCACGTCTGTAGGAAATATTGATGGCGTAAAAGTGGCTATCAGCATTATAGCTACTGCTACTGGCTGTGCTAAGGAAGGTACAGTAGGTAGGGTTGTTCCTGCCCGTTTATGAAATAACCCTATATTTGCTGACTTGAGATCCGTACTCTTCTGAGAAAACATACTGTAGAACGTTACAGGCAAAATATCGAGCGAACGAGAGGTCGAGTCTCCTGAGCCAGTCGTTGGTTGTATCAAAGAAATCTAACTTTTTTTCGGCCATGTAGGGCTGAAGCAGCTGATGCCTGGAGCTGAAATTCCCAGAACCCCTCCTCTTCCAGCTTCCCTCACGCCAGTATACATGCTCAACCCTACATTAATGGATGGCCCTTAAAAGTCTTTTTGATCCCAGCATCTTGCTTTACTATGGACCCGTTCAGCATTGCGACTGGAATCCTAGGACTTCTCGGAACAGCCGCGACCGTGATCAAGTTCCTCGACACGGTCAAGTCCACTCTCAAAGACGCCCCTAGGACGGTCGCTTGGGCCCTGGCTGAAGTCGACGACGTGCATTCGGCTATTACGAGGCTGCATGGCTTGTTTGAACACATTGATTCGATTCCCGAAGATGCGCGAGCTTTGGTGACGGTTCAGGACGCGGCTGTTACTGTGTCTGAGCTGGTCACGTCGTTCGACGACCTCGTCGATGTGCTCAAGCCGTTTGGGTTGTTGGACCCGGCGTTGATGACGACGTGGGATAAGGCGAAGTGGGCTCGGAGGCAGGACGATGTCGCAAAGGTCATTATGAGAATTCAGACTCGTAAGGCTTCTCTCACTCTTATGCTGAATATCTTTCAGTGGTGAGTCCCTATTGTTGGCTGATGGCTTGATGAAAACTTCCTGATGGTTTTTGCAGCGAGTCTGATATCGTGGCCGTGGAATCTCGGTTGGCGCTTGAAAATGGGATCAACACAGTTATTGAAGGCAATATAGACATTCAGAAGCGGTTGCAACGAATGGAGCGTCTTTTCGAGAGCTGCGTTATTAATGCGCCTTCCAGGAAGACCCTCGGGCAGGGCGGCACTCACTCGGATGCAGTCTCTGTTCCATCAAGTGGTAGCATGACGCTGCGGGCGAAGCATGTTGAAGCACCTCCTGAGGATCAAAGACCTTCAACCGCTGCGTCATCCTCTGTGGTTGAACCGTTGGGATCCACTACCCAGGACGCCGGCGGGATACCTGTGATCAAGCTCGAGTTCGAAGAGACATTGGCTGAAAGCGATGTTTATCGACGCGTCCAGCGCCACACCGTTGGTGCCTTTTCAATTTATTCCGGCGATGCCCGTTCCATCACTCAGACCATCATGACAACCTACAGTCTAGCCGATAACGCTTCCGTCCTTTCTCGTTATCCCATCATTGATCGGACCGACCTGCGCCATCCCGAGTTCTATGCGGCCGTCGAAAACGAACAGACTCGAGAAAATCGTTTTCTTAGCGCAATAGTTTCTCGCAGGCGAAGATCCTCAGATACACGCGGCTCCTCTCAGATATCGGTTCCCCAGCAAAAAGTCCGGACACCTCCAAACTGCGGACCAAACGTCATGGGGGGTTGGTCCGTTCTGACAAGGCGGGTCTGGCGACCCAGTGAGTTTCGCTTCGAAACGTTGTTCGAAGTTCCCGTCATTTTCGTCTGCCCACCCTCCAATACAAGGGGGCCGATTAGGAACCAGCCCATCTATTTCGTGGCCGGAACGCCGGACAGCATGGAACACACGAGGGCACTGCTCCCAAGGGAAGAACAGCGAATCCAGTCAACGCCCGAGAGCCAAGTGCGCACAGCCGATAACGAGAGGGCGTCCTGGGTAACGCTACTCTCACACCTCCAGTTGATGGAACGAGAGAGTCAGGAGTGGGATCAGCCGCTGCTGCTTTACAGAAGTGGTCCGCAGTTGGCGTACCCCATTGGATTTGGTGAGCGCACTCTAGCCGTCGCAATCCAAGCCAAGACGCGGAGCTGGGACACGATACCAGCTCACGTCAAGAAGCCCTACGCGACGACGGCCTTTTGCCACCTTCTCGAGATCGCCGCTATGATGGGGATATACTGGAAGGAATTTGATCGGTTGAAAGAGCGGTATCAGGCGGAGGGCAACGGATACATTCTCACAGGCGCCCATATTCCAGATCTGGGCCTTATGTTCACGCTCCAGATCTCCGGTAAAAATAGATTCCAGGAGAATAGGGTGATCCCAGTGGACGAAGTGAAGGAGCTCTGCTGCGGCTTTGTGTCAACCCTGTTCCACGATATTAAGAGGGGTCAGCGCCAGGTCGACCTTCCCAACAAAGATCCTAAGAACCTCGACTTCCTCCAGCTTGGCAGTAGAAATGAGATCGCTGAGACTATGGTGTTGATTGGTTGTAATACCGATACCACCAACTACTTCCGCTCAAACGATGCTAAACATAGCCATCTTTTTCCAGGTAAGCATCTCCAGCCAACAGTAAAACATCGTCGCTAACTTTATACAGTCCCCTTCGAGCTCCTAGGAATGCTGGGAAAGACGTTGCACATATGGCACAGTGCCTTCCGGATGCTGCCGAATCCTACGCCGTACGCCTGGGACAAGAACTTCTTTGACCTCCGCCAGCTCGTGGAGGAGTACTTGAAGAATATTACCGACTCGGACTTGGACCTCTCCCTAGTGCCGGGAGTCCACGTGCTGGAACATGCCGCTAAAAAGCTGGTTCAGACGCTGCACCAAGATGAGAGGGCCCAGAACCCCGGCTACTCTCCACCACTACTTAATACCCTACACGATATCCTGGATAGCTGTGACGACGTGCTCAAAGCGAGTGACAGGAATCTTGTCCTGATAGTGATCCGGGAACATTTTCAGGAAGTTCTCAAGCTCATCAATGAAGTGAGGATGATTACCAACAAGGATGATGACGAAAGTGCCGTGTCGCAGCAAGGGGAGGATTTCAGCAAACTCACAGCAGCTAGCCCAGAGCTGCGCCAGGAGGTCTTTATGCAGCTCTACTTCTCCAAGGTCCTCCGTCATGTCAGGGAGCGTGCCGTGGTGTTGTACCGATTGCCGCAGCCGTCCTCGACTGACTCCAGCCGTGTCCAGCCGGAGGCCGACCTCACCGATATCCGATCGCAGGCCTCGGCCATATGGTGCACGCTTGTCCTACGAATGATGTGCTGGCTGCTTCTCCACGATTTCGATAAGAAGGACGTCCAGATACCAAAGAGCGAGCTATTCGGCAGTCGGCTTCCTGTGTATATCGGCTGAGTCCCGGGCGTGGGAACTTGCGACGCAGTCGCTATCGAGACCGTGGTAGCGGTTAGGATTAAGGTTGATTAGATGAAGATTTGGTGATGTTTTGGTGAATTGGTTTTTTGAGAGTGGCTGTTTTGATGTTGGATATAGAGCGTTGCGTTATCTGTTTCCCCTTCGTGAGATCTAAAAAAGATACATATTGATTTGGTTGACACTGCTAGTGGTTACAGTGAAAAGAAATGATTGCTGATTTTACCCAAACAAGGGAAACGGATTTGGGTACTTAGGACACCACTACACTGGTAATTATGAAACTATGAGGGTCCTCGGCGATCACCAATATGCACCCACAGTAAACACTCGGCATCTGCGGACAACCAGGTCTCTCTCAACCTACCTGGGTTATAACCGGCACAACCCGCGCCTTGACAAGATGAGGCCGGCCGGCGGGGAACGGCTCTGAGACAAGCTAGGACAATGGCTTCACTGCGGCGGAGGGCTATATAAACTGGCGTATGAACCGGTCAAGAGCCCATCTCTCAAGCAACGAGTAACAGACTGATTGACCGACCAGTCGGCCGCGTTCCGGAATATCACTCATACCTACCCTCCGTTATGAGTCCAAACCTGAATAACCTGGTAGCATATGGATTCATAGGCTGAGATGGACTTTGCGGGGGATCGACCCGACCCTGCCGAGAGTAGCTTTCTCTTCGTCGGCGGGTTAATCTTTTGTTTGCATGACTAAACTCGCTCGTTTAATCCCCCCGTCCTGATCAACCCCCCAAGGACCATCTATCATGATTCAATCTGTTGGTCCCATCACTCATCACCATAATCACCTTACCTAACAGAAACAGAACCCAAAGCAGCTGTTTATTTTGTTTGTTCGGCAAACTCACCCCGTGTGGAGCCGACAGAGCGAGGCTGAGCTGAAGAACACAGGGCGGCACAAAGCGGCGTTGCTGACATCTCCTCACATTAGCCCGAGGGAAGGAACCGGTATTAGTTAGTGTAGACAGACGGGTTGGTGGGAGGCGGCGGCGGCGGTGGTTGTGCTGGTGCAGGGGACTAGATCGGATTGTTGTTGGGTTGGTGGATGGGTTGGGTTTGTTGATATTTGACGTTTGTTGGGGGTTTTTGGTCCTGTGGGTGGATGTAATTTCTGCGGACTTGTCAAGATGGTTTTTCATCTACACGCGATTTCTGGCTACTTTATTAGTATTAAGAGGTCCTAAGACTTTAGCGATGCCGGCATTCAAAATTGGATGTTATTTATTTGATGGAGTCCCAACAAACCCGCTTAAACTTCTCGAAGCCCTTCTTCGGTTGTCTTCATGCATGGGGTCAGTCCGGTTGCTTCCCTGGAACCCCATTGGGCTTGGCAGTGATCAGCAAGCATCTGAAACAAGCACTGATGGGGTAAGGCGGAACGTAAATTACCAAGTGGGTTGCAGATCATTTCACCCCATTTCATTCCATCCGGACAAATTTCCCCATGTTACCGTACCGTCCTCGACGATAGCCTGGATGCGACTTTCCCCTTTTCGATCCAGAAGTGGTTTTGGGCCTTACCATCCAGCCATCGTAACTCTCACATGGAAGCCAGCGTAGTTTCGTATCGGCCCGCGTCGATGGCGCTCCTCGAATCCCCAACCTATCACAGACTTGGAGAGCACACACACACACACACCACACGCCGTGCCTCACGACGACATGTCGACCTTTTCCAGTGACCGGCTAGCCGACCTGACATGCACGTTTTTTCTCCTGCCCGAAAGAATGGACCGGCCGGCGGGAGCGGCGTGGATGAGTTAGCATTAGCGCCTGTGATGATTTGATCTTGCATACTGGACATCAAGGTAGCCGGCCGGTGGATGGAGCTCAGAGGGTAACTTTCATTTTTACCAACTGCCAATTCTGTCCAGTCATGACGATCAGACACACCACACACACTACACTATACCCACCATCCTCAAAAATCAGGATCCCTATTTTTCTATCCCCTTCTTTCCCATGTGAATTCCCGCAGTTCTGGTAAACATCGTATGATCCCCTCCTCAACCAAGGAACCGGAGCGATCCACCGTCTCGTCTCCCCTCCATTATTCGTATCTCTGTTAAACCAGGATTTCCCTTGTTCTTGCTTTTCGGTCGCCCCGCGCTTTGCACAGGCCGAACCTGTGGTGTGACTGTCAATTCCCTTGGTCAACGGTAAAACGGTTGAGCACAGCAGTTTTATGAGACCGACCGACCGAGCGTACAGTACGTTGCGGAAAGATGGGATCAGGGAATAATAATACGTAACAACAACAACAACTGCATCAAGAAATAAACTAAACAAACCGAGTTAATAACTAGGCCGTGTTGCACCGCTTTCCCACCGAGGCGGGGTTTCGTTGCGGGTAGGTGCAGTACCGCAAGTTTTTGTGCGAGGAGGGGGTTGCTTCGGCATTTCTAAATCCATACTCTTCCGCAGTTTGGTTGATGCCGAATTCTGGACGCGGCGGCTATGAGCTATGGTATATCTGTAACTGCAACACTATCCCATACATACAACGAACCTAGATACAAGTAGATCAGGTAGTGTAGTCTAGTCACTAGGCGCGGAGTCGACAGCGCGGACTCCGACATCATGGAGACTTTTTGCTCCCTGTTACATTCCGCCTCACTCCCGTCACTCCCGTGTACGTAGTTATGCAGTCCGCAGTACGCACCGCATACCTTTCAGCGGGACACAAATCCCATCACAACATCCCATCACAACAGGGCGTTCGTCAAACACACTCACTCACCCACCGCCCCATCACTTGCTTGCGAATGCCTTTGTAGTACACAAAAACCAGAACTAGAACAAAAGACTTTGTGTCTAATCTGAACGAATCGGAAGATTTTCTCTCATCACCATCAGCTCGCCACCAGAGCCAAGGTCTCAAACCATCTGTCTCTCTTTTCCCAGCCTCTCTCGCGTATCCCATCCTTTGACCTACCCGAATTTATGCGGGGGGTTTGAGACAAAGTCTGAGTCTGCCCGGCGCCGCCTCCCCAAGCGCCGACTTGGCGACTACCATGCATGTTACAGTCTAGTGTACGTAAGGAGGCGGTTCGTTGTTCGGGCTTGTCGGGCGCTTGGCGTGTACGACAGTATCAAAAGACGCGCCAGCTGGCGTTTAAACTTACGGATTTGGTTGGGAGAGGTGGTTCGAAGGGCTGAGACGGTTTGCGTGGATGGGGTACGAGTTGACGAGTTTGTTTGAGACAAGATCGGTTTACATGACATAACATGTCGACCTAGATGGCGGTGTTGAGAGGTTGGCGTAACTTGGGACTTGACGTGCAGATGAGAACTGGTTCGTCTGATATCGTCACTGGAATGACCCGGCAGGCTCTGATATCTGATGAACAGGCGGTTCATCTTAAGGTTTGGTGGAGTCTGAAAGAAAAGAAACCCGGGGCTCAGCGGACTCTTTGTCTGCCCTTCTCCGGTAACGCTAGAACAACATTCGTGCCCGTAGACCTAAAGCAGAGCTGCTGCGGCGCATATTCAAACTCGGAGTTGCGGTGAACATGAGTCCGTAACAAGTACGAATCGGACGGCATAGAGGCTGGATGAATGTACGACTCGGAGAGCGGGGCTTAATCCCAAGTCGGGGCCGGTCTATCTCCAAAGAACAGCTGAAATGCGGCATGCATGCAGCCTGAAGGGACTCGGATGAGCGCCAACGTATTTTCCTCGTTTGGACTGACGAGTTAGGCATTACCTGATCTTTGTGACTTGCGGTGTTCACCCGTCAACCGATAGAGTACAGATCAAGGCGCTGCGGCTCGAATCAGACTCAAGAAAGTGGGCTGAACTATGACAACGAAAACCAGAAGTTCCTAGGTTTGTCTGTTGCAGAAAACGGATGGCGTTGATCTTGGCCTAGCTGTCGTCGTTTGTCGTCGTCGGCGTCGGCGTCGTGTCTTCCCGCGGCACAGTTCGGGGTCGTGGTCGCCATGGCCGTGCTGCATGTAACCCACCACTTCGAGGCCACCGTCAAGCCGACTGTCCCCGTTAGGGTCGCAGTTAAGAAACAGGGAGAGTTCGTTATTCTTGGCGTGGCCTCCCCCACGAGGCCGCAGCAGAATGCCGGGAAGAAACAAGCTTGAGGTTCTACCAACCGAGGGAGGTTTTGCTTATTATAACGGTCACTTCTTGGAATTGCAACTTTGAGGTTCGTCTCGCTCGTTTTGGCCTCTTCCTGTGTCGTTGAAGGGACATGGGAGACAGCAAGATTCAACACTGCTGGGCAAGTCGGAAGCCCTGCAAATCCTTCGTCAGGCAGCGCCTGTGAAGTGAGTTGTTGTCTCGAAAAACATCAACTACTGGTGATGCGATGCGGTGCGGAGAGCCGAAACCCGAGGCCGGAGAAAAGGGACGCGGCGTTGCGTTGCTTTGCGTTCGCGATTTGCAAGAGTTGAGCCGCCCAGTAGTCGGACCTCCTGGGAAAAATAAACTATCCAGGCCACTCACCGTCCTTCGGGTAACCGCCGCTGGACTTGTAGCAGTCGTAACTGGACTGATTCATGGGGTTGCATGAGGGGTGAGCTGCAAGTCGGCCGTCTCGGCGCGCCCGCGCGTCCATCCTCGCTTGGTGGCGGCGTGTTTGTTGTGGGAATCCCATTCTCTCCTTTTCCATGCAGCTCCCGCCGCCTGCCGTCTTGGATGGGGCTCGGGGCCGCTCACTCCAGCCCGTTCGGGACTAAAAGGGATAATTAGGACGGTGATTTTGTTCGGAGATTCGGTCATTTGTGATGTTAGAGTGAAACGGTAGTTCGCGATGCGAGATGGGAAGCATCATCAGAACACACAACACCGCCACGCTTCGTTGCAGGGTCTGTTGAATTGACTGATGATGATTCTCGAATTGCAGGCGACGGAGCCCTTTGTTGCTCCTGCGGCGAGCGGTGAGGCTCCACCAATTTCGCCATCAATTTCTCCATCAATTGTGGTAACATTCCCTTCCCCAGTGGACGTTTGGATGCAACACGAGCTGACAGGGGGTGCGGGCATCTCGTTTCTGTTGCGCAGGCAATGCGCAGGGAGAGAGAGAGCGCGAGAGCGAGGGAGACCAGAGCCATCTACTCCATCTCAGGCTCTCAGCCATGTCCAAGCAAGACTCCAGGGTGCGAGCCCGGCTGCCCGCGAACGCGATTTGTTGCTCGCCCGCCAGTTCGTGTTCCATTCGGTACCTGACAGACCGGGTCCCCCGCTGGGGCGTCATCCTTGTGTGGCCAGAATCAACATCCTGGACCGGGTGGAAGAGCCGTGGAAGACTGGAAGTCCACAGTAAAAAAGTCAAAAGCAGGACGAAATTGACAAACCGCGTGTGCGTGAGCAACAAGATAATCTGGAAGAACTCGCCGAGAAAGAGGAGACAACCAAGTCGATATGACCTCAGCGTTGTCGCAGGGCCGAGATGGCAAATCTGGGGGGATGCTTTGGCCTGCGATGATCCAAATTAAATGAGTTGGCTGAGCCGATTTGTTTGGTGTGCATCGGAGACAACATGGGGTCCTTCCTTCCCCTGGCGCAGATGCGCTTCTGGCCGCAGGAGGGGTTTACCCAGGGGGGCTGCTAGCGCGGGCTTGGGGTCAATGCCTCAGGTCCCGTCATTTTCCACCTCTTACCCCGGCCAATCCCTCCCAGGCGTCATACTGTACCACGATTCGACACCGTATCAACGTGTCCGGACGGGCCTTGTAACGAGGAAGCTCCCTGCTACAGAGGCCGTTTAACGGGAAAAGTGTCGAGGATGGGATGGCTGAAACAAGGCAGTATCAGCTCAAGTAGATAAGAATAACAGATATTGTAAGCTGGCGGAGAAGGGTAAAAGAGATTAGTCCTTGTGAGCCGAGGGCAGACCAACCTCTCAACCGTGGTGAGAGGGAGGCCGTCTTGTAGTTTCAATCCGCAACTTATCATTCAAAAATGAATGACATGAGCCCTGCCAGTTGTCTCTCACTCAAGATTGACACCAGTGCTTGCCGGTTCGACCGCAGTATTGTAGTCTGTGTAGTGTACTATGGTACGGGGTCAAATACGGCGTATTGAAATACACGTCATTCATGATACGTTACGGGCGGCCCGGATTTGCTGTGCCAGTGGAGTTCCCGACGGGTGGAGCTGCATGGGATGTCTTGGAATTTTGGGCGCAGGACCGAATCGTTTCCGGGGATGCTGGCGTGTGCACACCACTGCTGCCCGCTGCCGTGGCAGTCTGGCCCGTCTCTGCCTGTCTCTCCCCCAGCCAAAACTTCCATTCCTCGACCTTCGCTCAACACCCTCCTATCGTTCAGTCTTTCTTTTTCTTGTGTCGTCACTTCACCACTCCCCACGTGCCCCTTCGCCTTCCGATTCGAACATCCTCTTTTTCCATTCTTTCTTTTCTCTCTCGCTTTCAACCTGCGAGGCCGCTTTCTTCAGGTGGGCTGCTGAGCCGCTTCGAAGCCTCCCGACCCCCGACTGACCAACCCACACACCCCGAGCATTTGTCGCGGCGTCTCGTCTTCCTTCTCCGTGCCTCGCCTCATTTGACAACTCCCGCCGCGTCTTCGATTCTTCTCTCCACCCGTTCCGTTTCCCTGCTTGCATCTCCTTCGAAATTTCCCTTGTCACGACTATCCAGTATCGGCTTTCCTTTTGCCTTCCCGCTATCCCTTCGCCGAGCGCCTTTCCACGCGCCTTACGCGACCTTCCCCCCAACAGGTCGACCCCAAACCCCCGAAAAAAAATATTCGACTCGCTCGCTCCGTCTGCACCAACCACGGCACCAACAACACCTGGGATTCCTCCAATGTGCCGCTAGTAACGAGCAATCTTGCAGTTGTCAGTAACAGGCACTGTGTTTCTCGTTCCCCCCTCACTTTCAACACCCCGACCAAATCTCGACTCAACGAGCCGTCCGCGGTAACAGTGGGCCTCTTTTTCTTCGGGATATTGGGCAATCCGTTCTCCCTTGGCCGCAGGCGTCCTTCGAAATTCACGGTATCACCGAACGTGGGAGGTTTTCGTCCCACTACCTCATTCCCCCTACTTTTCTGTCCCGCACCAGCGATCGGCAGGTACGTGATCTCGTTCCACGCTCGCTCTGGGTTCCCGGCTGCAAGTAGCGAGTTGCCAGCTGCAGCTAGCACGCACGCTTGTGGCGCTGCAACCAGCTCACAAACGAAGCACAATACCTTTGACTCGACGGCTGTGCCGCTATTGTCTACTGGTTGAGCTAACCGTTGTACGAGGTAGACATTCTCCCTTTCCTGGAGCTACCTACCGTCGCTCTTTGGGCCAACTTCACCTTGGAAAGGTGCAAATCACTATTGAGAACGCGTTGTTTGCGTTGACCTATACCACCCACCACTCGCCATGGCTGCACTCGTCCAAGGCTACCCCCAGCAGTCTGGGACTGTCACGGTGCTGCAAACACGTCCCTCGTCGGCCTCAGGAATGCTGCAGTCACTTGCGGCTCAACCAGTGACACAGTATGTACCTGGTGGTTCCCACAGGCATAGCATCCACGGACTTCCGTCCGCAACCACCACGCACGTGGTTTACCGAGGAGGCGCGGCCACCGTTCAACAACCGTACGCCCTGAACAACGCACCTCTTTTTGACCCTTTGGCATCGTGGCAGCCACCAAGGGCGCAGCGGACGTCGTCTTCGCCAGCAGTCCCCACTATCCAGCAATTTGACTACCTGCAGCCCGCTGCGGGCCGTTCCCGCTATTCGGCCAGCGTGTCCATGACAAACCTGCCCAGCACTGCGAACTACGGTTTGCATAGCGGCGCTGGCTCCCGCGATGACTCGGGCTTGCCGGTTCCCGGCGCGAGGAGGACTGCTGCCGCACCACGATCCTCCCACACAAACAACGGGGCATCGTCCCAACCGTCGCTTGCTCCAGCAGCCCCTATTCGGGCGACCCCGGAGAGATATAGGCGAACAGCGCTGCGTGCGGATTCGAACAGCTCGTCAACCACACCATCTGGCTCACAACTACGGCCAGTACCCTCTGCCATGGCAAACCGGCCAAATAGTTTTGTCGGTTCCGTATCGGGTTCAGCGGTGGATGATAGTGCATTTGCCCAGGGCCAGCACGAAATTAAGAGGGTCCGCCGGCGCAGCATGCCAGCGTTGGATTCTCCCGGATTCCCCCTCCGTCCGACCCCGCACGACCTCCAGCAGCAGCACCAGCAACTGCTGCAGCCGGAAGACATTAATCGCCCCAAGAGCGCTGATTTGGGGGACAAGGCTGGAAAAACTGGCAATCATTTGGCTGCCGACAAAACGAGCAATGATGAGCGGCCCGCGAGCAGCCGAAGTGCTGGGGCAAATGTTGTCGCCCCCTCTTCTTCTGTAAGTTCCTCTATTTCCACATTATTCCACATTATTTGAAGGGTGTTTTACGTTTTAGCGTCCCCTTCCTCCTGTAACCCCTCCCCTCTTCCAAGTCTGCCCAGGTGGGCTGCATGGGCTGCAACATCTTCAACGGTGATTGTCCAATCATGCGCCGTCCCCTCCCCGTATCTTTCTTGCCGTTCACCACTAACACGGGGCTCGCTTTCCCCCACGAAACCAGTCTGCCAACCCTGACCCCACCGTTAACCCCACCATGCCTGCTTCCCCGGAACATGCTGCTCTTTCCCAACCGGATTCCGCATCTCTCGCCAATGTTCCACCACCGACTTTACCGACCGATGCCGCCAACGCCAACGCCAGCCGCACCGCCAAACCGTCGCCCCTTTCAACACCCGCGGCTATGGATGCGGCGGCGGAAACTAGCCAGCCCGTAGAGGGCACCGAGCCCGTTGCGCAAGAAGCGCCGTCGACACCTCGTTTCGAGAGTCCGGCAGTTAGGCAATTAACGGCGATTAACGAGAAGCGCGGGCGGCCTAAGAGCAAGACGTCGCGACTCCGGAGGGCGTTTTCATTTGGCAGTGCTTCCGAATTTCGCAAGGCTGCAGGCGAGGCAGAAACTGCGGAGAATGGCGCTGCCAAACTCCAAAAGGACCGCAACCCTGACGAGGCCTATGACGAGGAGCAAGCGCGGATCGCTGAACGGCAAGAAGCTGCCGGCATTGGCAACAACATTTACGCTGGAGGACGGTTTTTCCATGGCTCGACCGACAATCTGTCCATTTCTTCGACTGCCTCCTCGGCTTCTATTATGATCCGCAAGATGGGTCGTGGAATGAAGAAAGGCACGCGATCGCTTGTTGGCCTCTTCCGGCCCAAGTCTGTCGTCGGCGTACCACCACCCGATGCGATTCCAGAGAGCCCGCAGCCCGCCGTGTCTATGATCACTGCCGAGGCCGAGCGGGAGCTTGTCAACGTCAGCGCCGACCCCAAGGCGCAGGGTGGTGGCACTGGATTTCCCCGCTTGGAGCGGAACTCGATCGATGCAGCCAAGGTGCCGGTGCCCGAGCCGGAGCGCGTGGGGAGCTCAGGAACGGACAGCACTGGGCCGCGTAAGAGCATCGTTGGAGGTGAGAAGGAACGTGCTGAGGTCCTTGCCGCTGTTCGGAAGGGTATTCTGAAGCGTAAGTTACAACTCGTGATTTCGGTATTCTTGCAGTGGGAAGTTGTACCCTAACCCCCGTATTACAGATCGTACAGGCTCTTCGAGCCCCTCGCCCCGGCCGTCGGACGCTAAGACCTCCGCTTCTGATCTCCCGAGCGTGCCCTCGGTGACAGATTCTCCTAGCTCCACCGCCCCGAGCACGCCTAATGAGGATTCGCAAGGTCACCGGCGGACAGGGACTGTGACGATTGGCAGCGAGGATTACTTCGTTTCGGCTCTCCGGCTCCGCCAAGACAGCAAGAGCTCGCCGGGTACTCCCCAGAGCGTCGTCAAGCGCAACGCTACCTTCAGTCCACGCCTCGCCTTCTTTGAGACGTGGCCCAGCCAGGAGTATGACCGGCGCGGCGAGATAGCGACTTGCAACCGTCTCACCCCGATGCTGGCTCAGCAGATCAAGGAGGAGCTGAACACCTTCAAGATGGTAAGTTTACAAGCTTCCAATGTTTATGTTGGAATTTTTTTAGTGTCACTAACACCCGTGTAGGAAATGGAGGTTCACGAAAACTCGAAGATCTACACGCACTTCTTCTAATGATGCCAGTGAAGGGCAACCGTACCACCAACACCTCTCGGCTCGTTTTCTCTCCTCAAAAGACACAGGAAGACGATGCCGCTCTATTGTCGTGTATATGAGCGGGTTTTACATTTTCCGCGGCGTTTTTTTTCCCTCGTTCTCGCGGTGTTTTCTAGCATAGTACGGTGTCGCGGCGTTCATTTTTATCTGTTCATTTTTACATGTTTGCGGCCCTTCCGCATTTCTGATCATCGAGAGAGCTCTTTGCAGCTAGACCTCTTGCACACAGCGCAGCACAGCGATCCCATTAATTACACATCACCCCCACGACACCCGCTCACCTTTATGCTTGGATTTATTCCCCCCGCCCACGCAACGTCTTCTGCCCGGATGGTATCGCGGATTGAAAAGGATAAAAGAAGACGATGGAGGCACATATAGGGCTCCGGGAACTGGTCTCAATGATGGAGGGCGGGCAGGTTCTCGACCTACCTGATTGTGGTAGGTTGGTTGACACAACAGCATGAGACGGAAAGGGGACGGTGGGGCGGATCGGGGTTTGGACCACGAGAGGGCGACACGGCGGTGTCCTCGGCACATGACAGCCTCTTCGTCTTGTTTTTGTTCCATCTTCATCTTTCTGGTGCTCTTTTCCCGGACCCTCCCGGACCTGTCCCATGCTTTCTTGTTTTCTCATTCCGTCTTTTTTCTCTCCAAGCGAAAACAAAATCTTCTTGTGTTTTGGTGTTCATTCCCTCTCATTGTCTCGAATAAAATCCTTGTCACTCACTCTCTATTGTGTTCCTGTGTTTCTTCTCATGATGCTGCTGTTTTTTCTGTTCCTGGAGCGGTCATCATTCCATCATGTCCATTTTGTTATTGTTGTTGTTGCCTCGACCGCATTGTATCTATTCTTGCTCTCTGGTACTGCTAGTGTTTGGGAGTGGAGGCTTAATTGAGAATTCGTGTGGATTTTGTTTTGTGTGTGTGCCTTGTATTGTGTCTTGTCTTGTGCTTTGTGCCCTGTGCCTTGTGCTTTGTGCCTTGCGCCTTGCTTGCCTTGTATTCCCTGTGATTAAGTACGTACAGTAGTTGCGGATGAATTAGCCCAGTTGTAAACTTCATCCCTTGTTATGTTCCCCCTACATGCTGGCCATTTCAAATAACTCCAGTGTTTGTTACCGGATGTTGGTTGTGGTATGGTGTGGGGTTTTGTCTCAGTTCAGTTGTCTGAGACTGGTGTTACGGTAATTTACACTACACAAACCTACCCCATTTCTCAACTTCCAAGGTTGCAGTGTTCTGAGACAAACCCCGATCGAATCTCCTCCAACCACGAGAATCAATTTTCTAATACATTCTCTAAACGTTAGCGGAACTGAAACAAAACCTCCACCAAAGCCTACATGATACACTAAACTAGTTTAGTGTCAACGTTCCCTCCTGTGCAGGGAAAAACACTCGAGTTTCAGGGTTCTCTCGCAACGGTTTTCGATTCGGGTGAGCTAGTGTAGTGCAGTAGTGTACATGTGTGTCGGATGTATTCGCGGCAGGGCTGACGTGCATTGTTCTGTTGTCGTGACGTGTCCTGTTTTTGCTGTTTTGAGAAAGAGAAAGAGTGTGTGGATGGTTTTGGTTGGGTGAGGGGGTAGCTGAAGGGTTTGGGGCTACTGCAGTGTCTTTTCTTGGTCATTGCTAACGAACTACTGTGGATGTAGGTTGGGAGGTTGGTTAAGGAGCGGGAAGTGCACCGTTCCGTCCTGTTCTGTTCTTGTTGATAGGATAGAACTGGATAGGGCGGATGGAGGTTGTGGTGAACCATGTGGTATGGTATGGCATGGTATGTACAGCGTTTGAGACTGTACTGGAGGGAGGGATGGGTTTTCTGACGAAGTGGGAAATGGGGGGCCTGGTAAGGAATGAAAGAGGGGGTTTCGAGTCATCTCATTCATTCTGAGGAGGGTGGCATAGTTTTCTTGAGTTGGTCACCAGGCGAGACGGATACGAGGTTTTTCTCGTCCCTTTTGGTCGTCTGCGGCATATGCGGTTTCTTTCCGCTTGTGGGTTTTGTGGGTCTTGGGGAGCGCTCAGGGGTTGTGCGATCGGAGATAAGTGACAGGTGGGAACCCTGCATCATCCCCGCGGGTCTGGGGTCTGGTTGGCCAATGGGGAGAGGCGGAGGACGGGGTTTCTCAGCCTTGCAGAGAAGGCGGAGGGGCTTTAACTTTTTTTTTCTTTTTGCGATTACGATGGAAGATCTGTCAACCACCTACGGAACGAAGCATAACGATTGAAGATCTGCTGTAGATTTCATAACACACTGTTTGAGAACACCATAATTTGTGCCCCAGAGTTGCGACAGTGGCGCGGACCCTGATATCGGCATTCCGCGCGGCGATTGCGCGGGCATCGTCAGCTCGCCCGTTCTTTCGATTCTTCCCCATGGCCTCCGATGCGACACCACCACCCCCACCACCAGCTGGAGCGCCGGCTACGGCGGGGGTGAAGAAACCGAAACTTCACGGCCGCGCATTCTACCAGAGCATTGGCTCGCCCAAGTACATTGTGGCGCCGATGGTGGACCAGTCTGAATTTGTGAGTGCTCGGTAGCACAGCTTGCAACACTCCTCACAGCAGGACACCGACCGACCACTAACCACACACTCTGCCTCACTAGGCCTGGCGCATGCTCTCGCGATCCTTCGTCCCCGCCGACCAGCAAACCAACCTGCTCGCATACTCCCCCATGTTCCACGCCCGAATGTTCGGCGACAGCGAAAAGTACCGCGCGCAGCACTTCCAACCCACAAAACCCGGTTCCGACACCACCCCCTACCTCGACGGCAACCCAGCCATCGACCGGCCCTTGTTCGTGCAGTTCTGCGCCAATGACCCAGACGCACTCCTCAGCGCAGCAAAACAAGCCGCCCCATACTGCGACGCGGTCGATCTTAACCTGGGCTGTCCCCAGGGGATCGCAAGGAAGGGACACTACGGGGCGTTTCTGCAGGAAGACCAGGACTTGATCTACCGGCTGATCAAAACGCTGCATGACCATCTGGATATCCCAGTCACGGCCAAGATCCGGATCCTCGAGACGAAGGAGGCCACGCTGCAGTATGCGCAAAAGGTGCTCAGCGCGGGCGCGAGTATCCTGACGGTGCACGGGCGGCTGCGCGAGCAAAAGGGCCACTTGACGGGTCTGGCGAACTGGGAGATGATCCGGTACCTGCGCGACAACCTCCCGCCGGAAACGGTCCTTTTCGCGAACGGGAATATCCTGCAGTACGAGGACATTGATAAGTGCCTGGCTGCCACGGGGGCGGATGGCATCATGAGCGCCGAGGGCAACCTCAGCAACCCGGCCATTTTCACCCCGCCCCCGCCGGTTGGTGAAGAACCCCGCGGGTACTGGGTCGGGAAAGACGGTAAAGGCGGATGGCGCGTGGATGAAGTCCTACGCCGGTACCTCGACATCCTCCACCAATACGCCCTGGGCCAGCCACCACCACAACGGCGCCCGCTATTCATCCCCGGTGACGACACAGCCTGGATGGACGAGGTCCCCACCGTGCTACCGGGACTGCCCGAACCCGGCGCAAAACCAAACAAAAAACGCAAAGACAACAACAACCCAGCAGAAAGCACAACAACAACAACACCACCACCAGGCAGCGGCCCCAACTTCCACAGCGTCCAACCCCACCTCTTCCACCTCCTCCGCCACCTCGTCTCCCGGCACCACGACGTCCGCAACGCCCTCGCCAAGGCCCGAATGGGCGCCATCGAGATGCACGAAGCGCTGGCGCTCATGGTCGAGAAGAAAGTAGCCGAGGGTCTGCTAGAGTACGAACGTACAGACGGACAGAGCGTTGAGGCAGATATGCCGACGACGACGGCAGAGGAGGAGGCCGATCCGGAGAGCTCGGCGGGAGCGGTGAGGGTTTGTAAACGGCCGTGGTGGGTGGTGCAGCCGATTATTAGGCCGTTGCCTAAGGAGGCGCTGGCGAAGGGGGCGGTGTCGTTGAGTAAGAAGGAGAGGAAGAGGGTTGCGGCGGAGATGGAGGGACAGGAGGAGGGTGGGAACGGGGGGAAGAAGAGTAAGGGGGCGGAGGTGGAAGGGGGGAAAGGGAGAGTTGGGGAGGAGGCTAAGGTGGTTGGGGACACGGCGGCGGTTACGGAGTCGTTGGAGAAGAAGACGAGTTATCCGTCGAGCGAGCTGGTTAGTGGGTGAGCCGGCTTTCGGTTTGCATTCTGAGCCATGCTGGTCAACGTTCTTTACTTTGCCCGCCTTATGAAGAGGGTGGATGAAAGTACAGGTCTCATCGAGGTCTGGCGCGTCCCGTAGGTTGTGGTCCTTGCATATCTGGACTGCGTTGGAACCGGTGATAGGAGTGGACATCTTTGAACTCGCCCTGGTCGGACCAGAACCACGACGGAGAAACTAGCCGAGGTATGATAACCAGGAGCTCGGGGTCTAAACACAATAAAAACACACAAACATACGAACAAAGCACAGCATTCATGCCGTTGATATGATCCTATGCTTGACACGCGCTGTATTGAAGGCGAGGGTCTGAACGTCGAAAAAGAGTTGTCCGTTGAGGAGTTGAAAGCATGTGAGCGGCGTTTCGTTCAGCATTTATGAGCTGCTTTGAGGGCGTTAGGGACTGTCAACGTTGCTATTGATCTTATCAAGTGTCTCCTCGGCCGAGATGGGTCCGTTTTCCGGGGTTAAAAGACCGTACCTAACACCGCCTGCTTTCCACTCCCAATTCACCGTTCCTTGTCATTTTTTTCTACTTTCGCCCGTTAACATTATCTTCCTTTTCCTCACCTACCACCTCTCCCTCACTCTCGAAATGTAAATATCATCCAACTCTTCAACCGCGCAGTTCTATCCGGAGTTTGGCCTGGTCTGAAAAAGGCAAAAAGGTGTGGAGAAAGAGTGGACGAACCGCCCAGGAACACTTACCCTTTACGGCTTAGCCTCCTGGGTCGGAAGCTCCGGCAGCGCAAGGGAACCTGGTTTCGTTTTGCGGTCTGTATCTTTTTAACCTTTTGGGGTTGTTTCTGTTGTTTCTGGGGGGTTGAATGGCATTTGTTGGCGTTGATTGATGTGTTATGTTATCGCGGGTTTAGAGTTTGGGATTGCTTCAATTCAATGTTTTAGTGTACGCTCTGGGGTTTGCATTGGCGGTTCAGCTTTGTGTCTTCAATCCCTCAACGAGGGAACTTGTTCAATCTCGAGATCAACCGTCCCATAACCCGATCATTTGTTTCCTCTCCAAACCACCAACAATAACCATTCAGCCGTGCCACGACAAGAAGGATCCCCAACCTGACTGGTACCGAACCCTGTTGATAACCGCTGCCGCTGCCGGTGTGTGTGTGTGAAACCTTGCTGACCTTGTGCTGACTTCGCGTGCTCCTGCTGATGCCAATCACAGCAATACCCAAGCAATGCCAATACCAAGCAAATGCCAAATGCCAATGCCCATCGGAGGTCTGTTCTGCCCGCCCCGGTCTTGCCCGCGCCGAGCCGCCCCCCTGCTCGCATTTTCTCCATCGACCGCGAGGCGCAGGGGACGGGGGACGGGGTGGACAGTCCCATTGCTGTGCCGTGGATCGACTGCTTTAGGCTTTAGGTACCAGGTTTGACAGACAAGACAGAGGGGGAGAACACCATTTCGCTTCGGGGGTTTTGGTTTCTGCTTCTGTCCCCTCTTTTTTTCCGCAGGTTGTTGCTGGTTGTCGCGAGTTGTCGCTCGTTTCTGTGGGTGGTTTGTTTGTCGCTATCGCTGTTGTTGACGTTCATCGCCGCGACCGATCCGGCTAATTCGCAATTGCGCACCCGGCAGCACGCGACAATTGATGATCGGGAAATATCGCGTCTGTGGTGTTTTGTCGAATTGACGAATTCAACGAATTGAAACCGACCAACACCCAGACCTAGCTTAACCGGCCGAAAGCAAACAACCACCACCAACATCACCAATCGCCCCGAACAAGACTACAATGTCCTCAAAACAAGCACCCCCCGGCTGGTGGCCCCCCGGGTCCCACCCCTCCGACCCCGACGCCAACCTCCCCGAGGCCGTCGACCGGCACTACGCCCTGCCCGAGGTCGTGCCCTCCGACCACCCTCAAGCCGCACAATCCGCCTTTGAGCGCGAGAAACACCTCGCGCCGGTGTCGATGGGGTATGGGGTCTCGCCTTTGCCTTGGTCGCCTGAGAATGGTCATGGTATTGGTCAGTATACGCCGTCTTCGGGGTACGGGAGTTATAATAATGTGGATGGGGCGAGGGGGATTGGTGGACCTGGGGGACCTGGGGGGGATGGGGGACCTGGCGGGAGTGGGAATGGGAATGGGGGGGATGGGGTGAGGATATGGGGGATGAGGAAGCGGACGTTTGTGATTTTGGTTATAGGCGTTGCGTTGTTGGTGGTGGGTATTGCGTTGGGGGTTGGGCTTGGGGTTGGGTTGAAAGCGTCGTCGGATGGGCGGACTGCGACGTCTTCGGGGGTTCCGGCTGGGGATAGTAACGGTGGGAGTAGTGGTGGTAACGGTAACAACAACAACAACGGGACCAACGGGAACAATGGGAACAATAACTCAACAGGCGGAAGCGACCCCTCATCAACCCTCTTCCACAACACCTCCCTAGCCGCCACCAACTACACCGACCTCTCCAACAACATCCACCAATACGTCTTCTTCCAAGCCGCCAACCTCGACCTCGCCGTCTCACTCTGGGACTCCCAAAACCAAACCTGGACCACCCTCTCCATCTCCCGTCTCCTCGCCTCCACCGGCCTCAACCTCGACCTCATCCCGGGAACCCCCATCGCGGCCCACACCTACACCAACCCAACCTTCCAAACCCGCGTCTACTTCCTCACCAAAGGCAACTCCATCCGCGAACTCATCACCTCCGAAGACCCGTCCCTCACCACCTCCTGGCGCCAGGGCTTCCTCGGCAGCACCAAACTCGTCACCGCTCAACAAGGATCCCAATTGGCCACTCTCCGGCCGCAGTGTGGAGTGAGTATCGATTGTCAGGTGCATTATCCGTGGTTGGCGATTGCGTATCAGGGGGAAGGTGGCGTGGTTGCGGTGACGAGGTCGGATGATTGGGAGCCGATGGAGATACCGATTGGGCCGGCGCCGAGGGGGTCGGCGGTGGGGTTAGCGAGCGTGGCGAAGGGGGAGGGGCATAATATTACGGATGTGAGGTGGAGTTTGTTTTATGATGAGGAGGGGGAGTTGCAGGAGATGCATGCGGAGGGGTTGGTGAAGAAGTGGACTAGGGGTGGGTTTCTTTCCTTTTCTTTCTTTCTTCTTGTTCATCCCTTTTGCCCCTTTGGACGTACACTAACATGGTATGTACATATAGGCGTCTCAACAGGCTACGCCCCCGACCCCGCCCGCCCCAACATCGCCGCCCTCTCCTTCGACCTCATCCACATGATGGTCATCAGCGTCGACCCGGACCGGGATCTCGAAATCCGCCTGTGGGATCCCGACGCCGCGTCCTGGAGCGGGCTGAAACCGCCCAACCTCCTGGACGCCGATGATAACGGCGCCGGAGATAGTAATGGTAGCAGTAACCAAAATTCGGGAGCAGGCCCTGAGGACCCCAAGTTTGATGCCGTCGCGGGGAACTCGCAGAAGCGGGTTTTTGGCGTTGTTAATGGGGTCGTGCATCAGTGGGAGTTTTTTGCGTTGGCGCCGCTGCAGTGGTCGTATCGGGGGGTTGTGAAGACGTCGTTGGGGGGTTGATGTATAACATGGATGATGGATGGATGGATGGATGGATGGATGGATGTTACGATACCCCGGGTCATGGGTTTGGTTTTGGTTTAATATTCTTTTCTTACTTTTGGTTCTCTTGTTTCCTATTTTTTTTTACGATGGTTCTAGTTTTGTCTTCTTGGTTGTATACTTTATGGGTTCCGCATTGCAGATGCGATGGATGGTTGGATATCGACGGGCTGAGGATGGGAGGCAATAGTGTACATATCTGTGGTTTATCAATGCTTTGTTTCAATGTCTTGGCTTCACGGTTTTTTGGTCTGGCTTATTCGAAACGATTCTACATCCAAGAGATGATGGACACGGGCTGATATTCGACAGAAACGACCGTCATGTCTAAACTTGACCAAACTGCTGCAGGGTATCTTCCCCTGATTTAACCAAAACCAAACCGAAAACCATCTTGACACGACTAGAGCGAGAGACATGTACATATACAGCAAAAAACACAACCAAACCAAACGAATGATACATACGCCAGCGAGAAAAGCAGAAAAGCAAATAACCGCCTTAAACCAGAACGCCAACCGCCTTCAACAACCAGTTCCGCCCTTTTTATACCTCCTTCTTCACCCCCAACTCACTGACTGACTACCTAGGTGCCAGGCAAGTTAAGGCATCTAGATACCTAGACGAAAAACCCCGTGGAAAACAACACCATCCCCACCGCCAACCCAACAGGCACCCACCCCAACAACTTCCCCCCATTCGTCGTCGCCCGCATCCTCACCGGCACGCCCGCATTGTTCCACAGCATCACGGGCTTCCCAAGCTCCGGCGAGCGGTCCACACTACAAACCGCCACACACCCAGCCACGGTCCCATTCGCCGTGCCATTGCCCCCCGGACCTGTGTCGTTGGTGGCGGGATACCGCCTATGCAAGAAATTCCGCTTGTTGTATTGTGAGGAAGCCACAGTCTCGGAATTATTAAACACCACCTCCAACCACTGCACCTGCAAAAACGCCGCATCAAACACCGTCATATTCCCCGTCCATCCACCCCCATCACTCCACGCGTTCAAAATAACCGTACTCTCATCCCTCGGCGCCTGAAACGCAATCGACGCCACCTCCTCATCATCCACATACCACGTCGTCAACCCGGGAGTCCAATCCAACCGATGCACCGCCCAACTCGACCAGTCGCGCCCATCGGGCATGGTAGCGTTGCGCGTGGCGTCGGGGATGACGGCGCCGGCGTCGGTGTAGGCCGGTTGGTTGGTGTAGTGGAGGAGATTGCGCGGGTCGGAGGTGCGGATCTCGAGGTCGGATTCTTGGACTTGGGCTAGGGAGGTCGCGCCGCGGTAGGTGAACATGGCGGTTATGGCGCCGGGGGAACCGATGGTGCGGGCGAGCATGCGGAGGGAGAGGTATTTGAAGTGGGAGGAGGCGGATTCGATTTCGGCGGAGGTTTGGAAGGAGGAGAGGCGTTGGGTGCGCAGGGTGAGGTAGGTGTCGAAGTCGGAGTCTTCGTCTTCATCGTCATTGGGGGAGATGTAGATGTTATTCGGGGAGTTGACCATGTCGACTGAGGATCCTGGACGGGACGCGCCGCCGGTGTTGTTCCATGTGCCCATTAGCCAGAAGTCGGTCCACTCGGGAGTCTTGAAGTAGTCGCTGGTTACGGGGGCGCTGGAGCTGCTGTCGAAATCGCCAATCACGTCGGTGACGTGGGCGTACTCGGAGAGTTTGCGGAAGTCGAAGAAGCGGTGCTCGGTGAAGTAGGTGTGGTCCGTGTCGTTGGTCAGGTAGCAGCCGCATTGGGAGTCGTCGGTTAGGGCTGGGGCCGCGTGGGCGAAGGGGGTTGCGGCCCAGAGGAGGGCGATGGCCGGTGTGAGGAGTGAGGAGAGCGAGAGCGAGGGCAGCGAGGCCGGCCGGGGCCGGGGGTGTAATTGCGAAGCCATTGTGTTGCTGCTTGCGAGAGAGTAGTGCGAGCCGAGTAGTGGTGTACTCTAAAGCACTCTCGTGAAGAAAAGAGCACTCTCAGGAAGAAGAGAACCTTTACTGTTCAGATCGGAAACTTTCCTCCAAGTTCCTGCCCAGGCAAAGGCCGTGAGCGGAAACCACGTGTGCGAGGCGAGTGAGGCTGACGAGAGGGCTAAACAATCCGCACAATGCAGCTGTTCACCTGGCGGGCAGGCGAGTAGATTACCGTGTGCATGCACACAGAGAACGAACGAGCGGGAAGCAAGGGGAGGGAAGACGGGACGGAAGACGATACCGTCCCTGGGGAGAGGGGGGATCGGATGAAATCATATACACTACGTAACCACACATAGTGCCGACGGATCGAGCAAACCTAACATGCCATGCCGGAGATTTCGATCCAGGGCAGAGGCTATACTCTACCCACAGTACACTCCTCCTTGGCCATAACCCGGGCCGTGATGTGCGGATTTTTCCAGAAAACAAGGAGCAGAGCAACGCAAACACTGCGGTAGCATTGCAGGTACGTCTTCTTCATGGGACCGATGTTCAGCCGTATAGCCCAAGCTGGATCCATTGGCCAATGCCTTGAAGAATCCAGGGAGGGCGGGTAGGTGGTCGTCTTGGCCACCCAGTTTGGGATCTAGACCTGATGGTGTGCGAAGCGGACGGCCGGGAGCTAATGCAACCACTTGGTAAGTCCGCGAGCCGGACCTGCGTGTCTGAGATGCAACTCATACTACAGTAGTGTACTATGGTACATGGGATGTGGTCGACATGGGATGTGGTCGACATGGGATGTGGTCGACATGGGACGTAGTCTACATGGGACAGTGAGTGAGTGAGTGGACCCCCACATGGAGAGAGGCAAGCCTGGTGAGTGGCCGACAAGTCGGAGATGGAGGATCAGCATTTTGCCATACAAGGTGTCTATAGAATGGCAACCGGACGTTGGTTTCGAGCGGGTCCCACGGCAACAACGGCTCGCGCGGGTCTGCCGCGGCCGACGCGGCCATATATGCCGGCTAAAAAGATGCGAGTGAGGGAATCAGGCCGGGAGAAGGCCGGACATCCTTTCCAAGGTTTCCCAGAGGCTAAAAATGGACGGCCGGGCTGCCGGGCAAGTTCGAAAACGACTTCAAGCGAGAGGAAATATTGGCTCGCTCCCGTCGATCACTCGATCATGGATCATCACGGCAGAAAAGTATCGACGAAAAAAAATCAAAAATGCAAAACCGGGGTGACACGCAGCGGGAATGCGACGCTGAGCAGCTTGCGTTATCGACCGCCGTCCGCCCGCTGGTTCGCTGCTCGCACTTCCCGGACACTTCCCGAAGCATTCGAAGACTGCAAGGCATGAAGATGAAACGGGCGCGTTGATGAAAGAAAGCGGAGATTTGGCTGCTTCGGTGTCGATGATTTCCCCTTTGGCTCTCGGATGGGACTCTTGAGCTCCTGCGATTGCGTGGACTGTGGAAGTGTGTGCCAGTGTGTCAATCTGTCAATGTCTTGGGTCTTCGGCAGACCGGGCATACGCCAGCTCGCCAGAAGTGACGACTTGCCGGGTGTTGTTCCGTCAACTCGGCGATGCACCGTGGGATGGCGTTTCTGCACTTTCCGTTCTGGAGCCGGCTTTGGAGTTTTTCGCTTCCTTCCTTTTTGGGTTCTCGTGCGGCTGGAATAAGAAGTGCACTTTGAGCTGGTACCGATTGGGTGAAAGGAGGAGAAATATCGATTATTCGTCATAAATATGACATGATGGATCCTCCTTTTTGCTGTGGACATCCTGCGGTTGTTCAGACCCAGAATCAGTCTTTGATCGGAGCGCCTCAACAGGAGGTGTAGCCAACTGCTTGTACTGCTTGTTGAGAGAGTTGCAGTGAGTGGCCATAAGTGTAGAGATCGTGAATTATACCTTAAGATCATTCGATGATCCCAGCGAGCCATTCCTGAATCACCTGGGTCGCTTAGAGATCCCCATGATCTCTCTTTGCTAGATCATTCCTCAGTTTCCAATGATCCGCCCGATCCTGACATGCGCCCTTGTATAATGATCAGCTCGGGATGCTACATGTGGTCAAATCATGACATCCTGCGATTAACAGTTACGCGAGCGAAATAGGCAGGCCGTGAATGTTGAGTTCCATTTCAGGAAAGCGGTCTAAAATGGGTGCCTGAGGATGTGAATTGTGGGGTTGTGGATTGACCTCCGCATTGAGCGGCGTCTGCCTGCCAAAAACGGCGGCATTTCCACGCGGAGGCAGATACTAGCAGTTATTTTCTTCCGTGTGGAAGTACCGCCGTACCTAGCGGTTTCCTACTCCGGAAATCGCGGCGTCTTTCCATGCCTCAGGCAGCAGACCTTCAACCCCACCCCACCCCAACCTTGGCGGATTCTGCCTCAGGCTTCCACAGGTACGTATCTTTTTCTGCCGGCAGTAAAAGTCGGCTAGTCCGTCCACCCTTACGGCGTCAGTGATCTCCTAACTCACGCACTTGGGTTTCCTTGCCCTTTCGCTTGTATATTTGGACCTGCCATACTCAGTGACATATTTCATATCAGAAAATATTTCTCCTTGCAATTATAGAAGAAACCGTTGGAGTTGTAAGACAGGGGATGTGCCACAGGGATTGGGTGATCGCTGGGAAGCGCAGCGTGCCTGACAGACGTTCGGCAGCTCCCGAATCGCTGCCAGTTGGCGCCCCACATCTCGGGCTGGCAGATGCATGTCGAATTCTTGGCAGCTGGTGAGGCTGTCAAGGCTGTTGCCGTGCCGGAGCTGCGACTCCACTATTTTCGGCGAGATGCATCTTCGCGAACTCCAATTCGAAGGCCATCAACGGCAAAGTTAGAACGCGAAACAGTACACTACAAACGTATCGCATCGAGACAAGACTTTCTTCTAAGCATTGAGCCAAAGCTTTCATTAGTTTTACCATTGGCAGCTGCGCGCCGACGAGATACAGTTCGCGACTCGGCAAATTCACCCAAACTCCGTTTTTCGTTTCCATCATTGACGATAGCTCAAGATGGCATCCTCTCCAGCAGACGAGGTCGCCAGCCTGCCTCCAGAGGCGCGCACCGAGAGCCCAACCAAGAACTCCGCGGACGAGCCAGAGAAGAAACCAGCATTGGACCCCAAGATAACCGAGGCCGAGGAAACCAAGCCAACAGAAGAGCACGCGAGTGACTCCCCACCTTCCGATGCGGCGCGTTCCAAGGGCGAATACTCCGATCCCGAATCCGACTCCGAACCCGGTGAGACACACCCACCACTCCCCAATGAACCTCTCCCATCCGATTCAGGAGCCCCCCCACTCCCCGACGAGCCCGTACCCGAGCCCGCAGACGACGGCTGGGACTTCCACTGGAACCCCAATGACCAGTCGTACTGGTTCTACAACCGCTTCACAGGTGTCTGGCAGAAGGAGAACCCGCGGGTAGCAGCAGAGCCAACCGCGCCAGGGACCACATCCGGCGCATCAACAGTACCATCAGCACCACCGCCAGCACCAGCACCGGGAACAGCACCATCAACAGAATCAGGAGGAGCGCCGCCCCCGCTACCCACCGACGCCCCCGGCGCACTCAGCAATCCAACCTCCATCGCAGGCGGCTACAACCCGGCCATCCACGGCGACTACGACGAAAATGCCTGGTACGCCCAAGCCCTACGACCCCCTCCGGACTCCACCACCCTCCCTCCAGGCACCACCACCGCCGCCCCCGACAACGAAGGCAACGAATACCTCACAACAGGCTACTTCAACCGCCACACAGGCCAATGGCAAAACCCCGACGACCCCGTCAACGGGCAGAGCGTGGAGCGGCACTCAGACGAGTCCAAGGCCCGAAGACAGATGCGGGCGTTTTTTGACGTCGATGCCGCTGCGAACTTGCACCATGACGGACGGAGTTTGAAAGCGGAGCGTGCGGGGATTAAACCGAGTCGGGCGGAGTTGAAGGCGTTTAAGGAGAGGAGGAAGAAGAAGAAGGAGGAGAAGCGGAGGGCTTGGTTGAGGGATTGATTTTTGGCTCTTGTATTCTAGGGGGGGTTATGGGATGGGGCGGGGTGTACTAAGTGTTGTAGTGTGAGATAAGAATGGGTGGACGGGACTGGAGGGAAGAAACAGACGGCGGAGTATTTTTACGGGGGTTTATTTTTATTCTTATTTCTTCGGGCGGTTATGGCGTTGAGTGGCATGGTTGAGTTTCAGAGGTGTATTTTAGAGGAGGGACGGGCAAAGCTGGGTGGTTCGAGATGAACGGGTTCTGGCTGTGTATACGAAGTTGAGCAGTAACAAAGTTACAGGAAGCAGATCTCCGTGTGATACAGTTCTTAGCATGCGATATTTTTTACACGCCCTCCGTAATTACCAACGCAGCCCGTACGCTCACTCCTCATCCTCCTCCTCCTCCTCCTCCTCCTCATCATCATCCAGCGTCATATCAATCTGCACGCTCCCCTCACTATCACTATCACTATCACTGTCACTCTCACTCTCATTCCCACCGCCATTCCCGTCACCGCCACTATTCCCACTCACAGTTGTAGCAACAGCAGCACCCTTCGTATCAACCCTCTTCGACGGCTGGACAACAACACCCTCTGTGGCTTCGTGAAAGACCTCGCTTTTGCGCTTGAGGGGGGAGGCGGGGCGGACGGGGACGGTAGCCCCAGGGTGTGTTGTGGCTGAACCTGTGGTGGTTGTTGTTCCAACTGCAGTGGCAGTGACAGCAAAGGGGTTAGTCTCTGTAGATGGGCTGGTATCAATCTCCATCGTGTCCGCCCCCCATCCCGCAGTTGTCGTTGCTTTCTCCTCCTCTTTCGTTTCTCCCGTCTCCTCGCCATCCTTTTGTGTCTCAACACCACCCCCCCTCTCACCAAGCAACACCTCCAACCCCTTCCCACCCCATCTTTCCTCTCCACCACCATCAACATCCATCCCCTCCACCCCCCCTATTCCCCCACTCGGAATCCCACCTCCCCCCTGAATCGCACCCCCCACCCGTATCAAATTACTCCTCAAAACCTCCACCCCCAACTCCCTCGGAAACCTTCCCACAAGAAACGGCAGAATACTCGGGTAATACCGCCCACGACTGTCACGGTACGGGTGCAGACAGCTAGCGAGCATGGCGTCACACGCGTGTGAGAGGATGGCGGTGCGGTCTAGTAGCGCGCGGAGGTCGGGGGGAAGGGGAGGTTGGGGGAGGTGGGTGAAGAGGATTGGGAGGAGGGTTGTGGCTTTTTTGAGGAGGAAGGGGGTGCTTTGGGGAACCGTGGTTGTGGTGGGGGAAGAGGTGAGGTAGGCGTCGGCGTTGGTGCTGGCTGAGGCGGTGTTGGGGTTGGGTTTTTGTTGTTTTTGAGTGGTGGTGGTTGTTGTGGTTGTGGAAGTGGGGATGGGCTGTGGCTGTGGCAGGTCGAGGTGGCCGGTTGGGAGGAGAATGTCACGGCAGACGGACTGGATCAGCGGGGTGAGAGAGTCGACGGTGAGTTTGGGCAGGGTTGGGCCGGAGAGGAGGAGGAGTTGGTGGATGAGAGAGTAGGCGGTCTCGCGGACGACTGGGATATGGTGGCTTGCGGCGGATACGCGCACCATCTGGTCGAGGATGTCGGTTGCGAGGGGCATGGCGTTGTTGCCGAGTCTGTGGAGAAGAGCCTGGTGTAGATGGAGGACAGAGACGTGGATATCCGAGAGTGCGCTCCAGAGCTCGGCCTTTTCGTCGCGGCTGATGGCCGGGTTTGTTTCGATTGAGTCTTCAGACCCAGACGGAGGGGTTACGAGCGTGATTCTGGCCGTTAAATCCAGCAGCTCGCCCAGTGGGACGGTTACTGGCGCCTTGGTGGGGTTGTGGAAGTACTCAGCGAGGAACTCGAGCAGCCCGATGAGTCTCTCGGCTCCGGCCTGCACACCCGCCCAGCGAGGCAAGTCCTCAGCAGCATCACCACCACCTGCAGGATCTCCCAACGTGCCGACCGACTGGCCCCGGTAGCCTGCAGTCGATTCCCAGGACTCCACGACGGCCCGGAAGATCTGGTCGACCGTGCCGTGAGCGTCGAGAATCGTCGCGCGGATCGCCTTGGCCCATTCCTCGCTGCTGCCGTTCTTCGGAGCCGTGTACGCGATGAGAACGAAGAGACGCCGCGTGCTGTCTCGGAGGCTTTGCGGGATGAGCTGGTCGTCGGAGGAGGTTGGCGCGACGTAGGACCGGAGAGCGGCTTTCATCTGGGAGACCAGCGGCCGGAGCGTGGTCGGGTACAGGACCACGAGCTTTGAGAGTGAGGAGGCGACGGTCTCAATAAAGGCATGGGACACCTTGAGCGGCTTCCCGGAGGGCTTGATCAGCTGCAGGCAAGCCTTGACGTAGTCGGGGAGCGTGGGCGTCGCCATTTCCCGGGTCAGAGTCGGATAGCCCTGGAGGAGCATGTAGATTTTGGTCAAGGCCACAACAGCCAGCTCTTTCGACGCGACCGGGTCGGGTTTCTGCACGGTTAGCTTCGCTTTCCAAACCTTGAGCATATATCTTGAGGATAACAAGACAAAATCTCACCTGCAACAAGGCAATCAACCCCCGAATCCACGGCCCCGACACCCGCAAACTCTCCCACCCGCCCACATCGACCACCGCCTTGATCAGACACACCGCAGCAAACCGGCCGGCCGGGCTCTTGCCGGTTAGGAGGGATGTGATGTGGGTGCGTAGCTTGTGCACGAGGACGGGCGCCTCAGACGACTTGTCCTTGCCCTTGGCGTCTTGGGGGGCCGACAGAGGGCCGCCGCAGCGAAGGACATGGCCGACGAGAACGGGGCAGAGTCGGGGGAGGTTGTCGATGGGTGTGGATGTTAGCCGGCGGCAGAGGACTCGTAGGTCGGGGGTGGCCATGGTGGAAATAAATTAAAGAGAAAAAGAGAAAAAGGGAAAAAAGAAAAGAGAAGGTTCAAGGACCTAAACAGTTAAATAAAAAGGGTATCGATTTTAACAATTTAACAATCAAGTACCAGGTGTCAAACTGGTGAGATCCAGCATCAATTGATACCCAAATATGAGTAAATCCCTTCCAGCTTGCTTGAAATAGCTGGTTGTTTAATTCACATGTGAAGTTCTCAAGAAATTTTCTGTGTTGAGCATTGCTGCATCCAGCTCAAAATCAACACCCCTGCCAACACTGCGAAAAACCAGCCAATCCCAGCGTGGCTGTTGGACATGCAGGCATGCCAAGCGGGGCAGCCGTTGCAGGGGCTGACCCACCAACTCAGGCCTTGGCAATTGTTCAGTGCCTGGCCAGTTCAGTGCCGACATCAGAAGAACCCACCCCCGTCAATTAACTTTCATCCCCTGGAATTGACATCTCCAGATCGACACGACACACCGCTTTCGATTTCGATTTCGATTTCGATTTCGTTGCGAGCACGGAGCCAGGCGTTTTCTCTTTCCGTTCCTGCTTGATTGCCACCTTCTCTATCCCTTCTCGATTGCCCCTTCTCGATTGCCCCTTCATATGTCTTGTAGGTTCAAGCCATCGTAGTGCGAGTTGGCTTTCCAACGAGGCAACATGGTATGTCTTTCTTTTCTGGTTTCTTTCTATCCGGTCTCTTCTATCCTAAGGGCTTGTTCAATTATTTTGTGGTCGTCGGCTAACTCCCCCAGCCCGACGCAGTCAAAGCCGCAAACTACATCCAACAGCTCGACGATGCCCGCTGCGACGAGAACTGGGATGCCGTGCCCGAGCTGATCCGCAAAGTGCGCAAGCACGCCCCAGACCGAGTCTGTACGTTCTCCCACTCTCCTTGATCCTCGAGGCCCCTTGATTCTCGAGACAAACAATGTTGACCCTTTAACTGTAAGGCCTCACCCTCACCGCCGAAATCGAACACTCCCTAGCCAAGTCCAACTTCAAACACACCCCCGCAACCGACAGCACCACCCGACCCCCAACCGCCTCCAACGCCCCCGCCGGCCACGAAGCCTCCAACCGCCTGCCCGACCTCCTCACAGCCATCGACGCCGAAGCCGACCACCCCGAAGACCGCTTCCAAGCCCGCGTCTGCGCCGGCTGGCTGCTCTGGGTCCTGCACGAGTACCCGGCCGCGCTAGCCCGCTTACCACGCACCCTTCTCGATCAGCAGGAGCCTGCCGCTTCCTCCTCCGACGGCCATGAGGGAACAGGAACAAACCAAGACCGCGGCAGCAGCAGCGTAGCAGCCTACCGCCCATCATCCTGGACAAAAGTATGCGGTCTCAAAGCCGCCTACCTCCGAGCCAACTGTCTCGCGCGGGACGGCCAACGCGAGGGTGCGCTGCAGGCGTTTGAGACGGCGCTGCCGACGCTGAGCGATGTGTGGGCGGCGGGTGCGGCGTCGCCACCTACGCGTCCACAGACGCGGTTCTGGGCCGAGTTGTTTCTGACCGAGTTTTGTATGCTGAATGCGCAGGCGCTGAGGGAGGGGAGTCGTGCGTTGGGGGACCAGGGGTGTTTGGCGGGGTTTAGGACTTGGGCGAAGTTTTGGTTGCCGTCGCAGCAGCAGGCCGGGGTGGTGACGGACTGGACGGCGATTGGGGGGTATGGGTTCCGGGGCTCGGTGCCTCGGCGGCAGGTGTGGAGGGAGTATTATTTTGCGCTGTCGGAGATTCTGCGGGGGGATCTGCCGTACCCGGCTGGGTACGTAGCGGTCGGTCAGAACAGCAAGGAGAAACAGACACCGTCGACCCGAAACAAGCTGGCACAGGAGGTGGTGGATATTCAAGCGGCGTATGGCCGGCTGCTGCTGGACGAGACCAAGTTCCCGCGGGCGGACGAGGAGCGGGCGGACGTGGAGGAGTTTGTGCGGCGGCTGATGCAGAATTTTGAGATTCTAAACGGGTCGGGAGGCCGGAAGGATGTGCTTCTGGGCCGGTTTGTAAAAGACACGCTGTATGAAGCGGCGGCTAAGACGTACCACTCGACGGCTATCCTGCGGTACATGTTCACGGCCCATCTGGCGGCCGCCCAGTTCAACATGGCGTTTCGCGCGGCGGACTCGTGGTTGGAGTTAGTCAAGAAAGGCAGGGCCAGGGTGCAGAAGACGGGCCATCGGGAGCCGGCGTTGGATGATGATGCCACGACGCTGACGACCCTCTCGGCGTGTATCACGGCGCTATGTCGGTTTGGCGGAAGGGACGAGGCCGAGAAGGCGTATAAGTTGGCGGAGGAACTGGAGGAACTGGTGCTGGAGGAGGAAGACAAACAGAAGACGAAGAGCGGCGATTATGACGATTCTCGGGAGGTACCCGGGGATGTGCTCGCGCTCGCATGGCAGTCAGTCGGCCAAGCCAAAGCCCACTGGGCACGCGCGACCTACGACGCCGAATCGCGCCCGGGACTCCAAGAAAAAGCCACTCGGTGCCTAGCCCGGTCCCTCTCACCCCGCTACCGCCGCCCCGTCGACCCCAAGGGCGTGTTCGCTCTGGCAGTGCTGTACGCCGAGCAGCGCAAGCTGTCCGCGGCCATCGACCTGGTCAAGTCCACGCTGCTGGGCGACAAGCCGCTCACCACAAGCCAGCAGCTGCGTCTGGGCCCGTACTACCGCGAACGCGCGCTCATCCCCCTATGGCATCTCCTCGCGTTGCTACTGAGTGCTAGACAGGAGTATGTCCTGGCTGCGCGGGCGTGTGAGGGCGCTATCGAGCAGTTTAAGGATCCGTATGTGCTGTTTGGCAGTCGCCATCTTGCCGGGCCTGGGGGGTATCGGAGTGAGCACCTCAAGGAAGCTGCTGCCAAGGGTTCTGACGACGGCGGGAAAGCGGGTGGTGATGGGCTGGTGGATGAGATGGACGAGTTTGAGAAGGAGGGGATCCTGCAGATCAAGATCACGCAGTTAGCCATCCTCGAAGTGGTTGAGGGCCCTGCCGTGGCGGTCAACGCGAGCACTGAGCTGATCACGCTGTTTACGCGGCTGTTTGGGAACCTGGACCAGGAGGTTGAGTTGGCTAGGGTTGAACCGCCCAAGACGGCGGCTACTACGGCAGGGCATAGTCTCAGGGGGAGTATCTTTGGGAGTAAGCACCAGCATCACCCGCGGCAGAGCGTTACCACCACCGGAGAAGCCGCTGCTACGACATCATCCCCCCCACGACCGCAGACAACGCAAACAACGCAAACCACGCAAACCGGCCAATCTTCCCCGACGGACGTCAACTCCAACGAACCCGTCAAGCGCACCCGCAACAGCCTGCGCAAGCGCACCCGCAGCGTCAGTCGTCCGCGGGCTGCTAGTGGCGCGGGGTCTGTCGGTGTGGCTGGCCCGCCGGTCCCGCCGTTGGATAGTGCAAAGTACTCGGCTGCGTTTGATGCCGGGGCGTTGCCGAGTTATGGGTCGGGTACGCCGACGGGACGGTCCTCGGCGCAGTCGCAGACTCAGGGTCAGACTCAGGCACAGCAGTCACGGCCTGCTGCGAACGGCACTACCACCGGAACACCCGACAACGGCAACTCAGCAGCGGCCACACCCCCCCGACAAACACCCGGCCTTGCGTCCCCTCTATTGCCTTTTGTGACCTTCCCCGAGCGCAGACAACAACTGCGGCGGAATGCGATCTTGGTGCGGGTGTGGTTGGTTATTGCGGGGTTTTATCGGCGTGCTGGGCTGTTGGATGATGCGGAGAAGGCGATGGGGGAGGCGGAACGGGCTGCGGGGGGGGTTGATGGTGAGGGTACTTTAGAGGGTGTGTCTGTTGATGGGGGGGTTGGAGGGGTTGGGGGGGCTGCTGGAAGGGGGGTTGTGACTGGGGATGATGTGGATGGTGAGGGGGGGTTGGGACTTGGGTTTGGGATGGGTGTTGATGAGGCGAGGGCTGATGTACAAGTTGAGGTTGGTTTTTCTTTTATTTTCTGTCTTGTGTCTTTTGCTTCCTGTTTCTGTTTTCTGTCTTTATTTTGTCTTCTGTTTTCTGCCTCTCTTTTGTCTTCTGTTTTCTGCCTCTGTCTCTGCCTTCTATCTTCCTTCTGTCTTCCCCTATCCTCTATCCCATCCTCTGCATATTCAGTACTAACCCCCCGCAGAAAGGACGAACCCTCCTGGCCCGCGGCAAAAAGTTCGCCGCACGCCGCGAATTCGAAATCGCCCTCACCCTCTGCCCCGACCACCCGGCCGCCGTCGTCGAACTCTCCAATCAGCTCCTCGACATCTACACCGAGCACATGATCCCCATCCCCGTCGCCCCAGAGCTGTACCTCCAAAACCTCGCTCTCGACGAGGCCGGCAACATGGTGCCCGTCGCTGCCGACCCGGACGAGACCGACGCGGGACTACGCACGGGGCCCATCCCCAGACACAAGAAGAGTGCCATCCCCCCGCTGCCGTCGACGCCGTTGGGTTTGTTCAAGAAAGAGGGCGTTACCTCTGTATCCGTCCCAGCCCACCACGGCAGTCACCCCACCAACCACGAAAACACCAACGGCCACGCCCCATCCCTATCCACCGCGCCATCTCTCGTCCCCTCCCTCCAACCCCTCCCGGAACCCATCAACCTGAGATCTAACTTCCTCGGCCCCCCCCTAACCCCCCCAGCCAAAACAACCACCCTCCCCCTTCTCGACCGTCTCGCGGCGCGGGACCGTGCCTACGGGCTACTGTCGGCGCTGACGAGGCTGGGTAGCGGGTGGGATGATGCCGAGGCGTGGTTGGCGCTGGGCCGGGCGTATGAGGAGAGCGGGCAGGTGGATAAGGCGAGGGGGGCGTTGTGGTGGTGTGTGGAGTTGGAGGATGGTCGGGGGGTTAGGGCGTGGGGGGTTGCGGGGGGGTATGTTTTGTAGTCTGGGGACTGGGTTTAGGTGGGTGGTGTAGAGGGAAGTGGAAAATGGGAGTGAAGGCGAGAATAGGATGTTGAAAAGGAGACTAGGGGGTGGGGGATAAAGAAGTTTGAATGGGTGGTGGAGAAAGATATGGGGAATTGTAAAGGGGCTGGATATAGATTAATAGATTAGAGTGATTGAGGGCTTGTTAAAATGTTATTCAGATGTCACTGGCTAATGAGTGTAAACCGCTGTAATTAGACGTATTTTGATGCTTGGATTACGGTATTGCAATCGTTTTCAATTCGAAGATCGCTGCATTGGGCGTAATTTTCATTCTCTCCCACAGTGAATTACGGACTGCTGGGATCTGCAGCTTTCTCGCGAGTTCTGTGACGTTTAACCACACCATGGCGAAGACGACGCTCTGGAATTGAACTTATAGCTAATCGCCGACCAAGACTTGAGAGCGGCCCAGTCTTGGTTTCAAGCTTCGTGAGGTGGAAAAGGAAAATGGAAGAAATGAGAGAGACCATAGCTTAAACATAGATAGGTACGTACCTCGTTTTTACCCCCACCATCAAATTAACACCAACAACCCCACTAGGTACCTGAAAGGTAGTCGGCCCAGCACTCGAACACTTCAACCTCACCAACTCAACTACAAAACGAGCAGTCGACCACAATACCTTGACCACAACACCAATAAACCAGGGGCCCACTGAAGCGCAGGATCACTCAACCATAGGACCACTCAACCCACCAGTTGATCACACCAACCACGCCAACCCAGTTTTCATCTGTTTGCAAGACGACAAACATTTGGCCCGTTTCGCTCACATACGATACAATCTCACACACAATCCCACATCGAACCTCACATCCGACCTCACATCCGACCTCACAACGATACTCCCCCAGGATAGTCTCAACGTCAACGATATCCCCCCCTTCACACGACCTCACAACCTCACAACTCTCCCCAAGATCCTTACCTACCCACGTACATACACACATACATCCCACTCGAAACGAGACCAGAAACAGAAACAGAAACACAAACAAAAATGACCAAACCCCTCCCAGAACTGACACTCATCGTGGCCGCGACCCAGCAAATGGGCATCGGCCGCGGTGGGACTCTGCCATGGACGGGTTTGCGCAAGGAGATGGCGTATTTTGCTAGGGTTACTAAACGCCTTCCTACTTCTGGGGGTACCCTTCCTACTTCTACTTCTACTACTGCTGGTACTGTTAGTAGTACTGTTACTGCTGGTCAGGCTGGGTCTGGGGCTGCCTCTGGGGCTGTCGCTGGGGCTACCGCTGGGGCTGTTGCTGGGGCTGTTGCTGGGAACGGGAGTGAAAGCGTATCTGGATCAGCGACTGGAACAGGGACGACTGTGACCGGAAGTGCATCAACCACCCACCCCGAGCCCCCCCAAAACGCCGTCGTCATGGGCCGCAAAACATGGGACAGCATCCCCCCCCGCTTCCAACCACTCGCGGGACGTCTAAACGTGATAGTCTCCCGAACCCTGCCGCGAGAGGGCCGAGAAGACGGCACTGGACGGGTCGTGGTGCATAGTCTGGAGGAGGCTATTCGCGTTCTTACTTCTTCTTCTGCTTCTACCTCTACTTCTACCTCTACCACCGCCTCTTCAGCCTCCTCGACGAAAGACACCCGCATCTTCGTGATAGGCGGCGCACAAATCTACCGCGCCTCTCTCGCCCTGCGCGAGGCACGCCGGGTGCTGCTGACACGGGTCCTCACCGCATTTGAGTGTGACACATTCTTTCCAATCCGGCTGGACGAAGGGCCGGAGGGGGATAAGGAGTGGAAGCGGGTTGGGCAGGAGGAGATGGATCGGTGGGTGGGGGAGGCTGTGCCGAGGGGGGTGCAGGTTGAGGGGGGGACGGAGTATCGGTTTGAGATGTGGGAGAGGGTGGGTGCAGATGAATAATATAGAAAGGGATAAAATGTAGATGAGGAGGGCATAGTGGAGGTTGATAAAAGGGGTAAAGTGGTGATACATATGAATACAGTATTTCGCCGTCTAATCCTCATCTTCACCTGTTTTAAAATGGTGATACATGGTATATACAATACGACATCCCGGCCTCTCCAGTAACCCTCATCACCACCAACCTCACTTAGCCAGTCCCCCCTGCTTGAAAACACCCCCCAAAGCCGACACCGGCCGATCCACACCCCCCAACACCCTCCTCAAATCCCCAAACATCGCCGCCCCCCCTTCCCCCGCCAACACCTCTTCATCTTTCATCCCTCCTAAAGTCTTTACCCCCTCCCTCATCCACCCCACAACCCCCGCCAAAACCCTCACATCCACATCCTCCCGCGCCTTAAACAGATTCCGCCACACCGCCGCAGCCAACACCGCGTCCCCTTTCACCAGGCCCTCATCATACGCCAGCAACACCCCGCGCCACTGCACGAAGAGATCCTTGAGATATGTCTGCCGGATCATGCGCGAGGTCAGGCCGTGGACGTCTTCCATTTTGAGTTCGGCTGCGTAGAAGAAGTGGTTGACCAGGGGTGTTTGCCAGGCTTGGTGCGTGGGGCTGTCGAGAGCGCGGAGACGGACGACGAGGAGGTAGAGGTGGAGCATGGTTACGTGTGCCCAGGTTGAGAAAGTTGGGAGGAGGGCGAGGTCTAATCACTCCCATCAGCATTGTACCATTTTTAGCAGGAGAGGGGAAACAAAAAAAAAATACCATCATGCCAAACCCCCCCCGGCACCACCCCCGTCCCAATCTCCTCCCCCTCCTCAGTAGTCTGTAACGTCCCGGCTTTCCGTGCGCCCTCATCGATGGTGTAGTCGGCGGGTGCCGCGCAGATTTTGTAAAGCGTCTCGGTGCGGCCGTAGACGAGGTAGCTGTTGGTGTTGGAGCTGCTGATGCCGCCGAGGGCGGAGCGGAGACGGTCTTGGAGGAGGGAGCCGAGGGATGCGTTGAGTGGGGGGGTTGTGTGGAGGGGGCGGGTATTTCGGGGGATTGTTGGTGATGGTGGTGTGTTTGGTATTGTGGTTGGTCGCGGGGTTGTGCTTGGTGTTGTCGGGATGGTTGTCGAGAACGCTCGCCGTGGGGGGATCAGGGAGTCGACACCATGCTGCGATATCCTCTTTGGGAGCCGGCCGAAGCCGGCGCTGCAATTGCGACAGGCCATGGTGTGTATTGTGTGGTGGTGATGCAAGAGGTTGTTGTTTCGGCGGGTCGAAAATGTTAAATTTAGGTGGGGTGTTGAGGGTTAGGGTTAATTTGCACGGTATCAAGATGTGAGCTGATACCGTAGACCTATAGGCTATAGCGGCAATACGGTGAGAAAGTGGTCTGGAATGGCGGTACTTTGTGCAAAATCACACACTAGAGATGGATTTGACCTGGAGGACCTGACTATCTTGAGCATCTCTCGAGTATGTCGAGTATCTCGCCCTTCATTGACTTTGTCACATACAATATAATATACATACAGGCTGTGTTGTTCGTACAGTAGTATACAGTATTATACATCACGCCTCGGAAAACACCAACGAGGCATTCGTCCCGCCAAACCCAAAGCTATTCGACACCGCCACCCGGACCTTCTTCTGCTGGGCCTCCCGCGGCACAAAGTTGAACCCGACACCGACATCCGGGTTGTGCAGATTCAGCGTCGGGGGGATGGCGCCCTGGAAAGCATTAGCATACCGTACCAACATGATATAGGTTGATTCACGTGCGGTGACATACCTCAGCAATAGCCAAAATAGCAAAAACAGCCTCCACCGCCCCCGCAGCCCCCAACAAATGCCCAACCGCCCCCTTCGTACTACTAACCGTAACCAGCCCCTCCCCACCATCCACTCCCTCCTCCCCCATCATCAACGTCCTCACCGCCGCCACCTCCGCCTTATCCCCCACCCGCGTCCCCGTCGCATGCGCATTCACATAATCCACCTCCCGTGGCTTCACTCCCGCATTCCTCAACGCCCTCCTCATCGCCGCCAGCGCGCCCGCCCCGTCTTCCCTCGGCGCCGTCATATGATACGCGTCTCCACTACACCCGTACCCGCGCAGTTCGGCGTACACGCGGGCCCCGCGGCGGAGAGCGTGTTCCCGCTCTTCGAGGACTACCACGGCGGCGCCCTCGGCTACGACGAACCCATCGCGGTGGGCGTCGAAGGGTCGGCAGCTGGCGCGGGGGTCGTGGTTGAAGGTGGTGGATAACGAGCGGGAGCGGCCGAAGCCGGCGAGGGTGAGCGGGTGGATGCAGGACTCGGCGCCGCCGGCGAGCATGACGTTGGCGTCGCCGAAGGCGATGAAGCGGGAGGCGTCGCCGAGGGAGTGGGCGCCGGTTGTGCAGGCGGTGGTGGCGGCGTGGTTGGGGCCGCGGAGGCCGTAGCGCATGGCGATGTGCCCGGCCGCGAGGTTGATTAGGATCTTGGGGACGAAGAGGGGGGAGACTTTTTTGTAGCCCTGTTGTCACCAGTCGCCCGGGGAGAGCATCCCAGGCAGGTTGAGTAAGCATCTATTGCATCGTAGTGATATATTAAGGATGTTAAAGGAAGGCTAGCCTACCCCCTTCTTAAACGCAACACTGGTGTCATAGAAGTCCTCGAGATTCCCAATTCCACTCCCCAAACACACCCCCGTCATCTCCCTTTCCTCCTCCCCCGTCGGCCGCCACCCGGCATCCACCAGCGCCATCTCCGACGCTGCGACCGCATACTGCGCAAACGTAGACATCCGGCGCTGGTCCGAAGCTCCTAACCATTCCGACGGCCGCCAGAGGCCGTCTCGCCCTTCGGGTCCAGCCGAAGCAGCTTCGGGAGGGGTATCAGACGAGGCATCAGAAGATACCGGGACAGGCACAACACCGGCTACGGTGCTAGTCAGCTCGCGCCATTTGGCCTGCTCGACGGCGTCTCGGCCGCGGTGGGCTACGCTGACGAGTCCGGACTCGGAGGCCAGGAGACGCTGCCAGGTGCGGCGGATGCCCACGCCTAGTGGGGTGATGGCGCCTAGGCCGGTCACGACGACGCGGCGCATGCTAGGCCATGGGTTTATGCTGTGTTAGGTTCGGTGATGAAGGAAAATTTGGAAGGAATTAAAAGATGAGAATTCTGTTGAGAAGTGGACCTTGGATGTGAAGCCGAAGCAGGTGCGATGAAAGCTCGAATTCAACGCCCAGAGCGGAAAGAGGGACGTTCTCAAGCTCAATGGCACTAGCCCGTATTCAGCCTAGCGCATCGCTTGGCGGCCCGGAGCTCACCCCTGTCGGCCTGCTGCCACCCGAAACCGCGCTAACTCCAGGTGTTCCAGACCGGAGCTGCAGGGAGAATTAAGCCTAACAACGGGTATTCTGGGGAGAGAGAAAGTGTGAGAGAACAACAAACTCTGGGGCCACTTGGCCCGAAAGTGTCCTGAATAAGACGCCCTGGGACGCATTGAGCAAACATCCATTCAGCGGGATGCGACTGACGGCTGGTTGTTGAAGGGTGAAATAAGGGAGAGTTGGACTCAATTGGGCTGGCTCTGATTGACGTCCTGGGTTTGGGTTATTCACCTCACGCAGAAGGTTGATCGACGACTTCATCGATCTCGGCCAATTCCTGTCTTGTCCGCCTCATCATTTCGTGAGATTCACGCCCGAGTTCCTATTTTCTTATAAAACAAGACTCGGCTCCGCTACAGTTCTATAACGACGATATACTACCGAGGACTCAGACACAAACCTCGTCGAGATCCCCTCCAAAGACACCACTAGCTCACTCACCACCAACTCACCATCTACTTATGTCAACACCCAAACCAGCCCCCCATCCCCCTCCCACCACAACCCACCATGGCCCGACCATCACGCACCACCCCGCGCTCCACAGCCACCGACGTCCCTCAACAGCCTCCCTCTCAAAATGACCCCCCAAACACATCCCAACCCGGCCCATCGCACCGTCCAAACCCCCTCAGCAATCTCACCTCTCGCCTGGCCCGCTTCGCGTCGGGCAACGCGGCCCACAACGACACCGAAGACCATGACGGAAACCTCTCTGACTCCGGCTCCGAGCGGGAGCTCCTCCTGGACCCTAACCTACCTGTTGATCATGCCCAGCGCCACCAGGCTTTGCCGCGGGAGTCTATCGCTTTGTCGAGGTTGACCCGCCAGCGGCAGCATCGCGAGGGGTATCAGAAGACCTCTTCTCTAGATCTAGATGAAGACCAGGAACCTCTTGCCGGAACAGGGCCGGCCACAGAAACAGGCACGAGAAAACCCTCCTCCGACACCGACTCCGAAGACGGCCTAGCCCTCGAAGACCTAGAACTAGATCTCGAGGAAGAAGAAGAAGAAGAAGAAGAAGAAGACTCACCCTACCCCGAAGTGCGCGCCGCCGTGCGTCCGACCGACGACCCGAGCCTGCCGTGCAACACGGTGCGGGCGTGGACGATCGGGCTGGCGCTGATTTTTCTTGGGGCGAGCATGAATACGTTGTTTTCGCTAAGGTCGCCGAATATTAGTTTGGGGGCGTTGATTGCGCAGGTTATTGCTTGGTGAGTACTGCTGTATCTTGGTTTGCGCCTGTGGGAGAGTAAGGGTGAGAGTGGGAGAGGCTGGCAAAAGGGGCTAACGTAAACAGGCCCCTGGGCCGAGGCTGGGCGCGCTTCGTCCCCGATATCGAAGTGACCGTTCCACTACTCTGGTTTGGTCGGGGGGCGCGGAATGGAGTCGTCGGCATCAAGGGAGTCAGACTCAAGCTGAACCCAGGCCCGTTCAATGTCAAGGAGCACGCCATCATCGTAGTCATGGCCGGCGTGTCGTTCTCGGTGGCGTATGCGACAGACATCATCCTGGCGCAAAAGGTGTTTTACAAGCAGGACTTTGGCCTGCTGTGGCAGCTGCTGCTGGTCGTGTCGACGCAGAGTTTGGGGTATGGTATTGCGGGGATGATGAGAAGGTTTCTCGGTGAGTTTTCTTGTCTTGTCTCTCAATCTCCTTTTTCCCTCGTCTCGTCTCTCAGGTTATGGCTAACACCCCTAGTGTACCCCGCGTCAATGATCTGGCCCGGCAACCTAGTCTCCGTAACGCTGATGAACGCCATGTACGAAAGCAGCGAGGACCGCGACCCGACGGTGCTGGGCGGCTCGATGGCCCGCTACAGCTGGTTCGGCCTGGTGACCGTGGGGTCCTTTGCCTACTACTTCATTCCGGGCTGGTTCGCCCAGTTCCTGAGCTCGTTCGCTTTCATGACGTGGCTGGCCCCCGACAGCCCCGTCGTCAACCAGCTCTTTGGCTACTCCACGGGGCTGTCGCTGCTTCCGATTACCTTTGACTGGACCCAGATTTCGGGGTTTGTTGGGTCGCCGCTGATTCCGCCGTGGTAAGTCTTTTTTTTCTTGTTTCTTAGTATTGCTGGACTTATCACCTGAAACATACACTCCCGGAACATAAACTCCGGAACATAACCCCCGGATGATGACCGCTAATGAGAGACCCGAAACAGGCACGCCATCGCCAACACCATGGTCGGCGTGGTCCTCTTCTTCGTGCTGCTGGCGTCGGTCCTGCACTACAGCGGCGCCTGGTACTCGCAATTCCTGCCCATGAGCGACTCCAACACGTACGACAACCGCGGGCAGCGGTACGACGTGTCGCGCATCCTCACCGCCGACTACACGCTGGATGTCGAGGCCTATGAGGCATACTCACCGCTGTTTCTGAGGTATTTTCTTACCTGTTCCGTTCTCTGGTAATAGGGAAGGAGACTGACAAAGTAGCACGACGTTTGCCATCTCGTACGGCCTGTCGTTTGCCGCCATCGCCTCGCTGGTCGTGTACACGTACCTGCACCACGGCCGGACCATCTGGCGGCAGTGGCAGAGCAGCACCACCGAGAAGGCCGACATCCACATGAAGCTGATGCGCCGGTACAAGGAGGCCCCCACCTGGTGGTACATGTCGCTGTTTGGCGTTGTATGTCCTTTATCCACTCTCTTGTTTCCTGCTGTCTCACTTACCACTGTCTCACTTGATACTAGTTCTCACTTGATACTGACTGACCCGTAGATGCTCGCCATCGGCTTCGTGACCGTCCTGGCCTGGCCCACCAACATGACTTGGTGGGCCTTTTTGCTGGCCGTGCTCATCTCCTTCCTCTTCTCACTGCCCATCGGCATCATCCAGGCCGTCACCAACAACCAGATCGGCCTCAACGTGCTCACCGAGTTTGTCTATGGCTACATCCAGCCGGGGCGACCTCTGGGTCTCATGATGTATGTACATGTACCTCTGTCGTGTTCCCTTACCACGTTATGTTCCGCTAATAAGCTAGCTTCAAAACCTTCGGCTACATCACCATGTCGCAGGCCCTGACCTTTGTAGCCGACCTCAAGTTCGGCCACTACATGAAGATCCCCCCGCGTACCATGTTCATGGCCCAGGTCGTGGCCACCACCTTTTCTTGTTTTGTACAGGTCGTCGTGCTCAACTACGCCCTCAAGACCATCCCCGATGTCTGCGAGCCCACCCAGCCGGACCACTTTACCTGTCCCGGCGGGCGGGTCTTTTTCTCCGGTACGCTTATCTTTTCTTTTCCTTTTCTTTTGTATATTTTTTATCTTGTTTTATTCTGGCCTATTTGTACACCCACCCCTCTAACAATCACAGCCTCCGTAATCTGGGGCCTAATCGGCCCCGCCCGCATCTTCTCCCCCGGCCAAATCTACTCCTCCCTCTTCCTCTTCTTCCTCCTGGGCGCCCTCACCCCGCTCATCATCTACCTCCTCGCCCGCCGGCGCCCCAAATCCTTCCTCCGCTACCTCATGGCCCCCGTCATCTTCGGCGGCGCCGGCGCCATCCCCCCCGCTACTCCGCTCAACTACCTCTCCTGGGGCCTCGTGGGGTGGGTGTTCCAGTACTGGATCAAGAAACGCCATTTTTCGTGGTGGAGTAGGTTGAACTTTTTGACGAGTTCGGGGCTGGATTTGGGACTGGCGTTGAGTACGTTGGTGATCTTTTTTGTGTTTACGTTGAATGAGGTGGAGCCGCCGGTTTGGTGGGGGAATGAGGTCGTGAAGGGGACGTTGGATTATCGTGGGGGGGCGGTGCAGAGCGTGTTGGCGGTCGGGCAGACTTTTGGGCCTGCGTCGTGGGGGTAGATACTGTACCTATGTACATACAGTAATTACATCTGCTCACCGCGTTCATGATAGTGCTATACCTACTATAGTATTATCTCGTCTATCACCCTCCTTCATCCATCCACCCATTCATTTACCACAGAATAGACATGTCTCTCCCGGAAACGGGCCTGCCGAGACAAGGCGTTGGCGTTGACGTTGGACTTTTCTTTTCCTCCGACGCGGTGCGACCACACACATCTCACGTCGGCAAGTTCGGAATGCACCTGGCCAGAAACAGAAGGGGTTCGTCCGTCTGCATCGGAAGCCGCGTCGTGGTGGGGATGATCGAGCCAGAACAGACGATCTTGGAATAAACCATGTAGACTAGGAGGATGACTAGGGCTTGATGATAGCTAGGAATCTCGAGCTATTGTTTCTACGCTACCTACAGCCCAAGTCCCATCTAGTAAGACGGGTTCACCAACAAACTTTGAATCGGTTGAGTGGCTGACTCAACCGACCGTGGCTAACAACGCGTGACTTTTTCTCCATGCTGTCTTTCGTTTCGGATGTTTCTTCCGGTTGTCTATTCCGCTGTCTCGCCCGTTGTCTCGTTAGTTGTTTCTTCCCGCTGTCTCTTCCGGTTATCACTCCCGATTGCCTCTCCTCTACATATTCGTTTCAGGTTTCGTCGTGTCTTTTCTTATCCTGTGTGACCAACCCCAACCCAACTCTCACCCACCGACATTCTATCCGCCCACTTCAGGCTGGTACTTTGAGACAAGACAAGACAAGTTATCCATGCGTTCGCGGCCGGGTTTGCGTGCGTTCGGAATGCGTGCGTGCGAAACGTGGGCTTGAACGCACGGCTGTGTTACCTAGGTAGATATGGGGGGACCCCGCTTGCATGACTGACCCGACCTGTAGTGGCACGAGTAGGTAGTAGCACGAGGAGGTAGTAACAGGATGGTGTGACCTGAGCAAGTCGACCCCGGTTCCGAGACATAGTTTGGGTTACTACCACTACAAAGTTTAGGTTCTTGTTCTGGTTGGTGGGTGGGTGTTGTAGGTGTTGGAGGGTGGTTACGCAGTGTGTAGTTGTGGTGGTTACACACGACGCCTGGTTAGATTGTACTTAGACTTAGACGACTTATGCTCGGACGTACGCTTCACTAGATACTAGACTCAACGCCACACAGCGCCTTCTTCCTCGCTTCCCACCCACACTCGGAGAACAGTCCTTGGGGACAGAGAAGGCGGGTGATCCCGCTGGTAACAAATGAAGGACTCCCTTCACCGTACTGCCGTTGATCAGCCAAATCAAGCCAACGTAGCGAGGACAGTACGACTGCCTATCCCCCTTCCTCGTGACCGTGGCAAGCGTACCCCTCGCATTCCTTTGATGACATCGACACCCATACATCCATTTTGTTTGCTTGGCTAATAGTCTGTGTAACGACCACCGACGTAGGAAAAGTCCGGGGGGCAGTAAAGCAAGCAAGCAATCGATGAAGCAATCAAGCGACCATTACATTTCCCAATAGAGCCGTAGCAAATACCGTACATGTATGCGTCATAACGTTAGCTACAAGTCAGTCACATTCCACGCGCCGGTCCGTCTCCCCGTCTCCGTTTGAAGTAAAAAGGGAGATATACGAGGGGCAGAAATGCATCCTGCCCTTCCCTTCTCTCCTCGGTCTCGGTACCGTCTCGCCGGATCCGAGCGGACACGCGCATGAACCACTCAGACCTGCCAATATCAAGCCAACTTGCCCACCACACCAGCACATACGGCCATACCTACAAGAAAATACGGGATCCCGTCCGCTCTCCCCTAGTCAAACTTGTAAGGGCTGGACTAGTAGTTGGGTCGGTGACGACCAGCGAATCCCCAGTGCTGTATGTTTTTCTCTCTCTTTTTCCCCCCGTTTTTCCTTCGTTTTTTTTCCCGCTCGATGTCAGCTTTTGCTCAAGCTTCGGCACCGATCCAAAAATGCAGGGAGAAACAGCGTGTGGTGTAAACCCAGCCAACCACCCCCAATCAACCCCAACCAATACACCCACCCCCCTTGGTTACCCCATCTCATTCAAAGTGGAAAAAAAAAACCATCAAGTCCCGTGACCACTCTCGCAAAAACAGCATAATCTCTTACCTACCCAATACCCCCTTACGCGACACTAGAAATAACATTAATAAAAAGGAATGTTCCCCAAAAAATGCACCGAGCGACCCCGTTGCTAATCCCCGAGGAAGATGAACGCGAACAGGTCTCGTGATGCGTCAGAGATGCGGTCAAACAGGGGGGTGGGGTGGGGGTTAGTTATTCACGATGGACTTGGCTTTTGTTTTGCTTCGGGCTCTTGTTGGGGTGGGTGAGGGGTGGGTATAGAAGGGTAATGAATCCCGATTGATTTTGTTTTAGACGACACACGCCCCTGGAATAAGCAAAAGGCCGATCGCGGTGGGTTACGTATGGGACCTTGAATTGGTTAAGGGTGGGTTTGAAAAGGCAGGTTTTCAGATGGACATGGTTGTGTTGAGTTGAGAGGGTGGATGGGTAGGTGGGTGTTGATGGATTTGATATGGAATGATATGCCCGGTATGCCCGGGTTGGGGGGAAAAATGCACGGGAAAAAGAAAGATAAATATTGGGAAAATAAAAACCGGAAAATTCCACAGGACAAACATGACCGAACGCTTGCTGGATTTGATAACGTTCAACAAGATCCAAATCAAAGAAAATATGACCGCTCAACATCCCTTTGTTTCTCCCTTCAACTTCAAGCCACACACACGACCCACGCCATCCCGCCGTCCATGCCAACGGGTTCTCCCAATCAATGAGTTGATATGGCAATCGCCGCGGCTTCTACCGGAGAAAGCCAAGCAAACAGTTCCCCGAAGCAGCGAGTCCATCAGCCCTGCCGGGCGGGAAGCGAGCAAGCGAGCAGACAAGCGAGGAGGTAAGCGAGTGAGTTGAGTGTGTGAGTGAGCATGTATCACATCATTGATGCAGGATCGAGATAGCAGGAACAGAAGAGGACGACACAGTCCAAAACCAGCCATTGTCCTCCTTCCCTCCCTCTCTCTCGATCAGTGAGTAAGTGCCTACAGACCGCCAGATCTGATCTTTGATCGATCGTCGACAAAGAAGACAGCTGGGCTCAGACCTACACTATACGTGTACATTACACATCCCATGTTTGGCCTGAGTCAGGAGCCCGAGATCCCAGATGTTCATCCACAGTGATCTCGATGCCAAGCCGCGAACCCAAAGCCAAGCCAAGATTCGGAGACAAAATCAAGACAAGACAACAAAAAACGAAACAAAAAAACGAGAAAGAGAGAGAAACAAACAAACAAACCCCCAAGCCTATCGGGTTCCCAACCGTCTGTTCGCTTACGGCTTGCCGGGTTTCTCTCTCTCATGGCTCAACATCCTCGTTTTGCTCGTTTTGGACATGGGATGGGGGTAGAGAAGGCCCGGGTTTGGTGCCCGAAGGGGAGGGGGGGTGTTGCCAGGAGTGTGCTGCCAGGAACCTTGCACGTCCCGGCTGACTGGGACTGTGGAACAAGAACAGGACAGGAGGGGGTCAAACCGTTTTTACGTGGGATTGGGAGTGGGTATGTAGCGTGGTTTTCAACACCTTTTGCGGTGATGATCTGTAACTATCCATTCATCCGTCCATTGAAGACCCACGGGGGTGGTTTGGGTGGGTGGATGGATGGGACGAACAGGGGCAAGGGGGGGAACATTTAGTGGAAGAATATGTAAGAGGGAATGAGCGGTCTGTGCAACTGGAGATAGTTATTGGATGCTTGGGGCTTCCTTCATGGTTCTTTGAAGAATCGATGTTCCCATGTTCCCGGCTTCTCTCCGTGTTCGGCGGGGGTTGGAAACGACGACAGGGGTTGCTGCTGTGCCTTGATTGATGATGTGGGATGCCGTTCGTTTGGTTTAGTCGGTCTGAGGAAACCATTCGTCTTGCCCGGTATCCCCGAGCCCCTCCTTTTTTTTGTGGCCGTTGGTCTTTCAGACAAAGGCTGTATTTCATGAACATAAACGGCGTGCGGCTCAAGGCCGAAAACCGTGGGAAAAAAACGAGACAAAACCGCGGAAAAAGAAACACTTGGCCGTCGTTCGTTTTATGATCGGGCGAAACGAACCATGGATCGGCCGGCAAACTCCCCCCATTATGGCGTGGGCCCCACACGCCCGCCCCGTCGGTTCCCCCTAACCACGCTTCTAGAAAATGATCGGCCAGTAAGGAGATGGGGGCTAGCATCTTTTTTTTCTTCCACAGCACAGATCCCGCCAGGCGGTCAGCGGGTGCCTGCTTCATACGTCAGAGTGCTTCAATGGTTTTTGTGGTTGTGATTATTTTCTGAAGATGGCGTGACGTCGTTTTGCGGTGTTTCTATGTCGCGTTTGTGCCGTTGCTGACGGGAACCACTGCAGTCTGGCTGGCGTGCGTGTTGTTGAATTTGAACTGCATTAATCGCTGGGCGTATTGCGTAAAGGGGGCGTTAAAAGCCACTGATGAATCCTCGGGGTCTTGTCTGAGCGCCACGGCGGTCATGGCGTTCAAGATTGCAAATCTACAACCAGGGGGGCCTGAGTGATCTGCTGCCACGAGGTCGAGATTTCTGGTTTTTTTTTCCCTCCCTTTTTTCTTGGTCTTTTTTTTTTCGATGCACGCCCTCCCCGCTGACTGGATATTTTCGAATTGTGTGAATGAGCCGTTGGGAGTCGTTTCTAGGACTGGTGCAGGAAGGTTGAAGTTGGAAACCTGACCTCAAGCCGCAGAAAGAGCCGCAAGATAGCGTTCATCCCAAGTTCTGTCGACGTGTCGTTGTGAATGGCCTGTTTTGGCGATTCGGCAAAGTGGAGGCCTGGAATGAGTTTGGTTTGCTCTCCAGTTTCCCTCTTCGGCCTTGGCTCCCCAGGATCATCCTTCTTCCATGGCGTGACACCTAGTGTACCCCCCCCCCCCCCTTTCTCCTTCTCACTCCTTGTTACCCCCATGCGGTGTGACCTCCTAGTGTTCAACCGTAGTGTACCCACCGAATGAACACACGCACCACCGCCGTACAAATGTACCATAGTACAAAGTATAAAGCAGCCTGCATTTGCTCTCCCTTGCGGCCGCTCCCGAAGCTTCTCGGCACACCATCTCTGTATCTTCCTCTCGCACTCTGTGTAGCTTTGTCCTCACGCCATCCTGCTGCTTCTCAAACAAACACACAGGCACACTCACACACACATACCTCACCATAACAAACAACCTCCTAGTTCATCAACCCCCCTCCCTTCACCCCCATCAAGACGTGCAACCTGAGAAGAATCCTCCTCCAAGATGGGCCAAATGATACCAGACCTCACATCGGCCGCGGCCATGGAGTTCAAACCCAGCAGCGGCAACGGAGCCAAGAAGCCACACCGACGCCAACAATCCCAACCACAACAAAATGCGGCGGCCGCCAACAGCTTCACAGAGAGTGTCATCGGAGCCACCGGCCCCAACGCCAACCCCCGCCTTGCCCAGATCATGCCCAGTCTTGTCCGGCACCTTCATGCCTTCGCTCGAGAAGTGAACTTGACCGTGGCCGAGTGGACAGCAGCCGTTGATTTCGTAAGCCGCATACCCCATACACCCCCTTTTCTCATCATCGATGATGAACCATCCTCTGACCTGACCGTGCTCCGCAACCCCAGATCAACGAATGCGGCAAAATGTCCTCCGACCGGCGCAACGAAACCCAACTCCTCTGCGACATCTTCGGGCTCGAAAGCCTCGTCGACGAAATCACCTCCACCCTCCTCGCCACCTCCACCGCGGAAACCCCCTCCTCCATCCTCGGCCCCTTCTACCGCCACGACGCGCCCCTCCTCGCCAACGGCAGTTCCATCGTGCAAAACATGACCCCCTCCGTACCCTGGTACGACCAAGCGGTAGCCGACTCCGCCTTCCTCACGGGCCGCGTGCTAGCCAGCTCGGGCATGCCGATCAAGGGCGCGACGGTGGACGTGTGGCACGCAGCACCGAATGGACTCTACGAGCAGCAGGACACGGAGCAGCCGGAGATGAATTTCCGCGGGCGGTTTGAGACGGATGCGGAGGGGGGGTATGCGCTGTACGCGTTGCGGCCGGTGGCGTATCCGATTCCGGATGATGGGCCCGCGGGGAGGTTGTTGGGGATGTTGGATCGGCATCCGTATCGGCCAGGACATATTCATTTTATTGTGTCGGCGCCGGGGTTTCGGAGTTTGACGACGCAGTTGTATGATGATCGGGATGAGTATGTTACTAATGATGCGGTGTTTGCGGTGAAGGAGGAGTTGGTGGTGAAGTTTGTGCCGAGAAAGGACGATCCGAAGGCGCGGTGGTCACTTAACTATGACTTCGTACTAGGGCGGGTCTAATGATCGAGTTGTCCGGTGGTGAGGATGTCTGGTTTCTGGTTTCTGGTTTTTGGTCCTGGTATGGTTGATAAAATCTGGTTGGGTCTGGTCTGGTGCTTGAAGAGGCATAATGGCTGTATTGTTTTAAGAAAATCGAAAAGCGAGATTTGCCCCTGTGTTCCCAACTCCTACCGTTTCATTTCGTTTTCATACCGTACCATACCGTACCGTCACCCCCTTCCGATGTTGCCGTTCCTTTGCAGTGCGTTAACCAAAAAAATCGTATGTTGACCCAGCCAACCCAACCGGTCCCCCGTCGTTCCAAAAAACCACACCCCCAAAAAACTCATGATCCGTAAATCCCCCATGAATCCGCGCCAGGGCTGACCCGCACCCGGATGGGGAGAGCGCGCCCTTCCGTTACTGCCGTCAGGTGGTTAGATGTACTCAAAAGCCAGGTTTGTCTTTGGATATGTGTCCTATGTGTCAGCTACAAGGCCGGTAGGTAGTAAGGGGGGTCGGGGTCGGTCAAGGAGTCTTGGGCTGTGTTTTCTCTAGACCCCTCCTCGTGAGAGACGAGGGAAAAAAAAGACTAGATTACGCACCATAAGGTTCTGTCGGCGCGCCAACAACAGGTGGCGGGAATTGCAGCGCAAGGCTGCTGATATTTGGTGCCACCGAAGAGACGGGCGGCAGATGGTTGATGAAATTATTCCACAGCCCATCAAACTCAAACTCGAAATTCCCGCTGTGAGGCTCGAAGCTGGGGATCGAGTGGGACGAGACGCTCGACCGGCCACCAACGAGAGTAGCGGAGGGGATATGGCCTTGTGGCGGCGTCATGCCGTTCACCCTCGCTTCGATGGAGATGCCGGGCCCTTGCGAGGAGAGCACGTCGAGGAGCGGCACCTTTGGCCGCGATGGTGGGGTGAGAAGCCCGCGGTCCGACCCGCTTGCCGTTTGGGACGAGCTTCGCCATTGACTATCCGGGTTGAGAATGGGACCCATGGGCGTCGGTTCGGATCCGACTCCCGATCGAGGCGCGGATGTGTACAGACAGCCGAAATCGTCCGAGAGCTGGGGTGCTGGGTAGGCGTGGTCCTTGGTCCATTTGGTGACGACCTGCGAAAATCGGGTAACAATGTCAAGAACACGCGCGGCTTGTGGGTCGGTCTCGGCGCAGTAGGCAACAATGTTGAGGGCATCACGCATCGTCTCGCTGTACTCATCCGTGTAGTACAGTGACGAGAACTGGTTCATGCAGATGACAAGACAGGCGACGAAGATGAAGTATCTACCCCACAGTCAGTCGAGGGTTAGGGACATGTTATGGATGTATATGTGCATGCGAATCAAGCGGTCAGCACTTACATGATGAAGGGGTTTCTCCGCGGGAGGTAGCCGTCTTCCCAGGCACTCCGAGCAATCTCAATGGTCCGGTACGAGGCCACGACGCAGGCCTCTGAGAACCTCGCCATCGCTGATTCGCGGATCTGTGGCGATTTCTTGATGCCCGAGCGCTCCTCCACAAGCATCCAGTTATGCATCACAAACAGCTGTCGGGTGAGGAGGATAAGGGAATGGAGGGATATGAGGCTGGCGTGAAGCGATGCCACTCCGTGGGCTGGATTTGCAGGCCCTCCTGCCGAGTGACGCCGAAAAGACTGGGCACGCGAGGCTTGATCCCAGTCCCTGGACATGTCGATAATTTCCTGGACCTTGGCGGTCGAGATCCGTCGTCGTGAGAAGACCTTGAGGGTGACACCGATGATATGCGCCGTCTCGACACAAGCATCCAGGCTGCTGGTGTGGACGTGGTCGAACCCGGATCCGCCCATGGTCGGAAGATGAGACGAATCACGGCCAAAGATCTTGCAGGAGCAATCGTCCTCGGATATGGCGGTCGGCCTTCCTAGCGAGGCGGCGAGGAACCGGTCGAGAATGAACAGGGTCTTCCACAGGTTCCTCCGCACCTTCATCTCGACCGGGGAGAAGATGACATCTCGCATGGTCTCCTCCCGATGCAACCCCAAGGCGAACGCCGAGCGCACGGCCATGCCTACGAGAGACGAGTAAGTCAGTACGACATGTTCGGTGAGATTGTAGGCCCGTACACAGACAGTGAAGGCAGCACACAAGACTTACCCAAGTACACATAGGCCCTGTTTCTTTTGGAGAGAATAAGCATGTAGATAGTCATCAACGTCAACGCTTGGATCGACCAGAAGTCGGCATCCTCAAACCCGGCTCCGGAGTCGCACATGGTTCGTGCGCTCCGGAAGAAGAGCTCGGCCCTGTTTGGCTGTCCAGCAAGTTGCTTCTGGACGGCAACTTCCTCCCGGCTTCCGGGTGGAGGGGCTGCCAGTAACAAACCGACGGCAAGCACCATATACAGGTTGCAGAGGAAGTCGTTCCGGGTTGACGGGGGGTCTCGGTAGCACTCGTCGACCTGCCGCAGAAACGAACCCCTGTCAAAGACCTCAATCAGGCCACACGTCTATTAGAGATAAGGGGTTAGCTGACCTCAACGTATGATGTGATCATAGTACATGCAAAGTGGCCCAAAAAAACAAGAAAAAAAAGAAAATACTGACATTGGTGAAGTACGACGATATCAAAATATCGGCCGTTTCCTTGTCCGGCAGGGGGCCGGGGATTCGTACATTGTCCGGGAAGTCAGCGATGCTTTCCAGTATCCGATGCCTCTTAGGATCATCGATGAAAGGAGAGCCCATTTCCGACCCAGCAGTGTTCTCGACCACGATGCGGATCAACTGCAGGATGGACAGCGTAGACGCATCTCCAATGTAGACTGTAGGTAGGGGAGAGTGAGGTTAGCAACGGGGCCCGTTTCAGGGTGAAAAAAATCGGAAGCGGTCAGTCAACCTACGCAGTCGTCCCGTCTGGTCCTGCAACATCCGAGTTTCGGTGTAGATGTTGGTCTCTTCGGATAGTCCATTGGCGTTGTTCCGGCTCGGGAGCTTCTTGAAGTTGTGCAAAGAACCATGTCGAACATGGTCGAGCACGGGGATCGAGATGGGCGGCTGTGTTGTCATTCCCGACATGGACGAGTCTTCCGACTTCGGGTGCTGGTGCTGCTGCTGATTTTGCTGCTCGCCGGTCGGCGTTTGATCCCAGGTCTGCATGGCGTCGCGGGACTGAGGGGAGGTGCCCTCGGAGCCGTCGAGGACAGAAGGTATAGAGGGCGGGGAGGTATCGATGTGGCGCCGTTTCGTTGGTGACGCAGCAGTGTCCGCAACATGGTCGGGAGCATTATTCGGCGTGTAGCAGCAAGTCAACTTTCTCCTAATACAGGTTTGGCAGGGTTTCAAGCCATTGCACTGGACGGGTAGTGTCAGCGAGAATGCAAGCCAGGAGAGAAGCCAGGTCGTGTTGGACCATGGACTCTACGGCCCAAACCCAAAAAAAAGTCCCGGATAGCGGGATAGCCCAAGCCAACCCGAAAGCATAAGAAACGAGTCGAATCGAAGGGGAGGGGGTCCGCCTGTCATCCCCCCGCCTTGCCAAACGAAAAACACCTAACCACGGGTCGTGACAAAAAAGGGCCTATGGCCGATGGGTAGGTGTCCACAAATCCCACTCTCTGCGCCCTCTAGCCGTGCCATCGAGCCCCCAAAACCTGCAGAGGCCACACACTCGTGATACCCGATCGAGGGGGCCCATTATCCTTCCTAGGAACCTTGTACGCCGTAACAGGCGAGTGAGTACGGCACCCACTCGGCCGGTCAACTCGACGGACTCCGGTAGGCATCCCTCCCTTGAGCACCGCCTAGCAGCATGGTCCAACTAAGAAGATGGAGGTTGATATGTCCAGGTGGCCCAAAGCAGTGGGAAAATTGGCAAGACGGTGTTGAGACGAGGAGATGAAGACAAGATGGGCGAGGAAACGGACGGGAAGCAGGAGGGAAAGCGAAGAACAGGCCCTGGCGGAGCCTGAAGAAAGTGAGACACCTCGCCGGACGGGGGTACAGATGTATACGCCTCCATGCCGAGCCAGCCACTGACGGGTCTGCGGGATGAGGACGAACAAGGTTGGGTTTCTCGGGCGTTCGACGTCAACCCGGCGATGTCCTTGATTATCAAGTAGGCGTACGGGAAGGGGATGACGGAAGGACGGCGGACGGAGGACGAGGAGACGAGGTGGATAACTAGGGGGGGAAAAGACTAGAATAGAAAAAAAAAGCAGACAAAAATAAGCAACAAGAAACATGTTTTCCCACCTTTTGCTTCCGGCGCTTGCACGAGTCGCAGGCCTGAGCCGTGCGCTGGCGCTTGTCGTCAGGGACCTTGGGGCGCGTCATGGTGGAGATGGACAGGTGAAGATTGCGTGGGATGCGTGGGGAGACGCGCGCAGGCGCCCCGCCATCGGGTAGCAGACTCTCCCTCCTGCTGCTCGGGCTGCCCGATCGCGCGCGCGGAGGAGAGAGGCAGCGGCGGCAGCGGCAAGTGCAACGGTGCGGGCAGCGGGCAGCTGGCGAAAAGAGACGGTCGAAAGGCCTGCGAAAATCCTAGTGCGATCGGAAGCTGTGAGCGGCGGGGATCTCGCGGAGCGGATGATGCACGAGACACATCGGCAGCAGGGCCGGCAACGGCAACGGGGGGGGAAACAACGGCTGGTCGTCGGATGGCTGTGGAGGGCTATCTAAGGGTGCTGGACCGGGTCGGCAGGGGCCCTGCTGGGTCTGCGGGTTTGTTTTCTGGATCGGTCCAGTTTAGTGCCCGCAGCGGGAGAGCGCTCGGTGGCACGAACCGCTGTGCCGCAGGCTGATCCGGGGACTGGGGGTGAGGGGGAAGGGGGGTCAAACTGGGGGGAAGGGGGGAGAAGAGGAAGAGGGGGGAATAACGGGCACGGGCAAGCAGAACAGGGGAGAACTGGAGCGGGGAGATCTCTTGTCTGTCTGGATTGCGGCAAACGATGGTCAGCGTCGTAGAACGAGGGTCTCGATGCTGCCGGGAAATTCTGCACCACCCGGAGAGATATACGAAGGCTGCGAGGCACCTCCAAGGGAAGCGAGTGAGGGAAAAAGAAGACCAAACGCCAGGGGGGTCCAGGTCGGTGCGGGAGCGCGGCCCTTGAGACGCACGCCATCAAGCAGATGGGGACCAAAACGAGCGAGCGCTGGGCGAGCCTCTAATAGGAACCCCTGCCGTCCGCTCTGCAGGTTGACATTTTGGCCAGTTCATCCTGGGCCGTGCGGCGGGTTGCTTTTGCGCCCAAATCTACCCAAGATCTGCTCGAGTCTCGAACGGTTTATCTTTTCTTGCTGGGCTGGCTGGCTGGCTGGCTGGCTGGGTTGGCCGGGCTTGCCAAGCGAGCGAGGTTGCTAACTAGGCTTGCGAGCTGGCGACCTTGTTGGGACGCCCTGGGCCCGCTTCGCATCGTGGCCGGGTGCTCGCCGCACGTGAATCCAGGTCTGAGGATGACGGGTTCACAGGCTCACAGGCTCATGGGCAGCCGGCTGGCTTGCCGCAGTTGAGGTGCATGAGACAGGCAGCAAGAGGAGTCGGCGAGTTGGAGGGCATGGGACTCATGAGATGCGGGGAAAAGGACAACTGCATGCCTCGACAGGCAAACCAACGTGCAAGCCTCGCGCGGGGATGGTGGCCGGCGATAGGTAGGGCTCCGCCCAGCACATGAACGGTTTGCCAGAGCTGCAGCTATGATGGACGGCATCAGGAACTTCTCCTGGCGTCGCATTGGGCCATCAGTCGGGCGGGCTGGCTGCCGAGCAGGCTGGTGGTGGTGGGGTTGGACGGCACGTGTGGCGCTTGTCTTTGTGTGACACTCTGTGTCTATGTGTGTGCAGTTTGTTGGAAATGTTTGAGGCCCGTGGTGTATAATAATCTGGCACGGAGGAGGCGGTCGCCATCGCAAGACAAGGAAACCCCGGAGACCTGGCCGCCCTTCGTCGAGTATCCTCTCCAGAAAAGTTCAGTCGAAGGGACACAGAGCTGGCGCGTCGTTGCCTCCCTTGCATCCTAGGGAGAATAGATGGGAAGGGAACTTTTGAGGGATATGAATGTCCCTGGAATGAGACGCGAGACGGTGGTTGTGGAACGCAATCATCTTCGATGGAGCCAATTCCGAGGTTTCGGTGTTCTTTCCCATTTTGGGCTTCTAGCTGAGAGAGCCTCGTCGTTTTTGAGAGCCCGCGAGTCCATTGTCCAGAGCCTGGTGGCGAGGGAGCGAGGGTGGAGGAAAAGAGAGAAACACAATGGAACTTACGGAAGTGAGAGGCTGGGCCAGAACAGGCCGTTGAGAGCTCAAAAAAAAGGGCAGTGGAATTCCTCAATTGAAACGGCCCGTCAAGTGGGAACGCGGGTTTGAGCCCTGATTACCTGATGGTCGAGAGCTGTGGTTGTCGACGATCGGAGGAAGGGACGATGGGACGGTTGGAGCTTTGACAGCGGGAGATTGCCCTGCGCGGGGAGATCCAGAGGCTGGAGTCGCCCAGGGAAGGCGCGTTGGGCAGCCATCATGGATCGGATAATGCACCTAAGCTCCCCGTTCTTCAACGGGTACTGCGGGGCTGCGGGGTGAGTCCCTGCCTTCACAGGGTCACTTGCGGAGAGGTTGGCAGGCTCGAGGCTGGGAGTGGGGGCCGCACACAGATTATCTCGGGAAAACGTTATGGATCCCAAAAACCTTCTATTCTCAACTCGTCGGCTCGGCGACTCTCATGTTTCAACCTGGAAAGCTCTCCTCCGCGGAGACTGAGACCATCCCTAAACACGGCCTTGTTTATTTTGGGACTTCCAAGGTCCTCATCCTTGTTAGATATCACGTCCTGTTCCAAGGATGCGACCGTTTCCGAGTCAAAAGTACGCAGTGCAGTTCAGATGAGTTGGACAATTGTCGATATTGTACTTGCGGTTGAAGATTTGATTTGCGAGAGCTCTGGTTTGCGATCTACCGAACAGCAACGGCGCTACACCACCACCGGCCACCCGGCGTGACTCTGGATTTAACACACTGCAGTTGTTGCCAGGTCGTCAACTCCCTATTTCCGTTTGCGGTTCAGTTCCGCTAGCGATCACCGCAAGATGGATCCATATTCCGTACATGCTGCAGTCGCTGCGATCTATGCATGTTCTCCGAGAAGGAGAACGAGAACAGAGACATGCTGATGCCGACGTCGAGACATGCGGCAACGCCGAGCCGGGGTCCATTTTAGGCCCAACACATACGGAGTACAGTGTAAGCCTCCACTAAGCCCAAGCCTGAGCCTGAGCTTAAGCTTGAGCCCTGAGTCTTGATCTAACCCTGAAGTTGATAATTTGATTGATGAGGGAAGATGGACATTGCGATCTCGTTACCTAGTTAGCACGACACAGTCGTTACGAAGGACCCGCGCTGCAGGAAGCTCCCAGCTCCCCCGTCAGCGGGAGCAGAGCCCCAATCTAGCGCAGGGTTCATCCGGCCGTTCCCATCTCGGACCGATCTTGAGTTGATCCGCGATCCCCGTTGCGGCTGTTTCCACCCTTGAAGTGCGTGCAACGCTACGAAGTAACTATCACGGAAAAGAGGAGCCTCGGCTAGTGGTGTTGATGGCGTCGCGGGGCGCACCAAACCCTTGCAGGGATAGCCTCCCCACGGCGCATCGCCCATCTCACGCTTGCCCGTCTCAACTTCGGGCAAACGCCGCATGCCAAAGCTAAAACCTAGGTATCCCGGCACCCCCCGCTGCAGGCGCCCCCCAGCTTCACTCATCAGGATGCCGGTCATCAAATGGCCGCGTTCGTGTTGAACCAACCGGCTGCAAGGCGTCCATGTCCCACAGGCGCGCACTCCACAGATTCGATGCCGCCCGTCTCAGACGCCTTGCCTGGCCTTGGTCCCTGGGGTAGTGTATGTACGCACTGCAGTTTCGTTCTGCCGTCACGACTGCGGTACTTCCGTACCTCCGCCGACTTCTGTTCCGCATCCACGCAGAGTCTCGCGGGCCCCCACCCCCGTCTGGTCCTCCTCTGGCCCTCCCACTCCCCGCGGTGTCACCAAATGGGTTCAATATCCTCACGGCAGCGCAACGCTTAGCTCCCACTCACCTTGTTCGCTCGGTGCACAGCGTCTCCGTTGCCTCCCGGCTGAATCATGTTACAGCGTCGTCGGATCTCGTCGGGCGCGTGATCATGGTCTTGTCTTTGTGGTCCGCGGCGGTCTTCTTAGCAGGTGACAGAATATCTTGTACCCGGGAGATTCTGCCAGGTCCCGGGCCAAGCAGGGCCGTCGCTTCTGTCAGCCACGGTCAGGGCAGGGCTCCTTCGACCGGGCCGAGCCATTTCCCCACCGCGCTTAGGGGCAAGACAGAAGTACTCTCGTACTGTACTCCTCCGAGTACATACAGTACACAGGACACTACACTACAGAAGCTAGTCGTCAGGAAGTGGAGCGGGCAGGCTAGCCGCACGTGGTGCAGCACCCAAAGCGTCTCAGGGATTCGCCAATGCCCTCGCCAGCCCCTCGGAACCCGTTCGCGCGCGACCAGCCAACCGTTGGTAGTCGTCGGAAGGAGCATGGGCGAGCGCGGGCTTGCGGGGAGAACCGACTTCCAATCACGGCTTTTGCCTCCGTCCGATCCGCCACCCCCGTCCTTCTGTTCTCCTCACACTGCACAGTCCTGGCTCCCCCTGCTTGGCCATGCTTGGCTCCCAGCTCTTCCTACACTAGTGTACACACAGTAGCGCCGCCTATGTAGCTCCCGTAGACGGAACGCGTGGGGAGATGCTGCGGTACGTACAGATCGGTACAGATCCCACAGGAAGCTGGAAGCTGTCCCGTCCCGGGGGGTCAGCCGTCGTCATGGATCCGGGCATGATTCCCGGCATTTTGTCTCTGGCCGCGGTCCTCCCGTGCCCGGATATCACCTCAGGACTTTTCTCGCGCCTCTTTCTCTCCCTCTCGCACGCTCTCCCCCTCTCACCCATTCTCACCAACGGCCGCTGCGTTGTGCGTTGCTGTCCTGTCATCCTGCCAGTCTACCACCTCAGTCCTGCTTGTCCTCCACCACGGAGTGGGGTCTCACCAAGGATCCCTCGATAAAGTACAAAGTACACCCATGACCACCAACACCGTGTCATCAAGGTACCAGACCTCGGATGGAACCGGTACTTATACAGCCGGCTGGGCCACGGTATCAAAAGGGCCTTAAGGGCATCGACTCTTCTTTGTTCCTGGATAGGCACGCGGATCTAGTCACAATGGAGTCAACACGTACCATGACGCCAACAACGCCTGCGTTGGGATGGAACTGGAATGCCACCGCCATCACCACGCCTGAAAAAGCCCATTACAACAGCCACCACCACGCCCTGGGGCCGCTCCCGTCACCCACCATGTCGCCGACCATGTCCTTTGCGACCCTCCGGTACTGGCAGAAGCTCATGGCGTTCAAGAAGAAGCACCGCGAACTACCCGCCGCGGCCGTGAACGGTCCCGGCCCCGGTCCCGGTCCCGGTCCCGGACCTCGCCCGCGGTACTCCGTGGCCGCGGGAGCACAAGAAGCCCTCGGCAAACTGTCAGCCTCCGCCCGCAGCGAGCTTCCCGAGGCCATCCTGGCGTTCCAAGGGGCCGTTCAAGTCACCTCAGCCACGGCGAAGGGAGACGAAGTGTATTTCCCGACGCCCCTTAGGGAGCAGGAGGCCACGGCGGCCATCAAGGGCCTCGAGGCCTGCGCAGCGGCAGCCATCTCGAAGCTTCGGTACGGGACCGACAGCAGGACGATCCAGATCGACAGCGACAAGGTCTCAGCCTTTCTGATGTCGGCGTATCTGACCACGCTGGATGGCATGGACAAGCCTGACCCGCGCATCAAGAACAGGATCCCTGGTGAGTGAGCACCTACGCTCGGAGGGGGGCGCCAACACCCGCATTCCATGCCCAGAACCCACACCACACCCAGACACATCCGCATGCCCGCTCGGCACATCCCACTTCCCACTTCGAGACACCCACTTCCAAAACACCCACCTCCAAACACACATTTCCAGACACCCACTCCAAGAAGCCCACTCCCAAAAGCCCACTCACAGACACCCACCCACTTGCCACTTCGAGGCGCCCACATCCGAACACCCCCACTTGTGAGAGAGCACAGCTAACGTGGGTGGCAGACACGGACCTAAACCAGGCCCAGTCGGTGCTCTACCGACGCATGTCGGCCAACCTGTACCGCACCAAGAATCCAGACGAGTACTATCACATCCACGGCTCTCTCGACGCAGATGTGACCCTACAAATGCTGGGGCTGCCCAAGGAAAACCCCGCCATGACCGACTACCACGCCATTATCGACTACATCGAGTCAGCGGTCCAAAAGTTCACGGCCACCGAGCTGGATGCACTGAATATCTCGCACCGGCAAGCCGGCATCCAGGCGCTCACCTGGCCCCAGTTCCAAGCCACCCCGCACGGCAAGGCCATGCTGAAGCTCCCACCCTTAACCGTTCGTCCGAACCCTGCAGATGCCCGCATCACTCCGCCCACGCCCTTCCCTTCACCAACACCCCCCTCCTCCGCCTCGTGCTCCGAGACCGCTGCCCCATCCAACAGCCAACAGGGTGACAGCAGCAGCAGCAGCAGTGGCATCAGCAGCACCAGTGGCAGCCCACAATACGCCCTCGCCGGCATCAAGGTCCTGGAGCTCTGCCGTGTTATTGCCGGCCCCACCATCGGCCGCTGCCTTGCTGCCCACGGCGCCCAGGTCATCAAGGTGACCTCACCGGACCTGCCCGACGTGCCCTTCTTCCAGCTGGACGTCAACACGGGCAAACACGCCATCCACCTCGACCTACGGCCCGACAACAACGGCAGAACCACCACGCACGACCGCGAGATCTTTGCCTCTCTCTTAGCCGATGCCGACGTGCTCATCGACGGGTACCGCCCCGGCTCACTAGCCCGGCTCGGGTACGGACCTGAGGCCCTCGCCCAAATTGCCCAGCAGCGCGGCAAGGGCTTTGTGTACGTGGCCGAGGACTGCTTCGGCGGAAGCGACTTGCCGGCCTCGGCCGGGGCTGAATGGGCCTCCCGCGCCGGATGGCAACAGATCGCCGACTGCGTAACCGGCGTCGCCTGGGCGCAGGGCGAGTTCATGGGTTTGGACGAGCCCGTCGTGCCGCCGTTCCCCATGTCTGACTACGGCACGGGCGCCCTCGGCTGTGCGGCTGCGCTGACAGGCCTCTACCGTCGCGCAACAGAGGGCGGCAGCTGGGTGTGTCGGACCAGCCTTGTCCAGTACGACGCCTTCCTGCTTGGGCTCGGCCTGCTCCCCGAGACAGAACGGACCCGGCTCCGCCGCGAGCATGGGCATGAGGACAAGAACCCCGCGGGCTTCTTTGGACTACGCCACAGTGACTCGGTCGATGAGGTTGGGCGCCGTGCGCTAGCGAGCATGCGACGGACGGTGCCGCATCTGTTTTCCAACCGTGACGGTGACGAGAGCGGTCTGATGCAGGCGGCATGGAGCCCGGCGTTTCAGGGGGTCGTGCGGTGGCCGCGAGAGGCGATCACGATTGAGGGCGTGCGCGTCGGACATGTGAGGACGGCGCGGCCGAACGGGTGGGATGATAAGGCTCTTGGATGGGAAGGGTGGGAGGAGGAGATGCTTGGACAGGAACAAGAGCAAGAGGAGAGTGACAGTGATGACAACAACTATTCGTGGGTTGGGGGTGAGAAGTAATGGATGAGGCGGGGTGGGTCAACGAGTGGACGGTTTTCGTACCTAGTTTTATTCTCTCCCTCCTTTCATTCCCTTATTCTCTTCCTCAGTTCCCCTTTCTCTTTTCTCCTTCCTTCATTATCCCTCCTCTCTTTTCATATCCCCCTTGGGATCATCATCATAACCAATGGCCGGGCATTCAGGTCGGAGCGTTTGCGTTCACGGAAACGGTACAGGTGGTCGGTATGCGATGTCTTTTTTTGCTTTCTCTTTCTCGCTCTCTTTACATCACTTGTCTGTTGAACTCTCGGTCAGTTTATCATATCATTATCGTCATCATCATCTGCTCATTCAACAGAACCAAAGCCAGTTGGGCCTGGCCAGAAAGAAGAAAGAAAGAATTAAAGAAAGAAGGAAGGAAGACTGGGTCGGCGGTTAGTCTGATTTGATGTCTGTTTGTTTCGCTTGGGTTGGCTTGGTTTGCTTTGGTTTTGTTTGGTTGTCGGTTTTTCCAACTAGAACACATACACCACAGAACAATGCCGGGTTTATTTGTTTTCTCTCCCTCTCTTCCCTGTCTCTCTCTCTCTCTCTATCTCTTACACGGAGGCACCCCAGCTTTTAACTACCCCACCCACCTACAGCATCCAGCTAGTTAGCTAGGCACTATGCTTAAGCCAGTCCTTGTCTTGCCTTGTCTTGTGCAATCTTGTCCGGTCTTGCCCTTTGTCTTTGTCCAACCCCAACTTTACACTTTAAGACCCGATCCAGACCCTGCTTTACATAGGTAGTAGACCCGATCCAAGCCGTGCAGTCAATCCGTTTTAGTCCATTTCGGCGTTTTCAACACTCACAGGCATCCATCCACCACGCCATGTGGGTGATGTGGATGGTGGTACAGCGTTTTTGTCGGTTCGGTGTCATGCACACCATCATTTCGGGGAATCTTTCCTGTCTGCCTTGGGTTGGGTTTTACCCTACCCTGCTTTTATACGCTCGCTTAGTTAATTTGGCTTCGGTAGCTTAGCGTTGCTTAACCCCGACCAGGAGGTGTACCCTGAACTAAACTGAACCAAACTAAACTGGACTGGACTGGATTGGACTGAACTGCAGCTCACACACAGCCTTGGTATTAGTAGTGCTGTACTACCATATCTGAGATGTCTGAGATCCGCGTGATGCGTGTGATGCGTGTGATGCGCGTGTGTGATAGTCTTCTCCCTACCTACCACGTAGATGTGTGAGTGAGTGGCGTGGTGAAACTGACCGGTCTGCCTGTTTTGATGTTCCGGCTAGCCTGTTATTCGTCCGGTTTGGTGAATTTGGCTCCGCCCCGGTGAGGAAAGGCAGGAAACGCATGAAGGAAACGAAAGGAAAGGAAGGGAATAACCCGAGAGGGCGAAGAGGCGAGAAGCGAGGTAGGGCAAGGTAGGGCAAGACAAGGCGACAAAACAAGGTAGGTAGAAGAAACGGGGAAAAACCCCCGGAAGCGGGAAAAGAAACCCCGAGGCCGAGACTAAAAGATGCTATGGCCGCTTTAGAGAAAGGATATGGTTGTAGAAAAGGTGTTCAAGCATGTTAAAAAAACTTGATTTCTTTCCATATTTAATGTTACACAACGCACACAACCCCTCCCCCCTCTCGTCCATCCGCTCCGGGATACCACATCCTACCGCATCAGCACACCACCACCGGTCATCATCATAATCATAATCACAGCACCAATCGCCCCGGCTCAGTCTCCAACACAGTCTTGACCCGCTCCAAAAACACCGTCGCCCGCTTCTCCTCTGCCTTGGGCACCTGCAGGCTGAACAGGTTGGGGCCGGCCGTCGACGGGCCGGGGAGGACGGACGCCGTTGGTTTCGAGGAAGCCGTTGTTGTTGCGGGCTTAGACTTGAGCTGGGGCTTGGCCGCGAGAATGTCCAAGATATCGACCTTCTTTTGTTTCGCCTGGGGCTTGGGTGCGGTGAATACCGCTGCGGACGGTGACGAGGCGGATGAGATCAGCGGGATGTACGATCCGCGCGAGACCTTGGAAGAGACCTTGTCGAGCCCGAGGAGCTGGTGGAAGAGTTCGTCGGCGGAGGGTTGATAGTTGGAGGGGAGCGGCAGCTCGTCGTTGGCGAGCTCGGAGGCGCGGGCGATGAAGGTGGAGAGGGGCAGGAACACGCCGAGGGTCTTGTGGATGCGGGCCTGGGCTTCGAGCACCGCGGAGAGGGAGACAGGGAGGGAGACGAGGGATTTGGGTGGTGGTGCGGGAGCGGCGGTGTCGGCTGTGGTGGGCTTCCTGGTGGCCGGGGCTGGTTTCGCGGCTGCGACCTTGATGTTGCTCAGGTCGAGGTGGGAAGCCTTCTCGAAGCGGGCGGAGATCGCAGCCGGGGTGCCGGTGTTGATCTTCCCGAGGTGGGCGAGCACGTCGCCTTTGAGGAGACGTCCCTGGGGACCTGTAGGGGTGATATCGTTGACGGCGGACTCGTCGAGGCCGTTTTCCTTAAGTAGATTGAGAACCGAAGGGACCAAGGGGAAGGTCCGCTTGGGGCCGGTAGACTTAGAGGCGGAAGCGGTCGTGGAGCCGGTAGCGGACGGGGTTGATTCGGACTGTTCCGGAGCAGCCGGGGTCTCGGATTTGGGGGCCTCGGTGCTGGCGGACTGCGGTGGTTGTGATGTCTTCTCGTCGGCGGGAATCTCGAGCGCGCTGATGTCGTCTCCCTCCTCGGCGATGACAGCGATCCGTGTGCCGACTTGCACGCCCTTGCTGCCGTCGGCCTGCATGACCTTCATCAGGATGCCGTCTTCTTGTGCCTCGACGTCCATGGTGGCCTTGTCGGTCTCGATCTCGAGGAGCACGTCGCCGGCGGAGAACTTGTCGCCCTCCTTGACCCGCCAGGCGGCGATGTTGCCCTCGGTCATGGTGGGGGAGAGCGCGGGCATGGTGAAGTTTTGGGCAGCGAGGGCCGCGGCCGATGTCCGGAACCCTGTTTCGGAACGGTCAGCTTGGACTCTTAGATTATTCGGTTATTTTTTCCCTCTCTGCTCTTGTCCTGTAAAATCCCGTCCAAATTCCGCCTTCTGTTCTCGCTCCATCCATCGCCTTCATCTTGCATCCTCCTCTTTTTAATATCCCCAACGCTAGCTTCATCTTTTTTCGAGTCGCTGACTGACTGACCTCGAGCTGCATCGTGCGGCACTTTTCGACTCGCCAGCCGCGCTGATATGCGGCACGCCGCTGCAAGAGATGCCATTGTTGGCGATGGTCGAGAAACCCAATTGGGCTGTCGGTGCAAATAGTTGCAACGACGGAAGGCCGATGTGCGTGCGTTTTGGGTGCTGGAAAAAGATGAAATACGCTCTGCTGGGCCTGGGAGTCGCGGACTTGGCGGGAAGCGGACCGATTTAGACGTTGGCCCAAGCTTGTCTTGGCTTTCTCAACAATTGCTTGCAGGGATTTTCGCCAACAACCCGATGTTAAAGAGACTGTGCAGGGAGCTGTCGATCATATCGAACCCTCAAATGGTGCAGGTTGTAAACTCTGGAACGGTACCCTCAATGTCGAGGGGAAGGACGTCCATGCCTGTTCCAGTAGCCTGTGATAACTTCATTCCTTCATTACCTGAATCTATTGTCACTCGGGTTTCTACCAAAGAAGGGGTCGTCTCCGAATAATGACTTCTGTCAAGCACAGTCCATTTAGTCTCATCCCAAGCACCACGCGGCCGGACCCGCTATGGACCCTGTCAATTGGGGGTGCTCCGAACGTCAAAGCTTCGCCAAGGCGCGAACCTCGCGTCAATTTGCTCCGACTTCCGACAAAATTTCGGCCCCACCAAATTCCAAACTGGGCCCCGCGAGACAACCTCAAGCTATCAAGCGCTGTGGTAAACAACCCCTCTGACAGGCAGTGGTGGCCAATTGGCCGTGACTCGGTGCAGGTATGCTTCCCGACGTTTCACATTCACCTCCCGAATTATATCACGGCTAACCGATCACCACCAACCAGCAAAATGGCGTCCATCTCCCGAGGTTTCGGCCCCCGGTTCTTCCACGTCGTCGTCCGACAACACGCCCCCTGCCAATGCCCCGCGACCCAAGCCCGCCAGCTCCTCCGCGCCCGCTTTTCCACGGCCCGATGCCTCCAGAAAGCCATTCACAAGCTCCCCCAGCCGGTGCGGACACCCCCTCGTCCGAAACCCGGAGCAACACCATCGGCACCCTCTACTCCGTCTACCCCGTCTGCTCCCAAGGTCCCTGTTGTTCCTAAGCCCGCGCTCCCAAAAACCACACCCACACCCGCACCTACGCCCACGCCCACGCCCACGCCTACTCCCACCCTCGGGCGCTCCACCCGCCCGCCCATGAGCTACGCAGAGCAGCTCGCCGCCAAAGGCCGCACCCTGCTCTACGAAGCGCCCTCCCACTTCTGGTTCCGCGCCGGTTGCTTCTCCTCGGGCGTCTTCTGCCTGACCTACATGATCACGCAGTACTCGGCCGTCATCCTGCACCCACCCGAGGGACTGTCCTGGTGGGTCCCACACGCCTTCACCGTCATCCTCGTCGCCATGGGCGGCATGGGCGGCTACTTCATCATGGGCGCCGGCCGTATCATTGCCTCGATCGAAGCCATCCCGGCCTCCCAGCTCGCCGGTCGCGCGGTCACATCGTCCAGCGCCGGCGTTGCAGCAAAGGCGCAGTCCGCCGCCGGGGTTGCTGCCGCTACCGCTACCACTGCTGCTACTGCCACTGCGGCAGCTGCGACCCCGCTCTACGTCGAAGTCACCACGCGCCGCCCATTCCCCTTCATGCCCTCCAAAAAACACCTCCTCCGCCCAGACGAAATCCAGCTGCCCTTCCGGATGTACTCCCTCTTCACCATGGGCCAGACCCTCACCAGCAGCAGCAGCAGCGCCAACCCACGCCAACCCTCATCCCGCCTCATCAGCGGCCGCGGTGAGACCCTAGCCGAGCAAGTCCGCCGCGAACGAGCCGCGCGCGACGCCCGCGCCGCCGAGCGCCAGTATAACCTGGACCATATCATGACGTCGCCGTTTCGCGATGCGCGCAAGGCGTTTGGGGGTGCGTGGCGCGGGTTGAGGCGGTCGTTTAATCGGGAGGGGTTTATTAAGGTGCGGTTGGCTGGGAAGGAGTATAAGATGGATGTTACGGGGGGGTGGACGTTGGATGAGGGACGGGCGTTGGATCGGTTGTTGCCTGTTAGGCAGGACACGGGGAGGGGGAAAGGGGTGAAGGGGTTGTAAGTGGTTGGGTGTATAGTATGAATAAGTGTTGGATTATGAAACGGGGTCGAATGGTGTAGCAAACGGTGATTTGTTCTTCGGGGCAACACCTTAGATATATATCCGTCTGGAGGATTCTCGTACATAACCACGTTACCTCATTTCCGGAAACTAATATCAAAATTGAGGAGTGTACGTGGAGAGGGTGATGCGATACTTTATGATAGTCTCGGGCCTGACAATGCCACCCTTGAAGCGCTACGATCTTGTTCGACAACTTAATACTTCTCTCTCCCCAGCCCTTTTCATAGAAGTCCAGCCCAAGCCCTTGCCGGGCCAACCCCTCCAACGAAGCCTCACGGTGCCTAACTTGGGGCGTAGTCCTTACACCTTAGCTCCTGCCGTTGTTTGTGGTGTTGAAAAAGTATGATACCGCCCTGCCATCTGTCAAGATGGGTTATTGGTCGGTCTTCAAGAGATACTATCATATTGCTTCGGTCGTCTGTGTTAACGGACCGTTGGTTGGTTCCAAAGTCAATAGAATTTCCATTATCTTCCACTACCTTAGCTAGGTCGATAGTTGAAGAAGAGTATACCGGACAGCCGGTGACTTGTTTAAAGGGGAGTTTCTACCTTCCATCCCAACTCTCAGCCCCTTCCAGCCTTCGCCCGCCCCAAATACCGCACCTGCTCTCCCACACTATATATATTAGGTCCAACGACCCAATTTCCAACCCGCCTCCAATGGGGCTACAAACCGACCACACCCGGTGGTGAGTTTGGCTCAGGCGTCGCATCATTTAATTCCCTGACGGGGTTAAGTCTTGAGCGTCGAAAAGTTGGCAGGCAATCCGCCCTCATTACGCGCGACCTGAGGGAAGAGGGCATGGGTTCGAACCGAACGCGAAGCAAAAGTCCCCTGCTGATATACTTAAGGCCCTGGGACTTTTCGTAACCATCAGATTTAACTCTACTGACCGGGTGTAACAGTAGGGCTGGGTGGTGAGCTTTTGCTATTTTGATCTTTTTTTGGAGTCTTTTTTCTAATAACTCCTTCATGTTGGTAGCTCCCACTGTCCAATGTTTTTTTATACGCTCCCAATTTACATTGGCTTTCGTAAACTCCTTGGGATGGGTGTCCCTCGAATTGCATTGGTGTTGTGTTTCCTTTTTCTTTTTTGTCTCCTCCCATCGGTGCCTCGATTCCAACATCCATCTGCAGTCGCCCCTGAACATGTAAACAAACACCACAGCGGATATCACCACGTCAACACAACACACGCATGATTGTCAATGCCAAGCGGACTAGCCCGTCAACATCATTATGTCAGGCTGATTGATCCCTTTCAACATTCAACATCAATCTAAAAAGGGCCGTTTCCCAAAACCTATTCATTCATTCCGGTGCGGAATGTCCTTGTCACGGCTCAACACGAGAAACCCGATATTGCGTGAGCGCATTTGATCCCCGTTTCTGCCTTCTCGCCCGAGCCGTTCTTTCGGTATCCATTGTATTCTACCGCGGTAGGCTTTCTGTGGCGCAGCCCGTCCCAGTGCCCAGAAACTCCAAGGAACTGTCAATATGATCCACCAAATATCAACTCTCAAACTAGGGGTCCAACTCCGCATTGTCATCATTGCCAAAATACCGCACCCGGTTCTAGCGGCCGATTCCTCGGCCGTCTACGGGAAAGGGACGGCTGACCGGGAAATGCGCGCAGAGGAAGAATAAACACGGCTTGATAGGATATTGTTGTAAGGATATATTGGCCATGGCCAAGCTATAATACGCTCTTGTATTCCATCACCACTGCATAATGAACTCCAAATAATGCGCCGAACTTTTAGGATGGCTTAACATACAACACTGGCAAGGAATCAATTTCTTGTCTACCACGAGCGGTTTACCCGTATAGGAAAGACCAAGTTATTCCACCCCCCGGCATGGAAGACAAAACCGCCCATCACCACAAAATAAGGCAGCGCCGTGTTGAAGACCATTTGCCCGCATACTGAGTAGCACCGTCCAAGCCGGCAGCTGACTTCCGTGCTCCCAAACACAGAGAGAGCCCCATCGCCTCACGTCGCCTTCGATCCGGCACTCAGGAGGCGAAGGCGGGTGTGGATGACCATCTTTCTCTCCTGCGCAACACTAGGGAACGTTGAGTCGGAGAGGCTTACGCAGTGTGTTGCGTGTACGTGTGCACAAAAACTGGAAGTGCAAAAGATATAAGGATGGTGAACGAAGATCGGGTTCTATCCAACCAATTTCACCCCTTAGCTCAGGACACGATCACTACAATACCATCCACATGACCAGATCAGTAAGTGCAGTAAACCGTCTAACGAAACCCCGGGGTTTCAATACTAGTTGCCCCGACGTCGGCAGTCTCCGAGGTCCATTATGCTCCAAGGAAAAGAAGAAGAGAGCCTTCGAAGATCCCATCCACACGTGATAGAACCTCTGCGTGGGGGAACGGGCTGAAATCACGAGATACATATGCACATTAAGTTTCTACTATATGTAGGTTGATCGTAGAGAGGACCCTGAGACTTCCATCGCCACCGTGTCGTGTTCTGACCCCATGGTTTCCACGCACACCACACACGACACATATATACATACATACATACGTAAACATGCGTTGGCGAGCGATGGCGACATGCCCCAATGGCCAACAACTGCCGATCTTGTCCGAGAAGACTTGACCCTTATTATTACGGTGTTTCGTTACAGGTAGAGCGGATATGGGTGCCGAGTGAGTGTTTACCTAACAACGGCCATGGTAGAACCAAGCTTATAAACGAGGTACCTCATTGAAGCCGGGAAACAGGTATATTTCCTCGACGTAAAACAAAATGAGAGGAAAAATATAACTGGATGAAGGTTTAACCGGCTAATGAACCATCCAACATTTCTTCTCCCTGGTTCACTCACCGTCTCTTGGCCCCTTTCCCGCTCCTCTCCTACCGCGCAATAATAGCAGCTCCTTGATATCACCCCTTCAACAACACTTCCGGGGAAAGTGATGACCCGGCCAGGGGTAAGTAAATACAAACCCACCAACAACCAAATTCAAATCTGTCACGGCCCGAGGGACAATATGCCCTGCATATTGACAAGTAAAAGACAACCATGGTTCATGTATGTACCCAACGGCTAAGCACCAACAATTCAACTTAGTTCTGCGAACCAAAAAAAAAAAAAACCGTTACCAAGGATGTCGTCACCCGCATTCCAATCCCCCAACCGGCACCTAACAGCCGGTACCCAACAGCCGACAGCCGTCTCCCGGGATAACGGGGACGGATAGAGGTAGGGAGAACCCGGGGACAATGGACCCTGGAAATAAAAAGTAAAAAGGTAAAAATGTAAAAAGGTAAAACATCAGGGGGGATGCGGTGAATAATCTGAACAAAGAACGCGGGAACAGAAACATACCAGCTGTGTTGAATGTCGAGTAGCATGGTATGAGATGGCGTAACATGACATGACATATCTACCCACCAACACAACAGCACATACCAACACAACATACCAACACACAACACACCGACTTACATCTATCCGCGTATACTTGCTCATAGACATGTACTTACTCACGGTCACACCACCTACCTCCCTTATCATCAACCATCTCTCACCGCCACGCCAAACTTACGACTCATCGACGAACAAAGAGCAACAGAACAATCAGGAACGAACACAACGAACTCAGCCTCATACAACCTAGCCTGACCCGGGGCAACGCAACAAAGGTCAGGTCAAGGAAGCGGTCAACAACCTCATCGAAGGATCTCGAACCAAACCAAAGCCCCCAAAAAAGTTCTTCACCACCCCCCCGACCGACAGCCGACGAACCAGCGAACCGACAACCCATGCCCGCCGCCAAGTCCAGGTCCAACCCGCCCCTCCCTTACCCTCATTTTTGACTTTTTTTGTCTGCCTTTTTTCTGCTCGGCCCGGTCTAGTCCTGCTGTTGTGTCCCCCCACCCCACCGTCAAGAAAAGAAAAAAAAACTCTGTGTGGAGTGTGGAAGTACATGTGTGACGCTTGTGCGTGGTGTGGTGTGGGTGTGGGCTGTATGGTGTGGGTGGTATGGATGAAGGTGTGGTGCGTGGGATGTATGTAGGTATGTGCGTCTGGATGTATGTAGGTATGTATGTAAGTGTGCGGCACCCCGCATTTCCCTTTCAACGGAATGAGCGGTAGGAAGGTTTAGATAGGTGGGAAATGGGCAGGTTGTAGAGAGGATGGGTGTACGACTGATCTGTCCTGCCCATCTTGCCCGTTGACAATGAAGCGATTGATGAACCGGAGCGAGAAGAAAAGAGAAAAGAAATAAGGCCAGGGAGGGTAAGTCGGGATCCGATCCGGCGGATTAAGCTTCCCGTAACCCCCCGTTCCCCTTCCCGTTCCCGAATTCCTGACAAGGACATTACCACTTGTCTGTCCGCAATCATACACTACAATGGAATCAACTCCCAACGTCAGTTGGTCCGACTTCGGTACACCTACCCGCGCGCGCTCGTCTACCCCTACTTTCCCGTGTCTTTGACCGTGTACCACGCGCCCAGACAGAGACAGCAAACACTTCCATTGCCGGCCTGTCCTGGTTGTCAGGTTGTCTATCTCGCTTCCGAACTCCACTGAAAGGCGGGGCGAGAGCGGCGAAAAGAATCCGGGGAAGCGGGGAGATGGAGACCACCGCTCATCATCATACAATAGCACTGATGCTATGGTGGAGTGGCAAGTGACAGGTGATAGTGACATTGCTGCTGTGTGATGCGTAAGGTGTCTTAAGAACATGAGGCGGGTACCCGCCGACGAGGCCACATTGAACACGCAGGCAGCCACCCGACCGTGGTAGCAACTACATAGGGACAAACAAAACTCGGTTGGCGGCGGTGTTGGTGGTGAGTAAAGTGGCAATGTAGCCTCGGTGGCGGCGGGGTTGAAGAAGGCTGATATGGCTTGAAGAATCCTTCCTATGGCGATCTTGAATTTCATTCTTGGCTTG